TAAATTCTGCCCTTCCACACGACTCTGACACTCCTGCCGACCTCCACACGCTGTGTGCTCTTGTGCCCTGCACTCGGTACAGCCGCTTCATTACAGTAGCTCATGGCCGACGATGTCAGACGAATACAGCAGTCCTTCGAATGCGCCTTGCTTGGAATTCTGCGGCGTGGGAACGAAAAGGACGAAATGGAATCGCAGCACCATGGCTGGACGGAGTGTGGAGTGTGTCTGCGGTTTTGGGCGGAGGATGTGCCGCCTGGACAGTTCCGGAAGAGGGAAGCCAACGCCAAATAGAGAGCGGCGTTGGCTCCTTGTTCGGATCTTGGGCAGAACCGCGGAGCTGAGTCGGAGCATTTAGATGTCATCCTGCGTGACTCCGCGGACTTGGCTCGGGCCTCGCTCATCTCGCTCTCGAAGGAGCCCAAAAAAAACAGAAAAATCTGCAGATGCGGGCGGGCCATTCGCTCCGTGGGCTAGCTCGTTCTCACAAACACATCGTAGCTGACTCGCTCGCCATGCGCTCGGCGGTTTGCGGGTGCCACTTTGCCTCCGTCACGGCGGCGCCCGCCGGTGGTCCCCTTCACTGACGTGGCATCACGCCACGTATTGATTGCTCTGATGTGGGGTAGAATGACCGGCTTTGTGTTGAGAGTCCAGTAAGATGGCAGCTTTTAGCCTGCTCCTATTCACTGCTGACCCGCGGCGCCTCGATCCGGCAGGCTCGATCCAAGACCCGCGGTCTTCGCTTTGCAAGCAATGAAAATTCATCAATTTCCACAAGCTCACCGAGGGTGCTCCGAGGGCCTATTGCAACTACCTTGCGCCGTCCTTGGCGAGCTACGTCCGCGAAGTCGTTCTGTCCGTCATACGCAATTTGTCAAGGTGCACACTTTCTCGTTTGTTCGCCTCGTGATGCATTCGTGTCACCACGAATGACAGCAAAGTTTCCGGCCAGCAAGTTGCCGTGGCGTCCGGAAAGCTGTGGACTTAGTGGACGCAGCACGACCGAACAGTTCTAGGTTTCGTATCAGAATCGTCTGGGAAGTTTGCCAGAGGAATGAAAAATCGAACAGGTTTCACCTCGATGACTGGCCGATTAGCAGCTCTTGACACGGCTAAATTGACGCGCGAGATGGGAAGGCGTACAGTAAATTTAGATCGATGATGACGATCGCCTTGGATCTTTCTGGCTCCGATCGAGTGTCATCCCAACCGGGATCCTTTACCGAACCCCCGCAGAGCCCCTCAGATCCACTCGTGTGTCATGTGTGCGGTGCTGGCAGATGCATGAGTGGCTCTCACGCTCGGAACGGAGCGACCCAGCTCTATTTGGGCATTTCCGTACTTCCGTGACAATCGGGTAATATCAACGAGCCGAGCAACTCACTATAGCAGGATCGTCGCCCCGGTCATCGTTCAGCACTGCGGCACTGGACCCGATAGGACCCTGAAAGCTCGGACATAACCATGCAGGCAGCCATGCACCTAGATGCTCGAGCGTCTGCCTACCGTAGTCGGAGATACCGCCATCGTATGCTCCGATCGAAGGCTCCCGTCTGATTCGCTCCTCGAGCCAGAGATGAAAGCAGGGTTGTACGCATGTGCCGAAGAGAAAAACGGGGCCGAAAAAAGGCGAGAAATTCGGGGCAGCAAAAATCTCTCGCCCAGAGCCTAGGCACCCACAGCACACAATGCCAGAGCGAGGTATAGATTGCATTCGAGATGGCGGATGCGTCTAGGCGGACACGCCGAAAGTGCGCACAGTGCGGTCGAGGCTCGACACGACGATGCTGCCGTCGCGGTGGTCCCAGTCGAGTCCGGTCAAGTTGGCAGTGCCCTCCAACCTCGCGAGCTGGGCCCACGACTTGTTCGCATACACCGTCACGCTGTCGGTTGCAATCGCGAGGAACTGGAGCGAAGGGTCAAAGCGCACCGCCGAGACACCGCCCTTTCCATCTTCCTCGACACTCATCTTTCCGACCGCGGTGAGCTTGCGCAGGTCCCACACCTCGACCGCCTTGGCCTGGTCGCTGGCCGCGGCGAGGTAGTAGCCGTTCTCGCTGAAGTGCAGCGCGGTGACGGGCCCAGACAGCTCGGTCTGCAGCGTCGACACGTTCTGTCCCGCCTTGATGTCCCAGATGCGGATCGCGCCTTGGGCAGTACCCGTGGCCGCGAGCTGGCCGTCTGGGTGGAAGGCAAAGCTCTCGTACGCGTCACCCAGTCCAGCATCAACGCGGAGCAGCTCGGAACCGTCGTCGAGCGATCGCAGGCTCAACGTACCGTCGCGGCCCGCGCTGCCAAACAGCGCTCCAGACGCATGCACGTCCAGCCCCGTAACTTCGCCCTGGTGCGGCGACACGGTGTGCGCGACAGCATACGCCTGCGCCTTGGCTCCCGTCGCCCCGGTCGGTGTCCACACCTTGACCTTGCCATCTTCGCTCGCACTCACGACGTAGCTCGGCAGCGTAGCTTCGTCGCTCGCGGCTTCCGAGCCGATCGGAGCGTCCGAGGCGCCGGACACAGCCACGCGCGTGATGCGTTTTGTATGTCCTTTGAGCGTCGCCAGTACTTTGTCCTCCTTGCGGTCGTATACCTGCACGTTCTTGTCGTTGCCGCCCGTGACCAGCACGTTTCCGTCGGCGGAAAGCGCGAGACAGCTGACGCCTGCCGGCTTGGCGTGGTGCATCGAGGGCAGCTTTTGCGTTTCAGCAAAGCTGGCGACCGACGACTGCGTGGCATAGCCCTCGGGAGCCTTGCGCTTCGACTTGGCTTTGCGCTGCGACGACAATCGCTGCGCAGTCGAGTCGATGATTTCGACCACCTCGGGGGACAGACCGCTGCCTGCTGCGGCGGTGCTTGCGCCATTGCCAGCAGGTGCGGAATCGGCCATCTCGACGTCGCGCGCCGCTTTGGATGAGGAGGGTCCGGCACCGATGGTGCCCTGGATGCTGGCGAGCGCTTCGCGTGCCTGGTCCCTCTCGTTGAGCAAGCGGGCAATGACGCGTGCACTCGCATCGTTGGCGTAGAGCGCATGCGCCAGTTCCTGTCGCAGGTTATCGTAATGTTTCTTGAGCGTGAAGGTCTCGAGGATGATCGCATCGTATTCGTTCTGCAACGAAGTGAGCAAGGACGGAATCGAGCTGTGTTGCGGCGGTCGGGGAACAGCGGTCTTGGGATCTGCGTTGACATCAAATTGCAAGACATGGTATTGTCAGTTTCATCAACATCACGACGCTGAATGACGAGCGAAGCGTCGTCCCCGGAGATCGGGCAGCAGTATGTGGAAGTGGGGTTGCGCGCATGTGCAGGTGCGTGTCAGACCTCGTGTTGTAGTCGTCGCCCGAAGGCTCATCAACAGCTTCTAGTTGATATGTAGTTTTTTGAGAAAGCGATTTCATCCTATGTGGTTGCACTGCACATGAGCGCGGAGCACTTCGCTTCTACACCCGCGTCTCGAGATCTTCGGTGGCCGGATGGGTTGTGGTTGATGGGGAACTTACTGGACTTGATCTCGATGAGGTCGTCGAGCTCGAGCGCATCGCCGGTCACGGGATCCTTGCCATTATCGTTGATGTACTTGTTAATGAGACGCTGCTCGTAGATGAGGCCGCTCTTTCTAGATACGACGGGAACCTTTGGAGGCTCTCCAGAGACTGTACGAGGAATGACAGCAAGGACCAAGTGGAGAAGAATGGTGAGCAGGTGCGCAAGGACTTGAATCTCTGCAACTCCGAGGTCGCAACTGGACGACAAACTTACTGGCACAGAACATCTTGGGAGCAGCCTGAGCGTGCAACGGCGCTATTGAGCAAGCAAATACGGATGATCGTGGTGGTGCCGAAGCAAGAGCTGCTGTGGAGACGTGGATGACCTTGCGAAAAAACGGCCTAGGCGTGGATGCAAATCGAGCTCTTCGATGTTGGTCGTTGCTTCGCGTCGGGCAATTTTCGCGGCTCGTTTGTCGCGCGAGAGGACGGAAAAATAAAGGTTGAGGTTCAGGCGTCGGCCTAACAAATTCGAAGAAAGCATCCGCTCAGGACTGACCCCGCATTTACCGGCTAGCGTTTAGATCCTCGTCTAGCTCCCGTGCGAAATGGTAGCGTTCAGGCAGTGCTGGTACGGCCGAAGGTCACCTGTCTCTCCCTTGGGGCCCAGGAGGGGTTGGCAGACTTGGCTCTTTCGCCGAGACCCTTTTTCCCCGCAAAACCGCAGGCATGGTTCGCTCCATCCTGCTCTGGATCCGGTACTGCTGTGTGCCAGCATTCTTCCGCATAACGTGAGGTATGGGCTGAGGGAGAACGTGGGCCTGTGGCTCAGCCTCGGTGACACCTGCATGCCTTGCTTTGAAGGTGGACATGGCTAAAATGAAGGCGCTTCTTTTTCTGTCGGCCAGCTCCGATGGGTCGTGGCGTCAGGCAAAAGAGGGCGTGGGAGCCTCACCACCTCACTTCGGAAAGTGGGCCGAGCGGAGGGTGACCGGGGGTTGGCGAAGCGTGACCGGGTATTCCGGCTAGCCCGCCCTTCTGGTCATGGCAACGAAGGTTTGGGGGCGCGCGAGCCAAAGCGCGCGTGTGCCTGGAAAAGTGTGGAGAAGCGGTTTGAGCAGCGCGCCAGACGAGACCCTGCCCTGAGCGCGTCCGGCTGGTCGCCGGCTTCCACTGCCGCCCTTGTGGCTCGTCCGGTCTCGTGTCACCACCATCATCCTTAGCGGCGCTTTCGAATCATCGAGTCGCACTCAGCATCAAGCGTACCCCTTCTCCACACTCTCCAACCAAGCAATTCGTAACGTGAGTTTGACCGCCCTTCGTCACCAGTACAAGCCGCGCCGCGCACGGACCCCAACCACCCGCAGCATTCTTCTGAGTGCCGTTGTTTCGAGCTCTTCCACATTTCGGGCTGTTCTCATTTTACTGGACGACAATATAGGAAGGCAGCTGCTGACCTTCTGCTTCGCCTGCCCACTTTGCACTGCACGTCTTCTACTTGCCGGTGCATACAGAATGTCGACTGTCGTTGCAAAGCCGTCGCCCCTGACGACCAACCCGCTGCTCGTCGGCTACCTCTCGGCGCTCGCCGCCAACCCGCTCCGCACCAAGTAAGTCAGATATCTCTGGTCCCCTTGTGTGCTTGCCACGGCAAGCATTGACCTGTCGGTGCCCTCTCTGCTCCCTTACTCCACAGGATGATCACCTCGGGTGTGCTCTCTGCCTTGGCCGAGGTGCTTGCGGGTCACTTTGCCGGTGTCGCGCCCACCGCCACCAAGACTCCCTCGTCGCTGGATGAGAAGAAGCGTCAGGCGCAGCAGAACCCCGTCGGTCTGCTTCAGGCGTATGCCGCCAAGCTCGGCATCAACGAGCGCGCGCTCAAGATGTTTGTCTACGGCTTCTTCGTCTCGGCACCCATGGGCCACGTGCTCACCGGTCTGCTGCAGAAGGCCTTTGTCGGCCGTACCACCACGCGCGACAAGATCCTCCAGATCATCACCTCCAACCTCACCGTGTCGGTGTTTGCCAACACCGTCTACCTCTCGTGCATGGCCTATATCAACGGCGCACGCGGCGTCGACAACATCAAGAGGGCCGTCAAGGCCGCCTTCTGGCCCGTCATGCGCGTCACCTGGACCACCTCGCCCATCACCATCGCTGTCGCCCAGAACTACCTCCCCGCCGTGGTGTGGGAGCCCTTCTTCACCTTCATCCGCTTCATCCTCGCCACCTACTTCAACACCGTCGCAAAGAAGAAGCAGATGAAGCTCGCACGTCAGGCAAAACAGTCCGAGCTCGACAAGGACCTCGCCAAGGGCGCTGCCAAGGGCAAGTAAAGTTCTCTGTTGAAGTCTAAACACTGCGCAACAACCCCGGTTCCCCTTGTGTACGAATCGAGGTTGTGATTGCGTCTCCCGATGTCCCATCCTCTGGAAGCAATGTACTTGTTTTGCTCATCGTGTCGAATCCCCACACGCTGCAATCCTCAGCCATGAAATGCTCGTACGCTCGACTTCTACCGACTCATCACAGACGCATGATGCAGGCTTGAAACAGTCTAGATTATCCCAACATAATGCATCTGCAGGGCGGTGTGTCTATTCGTCTACGAGTTGGAAGCTGATGGTGGCAAAAGTGAGGTTCTCGTCCGTAGTGCTTCGGAGCGTATACCTCACCGGCATGTCGTGGAACCACTTGGCAACGTTGATCTTGACAGGGCCAATGCCGAGGTTGAACGTGTTGAAGTCCATCGCATCCGTAAAGAACGACGCGCCATACACAACGTCCGGGTCGTAGTGGAAGTCGAGCCGGTTCTTCTCGTTGGCAAAGTGCTTGCGGCGTCGGGGTACGGGCAGCGACTGGGTGGTGAAGATGAACGCGTTGTCTTCGATCATGTCCGTGCCAGGGTCGGCGAATCGCCAGGGTCCCAGCTGCTCATCCAGCTTGGACGGAGGCGCATCCGGCCGGCCTTGTGCACTGCTGCTGCGGCTGAGGTGGGTGTGCGCGAGCGTGTCGGCGAGCTTGAAATCGCCGTCCTTGAGACCGTCGGACTTGGCGGACTCCTCCATCTCGTGCCGAACCGCCGTGGCGATGCGCTCCAACTTGGGCATCTCGGGCTTTTCCGCACTCGTCGAGGCCGCGGCACCCGAGTTGGACGGCGCAGCGGCCGATGGCGTGGGCGCCGGACCGTCAGCTTCGTCGAGCGGCACGGCTACGCCATGCTTGGGCTTCGGGGCTACCAGTGTCGGACCATTTGCGGTACCTTCCGCGGCGTCGTCGTCCTTGACGTCACCAGGTGGGGCAGCAGCGATGTCGCCAGCGCCAATGTCGGCGAAGCTGCCACTTCCAACACGCGGTGAGAAGGGCATGTCCTCGGCGCCGTAGCCGTGGTTTGGGGTAAGGGCGCGATCCGGTGTGCGGTCCATCTCGGCTCTCTTGCCCATTCCGAGCACCGACAGCGTCTGGCCACCAGGGCCATGCTGGACGTCATTGGAGCCGACGCTGGCCACACTGCCCTGTCGTACGACGGTGTGGGTGCTGTGCAGAGCAGCGTCCGTGTCACTGTGCGAGCTGCGCAGCTTGGCATGATGCGCCTCGAGCAGCGCCCGGACGCGCGGGTCGTCCTTGAAGCCGACGAAGCGCCAGTACTTCTTGAGGATGCGCTCCTCCTTGGCATGTCCGCTTCCACCACCGAAGCCGCCGAACCAGCCTTTCTTCTTCTTGGCTGCAGCAGCGGCGGCGCTCTTTTCGCTCTGGCTGCGACTACGGTCGAGCGACTCGCGCGGCACAATGTCTCCCTCGTCCTCATCGCCGCTCGCGTGCGGGCTGGCGACGAGCGCATTCTGCGGGTTGTTGTTCGACTTCTCCGGGTCAATGATGGGCGTTGCGGCGCGCGACGTGTCGGGCGTGTTGGCTCGGTGCGTGTGGCGCAGCACCACCACAGCGTCGTGCGCGCGCGACGGCGCAGGCCACGCACAAAACGTGTTCATGCAGGCGATGTACGGCGACATGATGTACGGCCGGCCCGACTCCGGATGGAGCTCGTAGAAGGTACACGGGTCAATGTACTTGGCGACCTTCATGCCGGCGTTGAAGGGTGCGCGTGGGAAGTCGACAAACTTGTCAAAGTCGGTGCCGAAGAGGATGTCGCTGCCGTTCCAGCGCTGCTTGAAGCGACCCTCGATCTGGATGCAAAACTTGCGCGAGCGGCCCTCAAAGTACTCGCGACCCTGCTCGCCTTGCTTGGCACCGGGTGCGTCGAGGATGCGCACGAGGATGCGGCCGACAAAGTGTTCCGTTTCGATCTCGTGGGGATGCAGGGTATCATTGAGACGGCAGTCCTCCATGTGGAAGCGGTCGGATCCGACCTGAACTTTGAGGCGCGGCATGGTGGATCGGTAGGCTTGACAGGTCCTCTAGCGTAAGGGATGGTTCTAGGAGCAAAGGTGAAGCGGTTCGATATACGGGGCACCTCTATATATTGTCCAGGGACCGCAGGGCAGGTATCGTCTCGACAGCCTCTGAGCTGAAATGGGTATCGCGAAAGGAGGGGTGGGTATGTCTAGCAAGTAGGAGTGGCGCAAAGTCACCGCGAAGAGGGCGGCACGATGACTTCAGGGCGGATATGAAGTAGTGGGGAGGGTGGGTTGGTGATGGTCAGGGGGGATCTAAAAAAAGTGGATGAGCTATTGGTGATGCCGAGGCGGCAAGCAGCAGACGGCAACTGCTTATTGTGTGGAGCGGCACACCGAGCCTTGGTTGCAAGCTTGGCAGCGGCTGCTTCACCTGGTGGTGCATGTTTTTGCATGGGTTCGTGCTCTTTTGGGCGGCGTTCACGATCAGGCCATCATCGGCGCCGTGCAGTTGACTGCATCCGACGTGTGCCGTCGGATCAGTCTAGAGCTCCCGAAAAAATTTGGAAAACCTCATGCACTTCGGTGCTTGCCAGGCCCCACCCTGCATTCAATTCGCCCCTACGCCACTCGTTGGCCATCCGTTGGTTACCGACGTGCATCGTTTGGATCGAGGGCGCAGGGCCGTGTTGCATTCAGCCGCTGCCAAACAAGCTTCCCGAAAGGGCGGCCAAAAAAGGGCGGCCAAGTGTTGATCTTCTCCACTTTCGGCGCGTCATGTCATCGTTTGCGGCGGCGATTTTTCACGGCTGACAAAAAAGACGGCCGAAAGAGTACCACCCGCCCACTTTTCCAGTGGCCCTTTGCGTCACTCTGCGCATGGCCACTTCATGAGCAACGCCGGCGACTGACCCTCTCCCCACAAAGCCACAGGGGAACAATGACACGAGCCTTCTCGGCTCCAACTCGCCGCACACTTCCGCTGGAACGCCGCTCGGATCTGAATTAGAGCTGCATCCAATCCCACACACGTTGCAGGCCGAGTCGTTTGTTTGGACGAGACAATTGGAATTGCTAGGTAACCATGAGAAGCGAGCTGCAATATGTGATCACAGCCGAGAAAGAGAAAGACGGCCTATGTGACAGGGATTCAGAGGGTAGTTGGGCCAGACGATAGCCTTGGGTGGGCTCGAGTTACTGACCGAGGCCCTTGCGGAGGCCGTCGGTGAGGGCCCAGATACCCCACGCACCCGGGTCAGGGGGCATCTCACCCTGGTCCTTGGAGCCGACGTAGGTGGCACGGCCGAGACGAGGAGTCATGGCCTGCGTCTTCTCGGCGCCCACCTTGGAGGCGTCGACGGCCTCAGTGAGCGACTTGCCAGCGCCGAGCGCGCGGCAGAAGGGGTCGAGAGCATCGACCAGCGTACGGTCGCCGGGGCGCGCGGGCGTGTAGCGGCCCAAGTTCTCGAGCGCGTCGAGGGCAGCCTTGCCCCACACCTTGGCATCCGCCTGCGTGCCCGAGGGCTGCGAGAGGAGCGACTGGACGAGGCCAGCAAAGAAGAGCGCATAGATTGCACCCGAGGTGCCGCCCATGGCGTACTCGAGCACCTCGCCGATGGCAATGAGAGTGCCTGCGGCGTTGTCGAGGGGGATCTCGCCCTTTTCGAGAGCCTTCTTCACCTCATTACCCGCCTGGGCGAGCGTCTCTCCGCAGTCGCCGTCACCGACGATGGTGTCGTAACGGGTGAGCGTGGGCTCGATCTCGACCGTAGCGGCGCATGCCGACAGGATGGCCTTCTTCACCAGCTCCTGGTCAGGGTTGACGGGGCCATTCGAGGCGGCGCCCGGGTCGGCGAGACCGCTGACCGAGCCACCTGCCTTGCGCACGGACTGAAGGTGGTCGGCCGCCTCCTTCTCCTCGGCCTTGCGGTCGCGCGGGTGGCCCTGAGCAGAGCCCCAGCCCGACTGCACGCCGAGCCACGAGTAGGCGGTGGTCGGATAGTCGAGCAGCTCGAGCAGGTCCTCGCCCGTATTCTTCTGGAAGCGCTTCTGGTTGATGAGCGAGATGCCAAAGCCAGGCGCGTTGAGCGAGGTCATGTACGGACCGCACAGCACGCGGCAAGGGTGCAGGCTCCACTTGCTCTCGAGCAGCTCGATGGTGAGGTCCACAATGGCGTTCATCTCGAGCTGGCTCATACCGCCGAGGTTGTTGACGAACAGCACGGGCGCGTCATCCTTGTCGAACGGCGTGTAGGCGCGGTCCTCGTCGTCAGGGTTGAGCAGCAGGTCGAGCATCTCGCCAATCAGAGCCTCGGGCTCGGGCTTCTTGTCCATGTGCTTGAATCCGGGCTCGTTGTGGATACCCATGCCGAGCTCGGCGGCCTCTTCGGCAAGCGCACCACGCTCCTCGGCGCCCTTGGGACGGCCGGGAACGTGGCAGTGGTCCAGCGAAGTGCCGATGGACACCATGTTGTCCATGAGGTTTCGGCCAAGGTCGGCGATGCGCTTCACCTCCATGCCCTTGTCCGAAGCAGCGCCGAGGATCTTGCAGGTGAAGATGTTGCCGGCCAGACCACGTCGGCCGACCAGGCCGCCGCGCTTTCGGCCCACGGCAACGTCGTCAGCCACAATAACGGCTTCGACGCCACCGCCCTTCTTGCCCGAGTATGCCATTGCGGCGCGGGCCTTCTCGGCGGCGAGACCGAAGTGCAGACAGTCACCGGTGTAGTTGTTGACGACCATGATCACACCAGCGTCGTGGTTGATCAGGTCGATACCGGAGCAGATCTGGGCAGCCGAGGGGGAGGCGAAGATGTCGCCGGAAATGCAGGCAGCAAGCATGCCCTTGCCGACAAAGCCAGCCTGGGCAGGCTCGTGGCCAGCACCACCACCCGAAATCACAGCAACCTTGTCATTCGGGTGCGAGGGGTCGTAAACAACCTTGTGGGGAGAGTAGCTGCGGGGGTTCACAGATCCATCCGTAGATTGCAAAGGTCGTCAGCATTGGTTCGTCGTGTGGTGAGCTTCGCTGGAACTTACTATCGAAGAGCTGGGTTTTGCGCGACGGTTCCTCGAAGGTTGCGGTCAACGAGGCCGGTGGCGCTGTCAAAAACGTGCTTAGTCGCCATGTTTAGTGTGTATCAGAGCACAATTGCTCGTCACGGATATAGTAGCGGATATGAGGAAAGAGCGACAGCAGCGGCTAGCAGGGTATGTGTAGATGAGGCAGGGAGTGGGAGAGGATTGCTTTTGCAGTTCGGGATGATGGGACTGCGGGATGTGGGGGATAGAGAAGGAGGATGTGGTGGGAGATGCGCTTAAACCAGGATGAGGAGGGGCCAGGTTGGGACCGGAGGTGGCGAACGAATTCGGCTCCTCAGCAGACTCGACTTGCAGCGTGTGTGTGGGGCACGGATCAAGGCACCGTCGCCACCAGCGATGCAAAAAGTTCGAGGCCCGGATCTGCTCACTTCTGCAACGGCCAATCATCCGACACTGGCGAATGGCCACTGGCGACTGGGGCGGGACAGCGAGACGCCGTTGGCCCCACCAGAGCTGCATTCTTGCCCCGCATCCGCTCGACGCTCGACGCTCGAATTCAAAGTGGGGGAAGCGCTCGAATGCGTGGGAGGGACGTGCACAGTGACGGTCGGGCCAAGCCCGAAGAAAGTTGCCGAGTCCCTCTCCAGCCTCCACACCGCGAAATCCAACTTCGAAAATTCCTCCAGGCCCCGAGTTGCTGGTCATTTGCCCCGCCGTCTGAGATAGGCAGCCATTCTCCGCGCCTCCAGCCAGTCAGAAACTCGAGAAGACGCCGCGCTCCGGTGTCTTTCTCGCTTTTCGTATCCTATCTCTCCCTCTCACACACAAAATGTGGTTGAGGCGAAGGCTCGCTGCTGCTGACGGAACGCAGGCCGGTTCGACGCCGAAGAGTCCAGCACAAATCGGCGATCGGCGAAGATTGTGATGGTGGGTGGAACGAAGATGCACACTCTCCCACCACTAAGAGAGCCACGGTACGTAGAATGTCTGGACAAGGCTCACTGCCGGCCAAGCCAGCCTCGGGCGTCGGCAGGTGTCAAGCCGCGATCTCGCCGAGCCTGGTCCGGAAGATGTTTGGCGCGAATCGCAACTTGACGCGGGACTGGACCGGAAAATGAGAGCAGGCGTCGCTCAGGCACCACTCCACCCCATTGTGGGAGAGGGGACGACGCGTCGGCGAAAAGAAATCACCGAGGCCCGTCAGTCGCTTTCGGCCCTCCCACACATCCTCGCTGGCCTTCGACTCTTCGCCACCCATGCGAGGCAGCGACTTGCTCGCGGCTCCCCCACCATTTTCCGGACATGCATGCCGCAACGGGTCGATCGGCCTCTCGTGCCGATGATCCCCCCAAGTCGGATGAGCCCCACGGAGAGCCGATCGCCTGCCATCGTCGCATCTGTCTGCATTGCAAGAGGGGCCGCAACTCCTGCGAGAGCAGTCAGTGCACGACGTGGGGATGACGAGGAGCGACGTTCTTGACAGGTCGCTTGGCCTGTGCATTGACCGAAAAATTTCCTGCTTTACGAAGAACATCTCGGCTGCCGGCCCTGGCCCGCAGGACCTTCGCGTCGCTGCCGTGACAGAGTTCCAACGGAGACTGTACACCGATGAATGCCAATGCACTGTGAGCGACCGCCTCCTCCCCCTCCTCCAAAGGTAGGCCTGACGAAACCAGTTTTGTTCGACCCGCCAACTTCCTTTACGTCCATCACAAGCACCTACTTACTCCACCAATAGCACAAATGTGGACGAACCCAGCAACAGCTGCGCGCGCAGCGCGCGTTCTCCCCATGCTGGCACCCAGCGCCCGTCTGGCCGCGCGAACCTCGGCGCGTCCGTCCGCGGTCGCGCGCGCGTTTGCCAGCTCGTCTCGCAGCATGGCCCAGGACAAGAAGGGCAAGGCCAAACCGCTCGACACTGCGCCCTTCGCCTCGACCAAAGACGACGTTGTGGTGCCGTACCCAGAGGACAGCTCGCGTCATCCGGCTGATGACGTCGGCCACAACACTACTGGCGGTCGTGTCGGTCGGCACACGCAACGAACGCTCGCCAGCTTCTCCATGGAGGGCAAGGTGTGCGTCGTCACGGGCGCGGCGCGTGGCATCGGCAACTTGATCGCACGCACCTTTGTCGAGTCGGGCGCCAACCATGTGGCCATCGTTGACCTGAACGAGGACGAGTGCCAGCACGCCGCGCGCGAGGTCGAGGAGTGGTTCACTCAGCACGGCGGCGTCAAGCCAGGCGAGCTCGACATCCAAGGCTACGGCTGCGACATCTCGGACGAGGCGCAGGTGCAGGACGTCATCGGCCGCATCCACAAGCGTTTCGGCAAGATCCACGTCGCCGTCAACTCGGCCGGCATCGTGGAGAACTATCCGGCCACGGAATACCCCACGCCCAAGCTCAAGAAGCTCTTCGACATCAACATCAACGGCTCCTACTTTGTGGCGCGCGAGGTGGCCAAGTGCATGATGCAGGACCAGACCAAGGGCTCCATCGTCATGATCGCGTCCATGTCCGGATCGGTCGTCAACGTCCCGCAGGCCCAGGCGCCGTACAACGCGTCCAAGGCAGCCGTCAAGCACCTCGCCAGCTCCATGGCCGTCGAGTGGGCCAAGGCTGGCATCCGCGTCAACTCGCTCTCGCCTGGCTACATGCTCACCTCGCTCAGCCGCGCCGTGCTTGAGAACAGCCCCAACGGTAAGGAGCTGCGCACTACCTGGGAGAACCTCACGCCCATGGGCCGTCTCGGCGATCCCGAGGACCTCAAGGGCGCCGTCGTCTACCTTGCAAGCGACGCCTCTGCTTTCACCACCGGAAGCGACCTCATCGTTGATGGAGGCTACACCTCGGTGTAATGCATTACTTGCGCTACCGCCGTAGCCCCAATACAAGACGTTACGAACTTTGATCATGCTATTAATAATATGCCGAACAGTATCCGGCTCAGACAGAGACTTGATGAATAGATCTCCCGACAGCCGCTGGAGGCGCGCACAGCTTGTGCGATCGCGACGGTCATTGTACCGCAGCATGCTGGCAGGGTGTGAGGAGCTTTGATCAGGCTCCGTCGTGCCTGAAGGGCGTGGGTTGGCGCCTGTCGCTGTGTCACGCGCCACCAGCCCTACAGGGTGACGATCGGATCGGGAGATGGGGTTAAAAATGGCGATGAGATCCATAAGGCTCGAAAATGAGCGGAGCCGGATCGGAGAGCGCGTTCTAGGTGGATGTGTAAATTAAGTAGTCGGCCCCTGTGTACAGAATGGCAGCACACCGCACACACTGAGCACGAACCACCTTGGCCTTGCGTCGCCTCGTCCATCATCGCGCCTTTTCGATCCGTCGTTGCCATCCCACACCGATACCCCTACCGACACGATGCGCACGACGTTCGCGCTTGCATCGCTGCTGAGCGTTGCTGCCTGCGCCTCGGCCAGCCGCACTGCATCGCCCGTGCTGGCCTTCACCTCGCAGCAGAGCCCTGCACTCCAATTCGAGGCACCTGCCGACGCCAGCTTCTCTACCTTTGTCAGCTCGCTTTTCGCGGTCGAGCCGTCTTCGGACGCAAAATCGGGTGGCTTTTTGAACTCGCTCTTTGGCGCTCGCCAGAAGCCAGCTGCGTGCGACCTTGGAGCCATCGCGATCGTGCGCCCCGAGAAGCTCGACGGCAACACGTTTGCCAGCCTCCGACACTCGTCGACCAACTCGCTGCGTGCCAGGTCGCTCGAAGCTCCCGAGCAAATCACGTTCAACGCGCAGCCGGAAGTCGACCCTTTCCAGAAGATCAACAGCGCCTTCGCCAAGACATGCAGGCCTTCCCGAATGATTCTGACTAACACCAGTGTGGCACACGACTTTGACTTCTTCAGGTCGCACGACTTGCCGGGCCACAAGCATGCACCGAACTTGCTCGAGCTGCCCGTAGACGACTTGCGAACCCAAGGTATGTTTCCGTAAAATAACACAGAGTGCTGAACGTCGATCACAGCTGACGTTGACGAGCTCCATCCTGCAACATAGAGTCGCAGCTGCTGCAGTTTATCGAGGGACTGGACAACGCTTACCCCAGGAACCTGGTAATCATCCTGTCGCGCGACAACACCAGGACGCACCAGCACTCCAAGCGCCAGGTGAGTGACTCTCATTCACATTCGTCTACGCTCCCAGACTGAGACCTGACCTCTATCGCCATTTCCTCTGTTCCCATACACCTGAATTCATTGTCGTACAGGTCGCGGCATCGCCTTCGAGCTCGGACGACAAGTGGGTCGAGCCGACAGGCGGCGTCTTTGCCAAGTACCAGGTATGTTGCCACACGCAGACTACTTTCGACGAGTGCCGTCTCCTGACCATACAACTTTGAATGAACGACACTGCTTTTGTTGGTCTAGCTCTTCTCGACACCCCTGCTTCTCGTGCTGCTGCTCGTTGGCGGCGTGCTGGTGCCGATCGTGTACTTTGCCGTCGCCCAGCTCGCGCAGGTGCAGACACCCGACCAGATGGGCGTGCGGAAGGACCCCATCTCGGGCGACAAGAAGACGCAGTAAATCCACATCCACTGTCACCATCCACGTCGGAGTCCATTATTCTTCCCTTCTCGCTCGCATAGTTACAAGCAAACACCAGAATCCTAAGCACGGTACAACGACCTTTGCATGACGAGAGCTGGTTCTAGTGCGTCTTGTGTTCGGTTGCAATGGATACAAAGTAGGAAATTTTACAGGGACGCATCCGTTTGAATGGGTCCTGGGGATCAGTGGGGGAGGGAGGAGGGGCCTGGTTGAGCGACTTTTTCATCGGTGACGACCTGCGAGGCCTGGAGACGGTTCTGGAGCTTGAGCTGCTTTGCCTCGCGCATGCGGATGGCACGCTGCGACTCCCAGACGGTGTTGCCGTTCCATCGAAGCGCCAGACGACCCTCCCTCCAGATCTGGTACCACAGATAGCCAGCCACGGCGAACCAGTATCCAATGTACATGAACACCGAGCCGTAGGTGGCGGTGTTGTTCCAGCCGACGAGCGAGTTGAGGATACCCCAACCACTACCGCCCTTGTTGGCCTCGGGGTTGCAGCAGTTGAGGTGCCAGATGTAACCCTGCGAGTTGTACGAGCCGGGACCATCGCCCGACTCGGCGGCCGAGTCTCCGACCAGACGCACATAGGCATAAAACTGAAGATAGTATACTGCGCGACTGGCCATGCCCGAGGCGATGAGCAGGAGGAAGCAAGTGGAACCGACGAGGAAGATGCGAACGGACAGCACGTTGCCCGAGCGGAAGATGAGGTAGCCGATCAGAAGACCCACGCCGAGTCCGACGATGGCCGGGAGAGGGATCGAGGTAGCGGGAAGACCGAGCGAGACACCGCCGATGAACACGACACCCTCCAGACCCTCACGAAGCGTGGTGATGAGCGGGATGGTGAAGAGCGCCAGCGTACCGCGGTTCATCCTGAGCTTGAGATCGCTGACCGCACCGGAAGGCTTGGAGAAGAGACCACGCAGACCTCGACGCGGACGCGATGCCTGGGCGCTCTGAGACATGGTGGGCACGACATCGACCGCCTCGAGCGGGTTGAGCTTCTCGGTGGCGGTGGTCTTGGGGTGCGCCTCGTCGTCGCCGCTAGCGTTGGCAGCACGACGCGCCGATGATGAGGAAGAGGAAGCGGTGTCGTTCGAGGAGATGCCGCGGTTGACGGCGGTGGACTCGCCCTCCTCGTCGCGCAGACGGGCGGGCTGGATGTGGCGGTCGTTGAAGGCACTCTCGAGCTTGCGCTTCCACTTGCGCTTGCTGTTACCGGCGCGGAGGATGGCGAGCGACATGGGCGTGATGAGGAGCACGGCGACGAGGTTAAAGATACCCTCCCAAAGCTCCTCTGCCTTGCCGTACAGATCGTTGACCTGCGTGTAGAAGACAGCCAGGAAGGCGGCACCGATAGCAAAGGCAATGAGCAGACCTGTCAAAGCACCGAGCAGAACCTGCGTGTCGTCACATTGGTAGCGTAAGAAGAGAGCATGGGTGTTAGCATCGAGTCGAAGCAAGCAACCGAGCGGGACGAGGCAGGCTACTTACGACTTTGCGAAGCTTTCGAACGATGGTACGGCGCTTCAGATCGGCCTGTTCGCGCTCGTGGTCGGTGAGCGAGGCCTCGTCGCGCAGATCTTCGGCGGACTTTGTGTGCATGACGAGGTTCTCGAGCATACCCGAGAGGATGCCGATGACGAGAGAGGCCTCGAGAGCCTCCCTGGCGGCGATGAAGAAGATCGCCGGAGCGAAGACCTTGTTTCCGACGGCCATGTCTGATGACTAGTGGCTGGGAAGTTATGAAGACTGGAGGTGTGACGATGGAGGTCGAAAGCCTAGATGGGTTTGCGAGCGGACGACTACGTGTTGCACAAGGGGAGGCTATGTGGTGCTGCCTCGGGGTAGAGGTACGTGCTTAAAGGCAGGGCCGACAGCAGTCCCAAAGGCAGAAGAAAAAGAATTGAGGCCTTGTGTAGGGCGGAGCGCCTTGTCTGATCTGATAAGCGACGAGTCGGGAAGATGGAGCCGGGCGGGAAGCGACAAGATTAAGCGCGGCAGAGAAGCGTCTGAGAGCAGGACCAGCGAGGCGTCAGTGCGAGGTGAGGGCGAATAAGACGAGGACGTGAAGAGCAGCACGGGTGACTTCGGAATGAAGAGGACGAATGAGGCTTTGAGACGGCGAAGGCGCTGTCACAAGACGTCGGGATGCGATGGCTATTGTGAGTAGCGGTGAAAGAAGAGGTCGGGAGAATGCGAGGTTCGGGAGTTAGCCAGAAGGGGAGGCGCAAAGAAGGTTGGGTGTGGGAGCGACGAGGGAGGGAAGAGGAAAAAAATGTGCAGGATGCAGTCGAGGTTGGGGGAGCGGAGGGGCGATGCGGGTTATCAGATGAGAGAATCTCGAGGGCGATACTCAGGCTCGGTCCGGCCGAAGTTACGATCGTAGCCTACACCGCACAGACATCGGACCATCCATTCCGCCAAGCATTCGGCACGGTCCCGCCTTGCCTCATTGTTCTGTTGCCGACGAGCATCGCAATGGGGGAGCAAGTCGAGGGAGTACGGCAGTGACACACTGGAAAGCTGTAGCTGTGGTCTGAGGCTATTTCGCTTCCAGCACAAGCCACAAAAGGGGACGACGAATAAGACGAGTCGGAGCAGCGGCAGAAGCGATGTGACCGACCAAAGTTCGGGAGCAGCCGGCCGAACAGACTCTGTCTGCGCAGGGCAGAGGAGCGAGCAAGCTCAGGAAGCGGGCTGCTGGTTTATCAGATAGAAGGAAAAAAAAACGCGCTAGAGCAGGTACCACGAGCGGCCACAGGTCTGAACCGAGGCGGCGGCGACCCTTTGCTGCACCCTCTTGCCACACGAGGCACCGACCCACGGTCCAGCCAGGAGCCGCATAACAAAAGAGGAAAAGGCGGGCGGGCCTGGCTGGAAACACTTTCAAAAAAAAGTTCGATATGCAAAGCGTGCATGCCTTTTCACCAGCCGCAGGACGGACGCTGTGACTCCGACGGCTGCAAACGCTCGCTCGGTGCGTGCGCTGGAGCCGTGGGTTTGGCGGGCATGGCGCTGTCCATTGTTGTAGCCTGAGCCGCCTCTTCCGCCCCTTCTTGTCTGTCCTCGGGAGCGGCGTGCCTGCCTCACCAACATTCCCATCCGCTTGGCAAGACATCACGCTCGCCGGTAGGATTCCGATGCATCGTTCGCACGCTCGCAGAGAGGGAGGCAGAGGGGAGAGTGAGTTGCGTGACTCGCCTGGATCGAGGCGGCGGAGTGGGGATGGCTGCGACGGATGGGCCGACTCGCCAAACAAGCTCAGATGTGATTGGCCAGGGCGCCACCTTTTTTTTTTTTTTTTTTCTTGTTTGTGTTCTTCTTCTTGTAGGCGAGCTGTCGGGCTGCCATGCATTAATTGCTCGCCTCGTGAGGAGCCGCCGCTTTTTGGCCGTCCAGACCGCCTTTCGCGCTCGGTCCACGCCAGGAGGAGAGAGAAAGCAGCGCAGAGGCACTGGAGCGCTGTAGAGCCCCCTCTTATCTGATCCGATCTGATACACTGCTACCACTCTATTTTTTCATCGTCTTCTTTCTCTGCTCTGTCTGCCTTCGACTCCTTCCCCCACCCAAGACAACGGTGCACTGCTCCGGCTTGAGCTGGCCCGCATTGTCTTCGGCCCTCTTCACCACGTCCGCTGCCGAGCTTCTTCAATCGAGTTTGAGCTCAACCTTGTTCGGCTCTGGCTCGCCGCGACCCCCACTTCCTGTCCCTCGCTGCTCCGCCCCATTCATTCCCTCTTTTCATCCACTCCTGGCCAAAGCCGACATCCTCCCATTGGATGCCTATGTCTCGGCTCATTCACGGTCTCACTCGCTATACTCACCAGCTTCACCGTCCAATCGTCTTCCTCGACCCTTCTCCCGCTCCTTCCCGAACCGCACCTCTCTAGACCGTCTACGACAACCACCTGCGCCAACCTCGCCCTGCACCTTCTGCGCCACGCCGACCTCGCTTCCGCTTATCAGATCACCTGCTCTCTTCGCGCTCGATCAGCTGCACTTCCTTCTCCGACACGGCGCTCCACCGGCAGGTCTCTCTCACCGGACGCTTCAGACATCTCCCTCGCCTCGAGCCTTCCGCACGCCGGAAGCACACCTCTGAGGATCTTGCCGAGTCTCTGATAAACCGACAGTCAGTCCATCCAAGGAGCCATATTTCCCTTCAAGGAACTCGCTCTTCGCTCGTCGTTATCCTCATCTCTCCTTCCGTCCCTCCAAGTCACGCTCCTCCATCGTCGCGACGATATTCATACACGATGGTGCGAGCAACAACTAGCGCAGCTCTGCCAGCTGTGGCCCTGCTCGCCTCCTCGCTAGCATCGCTTATCCCTGCAGCGAGTGCCGCCACCGTCGAGCACCACTGGAACATCAACTGGATTCCCGACGTCAACCCAGACGGTCTCTTGCCCAGGCACGTCATCGGCGTCAACGGCACATGGCCACCCCCCATCATCAACGTCAACGCCTCCGACACCCTCCGCGTCACGGCCACCAACAACCTCAACACCGGCGTCGGCACCTCCCTTCACTCCCATGGCATGTTCTTCAACCGCACAGGCTACTTTGATGGCGCCGTCGCCATCACCCAGTGCCCCATCCCTCCCGGCGAGAGCTTCACCTACGAGACGCTCAACTCGCCTGCCTCCCCCGCCGACCGTCGCAAGCAGATGGGCACCTTCTGGATCCACGCCCACAACAACGATCAGTACACCGACGGTCTGCGCTCGCCCGTCATCATCCACCCGGACGACCCGGCGGACATGCACTTCAGCTACGACGACGACTACACCGTCATCCTCGGCGACTGGTACCACTCCAACTACACCGACCTCGTCAAGAACGAATTCATGAACCGCAAGAACCCGACAGGTGCCGAGCCCGTGCCCAAGTCCGGCCTCATCTACTTTGCCCACACGCCCAACACCACCACCGCTGCCACCTACCTCCCCGGCTTTAGCGAGAACGCCACCCTCCCCTTCGAGGCCGGCAAGACTTACCGTCTGCGTGTCATCAACATGTCCGCACTCGCCGCCTTCTACTTCTACCTCTCCGGTCACGACATGCAGGTCATCGAGATTGAGGGTGTCGACGTCGAGCCCCGCCCCGTCGACTTCCTCTCCCTCGCCGTCGCCCAGCGCTTCAGCGTGCTCGTCAAGGCGCGCAACGACACCTCGCCTCAGAACTGGAAGCTCCATGCCAACATGGACGAGGACATGTTCGACGTCGTCCCTGAAGACCTTCAGCTCAACGTCACCGCCACCATCTCGTACCCGAACGCTCCCAAGGGCGAGTTTGGCCCCGAGAAGATCATCGAGGAGTACACTTACTTTGACGACCTCCAGTTCACACCCGTCAACGCCGAGCCCATGGTCCAGCCCGACGCTACTCACCGCCTCGACGTCTCGTTCGACACCATGTCCGACGGTGAAAACTACGCCGCCTTCAACAACATCTCGTACGTGGCGCCCAAGGTGCCTGCGCTGTTCACGTCCGAGTCAATGGGTGCTCTGGCCTCCAATCCCGCCATCTACGGCCCCAACGCCAACGCCTTTGTCTTCCAGCACAATGACATGATCGAGGTGCAGCTCTTCAACTGGGACGCAGGCAAGCATCCCTTCCACCTGCACGGCCACCATTTCCAGGTGGTTCACAAGTCGCAGGACGTTACGTCGGACGACCCGACCATCAACCCACCCTTCAACGCCTCGCAGGTCAACCCCATGCGTCGCGACACGGTCGTAGTGCCTCCTGGTGGCTCGGCGTACCTCCGATTCCGCGCTGACAACCCGGGTGCCTGGTTCTTCCACTGCCACATCGACCCTCATCTCGTGTCGGGCCTCGCCTCCATCTTTATCGAGGCGCCCGACGTGCTCTCCAACGACTACCTCAATGTGCCCAGCTACATCAAAAACCAGTGCCAGGCCCAGGGCATCGCCACCACCGGCAACGCCGTCGGCCTCAACTCCACCACCGACTTCCAGGGTCTCAAGAAGGGCCCTACCTATCTCGAGTCGGGCTGGACAGGGCGCGCGATCGCTGCCTTTACCGGCTGCATCGTCACTGGCCTGCTCGGTCTCGCCACCGTCGTCGTGTATGGCTGGCACTCGGGCGAGGACGAGGACGTCGACGACGATGAGGACGACAAGTGAATCTCCCGTCACCGAGGGGTCTGAGACCTCCAAATCTAGAGGCGCACAGAAGGCGCGTGCGACACACTCAAAATGTAATAGCATTGTATACAGATATGGCAAATGCAACCGTTCGTATGCTCTTTCTTGCGCATGTGTTCGCGAGGTTCAATCGCGGAAGCTTGCGTGTCTGGAGCAGTACATAGAGGGGCTCGATCGCGCGTGTTGTTGAGCTTATCCATGGCGTGGGGGCGAGCTTGGACTGAATGAGTATCCGCGCGATGGAATGCATCCGTGCACGTATGAGGCACGACGCACGCTCCCCTTGCTCTCAAGAGTGTCATTACGCGTCGGCATAGAGATCATCAGTCGCGCGATCCGTGTTGCGCTCGCACGCACCTTGAGCTTTGTTTGGCTCGACCTCAAGCTCGTCTTTGCAGTTGTACATGATCTTGTCTTTCCCACGGCTCAATTCCCTTGCAACGAATGAGACAGCGGCACTAGCGGTGCAAATGTACTACTCAGCTCCTCCTTTGGACTGGTTCGAATGTATAAGAAGACCAGCGCAGCGGCTATCTCCCCCTTGTCGTCTGTTCCTCCCAACTCAAACTATTTTCCTACTCCAACATGACCAGATTCTTTATTGTGCTGTGGGTCTTCGTGGCCTGTCTCGGTCTAGTCTCGTGCCACGGAGACAACTCCACTGCCAAAAGACACAGTGGCGTACGAGCGAGGCTCTGGGGTCGAGCCATGCGTGTATGGACGCCTCGGCAGGGTCCTGCTCGACGCTCTGTCTCGGAGCACGGCTCCATGCCCGAGCCCTTCCTCGAGACCAGCTTCCCTGGTTGGACCTTTGACAACATCTACAACGTTCCCCACTGGGATGGCGGTGACAAGGCCACCTGTCCCGCCCCCGCCAAGTCTCTCCCTGCAACCAGGTCCAAGACCATCCAAAAAGGTTCCAAGCAAGAATTCGTCCAATTCTGTCAACATGGCAACACTCCCGCTCGTATTCCCGATCAGAGCGTCTGCATCACCAAGCCTCCCAAACTCGCTCCAGGCGGCAGGCATGTCAAGCGTCAGGAAGATGATTCCGACTACGAGGCTCGCATTATCGCTGCTAGTCTCGCCACTGCCGCCGAGGATGATGCGGCAAATGATGATGCGGCGCTGTCGAAGCGCACACCGCTCGCAGCTGCGCCTATGATGGGCATGATGGGTGGCGGCGGCGGCGGAGGAATGTCAACCTTTATGCCGCTCATCAACACCGGCATTGACGCTGGAAGCAAGCTCGGCGTCGCCTTTCTTCAGTATCTCACGCAGAGAGAGAAAGATCAAGCCGAGGCAAAGAAAGCGGATCCACTCGCCGGGGCTAACAATTCCACAGCCAGTGCGACAGAAGCTGATCCATTGGCCGCTAGCGCAGATTCGTCCGGTGGAAGCGCATCTCTTTTGAGTCCTGCCACGAGCAGTGCTGGTGGAGCATCTGGCTCGAGCCCTGGTGCTAGCGGCTCTGACACCGGTGCATCGGGCGGTGCTGTTTCGTCGGATATCACAGGCACGGCTGCATCCGACACGACGTCTCCTCAGCCAGATGCAGACTTGCCGAGCAAGGTCGGAGGTACGGCATCAGCAAAAGGTAACAGCGGTGACACTGGATCCGAAGACACCGGACCAAGCGAGGCCGGCGACTCCGGGAACCCCCTGGCAAAATCTTCCTCGGCTGGCGATGTCGTCGGCTCGTCAGCTGCTAAATCAACGCCTGGCGGTCTGAAGTCCGTCGGCTCAGCAATTGGCAGTTCGACGTCGGACGATGCAGACGACCTTTCTGGCACGTCGATCAAAGCGAGTCTTCCACAAGCTGGATCGTCAGCCGGTAGCTCGAAAGTTGGCGGCTCGACACTTGGCAGCTCCGCAATTGACGGCTCGGCTGATGTCGGCTCAGCACTGGGCGGCTCAGCCGTTGGTAGCTCGAAGGCCGGAACTACCGGTCACGCAGCATCCGACTCCCTGACGATCAAGAGCAAGCGCGACGCTACCCCGCACCCGGTCACGCATTCCGACTCTGCCGCGCCTGGATCGTCCTCAAAGTGCGGCGGCTCTGCGGTGCAGTGTAAGAAGCTCATCGAGCGCTCCATTCCCTACTGTGTCCCGCACAAGCCCGCTCCGGATGCACCGCCGCACACTCACGATGACGACGATCCGGACGCGGTCCTGTCGTCGCAGATGGTGGGTACCATGATCCGCGTCATGGCACGCCACTGCCTGCGCAAGTGCCCCGGCTTTGCCGGCCTCGCCAATTCCGACCACGACTTCAAGAGCAAGACTGAGAAATGTGCGCACGACACCAAGCTCTTCAACAAGTCAACGGCGCACTCGTCCAAGCCTGCGCGCAAGCATGCTGCCACGCCCGAACATGCTCCCATATCCAAGCCTTCCAAGCTCGAGCATGCTTCGGAGCCCAAACAAGCCTCCACGCAGACTCCTGCGTCAGACACAGCCAAAGACGAGGCAAGCCCCATGTTCAAGCGAGCTGTGACACCTTCTCGTCAGCCAGAGCAGTGTCGTGGTGGCTACGAGGCTGTGTTCCGCAACGCGCTGCAGCCCGTCTCTGCCTATAACGGCCAGCTCTTCGGCTCGGTCGTTTCGGATCCAGGCTCGTTCCTGCACTGGGGTCTTGTTCGCAGTGTCGCGCAGTGCCAGCGTGCATGCGACGAGACCCAAAGCTGCGTGTTTATCAACGTGTACCAGCAGACGTTCAGCCTCGACCATCCCAACATTCGGCTCGTCAATCGCGATGTCGACGACGAGGTCCAGCTACGCAAGCAGTTCGCTGGCCAAGCCGAAGCCAAGAAGAACTCTTTCGTAGAAGGACATTTGACATGTGCGCTGTACTCGCGCTGCTTCCGCGCTTGTCAGGCAACCCACCGCAGCGGAGAGAATCCGGTCTTCTTTGAAAAGTCGATGGGATTCTGCAAGTCAGACAAGTGCAGTTCCGCCACTCAGTTCTCGCACTAGATCGATGCAATCCAGGACTCCGATTTGGAATTGCAAGTTGTTTTTGAGCAGCGGTGTGTGACGAAAGACGAAGGATGAGATGAGGAGGTTTAGCGACCGCAGATGCCGGAGCCGCCAAGCGAGCTCGATGGGTAGTAGACAGCAGGCTGGCCGCCGGTAAGCTGAATGGTGACGGTGCCGCTCGTTCCGACGGTGATGGTCTTGCACGAAATGACATCCTGCAGCTGACCCGAGGGCAGCGAGCTAGCCTGCACGTAGAGGTTCTGGGTAGCGCCCGAGCTTCCCGCCGACGAAAGCGCCACGACCATGCCGGCCTTGCGGAAGACCCAGGCTTGGCTGTCATCGTACACGCTCGTCAGCGGCGTCGTGATCGGGTTGTTGGTCGTCAGACCCTTGACGGCCTTCCTGAGCTTGTTGACCTTGGCGATGTGCTGGTACATCTCGGACTGGGTGTTGTAGTTGCTCGTCCACAGCGCCTCGCGGTTGTACGGGTCGTTGCCGCCGTTGAAGCTCTGCTCCTGTCCGTAGTAGATGATCGGAATACCGTCGCCGGTGAGGAGGTAGGTGATGGCGTTCTTGGCAAGCGCCCGGTCGCTTGTGAGCGAGGGGAAACGAGGCTGGTCCTGGTTCTCGAGGAAGTTGGTCAGCAGCATCGGGTCCTTGAACTGCGAGCGGATGGTGTTGATCATGTTCTTCATCTCGGTGAAGCCCTGTGCAGGCTTCTGGAATGCACGAGTGAGCGGGTAGAAGATCGGGTAGTTGAGAATGCCATCCATGACGCCCTGGTATGGCGAGACGTACGCCGGGTCGCCCGAGAGCACCTCACCCGTGCAGTAGACACCGGCATTCGAGTTGAAGCCCGGCCAGAAGTCCTTGCGGACGTGCTTGACGGTGTCGACACGCAGGCCGTCAATCGAGTAGTTGCCAACAAGACTCTTGACCCACGAGTAGAGGCCGTTGTACACGGTGGGGTTCTCGGTGTTGAGGTCCGGAAGACCGTCCGACTGCGACGAGCCGAGCCAGCACTGCTCGACGTTGGTCTGGTTGTTGTAGTTGCTGATGGTGCAGAAGGGGTGGTAGTGGGACGGCTGGTTGAACGGCTTGTAGGCGCTTGGGTTGTTGCTCGCATAGTTGCCGTTGACCTGTTGACCCATGTGGTTGGCAACGACGTCGACCATGAGGTACATGCCGCGGGAGTGCAATGCCGACGAGAGCGCCTGCAGGTCCGAAGTCGATCCAAAGTGCGAGTTGATCGAGTAGAGGTCCTGCGACCAATAGCCGTGGTAGGCGTTCTGCGAGTCGACGTTGGTGACGACGGGCGAAATCCAGATGGCATCAAAACCCATGTTGGCGATGTAGTCGAGCTTCGAGATGATGCCCTGGAAGGTGCCTCCGCAGTAGACGTTGGTGCCTGCGCCGCACGAAGAGGGCGTGACGCCGTTGGCGACACCAAAGCGATCGGTGACAATCTGATAGATGGTACGTGTCTTCCATGCAGCAGGTGTAGCAGCATCCACACTGCTGCCCATGAGGGCGACCGAGGCCGCCAGCAGCGAGCCGATCTGCGCGAAGTGCATCGGGTTCAAAGAGATGAAGGAGGATTGAAGAGAGCCTTGAGGTGTGGGAGTAGAAGGAATGAGACCGCTCGAAGCTTAGTACACTTCACGAGTGGGTTGAAGAAGGGTTGGAGCCGTATCGAGCTTGTAAGGCGGCCGCTTATATGCCCTGGAGCTGCTGCTTGCGAGCGGAGCTTGCGGCGACGCCGAGGGTACACGGAGGATCCTCTAGTAAGTATGTTGCGCCTCTCTGTCCGCTAGCGCAAGAAGAAGCAGAGTCACGGCATAATGCAGGAAGCAGAAGAACTTCATGCTGGTCCTTCCTTATCGGGATAGATCTCAGCAGCGCATGAAGCGACCCCCCACAGTTGCTCCGAAGCTCTTTGCCGCAACGATGTTGATCGCCGAGGCATCAGTGGGCCTCATGCTCGTCCTCGTAGAGATCTGCGGTTCACGCGGAGGATGATGGTCCTCGACATGCAACCATGCTGCAGCTTTCCAAGCTAGTGGGCAGCATCTCGCGTCGGCGTGCGGGGCTCCGTAAGCTCGGTTAGGGCAATTGCGCCGAATTTTTCCTTCCGACCCTCGAGTCGGACGCGTCGCTCGAAAAAAAGGGACGTCGGTGCGGCAACTCTGGCCATCGCTTGGGCGAGATCGTTGGACGGAACGAAGGTGGGGATTCCACATCATTCCGGTGCTACGCTGTTGCGGGGATGCGGGGATGCAGGTATGGATAGCCGTCGGATCGGAGCGCAACGCAGCATTGCATCGCCGAGCGGACGAATGGGCGGAGCCTCTCGGCAGGAAGATCCTCGGTAGGTTAAAGGCCTCACTTTTTTGACAATTCCGGGTGACAGCCGACTTTTTTTCTCCCCTCGAGCCACTTTGTTCATCAAATTCCGCCGCTCATCAACACCCACGCACCAGCGATGCCGTAGATCGTGAAGCTGCACCATTCATGCACAACACAAAACCTCGTCTTCACATCTGCGGCCATAGAACCTTGAAAGCACCGCATCCCGTCCGATCTGCGAAGTTAAGCAAGGTATCGCCTAGTCAGTACTGCGGTGGGGGACCACGCGGGAATCCTAGGTGCTGCAGTTCCTTTTTTTTTCTTTTTCTTTTTCCTCATCTGCTTGGAGGGGCGCAGAATCGATCATGATCAAGCGAGTAAAGCCAGACGGAGTAGCGGTCGTGACAAAGCATGCATTCATTGCAGGTATCATCGGCTTCATACCTTTTCGGTGGCCTGCGAGGGTGCAGTGGAATCGACCGTGTCCTGCTGAGACTCTGGCGTCGGGCTCTGAAGCTGCTCTTTTTGGTTTCTGGCGCGTACGTAGCGCCAGCTCAGGCAGAGCATGAGCCCGCTCGCGATAAACATCGCGCCGCAGAAGCCGATGGAGATGAGATATGCGTCGGCGCCTGTGCGGCCGAGGCTGTTTTGCGAGTGGTTGATGAATGCCACGGCGATCGGCTGGCCGAATTGAGCCGGCAGCACCGTCGCGAACCAGAACACAGCCAGTGCCGAGGGCAAGTCGCGGATGCCGACGACTTCGGCCGAGATGGGCGCAACGCTGCTCCATACCGTTCCGCCGAGCAGACCCTGGGTGACGGCGAAGACGACGAGCAGAGCGAACCCGCGCGCGGGGAGCCAGAACGCGAGGCAGGTCACGCCTGCCAAGATCTGGATCAGGATCGTGCACGGATGACGCCCGATCAGATCCAGCAGGAATCCACATAACGGTCGGCCCACCATCTGTCCTGCCGCGAGGATCGACTGAAGCGTCGATGCCTGTTTCTGCGTCAGGCCCAGTCCGGACGATGCGAAAGCCGCCAGCGAGTACAGCGCGACAAAGTAGCCGATCATCGAAAAGACGCCAAAGAGGAGCACAAAAGAGTAGCCCGGGTGGAAGAACCACTTGAGCTCGAGCGGGTTTTTCTTGATACGGACTGTCGGCGCGTCCGCCGCCTTCTGCTTGCGGAGCTTGGAAGGAATGAAGTGCATCGGTTGGGATTCGGTCGACTTCATCAGCGTGATACACGGCAGCAGCACGACAAACGACACGATGCCGTTGCAGATGAGCGCGTACTTGAGCGACTTTTCCTGGATCAGGTAGCGCGTCGTGTTTGCCAGCACCAGACCTCCCATACCGCTTCCTGCAGCTGCTACACCCTGTGCATAGCTGAGCTTGCGTCTGAACCACTGACTGAGCAGCGGCTGCGTTGGGATCATGGTGAGCCCGAGCCCGATGCCGAACACCAAGCCCTGGGTGAAGAGCAGCTGGATGTACGTCGTGCAGAAACCGGCACCCACCTGGCCGAGCGAGATGAAGATCATGCCCAAATACAGTGGCGTCTTGAACCAGCCGGACGAACGCCAGAGCAGATTGACGAACGGAGCAACCAGCATGCAGCTGGCTACCGAGAGGCCGCCAACGTATGCGTATCGCATCGGCGTGGCGCCTTCGAAATAGTCGTTCCTAAGGTAGAAGGAAAAGTAGATTCCGAACGTCGTGTTGACACCCCAAGTTGCGGCATTGAGCAGGAAACCGCATACCACGTTCACCCATCCATATCCGCCCTCTCGGATGGTGAACTGCGAGTCGGACAGCACCACATTTGTCGTGGTGGACAGATCCACATTCTCTTGGTGGCCATCTGCGGCCTCTTTGCGTTCGGATGTCGTTGTCGTTGGCAAGGGCGGCACTGGCACGCCATTTGTAGAGAGCGACATTGTATGAATCGGCGTACTTGTTGTGTCTCCACGCCGCCCAAGCGCAAGGCTGAATTGCTGCGATTTGGTTGTTTAACCGTTTTGCCAGGGTTTGCTCCGCGCTTCTTTTTCGTTAGCCTTTGGGATGTCTCGTTGCGATCATCTATCGGACAGAGTTGGTGACAACAGGTCGTGAGGGAGGTGGTGGACAAGTGGCAGGGTGTAGTGGTGTGCGGGGATAGTCAACCCCGCACCGCTTGCTAGTCAATTTGGTGCCGTCGTTGCCGAGCGATCCGGTGACCGTGGCGTTTTCAAGCCGAACCTGCGGTGTCAAGGCGCCGGCCAAGACCCCGAGCAAGGAATTTAGCCGAAAAGTCCACAGGCACGCGAACGATGTAACACCATCACGGTCGCCCTCCGCGGTGTTTGGCCATTTTCGCGCTGACAGCTGTCATGGTCCTGATCGGTCCACAGCTTTGTCTCACGGTCGACTCAAAGTCAGAGAGGCGCACACTAGAAGAGGGCGTCAATGACGACAAGAAAGCAAACGTGCGAGCTGAATTTCAAAAGCGCTGCGAAAGACAGAGCAAGAAAGCAACAATGCAAAGCCCATGACAATGATGACCGAAACGAAAATGCGAAGCAAGACCCAACTATCAATACAGCGACCAGTCTTGGAGGTGAGGGACCGACGCCTCTGTGTCTGCCCATGTGTGCAGAAGCAGACGATTGAGGGGTCCCTGGAGCTCTAGTGGTACGATTTTGCAGCGTGCTTAGTGGTTGAAGCTAGCAGGCTTGTCCTGGATGGGGATCTCCTCCGAGGTGTGCTCAAAGTCGTCCTCCGCCGTCGAGGTTTCGGAGCGGAGGCTGCGGCGAGCCGAGTTTCCGGTCCAGATGTACCAGTAGGCGAGGTCGCGCAGGCTGCCGTCGCCGTTGAAGAGCGCGTTGAGGCGCGAGCCGTACGCGTCCGGAGGGCTCGAGTAGGGGAAGCTGCCGAAGTTGGAGGTGCGCTCCACGTACGACTGAGAGTTGAGCCAGTTGGTGGCGTCGATGTGGAACTGCTTGATCTGCTGCTGGCTTCCGCCGGACGCAGAGGTGACGCCGTACTCGGTGATCCAGATGGGAAGGCCGAAGCGGTTGCGCACCGACGTCACGTACCTCTGCAGACCAGCGAGGTCCGCCCACGAGCCGTACCAGTGGATGGCGATAAAGTCTGTTGTCAATAGACAAAAGCTCAAAGCGTCAGCATCTGATCCAAGTTCGATCAAAAAGAAGCATAACTCTTCGACAACCGTGTCTGGCTTGTTGAAGCTCAAGCTTGATTGCGCTGTTGATGCCGATCGACGGCCTGCGCACGCGCGTGTGCGCATGTTTAGAGTTTTGCTTTGCAACAAGGTACTTACCAACAGTGCAACCCTTGCTCTTGCAGGCGCTCATGAACGAGGCGAGCCAGTCCTGGTTCCACACGATCTGCGGGCTTCCGAGACGGACGCCGCGCTTCTTCCACGGCTGGATCTCCTGCATCCACAGGTTGGCAGCGGTCTGCGGGTCCAGGTTGGACTGGCCGCTGATGTCGGGCTCGTTGAAGCCAAGGAGCGCTTTGGGAGGGTTGGCGTTCATCTCGTTCTTGCGCTGGGCCCACTGCGAGTTGTACTTGGGACCCCAGTAGCAAGGCACGAACTCGAGGATGCCGTTGAAGCGCGAGTTTGGACCATCCTGCCAGTGCCAGTACCACTTGATGAGGCCCTTGGCCACGGCGGGACCCCAGTTGTCGTTAGTGCCCCATGCCAGGCCACGCTGAGCAGCGTGGGCGGAGAGTGGCAGCATCGCCACGAGGGCGAGCAGGGAAGAGAGGAGGAGTGCGAGGAACTTCATGCCGGAGTTAGGTATATGTTGGACCGAGGGGATGCTCTGTCCAGCAGAGGGGGCTCGGGTGGTATCTTGGTATAGAAGGAGGAAGGAGGAGGAGGATGTCTTTGGTGGGCGGAGATCCGTGGTCTGTCGAGCAGGGCGGGCGTACTTATACCATCTGCAAGAGGTGCGACAGGCACAGGCACAGGCACATCATAGCTCGCAATGGACGGCACAAAGCCATGGGGGACATGGCAACAGAGCTTGAGGGGACACCGAGCTTGTACGCCGGTGTATGGCTGTGGTTGCGCCATCGGAGCAGATCCGATTGGAGGCAATGAAGTCTGAGTTTCACAGCACCACAGCAACAAGCTAGCTTCTTCACATAGATTGCGCAGACAAAGAGTCGGGGAGCCAAGATCAGCCCAGGAATTGGGGACAGCGCACGGCATCTGCACTGTCACCATCGTCGCCTGCCACCGGGAAGGGTCCACCATGCGGTAAGGATAAAAGTCGAGGGGCCGGTTCGAAAACGAGGGTGCGAGCGAAGGCGCAGGCGGAGCGGGAAAATTAAGGACAGAACAGAGTCGTGTCGGGGGCATGCTGTTGTTTCACGAAGAAACGAGGACGGCGCAGCCCAGCAGTCGGCAAGTGGTGCATCGTGCGCAAGGGCGAACGGGAACGGAGAGAATACATCCGGACCCGCGCTGGGCAGAGGAGGTGTGGACGTCCAAGATCGCAGGCCAGCAGCGCAGTATCAACTTAGAGTAGCGGTGCAGGTCTGCCAGCGAGCGAGTCCGGATCGGAGAGCGGAAGGGAGGACGAAGGAGTTTGCATGAAGGTGGCCACCCCGAAAAAAAACAACGCGCAGATGGAAGGCACGAGATGCCGGCGACACGCAGCATGGCTGCATGGCTGCATGGCTGCATGGCGACCAGCTGCAAGAGCAGCGCAGATTAAGTGCCGAGCCTCGCGCAGGCACGGGAGGTCCACGCTCGGTGGCGAGGGTCGAACGTCGTGCGCTGGCTCCCATCGGGACCAGGCGCAAGCGAATTGTCGGCTGCGCGGCAACTGCGGCGCACGCAACGGCGGGCCACGCCTGTCACTCTGTCACATCCATCAGGCACGGGAAGGTGTGACTGAACTCTGAGCACGAAAAGGAAAAAAAGAAAAAGAAGGCTGAAAGATCAGTCTGCACAAAGGCGTTCCTGCGCCCTCGCTCCTGCATCCTGTCGATCTGACTTTCAAAATATAAAAATTGTCAAAAACAAAGCAGTGTCACGGCGAAAATACAGTACGATTTTTTCCTTTTTCCTTTTCTTCCCGCCTTTGCCCCGACGCAGCTGCGCGCATGGTTCGGTTCGTTCGCTGCTCACACGTGGAAGCGCAGACCCTCCAGGCAGGAAGTGAGGGAGAGAGAGGGCCGACCACGCTGTGACACGGATCGACTAATTGATCCGCCCAGCTGCAGCCCACGCAGAGCCCACGCAGTCGGCTGCCAAGGCCCTCGTTGTTCCCGGTGGCTTGCTGAGAACGCGGGCTGCCAGAGGATAAATGCATCCTGCCGCCAAGCATCTGTCCGCCACCGACTTGGTTCTGTTTTCCTCTCCGTGATCACATCTTCCCGATCGTGCAGAGCCTCCCGTGGCGCTGGCGCTTAGCTCGGGGACGACCGATCACCATCCGAGCCCATGGGTATCGCCGGAACAACTCTACACCCACGCTCAGGGGCGACTGCTGTGAACACGGCAATCGACCAACCGGGGCGAAATATCGCAAAGTGCTCTGGTGTACATTTCTGCCAAGAATTACGGACCCGCCTCTGTGGTATGGCGACGAGTCGAGGCGGGTCGAGTGGCGCCATCCCCGCGCTGACTTGTGACTTGGCTGAAAGGTGGCAAGGTGGGGATGGCGGCGTGTCGATCGATGATCTATCTCGGCTATGCTTCGCCTCCCAGCGCATGCGAGACACAACAAGGTATGGAGGATCGACGACGTGCACGCGTGAAAGAGCGAGGGTCGCTGATGGGACCCTATCGCAAGCGTTGAGGGTGGTGGTCACGAACCGAATGGATCGCGAGCCCAATCAAGCAGCTGAGTTGGAAATCAGGCGGCCACGCGAGGGTGCAAGTGGAAAAAAAGCAGGGTGCAGACCCCAAAACACGGCTCGCGGCTCTAACGACGCGTAAAGAACTTGTCCAGCGCCCGCTTTTTCTTTTGCGTGGCGGGTAAATTGGGAGCAGCTGCTGGCCGCGATGCTGTCGAGCCCGATGGCTGAGGAGGAGCCTGCGAGAGCGATACGGCAAAGTGCCAATCCAGATGCTCATCCTTGAGCTTCTCGACCAGATACGGCTTCTCAAACCAGGGCGATCCCGTCGGCGCTGTCACGACGTGCGCGCACTCGGGGCATGCCCAGCGCGGTTCCTCTTCGCGATCGGCATCGCCCGATCCAGCGCTTCCATCGTCGACCTCGGCCTTCGTTCCTGGATCTGCCGCGGGATCCCCGATTTGCGTGCTGTCGTTGTTGCCTTCGCTCTTGTCGTCAGACGTCGGTACCGGTGGCGGTGTTGATCGCTGCTGCTGCTGTCTGCTCTGTGTTTCAAACAGGTGATCAAGCCGATTGAGCTTCTTCTTCTTGCGTGGCGACGCCTGCTCGTCCGCAGCATCCGGGGCAACCGACTTGCTCGGCACTGATGCGCTCGCGTTCGCGCTGGAACTTGAGCTCGAGCTGGGATTGGCGGCGCCCAGGAAGCCAGTGATGCCACGCTGCCCGACCTCGCCCTCGGCGAGCGCTCCGAATCCTAATGCGATGGTAAGCACCTTGGCGTCGCCACCCGAGCTTGATCCACCGATTCCCAGTCCAAGCGCATCGCCTACGCTCTCCTCCCACAGCTTCTGTCCCTTCTTGAGGATGACCTTGGCAAGATCGTCTTGGTTGCGCGGATCTGTAAATGGGAACGCTGTCTGCCGGCTGCGCGGCACCGACCCGGCGCGAATATACCTGAGCACCAGCGTCTTGGGCCACAGATTCGTCCTCTCTTCCCTCGCCTCCCTCAGCCGAATGGCCAACTCGGTTGCCAGGATGCCGAGCCAATGCATCGCCTCTTCGGGCTTGGTGATGGCCGGGCGCACCGACTTGGAGGCGAGCATGGTCTGGTTATTGACGCGCTCGCGCACCTCGCTGTAGTCGATGCCGCGCAGCACGTTGTACACCCACCTCGCCTCCTCGCCAAACTTGGCCTGCATCTCGTCCAGCCCCACCTGCCACAGATCCGACACGGTCGCCGAGTTCCACTCAAGCCCCATGGCGTTGCCGAGCTTGCCGCCGAGGAAGCGGATCTTCTGGAAGGGCAGCGACGAGTAGAAGTTGGCCACCGAACACGGCCGCATGATCGTCTGCCCGTTCGGCTTGCGCCACGACGAGCATAGCTTGGCGAGCGTCTTGTTGCATGCGATGCCCGCGGACGTCGTATAGTTGAGTTCGTCCAACACATTCTGGCGTACGCGGTTCAAGAGCTCCGCGCCGAGTGCGAGTGCAACGTCGGTCCATGTCGTCTCGCCGTATTCGATGCGATCCCATAGCGCCGCCTCCTCATCGAGCTCCTCCTGTTGACTCGACGTCGGGTCCGTGAGCCGATCCTGCTCTGAGCCCCACGAGCATCCAGCCTGTCCTTCCTTGTCCTTTCCCTCCTCCTTCTCCGAAGACGCGGGGGGAAGAGGAGCCGATACGATTCCGGCACCGATGGGCGCATCGACGAGCAGAGCGCCCTTGGCGACCGCCTTCTCTGGCCTGCCAATGCCCGTTGCCTTTCCTACGTCGCCCGACTTGGGCACCACGTACCCGAGCTGCTTCCACTGCTTGAGTCCCAGCCGCGGCGGCGGCGGCAGTGGCTGATCCATTCCCTTGGCGCCGGTCACCGGGTCATCCGGTGGCGGATTGGCAAGGTACGGAAACCGCTCGACCATCAGCTTGCGCACCTCGACCGTCAGGTCAAAGTACGACTCGTCGATGCTCGCCTTCTCCACCGCTCCGCGCGGGCACGTCTTCTTGAAGATGGCTAGGATCTTGTTGCTCTCCCTGCGGTACGGGTCGAGGCTGACCTTGTGTGTCTCGGGTTTGGGATCCGGAAAGTAGTCGGCCTTGTTGCTCCCGTGCGCGTAGGTGGCGACGTGAACAAGGTGAAGATCGGGGCACTTTTTCAACGCTTCCGGAATGCTTTCGAAGCGCGACACGCCCGCATCACGAGCTGGGTAGTTGACGGCGATCAGGCCCTGCCATTGCTGCACGGCGATGGGGACAACGGTGGCGTCGAGACCTAAGCGCGACGCTTCGAACTGCGCGTACGCCGCGTCGACGTCGCAGTGCGCAATCACGCGTAAAGGGTTGGTCGGGTTGAGCGTGCCTGCCGAAAGCAGGTGCCGGTACGTGATTGTGGGCCAGGGCGGTGGACCTGACACATGCGCAGCCGTCTCGAGGTTGGTGTGTGTAGGGATTGGTGGGTCCTCTGGCTCTGGCGGGGCAAGCGAAGGCGGCTTGTCCATGAGGTTGCTGCGGCCACGTCCGAAAGAGTGCGAGGACGACGCCTGTTCGGACCCTTGCAATGTGGGCGCGGACTGTGCGTCTCGATATGGGCCTGCAGAAGAGTTCGAGGCTACAGCGGACGGCGACCCCGAGGCGATGGCGTCGTATCGCTGTGCAGCCTTCTTTGGCGATGTCATGGTGGGCCACTACCAGCGAACGAAGAGGCTGGCGGCGAGTCTACGAGAGTGAGTGTGACGCAACGTCGACATGATCCGAGGGCGGCCGTGTCGGTGACGGTGCTGATCTCGAATGTATTGGGAGAAGCTAATGACACGACATGACAGTGGTGGCGGCTGATGGTGTTGTCCGACCCAAGATTGTGTGGAGGCTGAGTTCTTCGTGCGGGAAAAAAAATCACGCGGCACAGCGCGTCTTTTTTGACGCGTTGGATCCCGCCGCCTCATTTACACGACGGCCGGGCGCTGCACCACAATCACCGCACTCAAGGTAATCGCGATGGAGAAAGCGGTCAAGTGGCCGCCACTGAATTGCATCGCTTTCGAGGTGGAGTCGATGTTCAATCTCTTCGACGATGCGAGCTATCATGCTCGCGACGTGACGATGGATGGTGCCGCGAGTCATCGTCTCGGTGCCGGCGGTGCTCGCGCTCAGCAGACGTGGAATCCCTCGCACGATGACTGCTTGCGTCGTGGTCTCGTTGATGGCGATGGTGACGGTGTCGTCGCGAAGATTCAGGCGATCTGGACCTGCTTCCCCTGCTCGGACTCGCGCTCCGACTGCGACTTCGTCCGCTTCGACGGTGGCTTCGTTTCGACTCGTCGCCATCGCGGCCGTGCTCGCGGTGTCGCTTCGAGTCTCGGTGCCGCTCATGGCGTCTGCGACGATCTTCATCGTCTTCACCATGTCGACTGCTGCTCTTGTGGTGGCTGTCGCGATCGCGCTTGCTCCTGCTTCCGTCCTCGCCCGCCTCTGCACGGCGTCTCCTCACCTCGTCTCTAGCGAACTTGCGAGCAAGCTTCTTGTCTGCCTCTGAAATCTCCTCCTCTCCTCCCCACTTGGATCTTGACGCATCGAGAGGTTCGCCGTTGGCACCCGTAGCACTCCTTCCTGACGTCGATGCCGACCCGACAGCCAGTCTGTCGCCAACTTTGGCGGAAGAGTCGGTGGTTGAGGGCGGAGGCGGCTTACCGAGTTTAGCGTAGAGCGCCGCCGTTTCGGCCTCTTTGATTCGGCGCAGCTCTTCACGCCTCTCTTCGGCAGCGGCGGATGCGGAGGACGAGCTGTCTTTGTTGTACCAGTTGATGTCGCGTCCGTCTTGCCATCGACCGGTGGGAGCAGCGACCGAGTTGCCAAGGTAGAACTCGCGGTCCTTGGACTCCTTGACCTTGTCCCAGCTGAACTCGGCCGCACCGCCGCGTGCACCGCCGCGAGTGGGAGCGTACATCTTATCGAGAAGATCGATGCTAGGATGTGAGGCTAGCGAAAGAAAGATTGCCGCGGCAGACGTGCAGAGATGGTGGATAGAGAAGAACCTCGAGAGGAAGGTCGGGTCGAGAAACCTCCACACCGCACATGGAATTTGGCGGAACTCGGGCATCTCACCCACCAAATCGCTCAGCTCTTCCGTCTACGGCACGATTTGGCGCCCCGTCGACTGTAATCACCGCAAGCACACAACATACAGGTGAAGAACACAGTGGAATGAATTGGTTTTGCAAGATGAGCACACATGATGTCCGCCTTGCCTACCTTGACTTGGGAATATGTGTGGAGGTGAGGTCCTCGAGCCCGATCTTGGTGAGCTTGCCATCGAGGCTGCCCTCCCTATAGACCTCGACGATACGACCGAGCAGTTCGGACGTCGACACACCGTCGGTCCTTCTGGTAGGCAGGAATCTGCCCTGCTTCTTGACAAATGCGTAGATGTCCTCCATGCCAATGCCCGAATACGGCAGGTCGTCGTGGGCGATGTAGTCGATCTCGAGAGTGTCGATGAGGTTCTGGTCGACCACCCAAGGAGCGTCTTCGAGAACCTCGTCGACCCAGCGGCAGTTGCGCACGCACTCGTAGCGCTCCTGGCTTGTGAGCACGGGCTTGTTCTTGTGCTTGCCGCACGAGAAGCTGCTCACCACGCCCACGATGAGGTGCACCGACGGGAAAGACAGCTTGGCCTGACGAAGCTGCAGCGCGTGGGCGTAGTGGAAGAGGTCGTAGACCCCGTCGGCATAGATGCGGATGGGGCGTTCGCGACCCTCGCTGTCGTAGCGCTTGGGCGGCGGGTTGATCGAGTAGTCGCGCTGAGCGTCAGGCTTGAAGATGGCTTGGTTGACCCAGGCCTGGATCTCTTCTGCCGATGGGATCGACGAGGGCTGGAAGCCGCCCTCCTCGAACTCGTCGCCTTCGGGTTGGCAGTCGGCGTGTTTGCTCTTCATGGTCTCGATATATGAGAGCGAACGGACAGGTCCCGGGGCGGTGCTCTTGGCGGGAGCGCGGCTCGCTGCGGAAGCAGACTTGCTGATGTCGCGCTGAATCGGAACATTGCCGCCAGACGAGCTGGTGCCGGCTGGAACAGACGAGGGGGTGCGGGCGGCATACTCGACATCGCCATCGTAGGGGGTGGCACCATCCGTGTTGTTGCCAGCCTCTTCGGCAGCGCCATCGTGGATCTCTGCGCGGCGTGCACTAGCGGTGGAAGCGTGATGCGAGGCGGAAGTCTTGCGCTTGGCAGCCGGTGAGATGCCGCCCGAGGTGGCGGCTTGACCAAGCATAGCACTGTCCGGAGCTGGCGCTGCGCTGGTCTCGCTTACCTGCTGCGCCTTGGGCGTAGCCGCAGCCGTGGCGCTCGAGATGGGGTCAATGGCTTGGCTCTGTGGCTTGACCGTGCTCAACGGCTGAGACGAGGAAGCGCCGCCTGCAAGATTGGGAGCTGGAAGCGAGCCGAGGTTGAGGTTGGCGCCCGAGTTCGCCTTTGCAGAGCGATCGGAGGCCGCTCCAGCTGGGTGAGTCGCCTGTCGCTGTGCGACGATCGCCTTGGGGAGGAGCTCGGTCGACGAGCTGCTGGAGAGGGCAGCGCTTGCGTTCGCCAGCGTCGCACCCACCGAGGGGCGGACGTATCGGTCGTCGTCATCGGACGAGGCCTCGCGTCTGCGATCTTGCGACGACTGGTTCTGCTGCTGTGTGGGAGAGACGAAGCCGTGCTGCACGTTTGGCTGAGCGGTCCTGGTGGGAGCGCCAGCAATTCCAGCCGCGGAAGCGACTGCTGGGGCGGCGGCGACGCGAGGCGGACTTGTGCTTGCGGGTGTCTTGTCATCGAGAGCAGTGGTGGGCTTGAGCTGGTGCTGCAGCTTGGACGGCTGATGCAATGCGGCCGAGTCGATCAGAGCTTGGTCGCGATCATTGGGCGGGATAGAGGAGAGCGATGAGGAGATGGGAACGTTGGTCAGGGAGCTGGTGCTTGCACCCTGCTGATGCTGGCGGAGAGATGCAATGGATGCATCGTCGTCAAAGGTCTCCTCTTGATCGTCATTGTCCTCTTCGGAAGCGTCGCGAGATGACGAGATGAAGTTGTTGGCATCCTCGTCCTCGTTCTCGAGCTGCAGCTGGGCGAGCTGGGCTGGGAGGTGCTTCTTCTTTCGGCGCGCAGGGTCGGTGATGTGATGAGCGTGGTGATGGTGATGATGATGATGGTGATGGTGATGGTGGTGCGGGTGGGTCTGGCCTGCTGGCGATGTGGGCGACAGAGACGATGCTGGTGCTTGCGCTGGTGCGGCGGCGCTTGCGACGCTGCTGCCGCTGCCGGTGTGTGGCGTTCTGGAGGGCGCTGCCATCGTGTATGTTGTGGTCGTCGTTGTCCTTGGGACGGTAGAATGGCCTTGAGTCTGGGCTGCGGATCTACTCTCTAGGTGGCTGCCGTTACTGATTGGATCTTGATGAGCCGCTGATGCCGTCGGAGTGATCGCGCGTTCGAGCCCGAGGATCTTACGCTCGTTCGTGTGCAATCTGAGTGACAGATGGCAAAAGAGCGACGGTGTTGAGGTTGAATGTGAACGACGAGTGCAGGTCAGACTTTCCGACGCAGCGTGAAATCGGCCTGGCGTGGGCGTGTGTGTGGGAGGAGGAGGCGTGTGCGAGCGCGGTCAGGCCGTGACAGCCCAGCGTGCGGGCGGGCGGGCGGGGGATGAGTGAGCGCGCTATCATTGGCTCGGCAGACGCCTCGAGTCGGCCAAAAGCCCAAAAATTGCGCTCGCCTTCCATCCGCTGCTTTTTCCACTTTTTGCAACCGCGGAAGGCGTCTTTTCAAAATCGGTTGGGACAGGGCCGCACCTGCCAACGCCCGGCAACCCTTCTGCTCGGCTCCTCCTTTCCCTCCATCCGTCCGTCCGTGCGAGACGGCCACGTTTGAAAGCCGACTCTCTAACACGCTCTACGCAGGCACGTTCGTCCAGCTTGCATGCTTCCAAATTTGGGCTTCGCTACCGTCGTTGAGTTGGCCGCACACTGCACAAGTCTTGGATCCGTGTGCTTTTGGCTGGACCAAGAGAAGCAATGGACGGCCCGATTACGATGATGCGCTCCAAACATGCAAGGCATCCCGATTTTATCCAGATCATTGCCGATCGAGCGAGCGGTCAAAGTCGCCTGAAGCAGGTGCCAAAGCAAAGAACTCATTTCTCTAAAAATTCGAACTCGAAAAAAAGGTTCCGAAAAGACAGAAAAAAAGGCTCAAGACAAACCCTCCTAATCACCACCTGGCAGAGACGCCATGGGCTCTACTCTGCACACTTCTTGGCACGCTAAGCAATCTCAAAGACAACGGAACAGTTTGATTCGGAATGAGATGCTGCGGTACATGTAATGATACGACGACGGCTCCAGCCACAAGTGGTGCTGCGGCTGAGGGCAAGGGTGAAGGGATGCAGGGGAGGGGATCGGCTCAGTACGGAACCAGACCGGCAAGCTTCTTGATCTGCTCGGTGATGATCGGCTTCTCGATCGGCTCGTCTCGCTCGTGAGGGCAAATCTCTTCCGACTCGCGCTTGCCATCCTTCTTGGCCTTACCCTGGCCGAACATGTTGCAGTGCGGCCAGTGCGTGGTGCCCTCCCACCGCTTGAAGAGCTCCTGCTTCTTGGCGAGGTCCTCGGGCGAGATCTGCGACGCGGGCGCAAAGCACGTGTAGATGACGGTGCGGATCTCGTTGCCCATCGGGAAGGCGGCGTGGTGCATCGTCCTCGAGTCCCACAGGATCAGGTCGCCAGGCTTGGCCTCGACCTTGTACTGCGTGCACCCGCGCTCCTCGAACCACTTGACCTGCTCTTCGTTGAACGCGTAAAAGTCGCTGTGCACGTGCGGCGAGAAGAAGCGCTTCTCCTTGGGCAGCTGCTCGAAGAACTCCTCAAACAGCGGCGCCGATCCCTTCATCACGATCAGTCCGCCGTCCTGAGGTCCCGAGTTGTACAGGTTCAAGATGCCCTGCACGCAAGCCAGGCCCCGTCGGTCCGCGCTCTGGTCGCAGTGCGGCCATGGCTTGAAGGTGAGGTCCTTGCGGCGCGGCAGGCCGATGTTGAACGAGTCAAAGCTGACAAGCAGCTCGTCCGTGCCGTAAAGCTTGGCGAAGGGCTCGATCACAGTAGGCTCGCATCGAGCCTCCCACATGAAACGCTCGTGAGGAGCGCAGTAGTTGAGGAACATGGACTTGAAGCTCTGAGGCAGGTGCTCCTGCGTCCATGTCGACTCGTCGTTCAGGTCGAGGCCGAGGTTGAAGCCAGTGATCCAATCGAGCAGCTTGCTTCGGTAGTGCTCGGCCTTGTCGCTCGAGAGCACGCCAGGAAGCACCACATAGCCATCGCGGAAGAAGTCGTCGCGCCAGTCGCCGTAGGTGGTCTTGGTGGGCTTCATGACATTGTCAGCCAGACTCTTGGGGTTGGCCGCTTGGAATACGGGCTTGGCCTCGGGAACAACGACGTTGGCCGTAGCGGTAGCAGTGGGAGCCATGATGTTTCTCGTGATTAGGTTGCGGCTGAAAGGTAGCAGCTTAGTACGAAGGCAAAGAATGATGGATGTAGATTCGCTCTCCTCGACCAAAGCTAGAGGTACTTGTTTTATAACTTGTTCTGCCGCTGCATTGAGGCTGAAGCATGCCGTCTCAAGTGCGACACAGCGAGAGAGGTTTTCGTAGGTTGGGCGGCTTCGACGCCTGCGCGGAGGCCCACGGCATGGTGGAGCACCGTGTCGAGCCCGACCTTGTGGGCCTGCAAGCCTTCGAGCGTTGTGCTGTGCTTCGAGTTGTGCAGGCAGGACCCTGATTTTGCGTGCCGGCCGACGGTGACGGGTGACCTCGGTGGAGCAGCCCGGCTCCACCAAATCAAGCCTCAGCAAGCAAGAAGCAGGCGGCGGCGAAATTTTGGTGGAGCCGCCGTTGTCATTGTTGGCGGCGTGGAGAAAGGAGCCCCGGAGTCGAAGCTCTAATTGGACCTCTCCACCACGAAAAGGGTCCAGAGAGCCGACAAGCGGTGGAGCAGGGCGAGCCGTTTTCCGCAACACCGCTTCTTCCAGGATGTCCGAACCGAAGAGCGTAGAAGCCATGGCTCGGTCGGTTCGAGCATGCAGGGCACGCTTGGAGCGGCACACTTGGAGCTTTGGATCCTAAGCAACCGACTTATAAGCCTCTGACCGCCGATCGTTGGCATGATGCAGCAAGACCCCAACTGAACAAGCCGTGCCTTTGCTCGTTCATGCCATCATACTTCGTCTCTCGCCATCTCTCCAAACATATCGCCACTTGCCAGCCGCAAGCTTGTGCATCGCCCAGAACAGGTTCTCCACTTGTAGCGTGCCCAGATTCCAAGCGCAAAAGCCACTAGCCATGCCTCCCCCCGTTCAGACCTACTACAAGCCAATCAAGCACCCCAAGGTGGGCGAGAACGGCTATGCAGGCTTCCATCCCGGCAAAGTCGAGAGACTACCCAAAGGATGGCAGATGTACGAAGACTCGCGCCCGCTTCCTTGCGACATCATCGTTGAGCACGACGTAGGCATCAAGGTTCGAGATGGCTGCGTGCTCTACTGCGACATTTACCGTCCTGCCTCGACAGACAACGTCCAGACAGCACAAGATCGAGTGCCTGCCATCATGGCCTGGAGCCCTTACGGCAAGAAATACAGCGGCATTCTCTCGATGAAGCCCATGCCGTTCGGTCTGGGTGTACCCAAAGGTACCCTCAGTGGTCTCGAGAAATTCGAAGGCCCGGACCCAGCCGAGTACTGCTCGCGCGGTTTCGCGGTGGTCAACGCCGACTCGCGCGGCGCGGGCGACTCGGACGGATACATCTGCATCATGGGAACGCAGGAGGGAGAGGACGGGCACGATGTCATTGAGGCGATTGCCAAGAAGGAGTGGTGCAACGGGAACGTCGCATTGGCCGGCAACAGCCACCTTGCCATCTGCCAGTGGTTCATCGCTGCCGAGGCCCCTCCCTCGCTCAAGTGCATCGCTCCGTGGGAGGCTTGTTCCGATCTATTCCGTGAACAGTTTGTGCGCGGAGGCATTTGGGACTATGGCCTCTTTGGCTTCATCGAGGAGCACACGCACCGAAGCCGCAATGGCCTGGAGAATTTTCCCGAGATGCATGGGCGCAATCCGCTCTCCAACCCGTACTGGGAGGACAAGCGCGCCGACTTTTCCAAGATCCGCATCCCTGCCTACATCACTAGCTCCTACTCGGCCCTCGTGCACACGGTCGGCAGTGTTCGAGGATTCATGGAGCTGCCGACCGACCAGAAGTGGTTGCGGTGGGATGCGTACCAGGAGTGGTACGATCTCTGGGCCGTCCGAGAGTCGATCGACGACCTGGCCAAGTTTTTCGACCGATACCTCAAGAATATCGATAACGGATGGGAGCGAGACACTCCCAAAGTGCGGCTGTCTCTGCTAAAGTACGGCGAGGGCGTCGAACCTATTCAGGACGTTGCCGTCCCGGATTACCCGCTGCCGGATACCCAGTACCGCAAGATGTTCTTGCAGTCCAACGGCACCCTGTCGACGTCGGCTCCAAAGTCGCACTCAGTGGTGAGCTACGACTCGGAGAGCCCGAGCGACTTTGCAGGATTCACCTACACGTTTGAGAAGGACCAGGCGCTGGCTGGTCTTGTACGAGCGAACTTGTACCTTTCGTGCGACGACATGGACGACATGGAGATCTACGTGATCATCCGCAAGCTGGACAAGTCAGGCAAGGAGATGCTCAACTTCAACCTGCCGTGGTCGTCCGTGCCGATCAAGTCGTTCAAAGAGATGTCGCCGCGCGAGATGTCAAACCTGGTCGTCTATCTCGGTCCAGTGGGCATGCTCAAAGCCTCGCACCGCAAGATCGACGAGAGCCGAAGTATGCACGAGCTCTATCCGTTCCATCCCCACGACGAGGAGGAGAAGATCGAACCCGGAACCGTCGTCGAGGTGCCCATCTCGCTGTGGCCGATGGGAATTCAGTTCGAAGAAGGCGAGTCGCTGCGGGTTCAGGTCTCCGGTCAGAAGGTGCGCTTGCAAGAGTTTGCCTCGGACGGCGAAAAGGGCATCAACCGCGGCAAACACAACATCCATCTCTCGAGCGAGTATCCTAGCCACATCATCCTGCCCTTCCTTTAGATCTGCCTTGGCTGTTTGGTGTCTCTACCAGCACGATACAGACTTTGCTGTACCAGTTCTATACAGTATGTGCGAAATTTTCACCCGGATCATTCAGACTCAAAATGGGCGTGACCTTCCCGCTAACAGTCTGGAGCATGAGACTTAGGGGCTCACAGGTCCATCATCTGCCTCTGGTGTCCGATTGTGTTCACGAGCCAGACAAGAAGCGCAAAGCAAAGCAAATTGCTCAGCTTGCCTCGAGTGATGGGTCGTCTAGAATGAGCTTTCGAACAGCTTCAAACATTTGTGCCGTCTTGTGTTCGGAGATGGTGGGGGTGAGGTGGGGGTTTGCGGCGTGGTGCGGTTGCTGAAGTTGTCGTGGCTGGGAGCGGTGAAGCTGTGGAGCCGTGGTGGAGCCGCTCGGGATCAGAATGAATTGCCCCGCGGCGCAGGGCACCGCGCACGGCTCCACCACCTCACCCTGCCCACGTCGAAGATCTGCCTTCGCCGTGATTCTTGGGGTTGCGGCTCCACGTGGTGCCAAAAAAAAGGCGGAGAGACATGTGTCAGGCACACGACGTGGACGGTACTCTGCAGCACAAGCTGATCCCCGGCCCGCCCGAATTGGCGGGGTCTCCGCACATGCTGTTGGCGCCTTTCGTCCACCGCCTTGTCTTCCAGCCTGCCCCGTCCAATCAAAGAAGCTGCAATGCTCAACCGCATGGTTTACTCCACCAACCACGATCGAGTCACTGAACCAAGCACTTTTGCCTCGCTCACGATCTGCCACGACCGGCTGCTTCTTCGAGCGCGTTGCTCCCATTGCCACCTACCTTCCCTTCGTCCCTCTCCCCGCACTTTCGTTGAGGCAGACCTCTTGGCGCATGCACCGCTCCCTCCGACAAGCGCGGCCCCACGTCTTTCGAGGTTAAGTCTAGGCGCGGCTCCACCCTTGCCGCCTTTCCGGCCCCACAGCCGACTCCGAGGCCGCGCCATCCGCATACCTGACATGTGAGCAGCTCACATCTTGCTGGCGTGCCAACGCGATTCGAGCTTACGGCTAGCAGCGTACATAGCACCAGAACGGGTGGAGCATCGCAAAATCGAGCCTTGTGCTAGCCTCTCCTCCGCCGTCAACACCACCACGCAAGTCGTGATCTGGGGACTCCGCATCCTTCGTTCCTCGTCTCTTGCTTCACTCTTGGTTCTGTCTGGACGGCGATACCCCACACACGGCTTCCTGATTGCATGTCAAAGCATGCAGCCGGTCCTCCTTGGCGCACAAACACTTTCAAAACACCCTTGTCCCTCACGCAGGGCACTAACCCTGGTCAAATCAGGCATACTGGGCACCTCCTCTGTCTACAACTTCTTGGACCTGCGCTTCCGTACCTGAGATTCGCATCAAAGGCTTCGTCTGCCCTTCCCGGCAGCATATAATCCCGGCTGTTTCTAGACAACAACCTCGTTCCGTCAAGCTCGAGCTCGAAGCACTCCGTTCCGCTACCTTCGACTTTCCCACTCCCGCGATCCCCCTCATTGCAAGCTGACATGTCGGCTCCCGGACGTCTGGACGAAAAGATGGACATCAAGGAGGACGGGGTGACAAACGATGTCCACGACCTGGACTCCGTAGAATATGGCTCGCAAGGCAAGAACGCCGGCCAAGGTGCAGAGTCGAGCGCTGCTCCGGTCGAGACGACCCTGATCAAGGGCAACGAGATTGTGCTCATCCCGCAGCCGACCACCGATCCACACGACCCTCTCAACATGCCAGAGTGGCGAAAGTGGGCGGTGCTTATCGTCTTGGGCTTCTTCTCGATCTTCAGTGTGCTCGTCTCGTCCGGCATGGGTGCTTTCACGGGCCTCATGTTCAAGGAGTACCGCGGCGACAAGCGCGTGCCGGATCTGCTCGTCTATCCGACCTTGTTCATGGGTCTTGGCAACATCGTCGGCATCCCCGCTGCCATCGCCATTGGTCGTCGACCAGTGCTAATCTTCTCGTCGCTGCTGCTTGCCTTCACCTCGTTGGGCTGTGGCTTGAGCCAGTCATTCGACTCCCACTTTATCGTTCGCGCGTTCATGTCGCTCGCCGCCGGTCAGTCCGAGGCTCTGTGCCCTCTGATCGTCCAGGAGATCAACTACCTTCACGTGCGCGGCAACCGCATGGCTGTCTTTTCGGGCATGCAAACCACCGGGTTTGCCGTCATGATGATCGCCACCGGTCACATCACCACCGACCTTGGTTGGCGATGGTGGTACGGCATCGTTGCCATCGTCTCGCTCGTCGTTGCGATCGGCGCCATCCTGATTGTGCCCGAGTCGCGCTACCAGCGTGACGAGGCGATGGTGCCGTCGGAGGACATCGACTCGCGCGTGCCCATCTTCTACACGGACAAGCGCAAGCCGTCGCTCGACACGGCGACGTACGGCGAATATACGTATGCGTCGACGCTGCGTGTCTACGTGGGGCCGAGCCGCTTTGGCGAGGCTGCACGCTGCCTGTGGTCGGCGGTGCACGTCATGGCGTATCCAAATGTGTTCTGGCTGATGCTGATGAACTCGCTGGCGCTGTCGGCGTACATTGTCATGACCACCGAATACGCCGGTGCGTTGGGCTCGCCGCCGTACCGCTTCAGCTACGACGCCATCGGATACGTCATGGCTGCACAGCTCATCACGGCCGTCATCTTTGTTCCACTGCAAGGCATGGGCGGCGACTGGCTGGTCAGGAGGCTGGCTGCGCGCAACGGAGGCAAGACGCGACCCGAGCATCGCCTCATCCCGCTCATCATGCCTGTCGGACTGGCGGTGGCGTCGTGCATCATCTATGGCCGAACGCTCGCCGACCCGTACTCTTGGCACTGGACGGGCATCGCGATCCCGATGAACGCCGTCTACTTTACGTTTACGGCTGTGATCCTGTGCTCGTACACGTACTCGATCGATGCATACCCGGACCGCGCCGGCGCCATCCTGTTGCTCTACTGCGCCTCCCGAGGCATTGTGAGCTTTGGCGTTTCGCTCTCCACCGTCGACTTCCTGGAAAAGGCAGGACCGCGCGGCGCGTTCAATGTGCTTGCCATCCTGTTTGGCATTGTGTCTGCGTTTGGCATCCCCTGCTACTTCTTTGGTCCTGCCGTGCGCCGCCTGACTGCAAGGTACTAGTACTGCTGCTGGGTCTGCAACTCGTCACCGACCTTCCCTTCTCTCTCTCTTCCCCCGCTGCGCATTGTCTGTATTTTCTTGCCTGTCCCGCACTTCTGCAATTGTCCACCATGTCCAATGACTTCGAGACTGCACTCTGAGCAAAGCAGCAGAGTTAGTATGTAGACCAGGCCCGCGCGGCGAGCAACGCACATCGTATGCCATCGAGCAAATGGCATACGAAAGCACGAAAGGCCCCAACGAGCTCCGCCGCGTCTTCCGACAAGCGACCAAGGATCGCGCGGCCGAGAGGGCTTGATAGCGGGTGGCGGGCGGCCAGCGGCATGGCCGAGGCAGCAGCCACGAACGTCGTTGCTCAACCGAGGATCGGCCCACTCACACTATGAAATTCGCACCGAAATTCCGCACCAGGTCTGCTGTTGGTCAGCGAGCGGGGAGCCGTGGTGGAGCCGTGTCAAGTTGGCGGGAGCGATGGTGGAGCCGCGTCTGAAGGCTTCCCCGCACGGCTTCCCCCACGCGCCCATTGTGCAACAAACGGCGGGGAGCAACACTTTCCTGCTGTCTGATGGACCCTTGCGGCTAGCCCTCCACCAGCGAGCTTGCCTACGCTCCGTTCACACCACCATCAAGCCGCTTTCCACCAACTCACCACGAAGTAGACGTGCAAGGCAATATACGCATACCCGCGCTGAAGCCCGCTCAAGCGCGCTTCAGGCTCAGGAATCATCGGCTTCGCTCTGAATGCGATGTCCGTCGCCATCGGTCCGATCAGTGGTTAAGGGTGGGAAGAGGTCGAAGCTACACAGCCTCATGCTTTCCAAAGCGTAGTCTCCCACGCGCAAATCCACCAGCCTCCCATGTCTCTGCCAACACGCTCAGACAGCCATGCGGCAGCCGCTGAATCGAGCAAGGACGTCGAAAATGCGATTGCTTGCCCCAAGTGTGGAAAGACCTTCTCGAGGGCGGTCAATCGCGATCGTCACCTGGCAACCCACAACGCAGTGCCTTCGCTGGCCTGCTCCATCTGTCAGCGCCGCTTCCATCGTGCAGATGTGCTCGCAAAGCACGTCCTTCGTCACCGATCTCGCTCGTCTAGCTCGGACGATGCCTTGTCCGTCTCCGCCCACGCACAACAGCGCAGCCCGTCTCCACCCAAAGCTCGTCCGTCCGACTCCTATACACTTGCGACAAATGCCAGCGCACATGCTGCGCAGCCTGGAAATCCTTCGCCGTCAGTGAGATCGCTTGCAGCCAGTCGCAAAGTGTCAAAGGCATGCAGCCTCTGCAACAGAGCCAAGGTGCGGTGTGATGGTGTCCTGCCCGTGTGTGGCCGATGCTCTCGTCTCGACAAGGCATCCTTGTGCAAGTACGCTCTTCCAGCCAATGCCATGCAGCCTGCGTCCGAGCAAACCGTTCAGAGCGACTCCACTCCCGCCCACGTCGCTGGATCGAGCGGACATGTTTCAGCGCCCATCAACCAAGACGCTACAAGCACACTGCAGCATGCTGTCGACTTTGACTCCATCGCTGCAGCAGTCGACAACCTTGTCGATGCGCCACCATCCACGAATGGGAGGCAACTCGGCACGTCAAGCTTCGATCCGGGCTTGTCCACCAGCTCGTTCCCGAACCACTTTCGTGCCCTCGACTCGCTCGACCTCGAGTCCTGGCGGCAGTCTCAGGCGCAGACGACAAACACTGCTGCCTGGTCGTCGGCTCTGTCGCCGCTTCCAGTCGACTGGCTACTGCAGAACGAGATTCCGGACGACGATTGGGCAGCTTACCTGGGTGACCCAGGCGTTCCCTTGATAGGAAGCTACTTTGAACAGCCAGAGCCTTCGTTTCCCCGTTGGCGCTACGATACACACCATGCCGCCTCCTCTTCGACGCCACACGCCACCTTCGCTGTCGATGCCGCGCTGCCGGTCGGCCTTACAGACGATCATTCAAACGCGCGTCCTTCGGCTCACCCTCGCACACCGCTTCGGACACGCACTCCTCAGAACTCCTCGCAAGTGGCCCAGGCTCAGTGCCAGCCAAGTGCGATCTCGCCGGCAAGCATGGACGCCAATGCTGCCGCTGCCACCTTGGCGCGGATCCGCAGTGAGGCGGTGAACCGAGGCCTGCTGCGCTCGGCTTCGCCCTCGGAGGACGACAGCAGCGGCTCCTCAAGTTGCGGTCCAGAAGACGTCGACAACAACAACCGTGGCGGACCTCGCGCCGCTATTAGCCCTCACCGTCAGATCGGCCCGTCGCATGGCGCTTTGAGACGCCGTAGATCGCGCGATGGCGCCATCGATGGACACGCTGGACCACGCCGCTCATCTCCGCCACATTCGCCCGGGTCGTCGTCCGAGTCGTCCGATCTGGACCCAATGGAACGTGCGAACCGAGACATTGCTGCGCAACCGCGACAGCAACGAGTGAGCTACCGCCATCCGGATCCTTCGGCGCGGAATCATCTGAATGCAAGCCCGGCAGCACCCTCGCCCGAGGACGTGGCTATGCAAGAGCTGGTTGCTGAGGAGCTAGCGCAACGAACCCACCAAAACGACCAGGTCTCGGGACGTTCGCCGCACACTGCGACGTCGGATCGGTCCAGCAAACGGCGCAAACGACGGCACAAGTACTGGCCCTCGGTGTACCGGCCCAAAGCTACCGACGGCGGGCGGCATCTTAGTCTTCAGAAAGTGCCCTTTGCATCGGACGAGGTGATGGCGCTCGAGAACAGCTACCAAGTTGCGCCGATGACGGACCAGGCCAAGGAGCGCATGATCGACGAGTTTCGCTTCTGCGAGGTGGAGCCGCAAGACCTTCGTCGCATCCAGGATACGCTGCGGTCCACCGAGACGGCCACGCTGAACCTCTTTGTGCAACTGTACTTTGAGCATCACGACGCCATCTTGCCCATCCTGCACCGCGCGAGCTTTGATCCGGATACGTGCGATCCGCTTTTGCTGGCGGCGGTGACGTGTGTGGGTGCGCTGTGCTCCAAGGCCGAGAATGCCTTTGCCTACTCGCTGCTCACGAGCTCGCTGGTGCACGCCGTGTCGTACAAGCTGATCGGCATCAACCATTTGCGCGGACGCTACTTGCCCTCGATGCAGACGTTGCTGCTCACCTATGCGCTCTGGCGCAATCTGGGCGATCCGGCTAAACTCGAGTATGTCGAAGGCTTCCGCAACATCGTCTTGACCATGGCGCGGCGATGTCGACTGTTCGAGCTGGTGCCTTTTGTGCTGGACCCCAATGCGATGGGTTCGAACCAGGGGCAAGCGAACGATGGCGAGACACTGGCGCGCAAACGCGAGCAGGAGTGGCAGCGTTGGATCCGCAATCAGGAAATGGTGCGGATGAGCTGGGCGCTGCTTGCGCTCGACAGCGATCTCAGCCTGGCGTGGGATCTTCCGTGCACGGTGACCATTGCTGAGCTCGGGTCTCCGTTGCCGTGTGTCGAGTCGCTGTGGCAGGCCGAGTCGGCAGAAGAGTGGATGGGCATGTCGATGGAGCAGGCTGCATCTGCGCACAAGAGCCGACTTGCCGATCTGCTGTGCACATCTCGACTCGGCGTCGGCGCCCCTCGCCAAGGAGACCGACTGACCGCACAAGCATCCGCTGCGAAAGAGTCGGCGATGGATCTGCGTCACTCGTCGCCCATGACGCGGCTGGTGCTAAGCGCGGCCGTGCACAACCTCGTACTGAGTCGATGGAACCTCGACACGGTGCTGTCGCAATATGCCAATCCGCAGGACGACGACGATGGCGAAGACGACGACGCCGACAGTGGCAAAGCCGTTCTACCCCATCGGGATCCGGCGCTGCAATCGTGGGTGGAATCGATCACCGCCAAGCTCAACCATCTCACTTCGAGTCGACTTGATGCCAGCAGCAAAGGCGAGGCGCAGCTCATGCTGCACGGTGCGCGCCTGCGCATGCTGGTGAGCTTCAAGATGGTGCAAATCATGTCGGGTCGTAAGGGCCACCGTCGCGCCAAGGTGCAGATGAAGCGTTGGCTCAAGGGCCCGCTGCAAGACGAATCTTTCCGCACCGACCTTTTCAGCGAGGCGAGCAAGATCTTTACGTTGAGCATCTCGTCGCGCCGCGACATTGCGCCGCTCAACCTGGCGTCGTCGTCGTCGTCGCATGCAGCTGCCAACGTCAGCACGCGAGGCAGGAGTGCTAGTCGGAGCAGCGGCAATGGCGCGTTCGAACGGGCTGGTCCGAGCTCGTTTGACTCGTCGGGCACGGGACATGCAACGTTTTCGGGTACGGGCGCGGAGAACTCGATCCTGTTCTACGCGACCGTGTGTCTGGCGCTGCTCTGCCAGTGGCTCCAGCAGAATCAAAGACCCGAGCCGAGCCGAGATCAGAGCGGCACCGCAGACGTCTCAGCGGAGGCCGGCAGCCCCGCTGGTTTGGCCAGAGGCTCGAGCGTGTCGAGGAAGACGCGCCGGAAGGACGTCTATTTCCTGCCCGGAGTTGGCGCACTCACGCACGCCATGTCGCTAGACCGCCTGATCCACGTGGCGGTGCACCAGGGCCTCAATCGCAGTGCGTGGCCGCTCGGATACGTGCTTGGCAAGGTGCTGCAGCAGTGGGCTCGAACCCTCGCCCGATGAACATTTCAGCGACGCCATCCGCGAATCGGGCGCCATTATGTCAAAGTGAAGTAGCAATGGCAATGCGTTGTACAAATGATGAGCTGATAGTGTGTCAGAGCTGGATCCGGCCGCGGCCTGCGCTGCTGCCGCTACTCTCTTGATCGTCGCGGTCCTTTTCCTCGAACGGATCCTCGTCCTCTTCGTCAAAGAGCACGTGGTTGGGCTCGGCGATGCCATCGTCATAGTTGCCTCGAGCTTTCGCTGTGAGTCCGTTGAGCTCGTGGTGCTCCACAGCTGCCGTTGCGGCCGCGGATGCTCGAGAGCGGGGAGCAGCCGGGTTGGCAGCATCGGTAGTATTGCCGCCGAGACTGAGGCGCGAATACAATGAGCGACTGGGCTGTGCTTCGCGGTCTGCCGCTCTAGCCTGTGCAGCGTTGTGACGCGCAGCACCGTAGCGTCCGCCGTAGGCCACGTAAAGGTCAACAAGCACGTTGATCCAGAGGAAGACGAGCATGGACGCGCTAAAGTCGATGAGGCCCCATGTGGCATGGTCGACGCCGCGTGCATCGGCCCAGCGCAGCTCCTCATCGGTGGCGGACATGAAGAGCACGCCCGAGGCAACGAGCAGGTACGGCGGCAGGTACTGGAATGGCTTGATCGGATACCAGCTTCCGTTGAGCGCCATCTGGCTTGCGAGCGGCACTTCGGGCGACTCGCGCGTGGTGCCGGTGGGGCGACCTTGGAGGACGAAGCAGACCTCGATCATGCGGGCGATACCGGCGCCCATGAGCGCGTAGCCAAAGAGCGAGTGCACCATGGTGGAGATCATGAGCGCTTGCGAGTGGGCACTCATGGCCCAGCCGGTGAGAAAGATGATGATGGAGGGGAAGATGTTGCGTCTGCCTCCGCGGCTGAGCCAGATGCCGAGGGCGCCTCCTGCCCACCAGAGCACGCCCATGAGCGTGTGCTGCAGGTCCTTGTGCGTCCATGGCCCACCGTGGTGCTCGGTGAAGGTGTTGACGATGCCCCAGAGCATGATGACCCACGAGTCGAACCACTCCTGGCTCTGGCCGCGACGCTGGAGCCAGTCGCCGCCGGCCTTCATCATGATGATGAGGATCGCAGCGTAAGCTTGGAAAGCCGAGCCCATGATGTAGTGCGCCAGACACTGGCCGAGGTGTCCACCAAAGCACCACGACTGGAGGGTGGACACGCCAAACACCATCTGGACCCAGCCGACGATGGGGAAGCTCTTGCCGAGCAAGCCGTGGATGGTGACGAGCGTTGGGCGGATCCACTTTTCGGGCCGCCATTGGAGATGGAGCTTGAGGTAGACGCCGAGGAAGGTCTGAGCAGCGAGATAGAAGACGAGCAGAGAGGCCATGGTGCCGTGTGCTGTGTGCGGGAACTGACGACCGCCGTGGCCGTGTCCGAGGAAGTAGCCGCCGACGGTGAGCGCAAGGGATGCGGTGGCGAGGGGCACGTGCAGGCGGTGGCGCACGAGGCCGAGCACCATGGCGAGCGGAAAGAGGAAGAACCATGCGAGCGTCTGTATTCCGATGTGAATCCAGAGAATGCTGTCGATGGGGACCGAGTTGTCAGCGGGACCATGAGCGTGATGTCCGTGGGCGCGTGCTGCGGGAATGCCGGCCAGCACGACGCTCGCAGCGAGCAGCTTCATATTGGCGGCTCTTATTCGCGGACTCGCTGCCATTCTGCGCAGTCCAGCGTCGAAGGATGCTAAAGCAGGGATGATGGGTCGCAGAAGGCTGCGAAGAAGGCTCAGTTCGTTGGCTTGTCGGTTGGGCCGATCCGCTTCTGCATGCCAAAGGGTCCGCTGGCCGTGGATTTGTCCTGTCTGTCGACTTCGGATCGGTCATCCCGAAAATGTGTTGCCGCGCGAGCCATTTTTCGAGCGCAACACCCAAAGCCAGCCTCGATCTCACATCCTTTGAAAAAGTGCCCACCGCGGTTCCCGCCTATTGTTAGCTAGCAATACGCAAGTGTGGGGCGACCGGCCTTGGGGCGAGGAACGAACCGGCTCAGCGGTAACTTTACTCTGCGGCGAGTTGGGGCGGAGGAGGCGGAGCAAAGCGAGACGCCGCCGCACTATCGGGCAGCCGAGAGGGCGGTCAGTGCATCCCGGCTGCATGCAGGGTAATGCCTCGAGTGCAGCAGCGGGAACGCATCCCCACCAATCTCAATAGGCCGGTCCCAACTTTCCCCCACTTCATCTCTTGTCCTCATCTGCTCATCAGTCGGGCGAAACTCTCTCACGACTTCACGGTATGGCTGACATGTGAAGCCGCATAGAGCCACTGGCTTGCTTGCAGTCTGAACTTCTTTTACTGCTGGCATGGACAACAGCCGGCGCGACCAACCATTCTCCACTCGCACCACCATCGCTCGACGCTCGTTCTCGATCGCCTTTGTCATCGCCGCGCTCAAGACATCGCTTTCGGCTCGCGCCGTGCTGACTCCTCGCATGTGGGCGCTCATGGCCGTATTCTCGGCTTCGTACCTGCTGCTTGACGCCGTTGCCGCCTTTGTCATCTCGCGTCTCGTCTACCTCGGCTTCCGCAACGGCTTAGAACGCATCTGCGACTGCTTCGGCGCACGGCTACAGGCCCGGCTGACATCGCGCTCGGCATCGCCACAAACCAGCCTTTTGCTGCTCGGCTCGACAACGTGGCCATCGGGCGCGCCCATCGTACCCACCACGCAGTGGAACGGCGGCGGCATCGGAGGCACCAACTTGCCAGATAGCGTTCAGGCTCCTGGAGTGTTTAGGCCGTTCGTGCACAGGCACATCCACTCGGAGAGCTCGGCAGCGCCAAGCAGGGCCGCAGCAGGCAACCGTGCCACAGCAAGTTTGCTCGCCGCAGCGCAGAGGAGGGACTGGATCGCAGTCACGGATCCGCAACGACGCATCGAGGTGCCGGTGTATCCCGAGATTGAGAGCCTCGTGCACGTGCTCGCATACGAAGCGCTCGACACGCGCGTCGGCCAACGACTCAAAAGTATCGCTCGCTGGGCCATCGCCAAAGTCGCCCCCGAATTGCTCCCTCTTCACTTCGGGACGCACCCGAGCCGGCCGGAAAACGCCAACACCTCTCGCAAGGCCACGCTTGACACCTCGGACGCTGAAGCTATGAAGGGCTCGGCTGGCGAGGCGGCGTTCCCGCAGCTGCCTGAGGAGCTGGTATCACACATCCTCGTGCTCGCCGCATGTCCGAGTCTCTCGCCTAACGAACCGCGATCGTGTCCGACCAGTATGCTGGTTCTTTCACCCAGGTACTACCAGCTCATCATCCCAAAGCTGTACCACAGTGTCTCGCTGCACACGCCCGCGGCATTTCGCTCGTTCCGCGTCACGCTGGCGCTGCACAATCCGGCGCTGGGTAAGCATGTGCGGCGACTGCAGATCGGAAGCTCCGAATTCGATGCGTCTGGCTACTGTCCCTCGGCGCTCGCCGACCATGGACCGTTGGCGGTGGGCATCGAGCAGATGCTGCTCGCCATCCCGCACCTGCAGGAGATTAGTCTCGATCTGTTCAGTATGGGCGCCCTCCACACCGGCACCGTGTCGAGACTCGAAAAGGGTCCGCAGCCAACACGGCTCTGCACCGAGCTCACTACGATTCCGTACCTGAGCTTACCCACGTTCGAGGACCTGCGAGAGCTCGAGTTGCTCGTGTTCGGTATGGATGCAGCCACCGCACGCGAGCTCAGGGTCACACTCCCGCTGCTGGAGAAACTTGAGCTCCGACTCGTCACGCGCCGACGTGGACCGGCATTTCAAAACGGCAGAGACACCTGGTCTCCAACTCAGCTTCCCACCCTCGAGGCGGATGCACAGACTCAGAGGCTTCACGACCACGCAGCAAGCAATGACGATCAAGACGTGTTTCAACTCGAAGCCGACATGCAAGACTTTATCGAGGCTCTACAGCTGCTGCGAACCTGGCCCGCAGGAGACCATAGGATGGGCAGAGGGCTGAAGGAGATTACCGTCTTCGCATGGCCAAGTGCAGTCAAGAGGCTACAGCGCGTCTTTGGAGATGCGGGCAAGGACGACGGCGCAACACCCATGCGCATCGAACTCGATCGAGGCTACTTGCTCGGCCCGAGGAGGGGCGCACATGTGCTATGGAGGAAGGATCGAGCTAGGACCGCGTGGGCGGTCTAGATGCGCATCGAGTATGTAACGCCATCGCAATGAAGTGAGACTTAGATGCACCGAGTCGTATGAGGGTGGTTGCGGGTGATGATCGTGAGGCGACGGTTGGCGATGCTGACCATCAGCGGAGGTGCGGAGAGGAAGAAGGCAGTACGCTGCCGGCGCGTTTGGACGAGGGCAGGACCTTGTGCGGATCGCAAAAGGTGGCGTCGACATGCGTAGGTACCATGAAGCGCACCATCGACGGCGAGAATGTTTAGGGCTCGTCCTTCTTGATGAAGCGGGATCCGCCGATGCCAACGTCGCGCTCGTTCTTGACTCCGTTCTTGACACCAGTACGACGGCCACGGGTAGTGCCCGACCTAGCACCGTGGGCGTTGCTGGCGCCGGCTGCGCCGGGGAGCGTTGCGATGAACTTGTTCATCTTCTGGTTGCGACGGGAGACGAAGCTCTTGACGGTGCTGATCGAGCAGTCGAGCACCTCGGCGATCGCACGGAACGTCCAGCCCTTCTCGCGCAGCATCACAATCTGCGTCTGCTCGGACTCGCTCAGCCTTCGGTTACCACCAGCACGGCCACCGCGCGGCTTAGCCTCCGCCTTGACCTTGTGGTCCTTGGCGTCGTTGATATCGATGGACAGGGCGGGGCTGGTGCCACGGACGGTGGCGAGCAGCATCACCGAAGAGTCGACGCTGCCCGCGCGCGAGTAGCACGACTCGCTGTCGTCAACCATAATGGTCGTGTCCGTGTCCGAGTCCGAGTCGAGCTCGATGATCTCCGTCTCGGAAGTCTCCGACGAGGGGTACTCGCACTCGGACCAGGCGGAGCTGGTGGTGAGCTCGGACTCGGAGGGAGCTCCCGTGCTGCCCGTGGTGCAGCTGCTAGCACCACTGTAGGTCGACATGACGACGAGCGGTGAGTAAGGCGGATACGAAGGGCTGAGGGTGCAAAGGTGTGTCGTCAGTGGTGTCGACCAACGAGTATGCAAGCTGCTCGGCGATAAGGCGGAGCTGGGAAGGAGGAGCGAGGGGATAGGGGATGGAGGAAGGGAGGAGGGACTGCGGAGGTGCAAGAGGGCTTAAGTATCTTCGAAAGCTTTCTTTCCGCACTGCCTGTTGCAGGTGCGGAAGTGCAAGTCTGCTCGCTGAAGGTCAACAGACACCCATTCCGCTTCCGCTCACTGTCCCGCACTTCCGCATCCCCGCTTCCTGAGGCACACAGACTTCCACACCGTTCCATCGCACTGAAGTCATGCGCTCAGTCCTTCGCACGCAAGCTTCACATTTGGAGTAACATGGCCTTCTCACTTGCAGTAACACGGGCTTCTCACTTGCAGTAACACAGTAGGTCTGATATTGACGATCTGATTTGAACGCGAACGCTATGATGGAGCGACGAAGGCACGGCTAAAGCATTGCTACACTGAGCTGCAATGAGCGTGCAGGATCAGTGCTTCTTGACGCGGCGAGTCTTGCTCTTGCCAGGAGAGGTCTTTCCGAGCTGCTCGAGGTTCATCATGCCGAGGGCCTGCTTTTGCTTGCGAGTGATGAGCTTCTGCACGGTGTTCGGGAGAAGGCCAAGGATGCTGGCGATTTCGGCGGGCTTCTTGCCTGCCATAGCCATGGCCATGATGGCGTGCTGTTCACCTTCGGTGGTGCGGCGGCGGGTCTTCCTCTCGCCAGCTGAGGGAGAAGAGGAACCCGCCTCGGGCTTGACGGGCTTGATGTCTTCAACGATGGTGTTGCTCTCGTCGACCGTGTTGTCCTCGTCGCCCGCGTTGCTCTCGTCGAGCGCATCGATCTCGTCGAGCATGGGAAGCAGCTTCGACTTGCCGTCGTCCGAAGAGGCGGGGGAGCCCGATCGCTTGACAGTGTGGAAGCGGCTACCACCAGTGAAGAACGCCATGTTGCTAACTCGATTCGAACGAAGAGGTCGGTCGATGAAGACAAGGATGATGTAGGCTAGAAAGCAAAGGATGATGACGACGACGAGGTCAGTAGTCGTGGTGAGTTGCTTAGTGGTGGAGAGAGCCGCGACTTACCTGCGATGGCGAAGCGGAGGACGATGACGAACTCGAGACTGATAGCGAGGGGTGTGTCGAGATGAAGCGAGGAAGGCTGAAGGAGCGGAAGCGTTGACTTGGTAGGAAGTCAAGGAGAAGGGCTGTTGGGCGTGCGGAAGGTCGAGGATTGCGGGAGCACTGGAAGCTTTATACCACACTGCTTGCTGGAGGTGCGGAAGCGGGAGCGCGAGATGAGCGCACGGGGCGATGCTTGTCGACAAAGTCTCGGCGTCTGCTCGTCTGTCCGGAGCTTTTAGTGTTTGCGCAGCGCCGACCCCGCACCGAGCGAGGCCGCATCCACCTCTTCGTTCGACTCAAATCCTCCTTGCACATCTGATGCCATTCAGGCCGATACGACGACGGCACACGACACTTCCACGACGCTTTGAGTGTGCTGGGTACGCGGATGCGATAGCAAAGTGCCAAGGTACTGAATACATGAATCGGGCGGCTTCCGATGCGGGTTCCGATGACATGTCGAGACGGGCCCGTGAGTGCGTTTTTGGGGGGTTCACGAAATCTATAGAACGAAGCAAGCTCTCTCACGCCCATCGGCCAAGCAGAGCCATGAGACCTGCGCCGGCCATCATCTCGACGATGCTGACCGAGAGCTTGGTGAGCGAGGCGGTGCGGATCCTCTCGTTGAAGATGAACTCGTGCGCGAGCAATTCGACCGTGCCGGTGTACAATAGGATACCGGCCGAGATCGAGTCAAAGGTGCCGGTCACGTAATTGGCGGTGGCCGAGTCGCCGTTGTAGGTGTTGCGGATGCCGAGGCCGATGGCGAGGCCGATGGGAGTGACGAGGCCGTAGGCGAGACCGCCGATGACGGGAATCCAGGAGGTCATCTTGAGCGGCAGGAATGCCAGACGGGAGCCGAGACCGAGACCCTCGAACATCTGGTGGAAGATGATGACGATGAAGAGCACGGTGAAGTCGGTGGTGGTGCCGAGCGTGATGCCGATGATGACCGAGTGGAAGATGACGCCGAACTCGAGGATGAGCACACCGACGATCTCGGATGCCTGGGACGAGAGAGCGACGGCGGTACTGGCATCGTCGATACTCTTGGCCTCGGCAGCGGGGGATGAGCGAGAGACGTCGGCGGCAGAGCCCTCGAGGTCTTCGGAAGGGGCGTTCTTGGCTGCAGGAGCGACGTGACCGTGGTTGTGGTCGTGGTGTTCGTGGGCGTGGTCGTGGTCAAGGCCGCCGTGGTGTTCGAGCGCATGATGGTGGCCGCCCATGTGCGGGTTGTAGGCGAGCTTGTTGGCCCATTTCGAGCCGAGACGGTAGGCAAAGAGCTCGACGACAAAGACGGCGAAGAGCGCGATCATGGCAAAGGCGAAGGCGAAGGGGTAGTTCTGGAAGTGGTCGTTGAGACATGGCGAGCTGAGTTCCTCGACACCCGGTGCCAATAGGTGGATGAAGGCGGTGGCGATGATGACGCCGGAGCCAAAGTACTTTGCAAAGTCAAAGACTTCGCGGTGGATATGGAGGCGGGGCACGCGGCGGGTAAGGATGGGGAAGAGCGTCACCACGGTGGACGAGACCCAAAGGATAAAGATGGCGCCTACGCGGAGACCGATGGAGCCGGTGAAGTTATCGCCGGGTCCACTGCACTGGGGCTGTTCGTCTGCCATATTGAAGGGGCGGAGTGTGCGAGAAGGACGAACGAGAGATGGGTTGTTTGTTCGAGGGAAAGGTCGTTTGCGGTTGAAGACAAATGAGTGCTGTTATATGTCCAGCAGGCAAGGATCAGCGGCCGAGGGTTGCGCAAAGTGGCGGAGCAGATTGAGCAAAAACTTTATCAGGAACAGCGGACGCAAGCGTGCTTTCTGAGACAGCGTGGTAAGGGTACGAAAGAGGGCGTGAGGCGGAGAGACCGGTGAGGTGTGCGCCGAATTTTGCAGATGCAACAAGGCCGTCGGCACGGTGATGCGTGGTTGGACCGCAGGCGGTCAAGTCGGCGAAGGCGGCGGCGGCGGCGGCAGAGTCGGTCGAGGCGATAGGCAGAGACAGGAACAAGGAGCGATGCGAAGCAGATGCAAAGGTGCCGAGCCGAACGAAGCCGAGAACCAAGGAGGTGGGCGGTCGAGCAAGTGAGGCGAGATACGGGATGCCGAAGGGAACGAAAGCGCTAGGTTCGTCGACTTGGTGAAGGAGCGACCTGCAGAAGGAAGAGCGGTTCCAAGAGGGAAGGGAGGGGGAGGGGGTATCCAGCAGGGCACGAGGGATGGAATGGCGTGAGAGATAGAGGAGGAGAAGGAGACAGGATCGAACCAAGCTGGAAAACGTCGACCCTCGCGGTTAAGGTGTCGAATGGTGTGCCGCACTTCGCTGTGCCTGCGGATGCACGATCGGTGCGGTCTTCCAATCGATGTTTCTCTGTCGCTGCTGCTTCCGCAATCTTCAGATCCTGTCAGCTCAGCCCAAGTCTCCTTTTCGCAAGATGCCAGGAACCACCACCAACGCTACAGTACCGCTCTACACTCGAAGACACAGGTAGACGCTGTGACTGTACCGGTGGAATGAATAAGCATGCGGCTCTCAACAATGGCCCCTCCTGCCCACTGCGGGAATCTCATGCCTTGTCGATAAGAGAGTGTGGGATGGCTGCACCGGTGAAAAAAAAAATTGGGCCCGTCCGAATGTGCGGCGGAGTGAAGAAGCGTTGGAAGCTTGGAAGTTTCGAGGACCCTTCCGGTTGTCGCGGTGGGGCACAAGAGCAGTGGGCGACTTGGCTGCATGGCGCAGATGCAATGCGCGAGTTCATTCTTCTGTCAAGGCCGGCGAACGTGGGCACCAATCGTCCTGTCGCACTTTGAAATTGAACCAAATTTTCGGTGCCTGGGCCGTGTCCCGCACCTTCTCTCTGGCCGTCCGTCTTCGTAGCGCACGGGCAAGTGAGAGGGCACAGACGCACCGCCCTCAAACCAGCAAGCACGCGAAGGCATGCGACTGCGATACGGTCAAATTGGCGTGCCAGCTGCTAGGCGAAGGCTCACTGGCGATGAGCAGAGACAGCGGCGGTGCTGCAGCCGATGCCGGAAGGCCCTCTTCCACTTCCACATCCGTCGTAACCGATGCGGTACTCACTGTCGCTCTGAAATTTCCATTTCTGTATTGTCACTCACGATCGGCCTTACATTCAACGAAAACAAATCGGAGTGGAGGTTGCGTCCGCAACCCGTGTCAGCATCCGTAGCGGTGACCGTCATGCTTCGGGCGATACCCGAGCCTGGCTTCTTCGCGAGCAACCGACAGCCTGCTAGACTTGACCCTTCCGGCTGGCCATCTATACCTCTCCATCAATAGCTAGCTACGCGCAACTCAACAAAGACATCTGCAATCATGGTCAGTAGGGTGCTCGACTTTCAGTGCGCCGTCATCACCGGCGGTGCCGGCGGTCTCGGCTTTGCAATGGCCGAATACTTTCTCTCACTCAACAAGAAGGTCATCCTCGTAGGCCGCACAGAGTCCAAGCTCGTCGAGGCGTCCAAGAAGCTTTCGGACGCTCCCTACTATGTGCTCGACACGGGCAACGTCGAGGATATTCCCGCCTTCGCCAAAAAGGTGCTGGCCGAGCACTCCGAGGTGGACTGCCTCATCAACAATGCCGGCGTGCAGCGCCCGCTCGATGTGCAGAACCTCGAGCTCGACAAGGTGGACAACGAGATCAACATCAACATCCGCGGGCCGGTTCATCTCGCCACGGCGTTCCTCGACCATCTCAAGTCGAAGCCGCTCGGCGTGATCGCCAACGTCAGCTCCGTGCTTGGATTCGTGCCGTACTCGATCATCAACCCCATCTATAACGGCACCAAATCGTTCGTGCACTTCTGGTCCGAGACGCAGCGCGTGCAGCTCAAGAACACCAGCGTCAGGATCGTCGAGATCGTGCCGCCGAGCGTAGGCACCGATCTGCACAGGGAGCGCGAGAACCCCGACGACAACAAGAAGCACCTCGGCGCAACCAGCTCGCTCACGGTCGAGGAGTTCATGGAGGACCTTGTGCGCGGGCTTGAGGCCGATCAGGACGTCATCAGCGCTGGATCCGGCATCCCGCTCGTCCAGAAGTGGGACGACGCCTTCCGCGAGCAGTTCAACACCGCCGCGGCCAAGTACCAGCGAAAGTGAAGCGGCCACTCGTATTACTAGGCCAGTCAGCTGCACGACAGCCCCCGTAGATGCTCGCTCTGCAATTTATAGATGGATCGTTCGGCAGGCGCCCGTGCGAAGACGAGGAGAGGCGTACGAAAGATGAGCAAGAGCTCGTGCCGCCGCCGGTGGTGCACCATCGGTGCCAAATCGGTGCCTGGTGCGGCTGACGAGAGGCCGACTTGGATGTCTTCCCTCACTTTTGCATTGCCAGCCATGGTGACACACCGCGGCAAGTGTGCCGTCCATGGGACGTCACAGGCCGAAGAGACGCAGCGGCACAGCGCAAGTGCATGTGGAGGCGTAATTGCGCTGCGATGTGAACCAAAAAAACTGCGGCTCATGCAGATCGACGTTGCCAGTTCTGTCCGTGCGCCGCTCCACAAGGCTGTCCCCGTTCCGATCCCATGTTTGCTTCGACCTGCTTCTCAGCCTCTGAGCAAGAGGCTCAAATAAATACCCGCCGTTCCGGCTTCCTTCCTCCTCTCTCCAACCAAGACCACACCGAAAGAAGTTTGCCAACCATGTCGCAGAAGATTCTCGTCGTATTCACCTCGCACACCCAGCTGATCGGCTCGGACCACCCCACTGGCTACTACCTCCCCGAGATCGCCCACCCGTACTACCTGCTCAAGGATGCTGGCTACGAGCTTGTGGCTGCCTCGCCCAAGGGCGGTGAGGCTCCGCTGGACAAGAGCTCCGTAGAGGCGTTCAAGGAAGACAAAGACTCGGTCCGATTCCTCAACGACTCTGCTGCCCAGCAGTGGGTGTCCAACACCCGTCCGCTCTCCGAGTTCTCTGCCGACTCGGTCAAGGACTTTGCCGCCATCTTCTACCCCGGTGGCCACGGTCCTTGCTTCGACCTGCCCGTCGACGCCACCTCGCAGGAGCTCATCCGCGCGTTCTTCGAGGCAGGCAAGCCCACCGCCGCCGTCTGCCACGCTCCCGCCGTCTTCACCGACGTCAAGCTCTCCGACGGCTCGTACCTCGTCAAGGGCAAGAACGTCACCTGCTTCACCAACGAGGAGGAGGAACAGGCGGGCCTTACCAAGGCCATCCCCTGGCTCGTCGAGTCGCGTCTTATCGAGCGCGGCGCAAAGTTCGACAAGGCACAGCCATGGGCTGAGAAGGTCATCGTCGACAAATCGGGCGGCATCCTCATTTCGGGTCAGAACCCCGCGTCTGCCTTCGGCGTCGGCAAGGAGATCATTGCAGCCCTCAAGGCTTGAACACCCTTCAAAAAGTCGCATTGTAGCTAGCTATTGCAATTTGATCGGATTGGAACTGTAGTCCATTTTGAGTGTGACATCAATCTAGAGGGCGGAACGACCACGCGTTTCGTACGGCAGCATGAGCATGAGCACGGCGGCGGCGATGAAGAAGCTCGCCGAGACGTAGATGGGTGTAGTAGGCGTGGAGCCGGCGTAGGCGCCTACAACAGGTGCGATCACGCCAAACACGCGCTGGGTAGCCATGGCGAGTCCATCGCCCGTACCCCTATTAGGCGCTGGGAAGACCTCGTAGCTGATAGCGTACAGCACTGCGTACATGGCGTTCTGCGTCAAACTTGTGGCGCAGTTCCAGCCCAACACTGCTGCCGGTGTCCTTGCGGTGGTAAAGAGGAAGAGGAACAATCCGGTAAGTACCGTGAAGAGCGCCATGGTGCCGCGACGCCCAGCGTACGGAAGCTCGACCATGGCCGCGGCAGCAAATGAGCCGGGGATACCACACGCCGCAATGATGACCAGATCGCGGTACTGTTCCGCCTGCGTCGTCTCGCCCTGATTCGCACCGGCGTTTTGGAGGTACAGCGCGATGAAGGCGTTGTACAGCGGATAGGCAAGACCGATGAGACCCCACAGGAAGCAGATCAGCGTCGTGTTCCACGCCATGCGCGGCGTCGAAAAGAGCGCCACGATGTGGTGCGAGTCAAACTCGGAGAGCGAACGGCGCAGCTGCGCCAGATCCGCAGCCGACAAGAATCGTCCCTTGAGCGAGTGAGGTACAGCCGTCGTCGTCGCCGCGGTGTCATCCGTCGTCTCCACCTGCACGCCCGGCGTCGGTGCAGCTCGAACATGCGTTCCCGCCTCGTTTGCCTTCTTCTCGTCCTGCGCTTCAGCGGCGGAATCGGCTTTGGCCTCGACATCTTCGTCCGCAGCAAGTTTCTGCTCTGCTGCGTCGGCGCTGACTGCGATGGTTGTGCCTTCGCCCGCAGCGCGAAGCTGCTCGAGCGTGAGTGAGGTGGTCTTGCCATTCTGCGCGGCGATGAAGCGGATCACCTCGAGCGCCTCCTCGTCGCGGCCCTTTCCGATCAAGAACTTGGGCGATTCGGGGATCGGGTACACCCAGAACCGCGCGACCCACATGATGAACGTCACCGCACCCAGCAGGAACCAGGTATACCTCCAGCCCATATTGCTGGCGCGCGCGCATGCATCCGCGGTCTCGCAGCGGTAGTTGGTGATGAAAGCCCAACCGATAAACGCTGCAAACAGCTGACCGAAACACCAGAAGATGGAGAGAAACGTCAGGATCCACTGATGCGTCGACGGGATGAACTCGATGAGCATCGCGCCATCCACGGGCAGATTTCCACCCAGCCCCAGCCCGAGACACGAGAGCAATGCGCCGAGTGCGACAAAGTTCGGTGCGCCTCCGACGGCGATACCGAACACGGCGGAGATGAAGAGTGTGATGTTCCAGCTGGGGCGTCTGCCGATGACGTCGGCCATGAAGCCCCAGAAGGTGGCGCCGATGAGCAGGCCGAGGTAGAGAGCGAGCGTGGCGAACTGCACGTGTGCCGGACCGAACTCGAGCTTGATCTGCGGCAGCGACATGGAGAGCGCCTGGAACCAGATGTTGTCGACGAACCAGCCGAAGCCGGCAAGCCAGGTGAGCCAGATCTGGAACTTGCCGAACCCAATGTCGTCCTTGATGGTGCGGTTGAGCAGCGCCACCTTGCGCTCGTACGCGCCGCCCACGCCCATCTCCTGAGCCATGCGGCTGAACTCGGTGAGCGTTGCATCGTCGGTGTCTTGCGAGGCGCGCGTCGTCGCGCCATCGTTCCCAGCGGCGGACTGCGCTTTGCGGCGCCAAAGAAAAGACGGCATCGCAAAGGTATAGCGGTTGATGGTGGTGGCAGAAGCGAAGGCAGGGAGAATCGCCATGTTGGATTCATCTTCTCCAAACCCTGGAGAACGCTGCTCCTTCCAGACAGGCACGAGAACAGCACATGCAGGCCCCACTTCGGTTACCGACACCGTCTACAGCCGAAGCCGCCGAAGCAAGGCACACTTTTTTTTTTGCCCCGCCACACAACTGAACAACTCCTAAATCTCAGACGGCGGCTCGCGGCGACTTGGTTGACGAAAAATTCGCGCCCTCGCTAAGCTACTTTCAGAACCCTCTTTTCCCCCACGGCAAGAGACCCGCCACGGCCACAGCACGCTTCCTCTCTAGAGCGCTCGATCTGGTCCCATACGACAACTTGACGTCCTAGCCATCAACTCGCCACAGCGAGACCCAACAGATGCCACGCAGGGGTAGCCTTCCGAAAGGGGCCGGATCTTGGCTCGGTTGACACCCGTCGGAGCGCGGAGGATTTGCGGGACCGGAGAATTGCTGCAGATCATCCGGATTTTCCGCGTTCCACACTATCGTCCCGATAACTATCCCGATCCCAACCTGCGTCGACCCGATCCACCACGCAGCATCTGTTGCCTCGACCCAACAACAAGACCAGGCCAAAGAGAAGCATGAAGAACATCGCACTAGACGTGAACGAGGCAGAGATGCAGCTAGGTGAGCGTGTCAAACATGCGGTCGCCCGTGTCGCCGAGGCCTGGGAGGATGAGGCCCTTTTCGCTCAGCTCGGGGTCGACGTGGCCCACCCAGATCTCGAGCCCAGGCACGGATTCCGTTACGTGCTCGAGACCCTTTTGCGAGGCGAGCACGCAGAGGAACTTGATCTTGTCTACCGGAATGCCCCAGTCGAGGATCATCTGGATACACGCCTGTAGCATTGTCCCGCCGCAAACAGTAAGCACGTTAGTCAAAGCAAGAATCAGTCATGGCGCCCACATGAGACTTACGACGGCAGTGCCACCCGTGGCAATGAGTGGGTCGAGGATGATGACTTGATCCACCGTGGGCGATACGGGTAGCTTGTTGTAGTACTCGACTGGCTGGAGCGAGACCTTTTCGCGGAAGAGGCCGATGTGCAGCACCGACGTGTTTTCCGGCAGCAGCTCCAGGCACGCCTCGGTCATGCCCAGACCTGCACGCAGAATCGGCACGAGTCCAAGGCGTGGTGCCAGCTGCTCGCCCTGAAACGTCGCCAGCGGGCCCTGGCCCTGAACGCCCTTGACGGGCAGCGAGCGCGTCGCTTCGATGCACAGCACCGACGAGATGTTCTTGACCAACGACCGGAACTCTGCGCGAGAGCGACAAGGTCAGCATGCTTGCCCAGTGCGCTCGATCCGGGCCAAATCCCGATGCTTACCTTTTGGGGAAGTGTCGGCCAGACGCAAGTTGGCGAGGTGGTGCGAGATGAGCGGATGCTCGACGACGTGGATATTCGAGCCCGACATGGTGTGATGAATGCAAGCAGCGGTGGAAGCGGTCGATGGTGGTGTGAAGAGAAGGGAGCCGGAGAGCGGCCTCGAGATAAACGCAGTCGAGCGGCTCGAGGGGCGTGCGTTCGGGGGGTGCGGTTGGATGTGGAGCGGCAGCAGCAGCACCCCGCGTGCGTTGCAGGCCTCGGATCCTCGGAACGCGTCAGGCGGTGTGGCCATGCACGTTTATCTCTGGCTCGCTCTTGCCACTTTCTCTCTGCCAGACACGCAGTTCCGCTTCGTTTCCTCTGGAGCTGAGCGGCCTTCAAGTTGAGCGCATCGCCCGCTCGCAGATAAGTCGGGTCTTTCTCTCTTGGTTCGCAGCATTGGGTCAGCGAACATCAAGCCTGGCTGTAGGGAGATGGGCTGTGCCGACACCCTTTGCAGCGGGTCCCTGCACATCAGGACGCAGGACCCTGAATTCGCGCGCGGGCCACACGCTCTCGATTGCCACTGGATTTTTTTGGCTTCAGGATGTTGGCTAGCTCGTCCCTAACAGTGGCTTTCCCCGCAAAAATGAGCACCGGCTTTGGATGGCCGGACGGGCGACGCCGTCTTCCGACCGGTCTCGGCACATGCAAGCTGGTGAGCCCGGCATGCCCAAGCCTCTGAAACAAAAAGAGGGTCCCAACTCGTCCCCGCATTTCCAGCTTCCATCATCCCTTTCCTGGTCCACACATCCGACTACATTCAGAATGGCGCAGACCAAGAACGAGCAGCAGAAGAAGGCGTACGAGGTCACGCTGCAGCGCCTCGACCGCATCCGCAACCACCTCGACTCGCGCCCGCGCTCGGGCCGTCTGGCGGGCAAGGTCGCCATCGTCACCGGCTGCGGCAGTCTTGCAGGCATCGGCCGTGCTACGGCGCTCCAATTCGCCCACGAAGGTAAGTTCTACGCCATTCATTTGATCGAACCACGCTTGCATTGCGAGACTGACCTTTGCTCTGCTTCTATGGCGCAGGTGTTAAGCACATCTACGTGTGTGACATTAACGACGACAACCTGCCCGCGCTCAAGGAGACCATCTCGCAGCGCTACCCGGACGTGCAGTGCACCGCCATCGTCTCGGATGCAGCAGACGAGGCATCGGTCAAGTCGATCATCGACCAGTCACTCGCGGACAATGGCCGTCTGGACATCTTCTTTGCCAACGCGGCGATTGCGACGGGTGCGCCCATTTCCGCAACGGACGTCGAGGATCTGGAGCGCACGCACCACATCAACGTCACGTCGTGCTTCCTCGCATGCAAGTACGCGTCGGAAGCCATGGCCGTCACGTCGGACTCGAAGCCCGAATCGTCCGGCAGCATCATCATGACCGCCTCGGTGGCGGGCATTCGCAGCGGTGCCGGCAGCGTCGACTACTCGGCAAGCAAGGCGGCCGTGATCAGCCTCGCGCAGACTACGGCCTGGCAGCTGCAGCGCACCAACATCCGATGCAACGCCGTATGCCCCGGCCTCATCGAGACGGGCATGACGCTGCCGACGTTTGAGATGGCCCGCGAGCGCGGTACGGCGGGCAAGATCGGTCAACTCAACCCTACGGCACGCTACGGCGTGGCTGCCGAGATCGCGCATGCAGTCACCTTCCTCGCCTCGGACGAGGCGTCGTACGTCAACGGCGTGGCACTGCCCGTCGACGGAGGTCTTGCCGCCAGCTTGCCCGTCGTCCCCGGCAAGTTCCACTGATCACCCTCCTCCCAAAAACGTGCCAGCGAATGTGAAATGATGCAACGACAATGTGTGATGAATTGCAAACGTGGCGGGAAGGGGATCTATGCGTCTCGTGCGGCCTCGTAGGCGTCTTTATCCTCCAAGAACTGGATGTAGGCCAAGGCGGCCGAGATCCAGAACTCGGGCTGCAGCCCTAGCGCATGCATGGCACTTGTCTGGAGCGTCAACCTTCCCCTGGTGTGCGAGTTCCACATCCAGCGTCCGCTCTGGTCCTCGAACCGAACCACCTCGATCGGCTCGCCCTTGCCCGCACCCGTGCCGGGCGGACAGTCGGTCCAGTACAGGCTGAAGCTCTTGTCCGCATCGAGCGCCACCGAGGGCCGGATCTCGGCTGGCAGGATGGAGCATGCCCAGCGCGTCCAGCTCTGCACCGCCGTCTTGCACGCCGCATCGGTGAGCATAAAGTGGCACGCCGACGCCTCCGAGCCGGACGCAAACCGCGATGGTGAGCCTTGATTCGGCGAGTACGGCCGGTCGCCGTTGGCCGAGCGAGGGCTACGCGTGTCAGGAATGGCCAGTTTCGGCAGCTTCCCGGATGAAGCAGGTGGGGTCGGGCGCTCGTCGTCGACTTCCGGGATCATGGGACTTTTGGCTACTGCGGAACTGGGCCGCTTCGAGCTCGACCGTGAGTCTGGTGCATGCGAGCCGGAACCTGTTGCCCCGCTCCGTCGCCGCGCGTGTCCTCCCGCTGAAATCCTGCGTTCCTCTCGCCCTGTCGCAGCTACCGCTACCTCTGGCATGCCCGCCTCGCTCGAGAGAGCACCCCCTCCCTCTATCGCAAGGCCCCTGACACCGTCATTTGCGGCTGCATCCGAGTCGTCCCTAGAATGACCACCCTCGCTCGTCTCGCCACGATCGATGCGCGATCGGACGCGGTTGAGCACCTGCGGACGTATGCGTGTACGCACGGCAAATGTTAGTGGTGATGCCGAAGGATCACGTTCCCCAGCGCTCGGCGATCGGAGTGAGATGGCGGTGTTGGGTGGAAGCAGCGGCGATCGAAGGTGCAGATACCACCCACGCGTGGGTTTGTGCACGCTCCAGCACGTACGTCCCGTTGTGGCGTCGATGATGCTGTCGACGATCTCGTTGTTCTCGGTCAGTGTGCGTTCGCGAAAGTACGCAGGACGCGGCGGCTGCTTGCTCGATGAAGCTTCATGGCTGACCTGCAACCTCAAGTCACTGATGCCGTCCGTCTGGGTGTGGACGAGGAAGGTGAGTGTGTCTGGACCGTACGAGCCGCCGAGGCTGTCTGGACGATGAGCCGACGACGATGCACTAGGCGGATAGCTATGTACGGGCGTTTGCTGCGGTGTGGAGGTGGATGGTGCCGTCGCTATGCTACCCATGGCCTCCCTGACTTCGTTGGAAGCTGGTATGGAGATGGTCGTGGACGTTGCGAAGGAAGAGAGGCTGTACGGCCGTCCATGTGACGAGATGCACGTCCAAAGGGCCGGTTGCGAGGGCAAGTGTTGGTCTGCTGGCTTGGCATCGGTGCGGCGTTCAAATTGTGCACTTTGCGCCTTCAAACGTTCTCTTCTCCACCCGCCTCGCGTCGGCCATGCGGGTTTCTAAATTTGGCATCTGTGAGATCGCCACCAAGAAACAAATTGCTCCGGAAAGCCGCCCGTCCGTTCCGCTCCGTCCGGCTAATCTCGGTTCCCCTCGAATGAACCAACCACCCCGACCTCTTTCCTTCCCGCCTCGACCAACTCTCAGCACACCACCTGCACTGCAGCAGGGATCGCTCTCGATGGCATACGAGGTGAACGCGTCTCCGTCGCCTGCCTATGCAGACGTGGCGAGCGTGCCGACCATCGTGGCCCAGCGGCGCATCACCAACATTCGCAAGAAGCAGCTCATCAAGGCGGCTTCGAGGCCGTTCGACGATCCACCACCACCGCCCAAGCCAGACGAGTGCTGCGGGAGCAGCTGCGATCCGTGCGTCAAGACTCTGTGGAAGGAAGAGCTTGCGTGCTGGCGCGAACGTTGGGGCAGCGCTGCTCAGGAGCAACCTGCTGGCACGAAGAAACTTGGTTCAGCAGCGGCAGTCGTTGCTGAAGCTACTACGACGAGCATGCCTGGGGGCTTTGATTGGTAGAGTCGCATGGTCGTCCCTGGGCATCTCGACGTCGCCGTGTCGAATCGAGCACGAGTGTCGTGTGCGGCCGATCAAGTGAGGTCGCAGCGGCTGCCGAGCTGAGCTCGGAACGCGGAATTCCTCGCATCCAACGGCCTCGCGGCTAAAATGCCCAGCTGGGCTACTCTGCATGCACCTGCATATGCACTCCTCCGCACCTCCATCACTGCTGCCCTTCCACTTACCCCCTCTCATCACTCCGAACGAAGGAGCGCCAACATGCCTCGATATACTGTTCCGACACTGCTTCCCGTGGCGCTCGACAACGGACAGATCTACCTCGAGTCGGTGGTGCAGGATCCGCCGAATGCGTCTTCGTGTCGCGGCCTCGCCATCCTTGCGCATCCGCTCGGTCGTCTCGGCGGATCGTTGGACGATCCCGTGATCACACACCTGGCGTCGCTGCTACTGACGCATGCACAGCTGCGCGTGGTGCGCTTCAACTCGCGCGGAGTGGGCAAGTCGTCCGGCTCGCCTAGCTGGACGGGCAGCTCCGAGTGCTCCGATTTCCAGGATCTCGTGGTGCGCTGCATCGATAACTTCTGCCTCGACTTTCCCGATGCATCGGCGGCACACATCGTCATCGCGGGGTATTCGGCGGGAAGCCTGTATGGAAGCACAGTGCGTGTGCCGCCATCGACGTACGATCTGAAGCAGTTCAGAGGCGGACCCAAGCCGAGGTACATTCTACTCAGCTTTCCCGCCGGCGTCACGTGGGCGCTGAGCTTCTTTACAACAAAGACGTATACGGAAGCGCTCAAGACGTTGCTGACGAGCAGGACGGTGCCCGGGCAAGGGGTGGGGAAGGGTGAGGAAGAGGGTGCGGCACGGGAGGAGTCAACGCCGTCCAACGATGCAGAGTTGCAGCCGACGGCCAGCCACGTGCTCGCGGTGTATGGAGACAAGGATCAGTTTACGGGCATGGCGACGTACGAGACTTGGACACGCGAGTGCAGCACCATCGCCGTGTCGGCATCCACGTTTCATCATGAGCGCATCGAGGGCGCCGACCACTTCTACCGCGGCTCGGGCACGTTGGATGCGCTCGATCGAGCCGTCGGAGAGTGGCTCGACTCGCTCACGGACTAACACGACGACTCTCGTTGAGAACAATTTGTATTGCTGGACCGAGTCTATTGCTATTTGGCGCCGCGCACAGTAATGATACCCCTCTGATGATCCACGTCGTGGCGCCACCCCTCGCGGTCGAGCATCTTTGCGATGGCGGGGCGGAGCACGGCGATCTGGTGGGGCGAGTGTCTGCCGACGCCGGTGACGATCTTGAAGGGCGCCGGGTTGAGACCGGTTCGTGGGCTGGCGTACCACTTGGTCACGTGTTCGCGCACGATCGAAAGGGCTTCGTGCACGTTGACGCCGTGCAGGTCGATCGAGTACTGTGCTGCGTTCTGCGGGATGGAAGCTACACCGGGGCGGACGACGCCGATGGAAGCAGTGCGACGATCAGCCACGAGGGCATGGGATGCCCTGAGGCTCCATGCGCGCGCTTTTGCATCGAGTCTGCGCGCCTCGTCTGCGTAGTGCCAGGCGATACCGCCACGACCGCCGTCGCCGCCCTTGCCACCCGTGCGCACGCCACCGCGCTGCTTCCACGCGGAGGCTGCCTTGCGCAGCGCCTCGTCGCGCCGCGCACGGTACTCGTCGGCCACCAATCGGTACTCGGCCATGCGCCGCATGGGATCGTACTGCGTGGTGTGAGCAGCCAGCCCGCGTTCCGCCGCCACAGGATCGTCCGCAAACTCGTCGGCAGGCACAACGATCGCCGACGATGCAGGAAGGACCGACGCGATCGCCGACCCTGACCGCAACGCTGCCGCTGCACCCGAGGTAGGTCCCGCAGCCTTGCGACCCACCACGCTCGAATACACTCCACTGCCTGCAGTTGCTTTGTTTCCTGCCGCCTGCGAGATCGTCGGGAAGCTCGCTGCGAACTTGCCACTGTTCGCCGCGGCGTCGACGGCGTAGCCCTTGGTGGGCGCTTCGGCGGTCTTGGGCACCTCGGCGCCACCGAGTTCTTGAAGTCGGCGCATGGGGTCGAGCGGGTCCGCACATCCGACTTGCTGCTGAACCAGCGCGTGCAGCTGGAGCAGGTCGATCGCCGCATCTTGCCTGCCTTTTGTGGCACGTAGCGCCTCTGCTGCTGCACCCGCGTCGACGTCGGCAATCACCGCAATGCCCTGTGCGATCTGGTGGGCCGTACCGCTCGGCGCACCACCGGCCTCGTCGAGCGAGGCCAGGCTCGGGTACTGCTCGGCTTCGAGCCCGAGTAGACGCGCAAAGCACACGGCGAGGTTGAACGACGACGCGTTGTATACCGATGTTACACGCGTCGATGGCACATCGAGCAGCGTCGAGAGCTGCGCCAGCACCGACGAGGTCAGCAGCCACTGGTTGTCCGATACCGGGCGGTCTGCATCGGGGTCGCGCGCCGCCGCCTCTTCTTCCGCCGCGAGCTGTGCGGCCAGCTGTGCGTCGGTGAGCTGCGGCGCAGGTGACGCGGTGCGCGAGGCATGCGACGGTGGCGTGGCAGCCAGCTTCTTGAGCACGGTGTTGGACGAGGCGGTGCCGTGACGGAGATCGGTGAGGTTGACGGTGAGCTTTCCCGCAGCGCGTGCCGCACGCTGTTCGTGTTGTAGCCTCTTGCGGGCTGCACGGTGCTTCTTGCCGCGCAGCTGCGCGTCCGGGTCGTCAGGGTGCGAGCCAAGCCCCGCGGCGAGCGCTTCGTAGTCGAGCCCGCGCGCGGAACGTGGTGCAGAGGCCGAGGTGGGGGCAGGAAGCGCATCCTCGGCTTCAATCAGCTCGATGGTCATGAGCGTGTCGACGGCGGTCTGCACATCGCCGTGCGAGTCGTCGAGCGTCTCGCGCAGGAAGGCGGGGGTGCGCGAGGGAAAGGCATGCTGCAGAAAGCTGAGTGGGTCGAAAGCGTCGCGTGGCTGCATGGATGTGGGGCGCCCGACTTCGGCGTCTGAGCCGGCTTCCTCGTCGGTGAGGTGGAGATTCAGCGGATCCTGCGAGGCCGAGTCGACGAGCGTCCACTCGTTGAGCAGGCGCTCGACGGCTGCAACGTCGGTCGGGTCGTGCGTGTCGTGAATGCCTGCATCTGGCGGTGGTGACGCTGCCGACGATTTTGCTTTCGATGAAGCGGTCGTATTCGCTGCGTTCGCTGCGTTGGAAGGCGGATCTTCCGAGCTGGTGAGCTTTCCTCCAAACGCCTTTCTGCGACTCGACACGCCCGCACGCGGCGCTGGGCTCTCGGATCGAGGTTGACTGGCAGGGCTCTCGCTTTGCGGAGAAGATTCCGGTGTTGTGTCTGGTACAGCGGCAGCAGCAAGTGTCTCGCACACCTCCTTTGCGCTCTGCAGTGTCTGGTTGGGCTCGTACGCGATGGCGGCCACCAGCGTGGTGTCGAGCGGCGGGCAGAAGAGCCGGCTGAGCTCCGCCTGGATTTGGTCGGGCGACATGTGGATCGTTGTGGGGCTCCTTGCAGCTCGGTCCTGAGTTCATGAATGCATGGTGGGATGAACGGAACGAGGCGATGCGGTTGCGTGGTTCGAGCCAGCAGCACAAGGGGGGGGGGGGGATCCAAATGCTTTTCTAAGAAGGTGTCACAAACTTGCGGTGCGGCGCTACGTCAGAGGCCGAACGCGCGTGGCTGACTGACAGTTCTTCCTGCGCACCAAAAGCGCTCGAATCGCACAAATCGCCCAAATCGTGCATTTCGCCTTTCTTTCTCCACATCGGAAATTTCGCGAGCATTTTCCACACAAGAATACTTCGCTCTAACAATTCTAGGAACAGCGGGTGCGCATTTCACGCGGCGAGAAAAGGCAGACGCGCTCTTTGTTGGGAGCCGGCGCGGCAGATCGTCCGGGTTGGCAGCGCTGCCAAAGGCCGTCTGGCCGGTTCGGACTTTTGAATGCGGAGACACTTTTCCCGCACGGGGCGCAACCACCTCGAGCCTTGCCCTTCTGCCTCCATCATCCTCAGAGCACCGCCTCCTCATCACTGCTGGCTCGACATGGCGTTTGCTGATCCTGTCATCGCGTGGCTGCAGCCCTACGCGGATGCGTACGGCATGCACCATGCACCCGCCCACTTCCCTACGCTCGTGCGCTCGGCGCTGCTGTGGTTCGCCATCCAGACGCTCTCGTCGCAGCTCTCGCCGCGGTTGCTGCCCAAGACATTTGCAAAGTTCAACCGCAAGACGCGCATCTCGTGGGACATCCACGTGGTGTCGTTCGTCCACGCTGCGCTCATCACGCCGCTCGCCGCGCGCATCTGGTGGAAGGCGCGCCAGACCAACGCGCTCGGGCTGCACACGCATCCGCTCGCCGTCGACCGCCTGTACGGCTACGACTACGAGGCGGCGCAGGTGTATGCCATCGCCCAGGGCTACTTTGTATGGGACTCGGTCGTGTCCATCCTCCACGAGGGTCCCGGCTTCATCGCACACGGCCTCGTGGCGCTGATTGCGTTCACGCTCGTCTACCACCCGATCTTCATGTACGACGGCATGGGTTTCTTGCTCTGGGAGCTCTCGACGCCGTTCCTCAACATCCACTGGTTCTGCGACAAGCTCGGCAAGACCGGCTCCACCGTGCAGCTCGTCAACGCCGTGTTCTTGCTCTCCACCTACGTCGGCGCGCGTCTGACGTTCGGCGTGTACAACAGCCTGAGCTTCTTCAAGTTTGTCGTCGCACCGGCCAAGCCGCACCACCCGCCCATCCCGCTGCGCCTCAAGACGTTCTACATGGTGGGCAACGTGATCCTCAACAGCCTCAACTTTTTCTGGTTCCGCGCCATGGTGCGTGCGGTGCAGAAGCGCTTCACGGTCAAGCCTAGCCCGGACTCGAAGAACGGCAAGCTCGATGCGCAAAAGGTGGTGCGCGGCCAACAGGGCATCAAGCTTGGCGTGCAGGACAAGGACGACGAGCAGTTCTGGCAGGAGGCGGGCGCCAAGAAGGCCGGAAAGGCGCAGTAGATCGCCCACCGACAAGACTCTAGACGTCCAGCGCATCGCGCGCGTACAGGCCGTTCGACAGTTGCAATCCAAGCCATCCCGACATCAAACGCAGACGGTGCGCAAGTGGCTGTTTTCGTGTGTGTGTGTGTGTGTGGATTTGTTATTTGGCAAAGTTAGTTGGCGGCGAGGAGCGACTGCTTCATCTTTTCAAAGAGCTGGTCGACCTGTGCGCCGATCTTTTTGGTTTCCGCCTCGAGCTTCTTGGATTCCTTGTCGCCCTCGTTTTTGCCGACGACCTTGCGGTCGATGTCGGACTTGATCTGTTTGAGCGCTCGGTGGCGGGCGTCGCGGATGCTGACGCGGGCATGTTCGCAGATGCGCGTGAGGTCCTTGACCATGGCCTGGCGCGATTCGGTGGTGGGCTGGGGCACAGCGACGCGCAGCACATTCTCGTCGCCCGGGTTGGTGTGTGGCTGCGTCTGCGGTGTGAGTCCCAAATCGGCGGCGTAGATGGCGCGCTCGATGTGCTTGACCATATCCGCATCAAAGGCGGTTACGATGAGCGCACCGTCGCGCACACCCACGGTGGCAAACTCGCGCAGCGGATGCAGCGATCGAGACGACGACCCCGTGCCTGGATACTCGACCTTGACATTGTCCAGCAGCGCAGGATCGGCGCGTCCAAACGATCCGACGAGCGTCGAGGCGGTGGTACGACAACGCTCAACGGCGCGCGTCATGTTTTGCGTGATGGTGCCAAAGTCGAACGCTTCCTCCGGCAGATCCTGGTTGCGAGTCGACGTCTTGTACTCGGCATCCGACGGCGCGTCGTCATCGCCGCGCTTCGAACGCGACTGCCCACCTCGGTTCGCCTTGCCGCCCTTGCCCTTGGTCTTCATCACGGGCACATCGTCGTCCTCCGCTGCATGCGGATCAATGTACTGCGCCGACGAGCGCTTCGACTTGTACCTGCGCTGCACGTCGAGCGCACTTGCACACGCAGCCGGCCTGGACAGTGGCATTGCGAGCGGCTGGCGCAGGACTGCGGTCGAGATCGTTCGGGCGCGCGATGTGGAGGCGACCGAGCGCAGGGTCGGAAGCATTCTCGCGGCACGCTGAACGAAAGGAGCGGCAGACATCGTAGATAGGAGAAGGCGATTATGAGAGGGGTCGTTGCCAGGTCGGACGATGGTGCAGGTCCAAGCGTCGTCGGCTCGTTAAAAATCTGATTTGCGGGCCGGGAGTCGGCTTAGGAATTCGGCCTAACAAATCTGAACAAAAAATGTGGAGGCTGAGGCGGAATGACGCTTTTTATGCGGACGGCAGCTTCCGAACGATGCGCGCCGCTTCACCTCTGTGTATCGGAATGCACCGAACAGCCGAAGAGCAGCAGCATTGCAGCGCCGGTTTCAGTGCCAATTGCCAATCCAACGCCCTCGCCAACCTTTCCTCCTTACCCTTTCGTCCTCTACCTCCTATCGCATCGCCTCGCCTCGCATCGCCTCGCATCGCCTCGCCTCGCCTCGGCCCGCAAAGATGGAGTACCTCAGGCTCATCCACAACGTCTTCACCGAGCCGCTCTTATGCCACCTCAACCTGCTCACCCCGGGCGGCGGCGACCCCACCTTTGGCCGGTCCGACATCCCCTACTCGGCGTCAGAGCATCGACTCATCTACTCAAACCCAGAAGTATCCGCCATCCGCCGGCGCGTGCTCATCCCAGCGCACTCGCTGCTCGAGTCCGGCTCGTGGGATAAGGAGAAGTGGTCGTTTGTGACGTATTACGTTTGGACGTGCCCCGAGGCGCTCGAGCGCGAACAGCTGCATTCGGACATTGTGCTTGCGCACGGAATCAACGACTATGCGGGCAAGCTCGCGCCGCACGCGCTGCACTTTATGAAGCGCGGCTTCCGCGTGATTGCGATCGACCTGCCCAGCTTTGGCCGCAGCACGGGCCTGCACGGCTACCTGCCCAGCATGAAGATCAATGCGCGCGCCATGCATGCCGTGGTCATGGACGTGCGCACCTGGGACGAGGAGTCGGGCTTGCTCGGAAAGGCGGGGCGCGAGCGCAAGCTGTTTGCAGAGGGACACAGCATGGGCGCGTTCACTGTGCTGTACTACGCTGCGCTCTATCCGCCGCTCGAACAGGCGCAGGATGGAGGGCCGGATCTGGCGATCAAGCAGAGACCGAGCGAGCAGGCCAAGACCATCACGGACGACGAGCTGGTCGAGGAGGCACTCAACGCACACGAACGCACGCCGCTCGCCCACCACAAGCCGCCACACGACCACAGCAACGGCTCGAGCTCGGCCGTGCTGCCGGGCAAGCCGGCGCCGTACAGACCCTCGCTGTCGGGCGTGGCGGTGGCAGCACCCATGATCACCATCTCGTCCCAGTCGCGTCCCAACAAGGCGGTCGAGTACATTGCGCACGTGCTGCGCTTCTTCGCCGGCAGACTGCCCATGGTCACCGCGATCAAGGGCAACGTATCCGACGACCCGCGCGTCGAGCACGAGTTCGAGGCAGACCCGCTCACCTACAAGGGCAAGCTCCGCATCAGCACGGGCCTCGCCATCGTAGCGGGCATCGAGGATCTGGCCAAAAAGGCGCATCTCATCACGTGCCCACTCACCATCCACCACGGCGCCAACGATCGAGTCACCGACCCCAACGGCAGCAAGATGTTCTTCGACAAGGTCGCCACCCCGCCCGAACACAAGAGCATCAAGATCTGGCCCGGCTACGAACACGGTATGTCTGCCACCCTTTCTTTCTGCCGAGCTCATGTGCACGCTTGCTGACGTTGACCCTTGGTGGGCCATGGCGCAGTCATGATGAAACACGTCCAGGGAATGTCCAAGGAGGACACGCAAAAGACGCTCGATGTGCTCACCGAGATTGTAAGTTGTGCCTTGCCTCGACTGCTGTCTGGGCGCTTTGCTGATATTTGCATTGGTGCGGTGTTGCAGGGTGACTGGCTGGTGGAACAAGCACGACGATAGACACGTAGAAACGGGATTACATTTGCCAGACGGTGCGTGTTCAGCGCAGACCGAAGCCCTGAAAATGTTCGATGGCGACCGCTACCTTCTGCTCGAGCAGGTGCCGGGTCGGATACGTGGGCAGGAACAGCGTTGCCGTGCACGTGGATGACCAGGGCAACGGCCACGACTTTGCATCCGCTCGCTCGGTGGGCACAATGTGAATGCGCAGTCCCACGCCGCGCGCACCCGTAGCAGGCAGATCCTGCGCGCCCGTGATAAACGCCAGCATGCGTCGCTGTCCCTCCGCCTCCAACGCGGCCCACACTTCCCAGAACCACTCGACCACCCTTGCGCCCGTGCTTTGAGAGATCACTTCCGTGCTGGCACGCAGGTCCTGCACATCTAGCCGCGATACAGAGGCACTGGGTGATGCAGGGAGCGCCACGAGTGCCTGGTTGAGCTCGCTGGGGGCAAACAGCGAGACTGCCAACCCGCCGCGTGCGAGGACATCGCTAGCCGACTCGGCACCACACTCCTTCCCCAGCCACGCGGACGGCATGATGCTCTGCCACGCCGCATGGAACGCGCCCACACGCCCTCGTGCCGAACCGACCAGCACGCGCCAGATGAGCTTCGACACGAAATCGTGCCTCTCGATCATGCGCACCGCTCGGTGCCGACCCCCAGGGACGAGGTCGATCGTCTTGATGCCGCCATCGTGTGTGCGGATGGTCGTGCTCCACGTGAGCGAGAATGTCGCATCGAACGCGCCATCTGCATCCGCAACACCCGCGGGTGGCTGCCAGTCAAGCACCGCCTGCAACGACCTCGCCAGCCGCGCATCCATAAACTCCAGATCCATCGGCAGCAGCGAGACCGAGTCCAAATCCGCGGCGATTGCGATGTTAAATGCGACGTCCGGCAGCGCGAATGGCAAAGTGAGCTTGGCACTGTGCAGTGCGGCCAATCCCAGCAGCAGCCCAAGAAACGCCGCGGTGGTCTCAGCGTCACTATCGTCGGCATCGTTGGGGGTGGGGAGGAACCATCCGTGGTGCGCAATGGTTTCGCTGTGGTTCCAGCCGGCAGTGACGGTTGCGAACCACTCGCGCGCCGGGCCTCCGCCATCCGCCGCGTGCTCGCTCGCAAACTCGACACGCAGCGCACGCACTGCCGCCTGGTCGACCTCGCCCTCGAGCACCTGCGTCAGCAACTCGCGGCTCTGAGCCCACGCTGCCTTGCGCTCGATCTTGAGCGACAGCGAACCGGGCATCACCACCAGCTGCGCCTCTCCCTTGCTGTGCTCGAGACCCAACCTCTGCCCTCCCGTGCGCGGACTGACGCGGGCAAGACGCACCTCATTCTCGAGCTGCATCATGCGCACCTTGGCGCCGAGCGAGACAAGGAACGCTGCCTGGCATACGTTGAACTGCGCCATGCCCGCGGTGGGTGTGGCGAGGCGCACGCGCGACGCCGCATGGTGCGCAAAGTGCTCCAGAAACGGCGCCAGATCCAGCACGGTGCAGTAGAACGCGTGGACGGGCAATCGATGTGCTGCGGCGCGCGTGGTGTTGTGCACAAAGCACAGCGACAGAAAGCGCGCCAGCGACACAAGAGCCGCGTCTTGGTCGGGCGAGAGCACGGCGGGGTTCGAAGACATTTGCTGCCCACACAGCCCGACCAGCTCGCCCACGAGCCCAACGAGCACGTCGTCTTGCGCGTCCGGGTGCGTTGCAGCGAGCGCCGTGCATCGTGCAAGAACGTCGGCAAGAAGCCCCCCTGCTGTCGCTGCGGAATCGGTGGCGCGGTGGAATACGCCCAGCACGCCCAGAAAGATCTGCTGCAGCGCGGTGGTGAGCTGTGCATCGAGCATCACCCGTGCGCCCGTGGGACGCAGAGCTTGCAGGAGCAGAAGCCGCGCCAGCACCTCAACCAGCTCGCTACGCTCCGCATGCACCAGCCCATCCACTAGCTGCCCAAGCCCTCGCAGCACCGCCTGTCGCACCTCATCCTGAAGCGACGATGGAAGCACGTCCAGCCTGAGCCCGGGCTGCTGCAGTCCAGTCGGGAGCAAGTCGTCTGTCAAGATCCCCTGCGCCGAGTGGTGGTGTGACGACCAAGTGGTGGGGTCTGCAATACGTGCCTCGACTGCTGCGAGCAACCTCGTCTCCGGCGCGCCGTTACCGTCTCCAGCAGCAGCTGGCGGCAAGCTAGCAACTCGACTCTGTACAGCCGCAAGAGTGTTGGCGCGACGGCACTGCTCTACCAGCTGCTGCAGGTCCAGATTGGGCATCTGCTGCGTCTGCACATCGGGCGCCGTACTTCCGACGCTTGCCGACGTCTCGCCTGGCATACCGCCGATCTTAGCATCCGCGTTCTTCCCTCCCGCGTTCTGGAGCGGTATCCCTGCATGTGCCGCGTCGATCTTTGCCTTGACGCGGTTGCGCACGTGTTTGTGGTTGTGCCGCTTGTAGATGCGTGGTCCCATATGCGCAGCACCGAGCTCTTCGTCCAGATTGGCGAGCACACGCAGCGGGTCTCCGCCGAACGACGACGTCGCGAACATGGCGAGGCCTGCGCTCGTGCCGTTCTGCTGCCAGGGCGATGCGGACCGGCTGCTGCCCGCCGACGAGAGGTCGCGGAACACGATCGAGGACATGGTCGCGCCGCGCGCCGACACCTCGCCCGCATCGTCTTCGTCCATGGACGCGTCATCGTCATCGTAGTCCGAGAGCGAATGGATGCGCGAGGTCGATGGGTCGCTGCGTGTGATGTGCGAGCGCTTGCGCGTGCCGTGACTGGCGGCCCGTTGCGCAAGCTCCTGACGCCGCGTCGGGTACGGGTTGAACGATGCCGGCGAGATGAGCGACGACGACGAGTACGACGCTTGCTGCGGCCGGCTGGATGCACGCCGAGCTTGCGGAGACGAGAGCGGAGGAAACGCGGCCGACGACGACGAGGCCAGTGGCGGGCCTTGTGAGGAAGTCGATGCGGACGAGGAGCTGGCGGCTGGCGAGGCGGAGGACGCCCAGCTCTTGGAAGTGCCCCAGACGGGGCGCCGAGAAGGATCGCTCTCTGGCATTGCCTCGAGTCTTTCAGGCTCTGTGAGTCCGGTAGAGATGGTGATGAATCAAGTGAAGCGCGAAGAAGCGGCCGGCTGCACAAGTGTTGGTGTGGAGCACCTCTCTGTGGCAAAGTCCGAAATCTTATCGCCAAATCGGGCTCTCAACCGGCGAAATCGCCCACACAAATAAAAAAAAAAAAAATAAATAAATAAAAATAGAAAAAAATGCAAAGCCGGCAATTTTTCGGGCTACTTTTCTTTTCGATATTTCTCGGAGAATTTTTCAATGCGGAATCCTGCAGACGTTGGAACAGCTCGGCTGGCATCATCATCACCATGCACACTCTTGTCAACCTCGCTCGGAGCAATGCTGCCAACATTAATCACCGGCAAACAGAAAAAGTTGAGATATTGTACACTGCAAGAAATCAGACTGATGAGGCGACGAGGACTGTTACTGCCTCACCTGGGCTTCGACGTCCTTGGCCCACTCTGCGTCCGCCCCTACGCTTGCACGGCCGCTGGTGGGCAGCGTGATGTCGTTGACCGACATCTCGGATGTCATACCCGTCTTTGGCCCTGCTTCGATCGTGCTACCCCTTGCAGTTGCGCTGGGGTCGAATTCGTCGCCTCCATGCAGGTACACGAGCGGCAACGCCAGCAGCGCCGCACCCACCACATTACCCAAGAAGCTGGCAATGACGCTCTTCCACACGTACTCTCCCACGCCAAAGTTGGTCCTCCTCGTCATGAGCGCCGCGTTGACCAGGAACATGTTCGCCACCACATGCTCGAATCCAGCTGCGACAAAGACAAAGATGGGGAACCAGCTTGCGACGACCTTAGACGCAACGTCCTTGGCGAGGCTTGCCTGGAAGACGGCGATGCAGACGAGGACGTTGCAGCCGATAGCACGCAGCCAGAGTTCGCGGAAGTTGATGGCGGACACTTTTGCGTTTGCGCTTGCTGCAGCGCCGGCGTTCATGGCGGGCGTGTAGATCTCCGAGTAGTGCACGAGCAGTCCTGCGTACAGCAACGAGCCGACGAGATTGCCGATGAACGTGATGGCCCAGCCGTAGAGGAATGCCCAGTAGGGAACCCGACGTTTGACAGTCGCCATAATGAAGATCGCCATCTCTCCAGTGACCAGATCGGCTTGCAGGAGGACGATCATTACGAGACCGACGGGGAAGACCGCGCCCTGGAGGATTTTGAGAAGCCCGGGTGCGTTGGTGGCCAACCAGGGATTGGCAGACATGATCTGCACCAACATTCCGCCCGTCGACAGCACTGAAATCACGAGGTCAACATGTCAGTACACTTGCGAAGAAGAGCCTCGTTTGGAGAGATACGCACGAAAGCCGGCCATAATGCCCTTTACGAAGCGCTTGCCAACGTCCATGCGGTGTTTGCGAGGCCCCGCCTCGATCCACGACCACGTCGCCTGTTCGAGCGTGACCATCTGCGACATTGTTGCCAGATCTCTGTGCCTTGATGCCTCGATGGAGTACAATGTCGTTGGTGTCGAGAGTGGCACCTCTGGTTGATGGTGATGCGATACCAGGATAAGGGTCGTCGGAAGAGCCAACGACGTCAGCAAAATTTTTCCCCTTATATAATGGGTTTTTTGCGTGACGGAATGGCTCGCTATCCTCACGACGTCGGTACGGCATTGATGGACGGCGAAAGGCGCACATTCCACCACTCTCTCCGCCCGCAATCTCCAGTCCGCCCGCATGCTCGTGTGCTTATCAGTGACGCTCCTCGCGAGTTGTTCAACGTCTGGTGGGCAAGAACGCGTGCGCTAATCAGCGGGGAATTTGCTACGCTCGGCAAGGGACCTCTTAGCGTGACTTCTTATCTCTGGTTCTCCACGGGGTCCTTGTGGCATGCTAGCAGCGGTACAAGCGGAGAAGTACGCTGATAACACGATAACATCCCAATGCTGGTACACACCACCAAACGCCGACCAGGCACTGCCAAGCTACAGTAGACAGATCGCCTGCATGGCGCTCCGCTACGAGCGTCGAGATAAGGGCGGCGTGTGAAATTTTGGCCTGTCTGACGCCGATCCAACAGTGCAAAGTGAGATTTTCAATCCGGCGGAACCTCATGCACACACACATGCGCCCAAAGATCTTTGAAACCGGATACTGATTGCTGATTGCTAGACGAAACGGAACAATGCGAGACGAAGCGATACTGGAGCACGTGCAGAGTCAAGTGAATCTAGAAACTAGTAGTGGCGAACTATGCGCTGACGGTGGTGAAGAGCTTCAGCCCCTCATCGGTAAGCTCGGCGCGCAGGTCGTCGACATTGGCACCCTGGGGCAGATCAAACGTCTTCTGCACCGTGGCAGGTGCATCGCTGGTGACGGTCGCCGACGAGGCGCGCGTGAAGCTGACCTCGACAAAGTCGTCGTCGCCATCGTTGGCCTCGGGCGTGACGATCTCGTCGCCGTTCTCGTCGACGTCCGAGACGCGTGCGCGCTTGGGCGAGCGCGAGCGGCCACGTCGAGACGAAGAGTCGCTGGGAGCAGGGCTGGCAGCGCGCACAGGCGAGGCCGACGCTGCGGGCTCGTTGTTCCACAGTCCCGAGACGGTGACCTTGCGTGCGGCCTCGTCGACGGAAACGTTGATCTGGTCCGCACGTACGCTGGCCTTGTCAAAGTTGCCGGTTGAGGGGAAGGCGTGCGAGAAGACAAGCTGTTCGGCCTTGGTGGCGGGTTCGGGAGCGGCAACATGAGTGGCGGTGGTAGGTGCGGGGCCAACCTCTTCAGGATCGGCATCCTCCTGCATCAGAGCCGACGCGGCGGCAGCAGCGGTGTCGTCGGCAGTGTTGTCCTTGTCCACGTCCATAGCCTGTGCAGCGTCGGCCACTTCCTGCTCGGTAGCCTTGGCCTTACCCTTGGCATCGATGGTCTGCGCGGGAGCAGTGGCGGGGGAAGCGTTGGGGGCGGTGTCGTTCTTGTGCGCGAGCTCGACATCCTCATCGTCGTCGTCATTATGCTGCTGAAGGGCGTTGCAGAAGCTGGTGAGGCCGCCAAAGAGCAGATCCTCGAGGGCGAGGAAGAGGTGCTTGGACTCGTCCTGGGCTGCGCGGGCCGCGGCGATGCGCTGGCGTTCCTTCTCGATGGCGTAGGCCTTGCGTCGCTGGTACTCGTCGTACTGCTGGCGGCGAAGAGCCTCGTGTCGCTGGCGCTGGAGCTGTTCGAGCTGGTACCTGCGCTGAGCCTCGCGCTGCTGCATGGCTAGCACGTGCTCGAGGTAGGCACGAGCCTGACGCTCTTCGGCCTCCCTACGAGCTGCAGCGGCGGCAGCAGCCCTAGCCCGGCGGGCAGCCTCGGCGCGCTGGGCGCGCTGGGCCTGAGCACGGGCATAGGCGGCTCGCTCCTGCTGTATTGCATCGGCAAAGCTGTCGGCGAAGAGCGGGTGGCTGTCAAAGCCACATCCGCTGAAAACGTTGGCCGAGGGACCGGCCTCGTAGGCGGGGCGTGGGGTGCGAGCCTGACGGGGGTAGGCGGCAAAGACGTCGGCGGGGAAGAAGAACTCCATTGTGTTGGTCTGGTTGCGCGGTTGCGAGACGAGTGTGTGCAGTGGAGGAAGCAGGTTGGAGATCGATAACAAGTGTCTTTGAGGGGCCAAGGCAGAGAGAGGAGATGTGCTGGACTGTGTCTGATGGCGGAATGAATGTGTTGAAGGGACGATGGCATTGTGGTCTTTATAGGTGGGGGCTGCCGTTAGGACGGATGCTGCAGGGTGTCGTGTACTGTAGCGTCATGCGCAGCACTGTGGAGGCGGGCGGCGGAGCGGGAGGGGCTGATAGCTCTAAGTCCGAAGACGCCATGCTTGCCACGTTGGACCCTGACGTTCGGCAAGCGTCTCGAGGCTCTTGGAAGCCGTGATTTGGATGCCGAACGACTGCTGCGGATGCTCAGCGATGCCGGAAGACGCTCAGCGATGCATGTAGAAAGCGCTGGAAATTGCCCGCAGCTGCACAGAGCAGACCCTGACCGGGACCCTGGGCGCCAAAGGCCTCGACCGCGAACCTTCTCGCATTTTCCACGCGAATCCTCAAATCCCGCAGCCCCCGATGCGATGCAGATCTCGATTCAGATTTGGATCTAACAATCTGAAGCGAATTTTCCCAGGTGGGAATTCCGAACGCGAACCATGCGCCTGCACCCCTGAGCACCGACGTTTGGCCGGTCTTGGCAGGCAGATTGTATGCACGCCGCAACCCCGAGATGTGCAGCAGCTTTCTTTGCTTGGACCGCTCGGAAAGAGCGTGCAATGCTGCTGCAACGTGGCCTTTGTCTTGCAGCCCAGTTCGAGCGAGGCTTATTGTATGCTCATGCAAAGCGGGCCGTGGTCCGAGTCACCACTAACTCAAGCATGGCATTGCAGTGCTAAGGCTTTATGAGCCCTCTTCCTCTCTGCACGGCGTGCGAGTCAGTCAGGGGCGGCTGGGGATGGCAGGCGGGCAGGCATTTGGTGGTTCGGTAATGCTGCAGCTGCGTCGCCGATCCACAGTACCGACTGCGTCAAGCGAGGCGGCCAGGCGGCAGATGGCGGCCATACCGCACATTCATGCCGAGCCGCTGCGTGCGCATTGCAGCGTGCGTCTGTGGGCCGTTTCTGAGAATTTTCAAAATCGGCAGGTGGCTGCCGCCCGTCGGTTTGGTCGGTGGGCGAGCGGGGCCTCAAGGCGATCCTCGCTTCCAGCCTCCCGCCGCCGCAAAGGATGCTGTCTCGGCTCGACCCGCCTCTTTCCGCCTCTGCTCTCCGCAAAAGGGTCTGCTCGCTCCACTTTTGGGCCTCGCGATCTGGACTGCCTGCCTGCGAGCCATGAAAATTCCAGGTCAGCCGCCGCCGCCGCCGCAAACCCTCCCGCTCCGAGACGGCACTCGATGCATCCACCGACTTTGTCCTGCTGCATTCGTATAACCCACCGCCCATCCCCAACCCCAACCACAACCCAACCTCATCCTCGATTCGCTTCGTCCCTACACCACCACCACCACCATCCTTTCCTCCTTGTCGATACCCTTCTCACTCACCAAGCACAAAATGGCACCTCTCGCAAAGTCCCTGGCCTTGGCCTCTCTTCTCGCTGCGCCCGCCATGGCCGCCGTCACCTCGCGCCCCCAGCTCGAGGTGAGGCAGTACCAGGACCCCAACTCGCCGCTCGTCATCAACGAGCCCTCGTGCGACTTCCACCAGTGCATCATCTACTGGGTGCCCGGTAGCCAGGTCGCCGTCAACTGGATCAACCCGACGCAGGGCACGGTTCAGGTCGACCTCATGACCAACAACAACTCGGACGTCGCCTACAACGTCGGCACCTACCCTGCCACCTCCAACACGTGCGATGCCGGCGCCGGCTACGGCCAGCCTGGTCCCAACGGTGCGCAGTGTGGTGGCTTTGTCTTCTCCGTGCCCAGCTCGTGGAATGCCGGGAATTACTCGGCTCTCCGCGCCATGTCGGTGCAGGACCAGAACCTCCAGTCGTACACGGACAAGATCTACATCACCCAGAACGACACCACCTCCAAGAACGCCCCCTTCTCCATCGTCAGTGGATCCAGCGCAGGCACTGCTTCGGCAACGTCTGGCTCTTCCACCGCTGCACCCGCTTCCACTACTGGCAGCTCGAGTGCTGGTCCCACCGGCAGCTCGTCGCGTGGCTCGGCTAGCATGACGGCGTCCAGCACGAGCGGTCGTACCTCGTCCACCGGCACCCCCGCTACCAACGCTGCCCTCTCTAACAACGCCGGTACCCTCGCCTTCACCCTGACATCCGCTTTCGCTGTGGGCCTCGCCAGCCTCCTCTGAGCGCGCATGCACCTTCAAATTAGACTCTCGGACAATAGGCTCAACCTCATCCTTGACACTTTGACTCGCACAGAACAAGCTCTCTCACTGCTCCAACGCTCTTTTGGGCCCCGCACATCCTCCGTTCCTCGACGGTCCGCACTGTCACTGTTCCTCACCACGAGCTGCTGCCTTCGGCTCGTCGCATACCGTACCGCTTGGCCAGTCGACGTCGCGTCGTCTTACCAGCCAGTGTACACCACATCTTGTACATACCCTGCCCCACTCTCATTGATTTATTTTGTTTCTGTGGTCCTCTCTTCTCCCGCTACCGTAGTGCCGACGAACGAATGTTTGCGATTCGATGACGAGTGTGCTAGATGAAGGCAAGCAAGGGTGGGTTAAGCTGCAGGATGGACCGAAGCATCGCGTCGATGCATATTTTACTCCTGAAATCGGCGATCAAGGAAAATGGCCGAAATGGAGGCCGGGGCGGAGGCCGAGATGGCAGGCGCGCAGATGCAGCTCTGTGACCAAACGCACGTCTTCTCCGCAATCACCCAACGCACCCTGCTTGTCGTTCATCAACCAGCACCGCCCCTGCTCCTCTAGCGTCAACAACGGAAGGCATCGTTACTTCGCCTCTCGCCTCGACCTCGCTTGTCCCAGCCTTGGCCGCTCGCCACATCGACAAGCTCAGCATGGCCGCCAGAAGCGAGACCGAGCAGCAGGATGCGGGTCCCGACCCGATCCTGCTGTCACTCTTCGCCAATCGCTTCATGTCGGTCGCCGAATCGATGGGCAAGTCGCTGCAGCAGACTTCCATCTCCACCAACATCAAAGAGCGACTCGACTTCTCCTGCGCACTCTTCAGCCCCGACGGCTCGCTCGTCGCCAACGCACCCCACCTGCCCGTCCACCTCGGATCCATGTCGTTTGCCGTCAAGTTTCAGGTGGACTACCTCGCCTCGATCGGCGAAAAGATGAAGCGCGGCGATGTGATCATGGCCAACATGCCCGTAGCGGGCGGTTCACACTTGCCGGACATTACCTGCATTACGCCCTGCCACGCTGCTGACTCGGACGAGATCATCTTCTTCTGCGCCAGCCGTGGACATCACGCCGACATTGGTGGCATCACCGCCGGATCCATGCCTCCCACCTCCAAGACGCTGTTCGAAGAGGGCGCGCGCATCAAGTCGTTCAAGATCGTCAGCGAGGGCAACTTTGATCGCAAGGGCCTCGAGCGGTACATGCTTGAAGAACCCGCCCAGTACCCGGGCTGCTCGGGCACGCGCTGCTTCCGCGACGTCGAAAGTGACCTGCAGGCGCAGATCGCTGCCAACCAAAAGGGCATCAACCTCATCCACTCGCTCGTCGCCGAATGGGGCCTCGATATGGTGCAGCGCTACATGGAGTACATCCGCACCAACGCCGAGATGGCGGTGCGCTCGCTGCTCAAGGACGTGGCCAAGCGCATGGGCACCAACAGGCTGCATGCACTCGAGCACATGGACGACGGAACGCCCATCGAGCTCAACGTCGACATCAACGCGGAGGAAGGATCAGCAGTGTTCGATTTTGAAGGAACGGGCCCAGAGGTGGCGGCCAACTTCAACTGCCCGCGCTCGGTGGTGTCGTCGGCGATCATCTACTGCCTGCGCTCCATGGTGTCGTCCGAGATTCCGCTGAATCAGGGCTGTCTGACGCCGATCGACATCCGCATTCCCAAGGGCTCATTGCTCGATCCGTCCGAGACGGCGGCGGTGGTGGGCGGGAACGTGCTGACGAGCCAGCGCATTACGGATGTGGTGCTCAAGGCGTTCAACGCTGCGGCGGCAAGTCAGGGCGACACGAACAATCTCACGTTTGGCCTGGGCGGCAAGGACAAAGAGGGCAACCATGTCGAGGGTTTCGGATACTACGAGACGATCGCGGGCGGGTCGGGAGCGGGGCCGTACTGGCATGGCACGTCGGGCGTGCATACGCACATGACCAACACGCGCATCACGGATCCCGAGATCATGGAGCGCAGGTACCCCGTGGTGTTGCGCGAGTTTTCGCTGCGCGATGGATCGGGTGGCGAGGGACGCTTCCGTGGCGGCGATGGTGTTGTGAGGGACATTGAGTTCCTCTCGCCAGGCATTCAGGTGTCGATCTTAAGCGAGCGCAGGGTGTTTGCGCCGTATGGTCTCGAGGGCGGAGAGAGCGCCAAGAAGGGTCTCAACGTGTGGGTCAAGCAGCGCCGTCAAGCGGATGGCGACGTGCGCGAGGGGGAAGAGGAGGGGGAGGCGCCGGCGCGTGTGATCAATCTCGGCGGCAAGAACACGACGCCCATGGGACGGGGTGATCGCATCATCATCAATACGCCCGGCGGAGGAGGTTGGGGCCGCAGGGATGCAGAGCAGCAGGATGGAGAGGAGAGGACGCCGATCAACGAGCGCAATGCATCGGGCAGGATGGCGCCGCTGCTCAACGATGACAAGTCGCCGAGCGGTGTGATTGCCGCGAGCCAGGTCAAGGAGGATGCACGCGATGTGCACAGTGTGCGCGCGCCGCACCATACCACCAGAACCAAGGGTAGTGTGGCAGAGTGGAGCGCGATCCAGCTGGGTGCCTAGCGTGTAGCCATCAATGCAGTTGATCAATGTGTTGTTCTGTCAGAAGTGCTGGTTGGGCGCGGGGGTGTGCGGGGTTGAGCGGCTCGGCGAATTGAGCGGCCCCTGTGGGGAGAAATCGAGTGTGGGGTTAGGTGGAAATTCACGGCGTGGAGGCGGGGCGTTTCCACTTTTGGGTGGATGCTCCCCCCCACGTCGAGTTGAGCGGCTAGAGCGGATATATCTTTGTCTCCAATTGCCCTCGTCTCTTTGCCTCACCACCATCGACCATACTTCTAACGACTTGCAAACATCGAAACAATGGCTACGACGGTGCTTATTACGGGAGCGGGTGGATTCCTGGGCTCGATGCTGGCGGACACGCTGGTTCGACTTCAGCCGGAACAGACATTTCAATTCGTGCTCGTGGACGTGCACACACCACCTGCACCCAAGACGTCGGGTGTCAAGTCGGTGTGTCTTGCAGCGGATCTGACCACCCCGGCGGGAGTCAAGTCGATCTTTGAGACCGAGTTGGGACTTCCTGCTGTGATCTACTCGCTGCACGGCATCATGTCCAAAGGCTCGGAGGACAATTGGGATTTCGGCTTCCTGGTCAACTTTGACTCGACACGTGCACTGCTCGACCAAGCCAAGAAGCTGACCCCCGGGGTAAAGTTCATCTTTGCCTCTTCGGTTGGTGTCTTCGGTGGCAAACTTCCGGACGAGGTCACGCCCGATACATACCCGCGGCCCGAATCGAACTACGGGACGGCCAAGGTGATGTGCGAGTATCTCGTCACCGAGTATTCGCGCAAAGGCTTCATCGATGGTCGAGCGGTGAGACTTCCTACAATTACGGTGCGTCCTGGAGCACCTGCAGCCGCCACTACTGCATTTGTATCCGGCATCATTCGAGAACCCCTGCAGGGCCTCGAAAGCTCGTGCCCCATCGGTAAGAGTGCCGACGACCCCGTGTTGGATACGACCAAACTGTGGATCAGCAGCCCCAGCACGGTGCTCGAGAACTTTGTCATCGCAAAGGACATTCCCGCCGAAAAGTTCCCCAAGTACAGCAGGGCCGTCAACCTGCCCGGCTTCACCGTGAGCGTCAAGCAGCAGATCGAGGCACTGAGGAAGGTCGCCGGAGACGACGCGGTCGCCAAGATCAAGTTCGAAAAGGACGAGGTGTGCGAGCGACTCGTGGCCACCTTCCCTGCCGTGTTCGACAATGAGTTTGCGCTCAGCATCGGATTCAAGGTCGACCAGGGCGGATTCGAGGCCAACGTCAAGGAGTTCCAGGACTTCCTTGCGTCGCAGAAGTCGAATTGAGCCAGTTGACCCACATTGTATGCGCACATCACATCATTCACCATCAATCTAGGGATATTGTCGTGCTTCATTTGACAGGCTATGGATGCACTTGTGTGACCCACTACGGTGGGCTTCAGCCGATTTCATTCGATCGGGTGGAGCAATGTTGATTCATCGGCAGAGTTTCGGTTGAACTACAGTAATATCGAGACCTAAGCTCTTCTCTGGCGATCGCCAGACGAGCTGTTAGCGGCAAAGGACAAGCAAAGTCGTCTCTCGAGGCCCGCTGTATCAGGCCGGGGGAAAAGGGGCGATTCGACGAGCCGATCAGAAGCCTAGATCGGATGCATGTCATCGGGCGGACGGTCCTGGGCTCGGATTGGCATGGCCTGGGCGGCGCTGTTATGAGCAATCTTGCTCAGGACCATGGTGGTCACCTTTGAGAAAGACGAGGACTGAGAGACGAGGACTGAGAGACGATGACTGAGAGACGAGGACTGAGAGACGAGGACTGAGAGATGAAGATGTGGGAGGATGGGGGGCCAAAGCTAGAAACGAGCCGGAGACATGTTGGCATGTATGCCTTTTGATCCGAGAGGCAGCCGTCAAGGCAGCAGAAGTTAGCTCCCCCAACCCGCACTGTCACACCCGAATAGCACAGGCAGTCGGACCAACCGCATGGCGTCTTTAGCCAATCACTGTGATGGTTCGGGAGGCGCCCGGGTCCTCTAGCCGCACCAAGGCGCTCAAAGAGCACACAGAGGTCATCGGCATCGCAGGGGCCGCGTGACTTGGCTTTCGAGGGAGAGAAAGTGGCGCATCCCTGGCTGAGGACCGACCGGTAAATGCGAAAATGCGAGATAGGGCCGAAAAGCCAAGCGCGCGTCACTCGAGCTTGCCTCTGCTGATGTGCCTGCATTTTCGCAACGCTCCTCCCCACACGCTACGCATCCGACTACATGCACGAACCCTGCGTGGCGCCGGTGGGTGCTGTAGCTGACAGTGCTCAGGGCGTGGGATCCAAGTGGGGCTGTTGGGTCGGCTGGCCTGGCTATCATCGGCTATTCCGCTGCTTGTCCCAACTTTTTTGTTGTTGTGCTGATGCGGTAGAGTGAGCCGTGTGTGTCTGTGAGGGGTCGCGGGACAGCGGCGGTTGGCAGCGTCGATCTGCGTTGCTCCAACGCCATGCAGAAGACGCGGCGGCAGCAGCTGCTGCTGTTGCTGCTCACACCGCCTCCTGCTGGCTCGGCATGCCCCTCATAGCAAAGTAGAGTCGACGGCCGCGATGAGCGCCAAACGGAAGTCACCCACCCGTCGGCCCACCCGCCCGCTCGCTGACACACACGCACGCACGCATTCACTCGCTCGCTATCACTGGCTCCGGCTGTATAAGAAGCAGGCGCCCCCCCATACATCGCACTTCTCCCCACGACACCGACCCCCTTTGCGCACCCCAATACCGTGCAAGATCCACAATGGCGCCCACCGCTGACGTCCTCCCCGCCGCCGAGGCCTCCACCCGTCCGGGCCTCCTCGTCCAGCCTTCCGACACCAAGCTGCGCAAGGCCTCCTCCTTCCGCACCGAGCAGGTCGTCATCGACGGCAACAACCTCAAGATCCAGGGCCTCGTCGCCTCCGCGCGCTACGGCCACATCCCCATCCTCGACAGCTCGCCCGCCGTCCGCAAGCGCATCGACGACTCGGTCAACTCGCTCATCGCAAAGCTCGACCGCGGCGAGTCGATCTACGGCATCAACACCGGCTTTGGCGGTTCCGCCGACTCGAGGACCGCCAACACGCGTGCGCTCCAGCTCGCGCTCCTCCAGATGCAGCAGTGCGGCGTCCTCCCCGTCCCCTCCACCTTCCCCACGGGCGAGCCCAGCTCGGCCCCCTTCGCCCTGCCCCTCACCGACACCGAGACGTCGCTCGTTATGCCCGAGGCGTGGGTGCGCGGCGCCATCGTCGTGCGCCTCAGCTCGCTCATGCGCGGCCACTCGGGCGTGCGCTGGGAGGTGCTCGACAAAATGCAGAAGCTCTTCCTCCAGAACAACGTCACCCCCGTCGTCCCCGTTCGCTCGAGCATCTCGGCGAGTGGCGACCTGAGCCCGCTCAGCTACGTCGCGGGCGCCCTCGCAGGCCAGCGCGGCATCTACTGCTGGGTGACCGACAAGTCGGGCCAGCGCGTCAAGGTGACTGCCGACGAGGCCTGCCGCATGCACGGCATCGAGCCCGTCCTGTACGAGCCCAAGGAGGCGCTGGGTCTGCTCAACGGCACCGCCTTCTCCGCATCCGTCGCCGGCCTCGCCACGTACGAGGCCGAGAAGCTCGCTCAACTGACGCAGCTCACCACGGCCATGGCGGTCGAGGCGCTCAAGGGCACCGATGCCAGCTTTGCTCCCTTCATCCACGAGGTCGCCCGCCCGCACCCGGGCCAGATCAAGAGCGCGCGCTACATCCGCGCGCTCCTCTCGGGCTCCAAGCTCGCCGAGCACCTCGAAAACGAAAAGCACGTGCTCTTCTCCGAGGACAACGGCACGCTGCGTCAGGACCGCTACACGCTCCGCACCGCCTCGCAGTGGGTCGGCCCCGGTCTCGAGGACATTGAAAACGCCAAGCGCAGCGTCGACATTGAGATCAACTCGACCACCGACAACCCCATGATCGACCCCTACGATGGCGACGGCCGCATCCACCATGGCGGCAACTTCCAGGCCATGGCCATGACGAATGCTGTGGAAAAAATCAGGCTCGCACTGTGCGCGATGGGCAAGATGACGTTCCAGCAAATGACGGAGCTGGTCAATCCCGCCATGAACCGCGGCTTGCCCGCCAACCTGGCGTCGACGCCCGATCTGTCGCTCAACTTCCACGCCAAGGGCATCGACATTGCGCTGGCCAGTGTGACATCGGAGCTGATGTTCCTGGGCAACCCGGTATCGACGCACGTGCAGAGCGCCGAGATGGCCAACCAGGCCATCAACTCGCTCGCGCTCATCAGCGGCAGGCAGACGCTCCAGGCCGTCGAGTGTCTCTCGATGATCCAAGCGTGGTCGCTGTATCTGCTGTGCCAGGCGTTGGATATCCGCGCGCTCCAGTACAAGGTGGCCGAACAGCTGCCCGCCGTGGTGCTGGCATCGATCAACAGCCACTTTGGCGAGTGGATGGACGAGACCAAGCAGGCCGAGATTGCGATGCTCGTATTCAAGAGCATGTCGAAGCGTCTCGACGAGACCTCGTCCAAGGATCTGCGCGATAGGCTGGTCGAGACGTACCAAGATGCCTCGTCGGTGCTGGTCAAGTACTTTAGCGAGCTGCCGAGCGGGGGTGGTGCGGATCCGCTGAGGAATATCGTCAAGTGGCGTGCGGCGGGTGTGGCCGAGACCGAAAAGATCTACCGCGACGTGACGGTCGAGTTTTTGGACAACCCGTTTGCGTGCCATGCAAGCCATCTGCTCGGCAAGACAAAGAGGGCGTACGAGTTCGTCAGGAAGACTCTGGGTGTGCCCATGCACGGCAAGGAGAATCTGGCAGAGTTCAAGGGCGAGTTTAGCCAGTGGAACACTACTGGTGGGTACGTCAGCGTGATTTATGCAAGCATCCGCGACGGAGAGCTGTACGACATGCTCGCCGAGCTCGAGAAGGAGATCTACTAGGTTAGAGCGAGGATACACTAATTCATCCGTATAGACAGTGTTACCCGGGTTCAAAGGTGTGTGTGTGGGGGGACGTGGCGGCGTGAACAGGACTGTGTGGGATGCGATGGGTGTGGCTCACTAGTCGTGCTGGACCGTGCACGCAAGATGTCACGATGTCACGAATGAGAACAGCGTTTTCATTGCACACTACTCACGAGAACGAGCTACTGCGCCTTGGCGTGCTTGACTTGGTCGGGCTTCCACTCGAGCTCGGCCTGCTTGTGGGTATCGGCGGTGGCGGAGGTGCCGAGCAGCAGCCAGAGCGACTTTCGCACCGAGCTCTCGACCGCCTTTGGCCTTGTCTCGTACAGCGCCGTGAGCGTTGCGAGCCCCAGCGCCAGCACGGCGGTATCGGCATGCGGGACGCTCTTCACCCACCCTCTGCGCTTGGCAACGCCAAGACTGGCATCGATCGACTGTCGTGTCACATACGAGCCGAGCTGTGCACGTCTTGCATGCGGGACAGCAAGAATGAAAACGCTGCTCAGGAAGCCGTTGAGGAAGTACCGCTTGGTGGGCAGCAGTGTACGCGGGAGGTAGTGCTGGAAGAAGCACGTAAGCCCCCAGGCAGTCCCGATACTGCCTGAAATCACCGTAGCTCCCTGCACCACCGCGAGCGCAAAGCGGAACAGCGCCGTCTCTGGATCCTTGAGCACCTTGCGATAAGATAACAGCTGGGCGGCGGCAGTAAAGACGGCGACGAACTTGGCCGAGGCCTGCCACTCGCGTGCAAAGAAGCCGAGGAAGTTGCGCGAGCACGATGGCTCGGTAGGATGCAGCAGCGCACACAGCAGCCGCGAGTGCGCCGGATGCGCAGGTGCATAGTCGAGCACAGGATTGATGAGCGCGTACTTGGTGGTGGGATACCTGGACGGCGTGAGTGCCGACAGCACCGGCGCTTTGAACGCGGGATATGCTGCTGTGGTGCGCGTGGGTGTGGAGAGCAGAGCGATGGTATCGGCCACATCGCGCGGTGCAGGCCAGGGGATCGACGTCGGCAGCCCCGCAGGTCGGGGTGGGATGTAGGATGTGCTGCGCGCCAGGATCACGCGTCCGTACGAAGCGGGGAAGCAGCTCGGCTCGAAGAGGAACGTCCACAGCAGCTGGCCGTTGGCGATCGCGTAGAAGAAGGCGCCTCCGATCCAGTCTGGCACCCAGCTGACCGAGCGCGACTTGACCGCACGCAGATGCGTATACAGGTTCTCCACCGCCTTGGTGCTGAGCCACAGCGCCATCGACCTGCGCAGCGACGGGATCGGGAAGGCCGCCAGCACGCTCGATGCAGCCAGGGCGGCGGCGAACGGCACAAGCGCGGCGGACTCGAGCACGCGCGCCATGCGCGCCTTGATCCTGTCGCGTGTCACGGCATAGTCGAGCCGATCGCGGTTGAAGGATCGTGCGAGCAGCTGGAGTCGCAGCCGCGTCAAGTGCGCCAGCAGCGCGCGATAGATCGCGGAGAAGAGCGCGAGCACGGCGCCGGAGCGGATGGAGGTGAGCGAGACGAATGCACGCAGTGCGTCGCGCGGCGACTTTTTGCGCAGCGCCAGAGGAAGGATGCCATCGAGCACCGCGTTGGCCGAGTAGCCCAGTGCGAACGATCGTGCCAGCACGCGCGAGCGCGGCGACAGCGGCGGGTCGGCGAGAAACGCGCGCAGCTGGGCCAAGTTGCTGGGCACCTGCACGCGCGAGGGCGCCGTCTGCGACGACGAGAGCGGCGATGCCATGGCTACACTTGCAACTCTCCAAGTGGGAGCTCCGTGGCTGATCGTGTGGCCGGCTCGTCGGTTTGATGATGGACGCTGGTGGCAGCAGTGACACTCTGCTCTCCGGCCGGTTGCCTTCCAGTTGGCCCGGCGCTCTCCAGCTCGCTGCTTCGTGCGTCAGTCCGACTTGACTGAACGGGGCGTGAAATCTGGAAAACGCAGCGGAAATGCGGGGAGGCCCGATCCTATTCCCCGATGTATACTCCCAACCCCCGATCTCAGTCCGGGACCCTCGCATTGAAGGTTCAGCTGTCCGCGGAGGTCATGGTCGTAGCATTACCCTCTGGACCCGAACCAGATGCCGATGCGACACAGCCGGGCATTGACCTAGCGGAAGCAAGCATAGGCACGAGGGGGGCGAGGTTGCATCGCTACTCTGTGCGAACCACCGCCCTTCTCCTGTTTTTGGGCATTTTGCTCTTCACCAGCGGGTAAAGGTATGCGATGATGGCCCCTGGAGCTGTTCGCAGCACAGGCCGTCATGGTGAACTGCATTGCGGTACGGCGTTGCGAGCATCATCCTCATGCCGAAAGTGAGACCGGGCAGCAGTTTTTCTCGGCCATCGCGTAGAGCGGCGGGCAGCGATGCCAATTTTGGGCTACTCCACTAAACTCACGCCGGATGACGACATCGGGGCGCCCAGATTTGGCGGTGCTTTGGTGCACTGCCCGCAGCACCGCCAAGCTCCAGTTGCCCGCCGCTGCTTGGCAACCCGTGTTGGCGCTCTCACAACCTCCGCTGCTCGCACACGACCCTGGGCCAGGCCCGCCCAAGCCTCCACCTCGTCCTTGTCGGACGCAGATTCGGCTGCAGAGTTTAGACGTTCGAGCGATCATGCTCGCTTCGAGTCGACGCTGCAAGTCTTTCGCCTCCGGCTGCTCGTTGCCCGTCTGACGCCTGCCCGGCAAAAACGTCCGCGACACTTGGCTCGGCTGCCACGCCTCTATCGTCACTCGACCGGCTCGGAGGCTCGCTCTTTGCTGCTCGCTTGCTGTCGCCGCTTCCATCGCTACGCCAGCCTTCGTTCTCTCACATATATACTCAAGCTTCCTCTTCGTCAGACACGAACTTTCGGCGTCCAAACAAACATCCATTCAACATGCAGTTCAACAAAGCCATCATCGCCTTCCAGGCCCTCCTGCTCACCGTCCTCATCGCTGGCACCCAAGCACAGTGTAAGTTGTCTGCCTCCTCTCTACTCGGCATTGCTGCGGAGAGACTAACTTGAATTCTCACGCTTCGTCCATGCACAGTCCTCAGCGATGTCACCAGCGCACTCGGCGGTGTCGGCCAGACTATCGCTTCCGGCGCCACCTCGGTCTTTGGTGATGCCACCTCGGGCGCTGCGGGCGCCTTGACCACCTTGACGTCCGGTGCGGGCGGCGCCCTCAGCACTGCCACCTCGGGCGCAGCTAGTGTCGCCACCAGCGTCGCCTCGGGCGCATCGAGCGTCGCTTCCCAGGGCACTTCGGGCGCCGGCAGCGTGGCCTCGCAGGCCTCGTCGGGCGTCACCTCGGCCACCCCGCGCGCAAGCAACGCCGCCGCCGCCTCCACCATCAACGGCATGCCCGTCAACGCGCTTGCTGCCACCTTTACCGTCCTCCTCGGCTCGGCCATCGCCGGTACCCTCATCCTCTAAACACGGTCCCCACTGTTTTTTTTTATACCTAAAATGCAATGCATACCAAAGAGGCTGTAATGTCGCGCGAGATCGATCGCAAAGATAATGTACAAAGAGATGTGAATAATTACGCCTGCATCTTCTCGTCGTCCAAGGACCGCACGGGCGAGTCGTTGTACCGCTGGATCCGGCGATCCTCCTCGTCGAGCGGAAGCATAGCATTTGCGATCATGCCAACAATGGCGCTGATCAGGAACGGCGTGGAGATGACAATGATGATGCTGTCCAAGAATCCACTGAGCGCCTTGTTGCTGCCCTTGTAGGTGAACAGATTCGCGAACAAATCATCGGCGAGCAGCGTGCCGAAACCCCAACCGAAGCTGATTGCGAGGATGAATCGGTTCCTCCTCGTAAACGTCACGTTCTGCAGCACCTTGATGCCGGACACTGCGATGCTGCCAAACAGCACGAGCAGTACGCCTCCGAGCACCGGCTGGGGAATGGCGCGGACGCAGCCGGCCAGCTTGCCGATCACGCCAAACAGCACGAGCCAGAAGCTGCACCACCTGCCAGCCTGGATGTTGGCGCACTTTGTGATGGCGATCACGCCATTGTTCTGCGCAAACACCGAGAGCGGAGGCACGGTGAAGAGCGCGCTGAACACGCCGGCGAGGCCATCGACAAGCACACCGCCACTGATGCGCCTATCGTACGCCAGACCATCCACCTCGACGCGACTCACCTCCGACGTGGCCGTCACGTCTCCAATGCACTCCATCATCAGCGAGATGTACACCGCAAGCAGCGGAAGCACCGCGGGACCGTAGACGCGGAGCTTAAACGTCTCGACCCAGAGGAAGGTGATGGGCCTTGCCGAGTCGATGGGCTGCGACGACATGTATCCCAACGGACCGGCGATGACGAGGGGAAAGAGCAAGCCGATGGCGATGGAGGCATTGCGCATTGCAGGGCTGCCAAAGATCTCCACCAGCACCACCGTCATGAACGACAGAAACCCGAGGCCGAGGTAGTGTCCATCGCCCCACACGTATGCGCGGTGATCCGTGCCCATGCACAACTGCCCTGTCCCGTGGCACGATGCACCGCCGCCAAACGAAGGTATAGCCGATTCACCAATCAGCTTGATACCGATGAAGGCCACCACTGTGCCCGTGATTATAGGAGGAAACATGCGCTTGAGCACACGCGGTGGCAGGAACGAGAGTGCGATCTCGAGCAGCGCACACACCGCACACGTCCCAAGCAGATACCCGTACGCATCGGGGCACGCCGCCCTGCTGCCGTCCGCATTGCTCGGACACACGCCCTCGGCATACAGATTCGTAAAGATGCTCGTGGTCACCGAGAGCGTCGTAAAGCTCGTTCCGACCACACTCAGCAGACCCGTACCGAGCTGTCTACCTCCCAGAAACGGGAGGGGGATGGCGCTTTGCTGGACGGCCGAGATGAGGCCCGAGGTGATGAGACTTGCCGAGATGAGATACGCCGACGTTTCGCCCGAGAGGCTGAGGGAAGATGCGATCATCATGGGTGGGGTGATGAGACCCCCGAGCATGGCGAGCGCATGTTGAAGGCCGCAGATCGCCGCGACGGCAATGGGGAGTTGATCGTGCACGCCGTAGAACGGCGACTCGGCCGCGCCGCCGTTGAGCTTGCTGTCGGGCTTCCAGGGCAGCAGACGCGGCAGGCACAGAGCGCCGAACTGGTAGTCGCCCAACCAGCCCTCGCGCGTGCTGAGCCGGCGCACGCTCGAGCGCAGATGCTCGCGCGGGTTGCGTCGCCACGACGTTGTTGCATCCGAAGAGGCAGGGGGGTGCTGCGCATTGCCCGCATATGGCTGCGGCTCTGCCTGTCCAAACGGCTGCGTGGTGATCGTAGCGAGCTTGGAAGACATGTCGTGGCCCTTGTGATCGGTGTCGACCGTGTCCATGTGTGTGGGCTCCCGAAGGCTTGCGCAACAATTGCTGAAGCCAAAAAAGAGTTGGCAGTAGCAGATGGAGGCAGTAAAGATGGAAGACAATGGCGGATGTGCGGTCCAGGGTCTGGGTCTTTGGGTCTGCAAGCAAGAACGGGGATAAAGGCACGTAGCGACAGACGGGATCACTATATGAAGTGGGTGCGAGTGGAGACAGGCACTGTGTGCGATATGAAGCCGTTCCTGTGGCGCCAGACAGACGGAAGCCGGCTTCCTCGAGCGCCCGCCCTGCTAACCGACGGACGATGCGGCACGGTGCATGTGGTGATACCGCGCGGATAGCGTACCGGCTCAAGGTGTGCGGCAAGCTTCTTTTTGACCCGTGATAAGAGCCCGGCGCCGCAAGAGTGCATGTGCGCGACCATCTCCAGCAAATGAGCGAGCGAGGAGTGGCATTCCACAGCACCGGCCCCGTCTGCTGTCACGCGGGGCGGGGCAAGGGCGGCACATGGCCATTGCCGGTATCAGACAGCTTTGTCGATGGCCAATCAACGAAGGCGAGGTCGTCGCGTCGCTAAGCGATGCCTTGCTCGCCCGAGATTGCGCTCCGGCTCGAGGGAACGGGCGAATGAGCAGCCTCGGATGATGAGCTCCGCGGGAAGATAAGATTGCGCGCCACCCGAAGACAATTCGATCCCCGCCAAGCGCAGTTCGGACTTCGCCGAGAGGCCTAAGCTGTGACAAGTGAACGGCGTAACACATGGAAGGAAGCACCTCCGCAAAGCCCGAGCGGCGTGCGGAAAGACCGACGATAGAGCGCGGAAGAGCAGACCCTTTTCGGCGTACAACCAATCGCTGCTCTCACCAATCTATCTCCGTTGCTACCACCATCGACTCTCTTGTCGTCTTGTCCATACAGGCGTCGCCAGCATATTCACGATGTCGATGGCAGGACCAAGCCGCCTGGGCGTACGCTCTAGAGCGGCTCTCACGCAGATCTCGGTGACACATCGACGAGCCGTGTCTCGCTCTGCTGCGCTTGCAAAGCCGTTCGTACCCACCAGCAGCGAAGCAAGCACACACCCGCACGCCGGCCCATTGATAGGTGCTCACGCATCGCTTCACGAACAGCAGCGGCAGCGCGCTCAACAGCGAATCTCGGACATCGATGCACGCTTCGCTGCGCCACCGTCGCCCGTGTTGCGCGACCGTCATGCGCGCCAGCACACGTATCTGCGCATCTCGCTCACCGAAAAGTGCAACCTGCGCTGCCTCTACTGCATGCCCGAGGACGGCGTACCGCTCACTCCGTCCGACAAGCTGCTCTCCACCGCCGAGATCGAGCGTCTCGCCGCGCTCTTTGTCTCGCAGGGCGTCACCAAGATCCGACTCACGGGTGGCGAGCCCACGGTGCGCTCGGACCTGCCGCAGATCGTTCAGTCGCTTGCAGCGCTCAAGCAGCACGGCCTCGAGCAGATCGGCATCACCACCAACGGCATCGCGCTCGGAAGGCGCAAGCTCGACACGCTGGTGAAAAACGGTCTGACCCACCTCAACGTCTCGCTCGACACGCTCGATCCGTTCAAGTTTGAGCTCATGACGCGCAGGAGGGGCCACGACGCCGTCATGGACTGCATCCACAGGGCGCTTGCGCTCCGCATGCAAAGCGTCAAGATCAACGTCGTCGTCATCAAGGGCTTGAACGACCACCAGGACGTGCTCGACTTTGTCCGCCTCACCAAGGATATGCCCATCACCATTCGCTTCATCGAGGTGCGTACTCGAATCTTCTTTTGACAGCTGGGAAAGGCTCGCTGACGTTTCTCTCGATCATGAACGCACAGTACATGCCCTTCGACGGCAACAAGTGGCAGGTGAACAAGCTGGTGCCCTACCGCGAGCTCGTGCAGACGATCCAGGGCGAGTTCCCCGACTTTGAGCGTGTGCCGAGGCGCGATGATCCCAACGACACTTCCAAGCACTGGCGCGTGCCCGGTCACCAGGGCACCGTCGGATTCATCACAAGGTGAGTGTGCCTTCCGCCCGTCCTTTGCCACGCTGCAACGCAAGACTGACGACCCGTTACCCTCTTTTCTGCAGCATGACGGACAACTTTTGTGGTACGTGCAATCGACTCCGCATCACCGCGGATGGTAATCTCAAGGTAAGTGTGCTTCGGCCTCCTCTCAGCTTTGCGTTGGTGTTCCCAGAGCTGACGATGCCATGACGATTTGGTTGGGATTCAGGTGTGCCTGTTTGGCAATGCCGAAGTAAGCCTGCGCGATGCGATGCGCACGGGCTTCGAGCGCATCGGCACGTTGAGCGGCGGCTCCCACGGTGCGCCGGCGAGCGACGAGCAGCTGCTGCAGCTCATCGGTGCGGCGGTGGGGCGCAAGCACGCCAAGCACGCCGGCATGCGCGACCCCACCGAGCTCGCCAAGTCGCTCAACCGGCCCATGATTACCATCGGCGGCTGATCCTCGTGCGTACCGCCCGCGCGCTGCTGTTGCCTACAATATGCACGCAAGACTCACTCTTTTCGCTCAATTGCCCGGCTTTCGATCGCAGGTTCGAGCGCGCCGCGCATGCAACGACGACACACCGTGGTTGCGAAAGGACAGATGTCGCCGTTCGCAAACGTCGTCCCCAGGCGGACGTTTCACAGCTCCAGCCAGCGCCACAAATTGTCGTCCCGGGAGGAGGACGAGGATGCGGATGACAGTCCGTGGGGCGACCTGGACAAGGCGTTTGAAAATCTGCAGGACAAGTCGCTGTACCAGCAAGTGTCCCACACTCCGGCAAGCGACTCCCGCTCTCCTACCCCAACATCCTCCGCCGACGCGGACAGCCCGGCCCGAGACCCGATCGCCGCGATGGAGGAGGAGATCTTTGCGCGCGCGGGCGCAGCGGCGGTCTCATCCCCCACACCGCGCACTGTTTCGAGGGTGCCGCTGTCGGGGGTTCGCTTTTCCGACGCGCCGCCGTCTATGCCGGACTTCAGTGGGGGAGCAGCTGCGCCGACGGGCGGATGGACCGAGTACATGGACGGCGGCAGTGTCGACGACTCGCCGTGGTCGTCGCTGGACGCGTTTGCGGACCATCCGGAGTCGTCGGCCGAATTCGCTGTGCCGCTCGACCTGGCTGCACAGCACAACCTCATGCAGCGCAGTGCTGAGCCGTACGCCAACGCACGCGCCCAGCCCAGCGTCCAGGACGGTGGTGCGGCTGCATTTGCGGCCAACGACACGCTGCTGCGGCAGCAAGCGCTTCTGAGCGAGCAAGAGGCGCTGTTTGCGCAGGCTGGTGCGGCGGCTGTGAGTGCTCAGTCGGCTTCAGTCGAGGCCGAGGGGCTGTCGCACATTGACGCCGGCACGGGTTCCGCGTCGATGGTGGATGTATCATCCAAGCCGACCACTTCACGCAGTGCCACAGCGGTCGGACGCGTATACATGCCATTTGAAGCCTTGCAGCTGGTGCGGGCGGCCGAATCGCGCGGGGGCGTATCGGGCAAAGGAGCCGTGCTGCACACTGCCCAACTCGCAGGGATCATGGCAGCCAAACGCACCTCGGACCTGATCCCGCTCTGCCATCCGCTGTCGCTCACGCACGTCGATGTCGCGCTCGCGCTCGTGGACCAACACGATGCAGAGAGCTATGTGGACATCGAGTGTACCGCCAAAACCGCCGGCGCCACGGGCGTCGAGATGGAGGCGCTCACGGGATGCACCGCCGCCTGCCTCACTGTGTGGGACATGGTCAAGGCGGTGGCGGGCAAGACGATGCGCATTGGCGATGTGCGCGTGGTCCGCAAGACCGGCGGCAAAAGCGCCGACTGGACACGCATTTGAGAACAATGCAAGATTCTTTGCTGCAAGCGGTACAAGTACAAGTGTGTGCGAAGGGGGCGCGGTTTACTGGGTGAGACGCGCCTTGTTGATGGCCCGACGGATTTCGCCGGGTGTCTTTTGCCAGGGGTTGAGCGTGCGGTCGCGCGCCATGGCGGTGTAGTCGTCTCGGTGCTTGGCGACGAGCTGGCCGAGCCAGTCGGTCTCGAGTGTGCTCGTGTGTCGCTGCACCGGTTCGGCGTTATCCGCCCTCGTCTGCAACTCGTCCACCACCGATGTAGTGGTCTTGCTCGCGGCCGGAATGAACGTATGCACGTCGGTTCGCTCCTCCACGCTGTTATCCAGCGGCTTGCCCCACGGTGTCTCTTCCTCGTCCGCGGGCGCCTCGACGATGTCCACAATATTACCCTCGTCATCACGAACCACGCGTGCCATTCCCTTGCGCGGCTTCTCCGGATCCTTGCTGGTTGAAGCAGTGGTGGTGGCGGGCTTCTCGGTGCCGCCGGTGTTGGGTCGAACGCCGAGTGCGGGGATGAGCCCCAGGCGCGCGTAGTTCTGCTTGAGCGTGAGCGTGGGATCGTACGAGTCCTTGAGGATGTCGGCGCCATGAACCGTGGGTGCACGCTGGAGCTTCTTGCGCATGCGCTGCTTTGCATTGAGCGAGGGCTTGAGCGACGTGCCCGAGCGCGCCTTTCTGCGCTGTCGTGGATTCGCCATGTCGAGATTGTCCAGAGATGGTGGTGCTTCTCCAACCCGCTATGCATTGGGGCTTGGGGAAAATTTCCAGCGACGGAAAATCTTGCGCTCGGAATTCGGCTTTGCCACAAACCCGATTGACAGTATACCCCTGCCCGATTCAGTGCGGTCGGAGGAAGAGGTGCGCCTCCACTCTATTCCCGCACTTTGCCATTCGAGAGCGACACCTTGTGCTTCTCACCTTTATTATACATCGCATGGGCCGCCATGTTTTCGGTGGTGCTTCCCGGACGACTGCCACTCGGCGCACCACAGCAGGTAGACGACACACACTGCGTATTCACCCTCGACGATGCACACACCATCAAACACGTCGTCGTCTTCATGACGGGCGTCCAACCCTTCCCACCGGGCTTCTCGGCCACCGTCCACCTCCTCTGGCCGTCGTCCTCGGGCGCGCAGGAATGGAAGCTGCTCGGATGCATACGCAACACCAAACCAAGCGCGATCTTCAAGGTGAACCCTCCCTCATCGCAAGCTGGGGCGACAACGGCTACGCTCGGGATCAGTATCGAGCCGGATGCGTTGGTGGATGAACAGATCGCAACACTCCCCACGCCAGCAGCGGCAGCAGTGGCAACAGGCGGAAAGCAGGCGGAGGCATTGGATGTGGCGTCCAAGATCGCGCGCAACGCATTTGCGTATCTCAGCAGCTTTGCGCCCGACAGCGCACCGCAGACCGCACCGCTGCTGCAAAAGTGGCTCGAACAGCTCGAGCGCAAGCTGCGCACACAAGGCGCCGCGTTCCTCGACAAGCAAGAGTAGCACCCCAAATGCAAGCATATTCCCGAAAGCACGGCGTGAGCATTGTTCTGCTGGAAAGAAGGCGGTCTAATCAAGGGCTACATGCGGTCGGGTGGATTCTCGGCGACGAACGACCTCCCACTCGACGCGGAAAAGCACCCACACGGAGCGCCGGACGATCTCGAGCAGCTCAAACGAAAACACGCCGCCCTGCCACTCGACGAGGTGGTGCAGGTGCGAACTGAGCTTGAGCGACCACAGAAACCTGAGCCCCAGATCGAGCACGATCGCCAGCTGGTACATCCACGCTGCAAACATGAGCGACGGCGATGGTCTTAGCATCCGCTCGACCGTCGACAGCGACCTCCCATGCGACGCTGTCCCACTTCCAGACGGACCTGCCACCGGAATGCTCGGCACCTCCAACCCCGTAGACCCCGTGGGTTTTTCGTCCGGACGCATGCTCCCCATAGGCACGGTATCGGGTAGTGGGGCATAGGATACGCCTCGTCGATGCAGATTCGTCGCATTGTTGGCCACACTCGCAAGCGATCCCATATTGGCGGGTATCAGCAGCGAGAGCCCCCAGTCGTTGGTCACGTCCCACCAGAAGCTAAAGATCGAGTTGACGCCCACGGCGAGCAGCCAGAGCGTGTAGCGCGAGATCCAGTCCGCCTGGCGACTCGCCGCGTGCGTGTCGGCTTCGTACCATGCGCTGAGCCAGATCACGGGCAACGCCGATGCGTACTTGGCAGCATTCCACAGCGGCCGTTTGTTCTTCCACCCTCCCACCGCGGCAGGTGGGGCAGTGGCGTATTCCGACAGACACTGTCGTAAGCGGACCGCATAGGGGAGTGAGATGAGCAGCGGCACGGCGATGGAGCCTTTGCCGTTCCACCACGTGTGGTGCTCCTTGCGCGGAACCAGAAAGCACGCGGTGAGCCATACGTCGCCAAGCACTTTCGCAAACGACGTCAGGATGTCCGCCAGCACGACGTGGCTGAACGGGATCACCTGCGATAAGCTTGGGGTGAGGATGAGCAGCAGGGCGCGGCCGAATGATTTGCGCATGGGCTTGAAGAAGAGGTTGCCTGGCCAGAGCACTGTTGCTGCTGCACCGGCTACTGCGAATCCCTGCAGTGCTTGTGCATGTCTGCCCTTTGGATCTCCCGCCAGACTATCCACATAGAACCGGTACGACGCCCACCCTGCCAGCGCCCACGCCAACTGCGCCGCGCCAAACACCACCAGCGGTTGAGTCGTAATCCCACCCTGCCCCGCCACTGTGCTCTGTGTAGTCGGCAGTATCGCACCGTTCCCCTCGTGGGGTGTGCGGTTCGTATTGTGATACGACCCGTACTGTGTGGCTGCACCCGTGGTGCTGCGGTGGAAGCTATTCGATGCCGTCTGCCGACGCTTTTCCTGCTCGTCGGCGCGGAAGAGCGCAAAGAGGTCGATGCCCTTGGTGTGGAGGATGTGCACGTTGGCCGCGAACAGCAGCAGCCCGATCGAGGCGAGCAGCAGCACGCGGTACGGTGGTGGGAACCAGGCTGAGAACGACCACAGCTCGGGTTCGTCCCCCGGAGCAGAAGGCGGCGCCGGATCACTCATTGTCCCAACCGGCGGCGCTGTCCGATCGGGTGTGGTGGAAGGCAGAGGTGATGGTCGTGTGTCAGGGCGTCGCACCTCCACGTCCCGCCCAACAAGCAGTGTTGGTCTGCCTGGCAGAACACCGCCTCGCAATCGGCGAGCTCGCAACCTAACATTGCTAAATCCAAAAAATCGACGTCGCTCGTTGCTGCCATGTGAGGCTCTCAAAGTTGTCCTCGTGCAGCCGTCAAGTGTGAGCTTGAGCATGGCGCTTCATCGCACCGCACATGCAGTCCGACATCATCAAAGCATCTTTTTCATGATCGTCAAGGGGCAATGTGAGCTAGTGTTCGTTGAGGAAAAAAGCGTCTAGAGAGCCAGGGCGAGGAAGGCTGCGGACGAGGCAAGCATGGCCGAGACCACGGCTGCGGGCGAAGCGAAAGCGAGCCCACCTGCGCCGCTGGAGGTGCCGGACGACGAGCCTGCCGACGAGCCGGACGCGGAAGGCGCAGCAGCGGAACCCGATGCACCGGACTGAGCCGAGGACGACGAGCCCCTCTTGCTGGTAGCCGACGACGCCGCAGCGGACGACGTGGCGGACGCGCTGGCAGCAAAGTTGGTGCCGGCGGCGAAGAGATGGTACTGGCTCACGGGGTCGCTAAAGATGAGGTAGTCCTCGTGGGCGACGCCTGCGACGTAGTTGAACGTGTGGCTGGCGGGCACGTTGCCACCGTTCGCAGCCTCGAGGGCGCGCTGGAAGTTCTGGCCGCGCGTGAGGTGCGATGTGCCCTGGTAAGCTGCCTCGCAATGGCTGTCGCCGCCCTCGTTATCCTGCAGTCCCAGGCCGTAGGTGACGGTGCGACCGTAGTAGCGCGATGCGATGCTGCTGGCGCTACCCTGCCCCTGACCGTACGAGGGCAGGTCCTGCAGGCCGTAGCCCCACTCATCTGCCGTGCTGGCGCAGTTGCCACCGGGGTTCTGGACGGGACGCTGCGAGGTGGGCCAGACGTAGGCGCCCGGGTTGCCGACAAAGTAGCTCATCATGCCGTCCTGCGCCTGGTTCTGCTTGCGCAGCATGGCATAGTGCTGCGTAAACGAGCCGCCGAGCGAGTGGCCCGCAATGACGACCTGCTGGAGGTTGGGGTAGGTGGACTTGTCGAAGAACTTGGAGACGAGCGCATCGAGTGCCTCGAACGACGAGATGGCCGCACCGTTGGGCCCGGCCGAGTCCACACCGGTGGCCCAGCCGCCGCCGTTGAAGACGAGGTCGTTGGACTGTGCCGAGCCGGCGGAGGCGTCGTTGGTGCTGAACCAGGTGGGTGCGGCGATGAGGATCTCGTCGCGGTTGATGCCGAGCGTCGAGTTGACCGAGGCGCACAGCAGCGAGTTGCGCACCAGGTTGGCGTACTTCCAGTAGTCGCGCGGCAGACCCGGTTGGGTGATGACGACGCGCTTGATCTGGCTGGCGGTCTTGCCGCGCTCGATGATGTACGGCTGGACGACGTTGTTGGCGAGCGTAAGGTCGCGCATCGTGTCGAAGCCGAGCACCTGCGGCATGTCGCTCCAGCCGGAGCTGAACGAGCCTCCCACGGCGGCGGAGCCGATAAAGATGGTGGGGCAGCCCGCGCGCTGCGAGTTGTCGTCGTGGCCACCGTCCGAGTCGATGACGACCGTCTGGCCCGCCGCATCGCCCGAACGTGCACCGGGTGCAGGGTCGCCGTTCTGGTAGTCGGACGCCATGATGGAGCCGGAGCTCTGACGCGCGTGCACACGCTGGTTGGTGCGGCTCATGCCGTGAACGTCGGCAGCCATGGCGGTGCCAGCCACAGCGAGCGTAGCCACCGCCTGAAGAGCAGAGAACTTGACCATGATTACTGCGAGGGAGGGAGGAGATGGAGGGGGGGAAGGCAACTAGCTACTAACAAGCGAGGGCAAGTCAAAGTAGCCTCCGCTTTCAGGGATGGAGCTCGAGCCCCAAGTTCGCAAACGGGCCGAGCGACAGGAGGCGCCCTTGAGCCCCGAGCAGCAGCAGCAGCAGCAGCAGCATCAGCAGCGGCATCAGCAGCGGCGGCGGCATGGATTCGGAATGTGAGCGCAAAGCAGTGGGAATGGGGGCAGGAAGGGCAGTGTCATGCAGACTGCTGCACGAGCGATCCGTGCCGAAGACTGGCCCTCTCTTTTTAGCTGCATGTCGGCCGGCGAGCCCTTTTGATCGTGCATCGAGTGCCATTAACTTATTGAATGCCATTGACCGCCATGCACTGCCATGGCCAGGCTTGGTTGTATGCTCTGCTGGCGCTGCACCGCTTCGGCTTCCGTGCCGTCCGAGACCAACACAACACGCGCGCGCCGAAAAAGAAAACACCCCCGCCCACCTCCTGACTGTCACGCAGTGCCTCCTCGTCCGCCTTCATTTCGGACTCGGCGCGCCGGCAGCCCAGCTGCAAATTTTCAGCCACCAAAGAAGCGCGCCAAGCCGACATGCCATCGACGCCAGACTCTGCATCGGCGATCGGAAGCACCTCTCCATCGCCGATCCAAGCAGACAGTCTTCTTCTTCTCTTGGTGTTACTCCATGTCTTTTTGCGATGGTACAAGTACAGGATGGGAATGGCGAAGATCTATGCAGTGAGCGCACGCTTGGCAGCCCAATGCGCGCGTCCAAACGTGGCGGCGACGATCATGGGGAAGATGATCGTGGCGTCGCAGTACACCTTTACGTTTTTGCCGCCGTTGGCCGCCGACTTGATCTTGCCCCAGCTCACGGCCTCGTCGGGGCGCGCGCCCGAGTCGGAGCCGTCGAACTCCTGCCCCGTGTTGATGTACACGCTAAAGTCGGCGCCGTTGCGGAAGAGCATGGCGTTGGCGATCTGGTGCTTGCATACGCCGCCGCCCAGGATGATCATGCCCGCCTTGGGAGCCTTGACGGACAGATCGTTGAGCCGACGGATGTCCTTGACCAGATCGATCGTCAGGCCCGGATTCTTGTAAGAGTGGAAGTAGATCATATCGCCCAGGCTGCCGTCCGTGAGCGCGGGGCAGAAGACGGGGATGTCGTTCTTGGCCGCCCAGTAGAGGATGCTGCTCTCGTCGTCGATCTCGCGGCCCAGACGCTCGATCACGCGGCTGGGCGACCAGGCGTTGGCCACATCGTCGCCCTGCTCCGCACGCATGCCATCCAGAATGGGCATCACCCAGTCCTCGAACTTGCAGTAGTTGTCGTTGGGTACGAGCAGATTGCCGATGCGGTTGAGCCCTTGCTTTCGCAGCGTCGCGCCGTCCAGGCTGAACTCGCCCAGATACGTAGGGCCGAGACACTTGATCAGGTCCTCCTCGATCCCGCCCGCCGTCGTGACGAGCGCAGACACCATGCGGTTCTTGACCAAAAACTTGATCACCTCGCGCAGCCCCGACGAGACCAGATTCGAGGTAAAGCCGAGGAAGATGCGACACTGCGTCTGCTGCGCCTCGGCCAGGCTGGGCTTGTCCACCTCCGTCGACGCCTGGTACGCCGCATCGTCCGACAGCCGCCACTTGCGCATCTCGTCCACAATCTCGATCGCCTTCGACACGCCCGTGGCTTGGAAGCCCACCTTGGACATGCTCTCCAGCAGCGCCACCAGATCGTTGGGGTCTTGCGTCTCAAAGTCCGGCCCCAACACCGTGGGCGTGTCGGCCGGAAGCGGCTGCGACTGCACAAACACCGCCGCCTGTGCCGACGACACGGAGCCGTTGGCAGCTTGTGATGGTGTCGCGGTTGTATCTGTCATTGTTGGCCGTGTCCTCGTCGTCGCCTTCGTCGTCGTCGTCAGGGTGCAAGCAACGCCAATGCCGACTCGCACGACCCTGGCTCGGACAGAAAATGCAAGAGAAGCTCTCGGCTATTTGGCCGCCCCCCATCCGAAAAATTTCGCGAAAGGCTGCGTTGAAGTGGAATTTTTCGGGCATGAAGGTGTTAGAGCTGGTAGCAATGGATCGCCCGATCGCGGCGCGGCGCGTGCAAATGCGGAAATGGCAGCGGCTGCGGCTGTCTCTGCTTTCTGTGCTCTCTCTCGCTCGGCTTCCAGCCTCCCACCGTTATCGCATCAACGGCGCCATCCACCGCTCCTTTCCGCAACACCATCATCCTTCTGCCTCCGCTGCATACCCACCTGTCATACCCCGCGGAGTCTGCGCGCTCGATACCCTCAAACACACTGCTCGCATTCATCCGCACCGCCTTCCTTTGACGTCAGCACACCCCACCCAGCCAGCCAACGACAATGTCCAGCCTTCAGCCTTGAACAACCGCACTTTGCCGCACGCCTTTCGTTTCGTCATCGCAACTGTCTCCGCTTCGCTACGCCGCTGCCATGTCGTACCTCGGCACCCTTGCCGTCAACTTTGGCCGTGTGGCCACATTCATTCAGGTGCTCTTCTACCTGCCTCTCGCGCTCGACATCGCCGGCCAGGATGCCTTCCTCGCGCTCTCGGCCTCGCTCGCATCCTACTATCTCTTCCTCTCCACCGTGCGCCTCCTCACCAATGGCACCAGGCTAGCGTGGATCGGCCAGACGCTCGCCGTCTTCCAGTTCATCGTCGTCCCCGCCTGCCTTCTCGTCTGCTTCAACGTCTACTCGCCGCCCTCTGCCACCATCTTCCCGCCGCGCAGACCCGACAGCCTCGACAAGACCGCGAGCGAGGCCATCAGCAGCCTCTTCACCCGCAAGTCCAGCCGCACCGCCCACCTCGACCCAGATGCGCTCGACGACCTCCACTCGCTCACCGGCGCCGCCTGGCTCGACCACCTCGTATCCGCCTCGGTAGCCTTCTTCTTCTGGCTCGCACGCCGCGTGCCCCGCTGGTGGCACACGCTGCTGCGCATCTCGAGCCCCTTCTTCAGCTTGCTCGAGGGCGTCGCTTCGCTGCTCGTCATCCAGTCGCTCGCATCCACCTCGCGCTGGATCATCGCCTCGTCGCTCACCGCGCCTTCTGCACGATACCCGCCACGCGCCGGCGCAGCACCGGGCCAGTCGCAACCCAAGAGCGCCGCATGGGTGTCCAACACGTTCATCATGCGCTCGCTCGCCTCGATCGGGTTTGGCGCCAGCGAGGTGTGGCAGATCTTCTTCCTGCTCGTCTCGGCGACCATCTACGTCACCGCCGCCTTTGCGCTCTACGTCTCCTTCGACGGCGCCACCAAGGACCGCCCCGGCACGGCAGCGGCCATCGCCACCTCGGTCACCTCGACGCTCTGGCTCACTGCTATCGCGTTTGCCATGCGCAAGGGCAACGTGATCGAGACGAGCCTCATGTTCGCCTACGTGGTGTTCAACATTTACCAGCTCGGACCCAGCCTGTCGTTTACGCCCGATCCCATCTCGCTCATCCGCAGCTTCAAGGTGGACACGCACGCGCGCACGTTTGTCGACAAGCTGCCACGCTCGCTCCAGGCCTCGCTCACGGGCAAGCTGCTCCAGGCGGCGAGTGGGCTGGTCGAGGTGATTGCGCACTGGCTCGGGCAGTCGGTCGACTTTCTGCACGCCGCGGCCGCCGCGCTGCCCAAGTCGGTGATCGTGTCGCTCGTGTACAGGCTCATGGTGCTGTATGCCGCGAGCCGCATCCTGCCCATGCTCAAGGGCAGTGTGGCGCCGCGCGAGCCGGCGGAGCGCGAGCACGGCGCGGCGCAGTGGGGCCGCGCAGCCCATCAGGCGGGGGAGGACGAGAGCGACTGGAGCAGCTTGTCGGGTACAGAGTCGGATAGCTCGTCCGAAGAGGGTACCGAGGTGGAGGAGCTCGAGGAGGAGGTTTGGGACGATGATGAGGGGCGGTGGGTGCTGCAACGGCGGCGGTTGAGGCGTCGGACGCGAAGGCGCACGCCCATGGACGCCGCCATCGACACCGAGAGTGAATCGGACACCGATGGCGCAAAGTACTCGGAGGACGATAGTGGCATCGCGTACCACGAGCCGTCGCTCGCCGACCAGCTCAAGGAGCCCGAGCCGGGCATCGAGGCAACGCTTCAGTCTGCGCCGTCAGCTGCGGCGAGCGGGGCAGGAGCGGGGCGGGCACGCGGTAAGGCTCGACGTCGACGTCGTGGTGCACCGCGCGCTCCCGCCGCGTCGCAACCAGAGGCGACGCAGGAGGCGGTTGGTGGGTCGAGTGGGGTGCGCAAGCGGCCGAGCATGTCGCGTCCGCCGTCTGCACGCACGCACAAACGCGCGCGCCCGACCACGCCCACTCCGCCCTCGCCGCACGCAGCTGCGGCGGCGGGCGAAACGCCGCCGTTTGGTTCGGCCATCTCGATCGTCGTTTCCTACTCGCGCCTCATCCTGATCGCAGTGTACAGCCATCTGCTGCTGCTCGACCAGGCGAATCAGATCTACTGGCGTTTCCTCACCGTCGCCATCACGCTGCTGCTGTGGGGACTCGAAATCGTCATTGCCACCGAAGACGTCGTCGTCGGCGGTGTAGGCGAGCTAGGTTCCGCCGCCACACGTTCGTAACACACACACACAGGCAATTGATTTAAACACAAGGGAAGAACAAGTTGTTCGAGTGTATGGATGTGGGGAGGGGATTAGGCTAGGCCGGTGAGGCGGTCCCAGTCGAGCTGGAGCGAAAAGTACTCGGACCAGTAGTTGGCGAGGTCCTTGGGGTTGAGTGGTGCGCCCGGCGGGGCGGGGTCGGAAGCGGTGGGTGGGGTGGGCACCTCGGTGCTGTGGGCCGAATCCAGCGGTGCGGGGTCGGGGATGAAGGGGTCGTAGCAAAACTGCCGCGTCGGAGGCGTGGCGCCCTGCTGGTCGTAGGTGTTGTTGAACAGCGTAACGAGCGGAACATTGGCCAGACCCGGGGGTGAAGCTGTAGCCTCTGTCGGTAATGCCGTCGTAAAGATCGGGGGTAGAAAGCCAGAGTGGGACGCAAACTCCACCCCGCTCGCTGTAGGAAAGAGGGCCGAGGGAGAGATGTCTGCACTTGGTTCGGGTTCCTGTACGGGCGCTTGGGGTTCCATCTCGGGTTGCGGGGTCCGCACTGCCATGGATGCAGCTTCGGGCGTCTCTCTCGCCGCAACAGCCAGCTTGCGCAACACCCTCAGTCCATGCTTGGCCATCTTGAGTCCCGTCCAACGCTCGGGCATCCGATCGAAAAAGTCCACCAGCACCGCCAGATCCTCGAGCGCCGATTGCGCGTGCTTGCTCTGCGGCCTTACAAACACAATGTACGCGCCCGCGATCGCCGCCTGGTAGGTGTAGTAGGCGATCTTCCAAAACATGGTCGCACGCGCCCGACCCAACAGATCAATCATGGTCTGCTGTGCGCGCGTGATCCTCCTCAACGCCTGTGCACAAATATGCAGCGAGGTCTCATTGATCTCCCTCCGTCCCTCGTCCTTGCCCTCCTCCTGGCGCGAAAAGAGGTTCGACCGATGCAGCGACATCAACACATAAAACACCTCCACCGCCAAGTTGCCCGACTGATGCACCTCCATGAGGCCTTTGGTCTTGATGTCCACCCCCGCAGCGCGGTAGTTCTGAATCGCCTCCGCATCCCCCTCGGAACCAAGCAGATCAATCCGTCCCAAATCGGGGCGGTAGCGGTCGGGGATGTTCATGTACCACTGGAGCACGCGCTCGGTATACTCAATCACCTGCGCCTGACTCCAGGTGTTTTCCTGGTTTTCGTCGAGATACGTGCGTGCAAACTGGCTGAACTCGCACTGCAGCGTCGCATACGTCACCGCCCCCGGCGCAGGCGGCGCAGGAAACCGGCAGCTGAACCGCGTGATCCCCAACGGCCGACCAAAGATGCTCGAGAGGATGGCGTCTTGGTGCACGGCGGCCCACCACAGACGGCGACGCGTGTCGGCCTCGACAGCGTCCCAGTCGCGCCGGATCTTGTACGGGTCGACGTGCAGACCGATCGACTGCGCCTGGCGCGCGACCGAGCCGAGCAGCGGCCAGAAGGACGCCGCGCGCTCCGTGTTGAGCAAGTACGACCCGATGAGCAGCTGGCAGTGGATCGTCTGCAGCGTCGGCGCCGACAGGAACGAACACAGCCGCAGCGACTGGTACGCCGCCGACAGGAAGAGGTCCGACACCATCGCTGGCCCCTGCGCTGCTGCCTCGCCTGCCGCCACCGCTGCCGCACTCGTCCCCGCCGCCGTTGCCGCCTCGGCATGCGGCGCAGGTGACGAGGCTCTGCTCGGCTGCCGGCTCGCCTGCCTGCTCGGCGTCTGGGGCTCGCCAGCCAAAAACGCACCCAGCATACGCACCTTTCGATCCACACCCACCGTTGTGCTTTCCAAATCGCAGTTCTTGCCCAGCGCACAGATCATCAGAAACACCCCCAACCAGGGCAGCGAAACTTGCGCCTGCTGCGCCCTGGTCATCCGCGAGAAGGCCTTGGCGTGATTGATCGCAGTCGGAATGGTGAGCGCGGGGCACATGGCGGAAAAATGGCGCACAAACGAGGCGCAGATCGTATCAAAGTCCTCGGCGCGCGGGAAGAACGGCAGCACCTCATCGATAAACGCCGTTCCCGAGCTCCAGATCGTCGCAAAGGGGAACGTGTCGCGCGACGGGTCGAGCACGCTGTTGAACGCGAACCGCATATCGGCGCGCGCCTTGGACTCGTGCAGCCCCGTCGCCGGCTGGCCGGCGGTGCGCATGGCCGAGGTGGAGTTGGCAACCACCGTGCGCAGCACATCGCCCGACTCGCCATAGTAGATCTGCGTGCCGTTGATGTTGGTGGGCGAGTCGAGATCGTCGGTTCGAGGCGTGCGTGGCGGCTGCCCGGGCTGGGTTTGTTTTGCGTACGGCGACGGCGGGGCGGGCTGGCGCGTGCTGCCGAGGTACCGGCTGGCGGGAGAGCGTGGCGGCTGCGCTGGGCCCGATTGGAACGCGGGCGAACGATGGGAAGACGACGCTGACGACGACGACGCCGCCTGCGACGCCTGCGATGCTGGCGCGGACCAGTGCAGGATGCGCGACTTGGTGGCGTTCGTATCTGCATCCTGGTGCTGCGGCCCCGCGATCTCGGCGAGCATCTGGAGCCCGCGAGCAGCGTGCATATCGGTCGATGCCGAGGGGAGCGTGCGGTGTCGCTCGCCCAATGGCGAGCCGGTGGACCAGCTGGAGGATGCAGGGCGTGGCGAGGCGGGCGCGGGTGCTGCAGACGGGTATCGAAGCAGATGCTGCAAACGGCGGGTCTCGCTGCGCGCCTCTTGGAGCTCGGCCCTAAGCGCAGCGAGCTGCTTGGCTGCGGTGGGCGAGGGAGCGTCGTCGTCATCGTCGTCGTCCGAGTCGTTGTACGCTGCCGATGGCTTGGATGCCGAGGCGGGCTGATGCGGAAGGCGCGGATCGTACGTGCAGTCGCTCGACTGTCCCGAGCGAGCACATCGTCCGCAGGCTGGTCGTCCGCGGTCGCAGGCGCGCTTGCCCTTGAGGCACGGGATGCACGACTTGGGGATGCGCAGACGCTTGCGCTTGGCCGGCTGGCCGTCGTCGTGCGCAGCGGTGGTGGCGGCGTGGCTGTCGTCGGCGGGCATGGCGTTTCGAAACGACCGAGGTGGTAGTGCGCGGCGAAGCGTGTGCGATCAACGATTGGAGATCAAATTGGACGATGCGTACGCCCGGTGCGGGGTGCGCTGTGCGGGGTGACGAGGTGGCGGGAAAGAGTAGTGGCTCAGAAGGGGTGGCCAAGACCGGCGCGAGGCATGCAGTGTGTTGGGACAATGGACGGGAAGATGCGGCTCGACCGAGATCGCGTGCGGAAGTGGCTGCGAGATGTCAGCCGTGATGATGAAGGCTGCTGGCGGAGTAGCGATACGAGAGGTGGTGGTACGGCGGAATGAAGCAGCGCACTTCACATCCGGGCGGGGATAAACCCGCGCAGCGCATTTACGGAGCTTCAAAGCCGAGATCCGAACATTTCAACTTAACACCCTAAAGCGAAGAAAAATCCGGTGCATTTCTTTGGACCCTGAATTCGTCCTTCTCCTCCTCCTGCCACCACATCGTTCCGGCTCAGCCTTGGCCATGCCGCCATTCGAAGAGGAGCAGGCCAAAGCCTCGCCATCATCACGGACACGGACGGAAACATCGCATGATCCCCTCTCCGGCGCCACACCGCTTTCGGATCCAGACGGGGCAGTCGCTGCTACTCCACGCACAAGCAACGCTGACAAGCGTAAGTGGACTCCATCGCGACTCCACGAGACGCCTACACGTACACATGCAGCAGCCGCCGCCATCTCCTCGTCCGACTCTCCCATCCGACACCGTCCGGGAAAGGGAAAGTCACCGCTTCCCGCACTCGCCGAATCGCATCGGGACATCGGCTCGGTGAATCGCGTGCCGTCATCCTCCCTGCGGCCTCCCTCGTTCGCAGAGTCGCAGTTCGCTACGATCATCCGCCGTCAGCGCAAAAACAGGGTCGTGTCACCCGCCGCCAATCTGCTCACCGCCGCTGGCACACCTGCCTTTGATCTGGAAGCATACACCCCCGCCGGCCCTCGTCGCACGCGCACCACGTCGGAGCAGGATGACCCCTTCACCTCCGACTCGGGCTGGTCCGGCGCGCTTCGTCGTGGCGAACTCAAGGCCGGCTGGAACTACAATGCCGAAGCTCCCACCACTACTCTCACCACAGACCGACAGCATCCGCTCATGGCCATCCATCGTGCATGGGAATTTGCCGGATGGGGCTCCATCTCGCTTCTCGAGCTCCCCAGCGACCCTCCTTCGCAGTCTGCAGCAGAACCAGCCGCCTCGACCCCGCAGCCTGTGCAGCTCGGTCAGTGGAAAGCGTCGGCGATCGCAGGCAACGCCGTGACGGGCTCGGTCTTCTATGCGCTCCCCGCCGTCGTCGCCGTGTCGTCGGTGCTCTCGCCCATCTCGATGCTCGTCGCATGCCTCTTGCTCTACCCGTTCCGCCCGATCGTATGCGAGCTCGCCTCGGCGCTCTCGGCGAGCAACGCGGGCAACTACTCGTACCTCTCCAACATCTCGTCCAAGCTCGTCGCCGTCCTTGCGGCCGCCATGACGCTGCTCGATGCCATCGCCACGGGCGCCGTCAGCGCCGGCACAGCTAGCGCCTATATCGCCGGCGAGACCGCCTCGTCACACGCACATCTCGACTATCGCCTTGTGTCGGTGCTGCTGCTCGTCGGTCTGGCGCTGCTCTGCCTGCTCGGCATGCGCGACTCGAGCAGCGTGGCGCTGAGCATGTTTCTGCTTCATCTCGTCACCATGGCCATGCTGCTCGTCGCCGGCACGGTTGTCTGGATCCGATCGGGCAACGCCGTGCTCGCCGACAACTGGAGCATCGGCATGGCCACCCTTCGTGCGCCGGGAACGGGCAAGGGCATAGCGAGAGCCATCTTTGACGGGGTCTGCGTGGCGTTTGTGGGGCTGACGGGCTTCGAGTGCAGTCCGTCGTACATCAACCAGGTCAAGCCGGGCGAGTTCCCGCGCGCGCTGCGCAACTTGCATCTCATCACCATCGTCACCGAGGCGCCTCTGATGCTGCTCGTGCTGGCGCTCGTGCCCATGGACGCCGTGCTGGGCGGATCGAACGTGCTGGCTCTGCTCGGACAGGTTGCAGGCCACGGTGCGTTTCTCAAGCTTTTCGTCGTGGTGGATGCATGCATCGTGCTGTGCGGCGGGATCATCACCGGCATCGTCGCGTTCTGTGGGCTGCTCGATGCGCTCTGCGACGACAGGGTGGTGCCGAGCGTGCTGCAGAAGAAGCTGCCTCGGACGGGTGCGACGTACATTTCGATCGCGCTGTTTCTCGTGCTGACGCTCGTGATGAGCGCAACGTGCAGCTTCAACCTCTCGACGCTGTCGTCGGTGTTCAGCGTGTCGTTCCTGTGCATCATGACGCTGTTCGGCGTGTCGCTGGTGCTGCTCAAGTACGCGCGGCCCTCGCTGCCGCGCTCGCCCACCACGAGCCTTGGCATGGCACTGGTGGGAATTGCGATCGGCATTGTTGCCATGGCGGGCAACTTTGCGCTTGCACCCGTCATTATCGGTCCGACGCTGGCGTACTTTGGCGTGCTGGCAGTCGTGCTGGTGGCGCTGACGCAGAGGGTCAATCTGGCGCGCATCCTGGTGTGGCTGGTGGAGCAGCAGCGCAGCTCCAAGCTCGTGCGACTGTCGCCTCGACTCGAAAAGCGACTCATCGGCTGGATTCGAAGCGAACGAAGGCATCCGGTCATCTATTTCACCAAGAGCGACGACATCTCGGTGCTCGTCAATGCGCTCTACTACATCCAGCGCAACGAACCCACGTCCAACTGCAAGCTCGTCCACTGCTACAAGAGGATCGAGGATCTGCCCGACCAGCTCGACGAGACTTTTCAGCTGGTCGACGAGATCTTTCCCACCGTCACCGTCGACCTCGTATTTGTAGAGGCGCCCTTCACGCCGGATGTGGTGCGCGCCACATGCAAGCAGCTCAAGGTGCCCGTGTCGAGGTCGTTCATCTCGTGCCCCAGCGGACACGGCGCCCAGATCGGCTCGGTCCATCCGCTCGCAGACTATGGCGGCCTCCGCATCATCTTGCCTTGAAGTGTATCCTAACACAGCATTGATACCCATGCACATTACCACTCCGATACACCGTCTGATTCGTCGCCATCTGGCATGGCGGCGCATGGCGACCGAGTTGAAAGTGTTAGACCTACGGTGGATTGGCTAATGACTAAATAAAATGCCTGGTTGCCGTTGGAGGCTCGAGCGAGGCGGCCAATTATGCACGAAGCAACTCAGCCGAGCCGCCCTGAATAATACTAATTCGACGGCCGCGCGCCGCTGCGACGAAAAACGGGGCTCTGAGGCAGTCGAAGCGGGTTGCTGCTCTCCACTCTCAACCACATCCTCCAACACCTCGCGACGACGCACTTTGCTCGCAACTCGCCATCGACGGCCACAATTGTTGGGCACGCATGACAATCACGCACACCATCGCTTCGAGCTCCTGATCGCCGTTACTGCTCTCTCCCCACCGCACGATTCCATCTCTCCACCGCCCGCCGCCGGCACGCTTTCACCACTCCTCGGCCAGCACTTGCCTGCCCTTGCCAGTTGGCCAGCGTCGCGGCCCCTGCTCGCACCATGAGCCAAGGCATGAGCCGCCGCGAGGAGCGCGCCGCCAAAATCGGCGTCTGCGACCTCCTATCGCGCCTCGTACCGCTTCCCAACAGCGCAGACCCAGCCTCCTACCTCGTCACTCCACACGTCACCACCACGCTCCTCTCGAACCTCTTTCGCCATCTCTTCGAGAGCGTCCCTTCGCCCTCCGTCCTCTTGCCCTGCGACCCCGGCACCACCGTCCAGGAAGCCCTCGAGCTCCTCGCCTCCCACGACTGGAACCTCTCGCGCGCTCAGATCGAGCAGACCCGCCAACTCGCTCTCGCACGCAAAAAGGGTAAACAGGCGCAGCGCGCACAGTCGCCATGGTCCACCTCCAGCGCACACGAAGACCTCCAAGACCCGGACCTTTTGGGCCCCGAATACTCCGAGGCACGCAGAGGCATGTCCTGCGGCCATCTCTTCCAAAAGGGCGAGGCCATCTATCGCTGCCGCGACTGCGGCCTCGACGAAACCTGCGTGCAGTGCGCACCCTGCTTCGAGGCCTCTCTCCATGCGAGGGAGGATCACGACGTCGTCTTTAGCGTCTCCTCCTCCAGCGGCGGCTGCTGCGACTGCGGTGACCCAGAGGCGTGGAAGCAAGACGTCTGCTGTCGCTACCATTCAGAAGCACAACCGCCACTCACGGCTAATACAGCCACCGACATGGACCTCGAGTCCGACTCCCAGCAGCCGTCCTCACATCCCTCGTCCGCCGCGGACGACGCCGACGGACTCGACCAGATCGACGACGCCCTCGCTGCTCTGCCCTCCGACGTCCGCTCGCCCCTCCTCGATGCTATCGGCGAGCTCGTCACCCTCATCGTCACCGTCTTCGACCACAACATGACTGGCGCCATCCTCCCCAACCTGCACAAGCTCGAAGACATGCCGCTCTGCCCAAGCCTCGAAGAGGGCCTAGTTTCCCAACACTCCACCCGCACTCCTTCCAAGCGCAAAAACAACGCCACCGCCGGTCACGACAGCGACGAAGAGATGAGCGCCGTCGAGGTAGAGACCCTCGTGGGCGACTCCAACGACGCCAGCGATGACCATCCCGGTGGTGCCTCCACCGCCCTTGGCCGCGATGGCTTCGGCCTGCGCTCGCGTCCAGACAGTGCCTCCGGCTCGCAGCTCAAATCCGCCGCCGACTCCACCGCTTGGCGACCCGCCCCTGCACGTCTGTCCACCCGCATCAGGAATGACACCTACGACAGTGCTGCGGCTTCTGACGACGCCTCGACGGGCTCAGCCGAACCCAGGAGATCCAACACCGATACCACCGACGCCCAGACTCCTCGTGATGCCGGCACCGGCAACCGCCTCTTTGCCGTGCTCCTGTGGAACGACGAGAAGCACAGCTTCAGCCAGGTCATCGACATCGTCACAGACGCAACCGGCCGCTCAGAGCACGACGCAAAGGGCGTCGCAGAGCGCGTCGACAAGCACGGCAGGGACATCATCGAGGTATCCTCCGACCTGCGCCGCCTCTTCCAGATCGCCCGCGTCCTCAACTCGATCGATCTCATGGTCACCTTGCGTCCCGCCTTCGACGTCTACGCCGACGAGGTCATCCAGCTCGTGCTCAACTTTGTCATGGACCTCTCCAATTGCAACCTCTACTTGCCCGGAGGCGTCGACGACGAAGCTCACGCCCAGCCTCTCTTTGGCCAGGCCCCGCTCAAACCTGACGCGGCCGCCTTCAAGCACATCATCGCCCGCAGCTTCTTTGCGCCCTTCCAGCCCTTCCGCCGCATCGAGGCCGGCTGCATGAGCCCCGAATTCTTCGATCCGCGCAACATCGCCTGCTACGAGGCGCTGCTCCTCATGGAGTACAAGCTCTGGAAGTCGGCGCGCCTCGACATCAAGGCGCTCCTCATGTCGCTCATCGCGCGCCGCGAGATCAAGAAGGAGGTCTCGCTCCGCTTCGCAAAGGTCTACCCCATGCTCGTCGAGTCGTTCATGCTCAGGGACCGCGAGCAGGAGTACTCGATCTGCTTCCTCACCGTGCAGCTCTTCAGCGTGCCTTCGATCGCAACCATGCTCGTCCAGAAGCACGATTTCATATCCAAGCTCATGCTCCTCCTCCAGGCCATCTTTGCGTCTCCGCCCGTGACCGACATCATGGACCTCATCCTGCCCCCCATCAGCTCCGCCCGCCGCCAGGCCAGCGTGCACCTCATGTTCCTGCGCCAGTCGCGCAGCTACCACATCTTCTACGACATCCGCTACCTCCTCGCATCCGAAGGCGTCCAGAAGCTCATCGCCACCAGCGCGCGCACCCACACCGACTACTTCCTCCAGTGCCTCGCCCTCTTCCAGTCCATCCATCCGTCCAGGCGTGCCGTCTCGGCACACGTCGAGTTCGAAAGCGAAATGTGGATCCCCGTCTTCCACATCAGCTCTCACCTCGGCAAGGCGGCCAAGATGTTTGGAGAGGCGTTCGCACACGCTTCGCCCGACCAGCTCGTGGAGGCCATCGTTTGCACATTGGATGCCATCAGCGCAACCTGCGAGCACCTCACAGTTTGCGATGCAGAGTCGTACCCGCCCACCACCTTCCACGACGCCCGCTACCGCATCGGCGCCGATACTGGCACCAAGGTGCTTCCCGTCGTCTCGTTTGCAGTCGAGTCGCAGCCCGTCAGCTTCCACCAGCCGATGCACTGGCTCTTGGCCGAGCTGCTCCGTCAGATCCCGCTCGTGGGCCACCAGGCGCTCCAGCGGTGGTCGGGCAAGCAGCGTCTCGACGAGCTGCTCCAGGACAGGGTCGACGAGAAGAAGCTCCTCGTGGCACTCGACTATCCGCTGCGCGTGTGCGTCAAGCTCGCCCAGATCCGCTGCAACATGTGGGTGCGCAACGGCTTTGTCATTCGCTCACAGGCGCACCACTACCGCGACAACTCGATGCGCGGCATCACGTTCGACCAGGACCTCCTCCTCATCCAGGCCGCGTTCGCGCTGCTCGACACCGATCGTCTGCTGCTCTCGATGCTCGACCGTTTTCAACTGCTCTCGTGGTTCGACGTCGCAGACGCAAACGCCAACAAGCCGTACGATGCGACGCAGGGCATCTTCCTTGCGGAAGAGCTGCTCTTCCTCATCGTCACGTGTCTCTCGGAGATGTCGTCCGTGTGTGCCTGGTCCATTGACGCCCAGATCCGACGCGAAGTCATCCACTTCCTCGCGCTCGGCCAAGGCACCTTCTCCGACGTGACCAAGAACATCCCCGAGAAGTTCACCGACCTCGCTGCGTTTGAGCGCATCCTCTCGCAGGTCTCCACCTTCCGCGCTCCGGACGGCACGCACGACTTTGGCATCTTTGAGCTCAAGGACGAGTGCTACGCCGAGATCCAGCCGTTCTTCTTCCACTACACGCGCAACCAGCGCGAAAAGGTCGAGGAAGTGCTTCGCGCTCGTCAGAAGAAGCACTTGGCTCAGACCACGGCTCGTCAGGCTTCGACCATCAAGGACGAAGAGCTGCCACCGCTCGTGCCGAGCCCGTGTCTGGGCCAGCTCCGCGGCACCCTCTTCGGTCGCATGCCCGAGGTGCTCTCGAACGACGTGCTTGTCTCGCTCCTCTTCCGCGCGCTCGACAACACGCGGGCGCTGGACACCTATGCGCCGGACATGCTCGTCGACACGGCGCTCCAGATCATCATGATCGGCCTCGTCGATGCCACAGAGAGCTTCGCGGACAAGGCTGCCACGCTGCCGATCGCCAGGCTTCCGGCGAAAGGCGACGAGGCCGCCGCAGCCTCATCCGAGGCGACGCTGGTGGAACTGCTCTGCCAGATCGAGCTCCTGGAGGCCTTCAAGCCATTCAAGACCAAGATCAGCTGGTGTTTGGAGCAGCTCATCTCGCACAACGCGACCGCACGCGGCATTGTTCAGGCGCACTTTGCTGCCACTGGACGTGGTGACGCTGCGGCCACGGCCGCGACCAATGCCAAGAAGCCACAGAGCGCCGACGAGGCTCGCAGAGCAGCCGCCAAGGCGCGCCAGGCCGCCATCATGCAGAAGTTCTCGGCACAGCAAAAGAGCCTGCTCAATCAGTTCGGCAGCGACGACGATGACGATGACGAGGGCGAGGTGGATGCCGCTACGTCGTCCGTGGATGCCGAGGCGAGGGCGCCCAAGAAGAGCTGGGGCAGCTGCATCCTCTGCCAGGAGAATCTCGCCACCGACAAGGCGTTTGGCAGCCTTGCGCACATTCAGCCGAGCCGCATGATGCGCATGACGCCCAAGCAGGACGCGCCGAGCCTGCAGCAGGCCTTGGAGGCGCCGCTCACCATGGACCGAAGCAGCGACGACGGCAAGCGCGTCCAGGGCGCGCCGCCCATGGGTCGCTCGGGCTTGCCGCCCAGCAACGGTGGCAGGACGAGGCAAGGACCAGCGTACGGCAGCTTCCCGCAGGAGGACCACCGTTTCGGCTTCTACGCGTCCACGTGCGGCCATCTTATGCATCTGCACTGCTTCGAGACGTACTGCAGGAGCGTCGAGCAGCGCCACACCCAGCAGATTGCGCGCAACCATCCAGAGGAACTGCAACGCTCCGAGTTCATCTGCCCGCTGTGCAAGAGTCTCGGCAATGTCATCCTGCCCGTCGCCGATGCGACGCCGGCGGGAGATGCGTCGAGCTCCAACGGCGGCAATGCGTTTGTGCCGTTCGACTCGGTGGTGGCGGACGACATGCCGCTGCAGGACTGGATCCGCAAGATCAACATCGACATCCTCAAGCACTCGTCCAAGACCAACGTGGCCGACTACCAGGAGACGGAGCACGGCAGCGGCGCGTTCCTGCCCTTCTTTGTGGAGCATTCGCCGAGCTCGCTGCAGGTGCGCCTCGAGATGGCGAGCATCGACCGCTCGACGGCGCAGATGATCGACCGGCTGATGAACGTGCTCAAGCCCATGTCGCAGGCGACCAAGCCGGCGCGGGAGAAGCTGCAGCAGCACACGATCCTTGCGCCGCAGGGACGCAAGATGTACATCCCAGAAGAGGTGGTGGCGTATACGATCGCCATGCTCGAGGTGTCGCAGCGCGGCATGACGCCGTCGCCGTCGACCGACTGTGCGCTTCCGGTGGAGCAGCGGTCGGTGGCGGACGCGCTCAACGATCCGACCGTCGACTTGCTACGCTCTCTGCTTCACTGCCTGCGGGTAGCATCCTTGACGCTCAACGAGGGATCGAGGGGACCGGACATCATCCGTCGCGGACTGCTCAAGCGACTGCTGCCGCACTGGGGCGGGGACGACGCTGTGCGCTCGCCGTTGCTGCTGCGCGACCCGATGACGATCCTGATCGAGGCGGCCGTCGTGGCGCCCGAGGCACTGCCGCAGTGCACGGCGCTCATGTACTACGTATGCCTGGTGCAGACCGTGTTTGGCCTCGCACAGCCCTCGATCTGGCCGCAGGTGTACGGCCATATGAGCAACATGTTTGGACCCAACTCGGCGCTGCGGCCGGGCGCCGGTCTGAAGCCGGGCCAGATCGCCAAGGAGGACGTCGACGAGGCGCGACGCATCTTCCCGGACGTGCGCTGGACGGTGGCCAACATCATCGGTTTCGTGGGGTATGCGCGAGGCAACATCACGCTCGGGTTCGATAATCTGGACGACGACACGCTGGCCAAGATGATCTGCAGCTACACGCTGCCGTTCCTGCGGCGCGCTGCGATCCTGCGTCGCGTGGTGGGCGTGACGGTGGCCGGCGGTGCCAAGGTGGGGGAAAGCACGGCGGGCGTGGGCGAGTATCGTCGGCTGTTGGAGCAGCTGCAGATTCCGCTGCCGTCGGACGCGCTGCCGGTGCGTGCGGAGAAGCAGACGCCCATGGCGAGCATGGTGGAGGGATGGATCAAGCATGCGTATGTGCCGCTGGCATCGCTTTTCCGGCCGCTGCCGATCCAGCCGGCGCCGCTGGGCAACTCGCTGTTCGGCAGTCAGCCGCCGAGTCTCGGTCACGATCGGCCATCGTCTGCTGCGGCGGCGGTTGCGGGTGGGTCGAGTAGTGCTTCGCTGGGCGGGGGACGGTCGGGAGGGGGTAATTCGTCGCTGGCGACATCGTACCTGCAGGCGGCGGAGACGCATCCGACGCTGCTGCTGGAGCATCCGCACGTGTACGAGCTTGCGCGGTTGCCATCGGATCTGGCGACGCTCTTGCAGGATACGCGACGACGTGCGTGCAAGAAATGCGGCAACATCCCACCCGAGCCGGCGCTGTGTCTGTTGTGCGGCGAGGTGGTGTGTCTGCAGTCGTTCTGCTGCCAGAGCGAAGACGACGGCGAGCGCGGCGAGTGCAACCAGCACATGGACCTCTGTGGCGGCTCCACCGGCGCGTTTTTCAAGATCAAGAGCAACCTCGTGCTGCTGTTGTATCAGGGCAACGGCACGTTCCACTTTCTCTCGCCGTATCTCGATAGGCATGGCGAGATCGATGTGGGATTGCGCAAGGGCAGGCCGCAGAAACTGCACCAGCAGAGGTACGATGAACTGCGCAAGCACATCTGGGCGCATGGGGTGGCGAATATTGTGGCGCGCAAGATCGAGGCTGCCATGGACACGGGTGGATGGCAGACGTTCTAGCGGGCTCGCAGTGGCTGGCGGACGTCGCGAGCAAGGACAGTTTTGTTATTGCAATCGATTCGATGGGGTGTGCGTACACTCGGCTCGTGCGAAATTGAGACTGCATGTTGCTGCGGCTGGTCGTTGGATCGGCGTTGTTACGGTGTGTAAGATGCAAGGTGGACACGGCGATGGATGGAAGTGGATGGCGGACGTTTCGGCGCCGTTCGATGCTGTCGATCTAGGTGGCACGAGTGGGGCAAGTTGTCAACGGAATGCGTCTGATCGGCTGTTGGTGGACTGAGGTTGTGAAGGCAATTCCTCACCACACTGTCTCTCTCTCACTTGACTTTGCTACCCACGTTGGCCGGTGTGTTTCTCGCGCCCATGCCTCGTCGTCAATGGAGAGTGTCGTGGCAGCAGAGTTCGGCTGAACCGGGCTCGCAGTGCAAGCGCAACGCACGCACACTAGATTCTAGACGTTGGCTGGGACGATGTTCGAGCCGGGTGGGGCTCAGTATCTTGGACGTGGCGTGTGGCTCGACGTCGATTCGAGCAGCTGAAACAGACGGTGCTAGATCCGCACACACCCAGTGCTGCGAGAGACGCAAGCCGAGCCAACTCGCGGGGAAGTCTTTGGACGTCCCGCCATGATCGAGTGTTCGCCAAGCACGACGAGTAAAGCGAACGGTAGCGACACCCAAATCAACCCCTGTGCACACGGAGAAACTGCAACGAAATCCTTTGTCCTGCGCCCTACGCACTCAACACTTCATGCGCCCTGCGCAGTGTGGATACGAAATGCAAGCACCAGGCTGGGGAGTAATGGCGACGGTGGCGACGCCAAGCACATTCCGATGCATGTCAAAAGCCGGTACTCTGCAAGGTGAGGGCGCACCATAACCGATTCCTGCGCCTCATCAACGTATAGACTGATGTCACTGCTGGCAAGCTACGCATTTCACTTTTGGGAGTCTGCCATGGCTCGCAAAGTCCCATGGCTTGACTTTGCAGGATTTGATGCCATTCGACTCGCCCTCGTCGCCAGTGGATCAAATCGTCAGTTCTACTGGATTGCATTCCAATCTGGTTGGCGAGCGCCACAAACAAGGCTGCGCAAAGTAGGCCCTTGCCGGGTATCTCCGCCTTCCAAGGGCTGGAAATCGCGTCACGCCTGCGCCATGCTGGCAGAATCACTCCCAAGCGCACGCCAACACACCAGCAGCAAGCTCACGACCTCACCGACACCACCAGTCCCACGCACCTACGCACAGAGATTTCAACAGCTCCATTTTGGCATTCCCGCAGAGTGCGTCACAAAATCCTAAAGTGGCGTGTCTGTGGCTCTTGGTACTCGGGCTTGCTCGGCGCGATGGCGGTGAGAAAGTCGTTGTACGACGAAATCGCCGCACACAGCGCGGCGTGTTCCTGCACCGCATGATGCACCGAGGCTTGGGTCTCGTACGGCGCGTCCGAGTTGGTTGCGATGAGGTCGAGCGCGCCCTCGCGCTGGTCGTGGATGCGCAATACGTAGCGCCGCGACTTGACCAGGCTGCGCAGCGTCTCGACCGTGCGCCGCACGGCTACGAACATGCTGCTCAGCGTTGCGGTGGCCAGTTCGCTAAGTCGGCGGAAGTTGGGATGCAGATGGACGAGCAGCACGAGCGCAAAGAGCGGCCGACTCGTGCGGCCCGTGCTGTCAATGAACAGCGGATGCACCTGGTCGCGGTCCACGAGATCTTCGTCCACGCCCTCCGCTGTGCGGTGCAGCGGAGTCAGAATCGCATCCCACTCGGCGTCTGGCAGCAGCGTGTCCAGGTGGTACAACCCGTCAATACCATCTGCACAAGGGCAGTCGGATAAAATGATCGCAAGCACGTGGTCCAGGGTGTAACGAGCCGAACAGCTATCCGTGTGGCGCGAGTTGAACGCTTCCAAAAAGTGCTTGCGCTCAGAAGCGAAGCGCAGATCGAGCGTATACCGCTCCACGTCCGTCTCGGTATCGAGGCAGAAGCCGTAGCGCGTGAGCAGCAGCGCGTTGGGCAGGGTGCCGTACGTGTTGAACATCTCGTCGCCGCATGCGTGCGGGGCTAGTGTGCGCATGTCGAGCGTGTCCACATAGTCGACTTCGTCGTCGCTAGCGGCGTCCTCATCCTCGTCTGCAGCAGCTTCTGCATCAGGCACGACTTGGATTTCGGCCTCCTCCTCTTTGATAGCCTCCTCTTCTTCTTCCTGTGAATCGCCCTCTTCCTCGCTCTCTTCTTCTTTGATCTCGTCTTCGTCAACCGACGACGCTTCGTCCTCGGACTCGGCCTCGTCGTCCTGGAGGCCGGATCTGCACTCTTCCTCCTCGTGTCCCGTGAGCAAGGCCTCACCGCAAATCTCGCAGACGTCCTGATCGGATTCGAACTGCACCGTATGCGTCTCTGCGTGGTTGAACAGGTCCGCCACGGGTACGAGCCCAACGCCGTGGTACGTGTCGACAATAAAGTCCCTCGACGACACCTGCGTGTAGGCGGTCAGGAACGGCGTCTCGAGCGCCTCGAGATGCTGACGCTGAGTCGCATCGAAGAGTCCGCTGCGCTTGAGCACCTCGATGCCGATGTTTTCAAAGTAGTCGAGCGCCTTTTGGCGGCACATGCCGTAATCGTGGTCGTACGGCCATTCGACGCCTTCTGACGTGGCAGCCATGTAGACCTGGGACGCGCGCTCATCGATGCGGCCTGCCTCCGTGTTGCGGATGAACCTCCATGAATCCGGAGGCGCGCCATAGGGACGAAATTGGGTCGTATCGTGGAGGAAGGGCAGGGGTACGGGCAGGCGCGGGAGGATGTCGATGAACGGGGCGAACCGCGACTTGGCGCCCAGAAGCCGCTCGTACAGCAGGCAGAGTGCGAGTTCAAGTCCGACTGTCTCGTGGGAGTCGCTCAGCCACTTGCCCTTGAGCACGTGCGAGAGTGCAGATGTCTTCCGGGAAAGCACCGCCGTCTTTGGGATGGTCGCGACCACCTCGTCGCGGTCGATCGCCGCGCCGGCGTGAACCGAGATGCTCCACGAGACAGCGTCGCCCTGATACCGGAGGTCGAGCCGCGGGTCGATTGTGATGCCTTGCGCCTTGCACCATGCGAGGAAGCACGAGAGTGGAGCCGGCGTCTTGCTCGCAAGGCGGCGCGAGGGGGAGAGATCGCTGTGGTGCGAACTGAGCGATGTGCTTGACGTGCTGGGCGTAGCAGTTGCCGACGCTGTCTGGCTGGATTGCTGCGAGTGGATAGGCTCGGTCCGCCTCCGCTTGGACGCGCGCCGCGGTAGGAGCTCGCGTGCTGCTTCCATCTCTGCGAGATAGGGCGAAGCACCGAGCTGAAGGTTCCGCGGGACTGTGGAAGCAAACGTCGATGAGGTGTGCCAGCTCGATGCGAGACAGCGAAGAAGAAACGCGTCCCAGGGTCCCGCTGCCAAACACGCCGCACAAAAGATGGACCCTGGCCAGCTCCACACCAACACCTCGTGTCAACTTCATCCCGATCCCCGATCGGTGATCTACCTTCATCCCCTCACCGTTGCCTCGGTGACCACTGCGTCTCACGGCAGTGAATCTCTGTCACATAGCGTTCGTGGTCCATCTTCGCTCAAAGACTACCGGCCGGACAAGTCCATGGCATGGACGAGATTAAGGGCATTGACCACTGGCCCGAGGAAATGCGGTTTCACTCATGGCGATGGGGAGGTCAGAACCCGTCCACAGACGATGGAGGGCCCTACGATGAGCGAAGCGGAGGCCAGTGATCCTATCGTCGGCTCATGTGATTCGCTGGAGATGTCCGGTCTGACGAATGATGCCATTCGCGAATGCCCGCATGGATGCAGATCAGTGTGCGCTTAGGCAGGTCCGAGACCGAGGCAGGAAGCGCTCGCGTGCAAGCCGAAGGATGTGCGGCGGGCAGATCCGATGGTCAACCGCAGGCTGCAATGCGGCAGAGAAGCGAGGGCGGCGCTAGTCCCGATGGTAACAGTCACCCCGCATGTCGTCGGATGAAAGTCTTCCGCTCCAGCCACTGCTAAGATCGACCACTCGCTCGGGACCCAATGATCTTGTCGGCATGAAAGTGTTGTAGGGCTCAATCATGCTGTGACCGAATGACAAGCTCAAGCTCCATGCCCGTATTGGTGTCCGGCGGAACAACCGCGACTAGCTCAGTCGAGCTAGTCTTGTCCGCACCGAGAGGCGGCTTCGGCGGCATCCCGAAGTCGAGACGGCGTCGCAATCCGTCATCCTCAGCTGTCACGCCATCAATGCTGACGCTATCATATTGACTCTCGGTGCTGCGCCGTCCGCCTTGGATATGCTTCGTCGCTCGCTTGTGCCCGACCTTCAAACCCGACTGGACCGTCAACGCCTACCTGGCCAGCTCGGCAGATCTCCGACGCTTTGCTCGAAAGCACGTTATCTCTCGGCACGCTCCGAAGATGGCTCGAAAGGAATCACGAGGTCGTTCCGCCATCACATCCTCTGCCATCACCCAGGTTTGTTGGGCTCCTCCGAGAAAGGCAAGTGGAGTGCGGAGTTGAAGGGCGCTTCTTACATCACAATGGGGAAAGGCCGATTTAGAGCTCGCCTCTCTTCCTGATCCGTGCGCGTTGCGGGTATCTCCACCCCGCAGCCCACTGAATTACGTGGCCGTGTTTTTCGCCGCGTTCTTCTCGAGTCAGAAGCAGTTTCTCCCAAGGATCCGCATCTTCCGGTTTACGCCTTCTCACCCGATTGCCAACCCACTCACTCGAAACAGCACATCCGCAGCTTCTCGTCACAAATCTGTGAGTCTTCTTCCTCGAGCGTAGCGAGGCGATCATCGGCGCAGCCAACTTCGCTCTGGCACTCCTCAGTGTCCGCAGCTCGTCACGAAGCCTCGTCTCTCGGTGAAGATGGTCGCTTCGCCCGTCTCGGTACTCGGCCGCACTGCCGGTGCTCTTCGGACGTCCGGCACGGCGTCGTACACTCGTCAGGCGCTGAAGCTGACACCTAGCGCCATCGCTCGCACTGCATCCGTCCGTCGCCTGTCAACCTCGCCATCGGTAGCCAAAATGTCGTCGACTCCCTACAAGGTCATTCACACCACCGAGGCGCCCGGCGCCGTCGCGCCCTACTCGCAGGCGGTCGTGCACAACGGCGTCGCCTACGTCTCGGGCTGCATCCCCTTCACCCCCGAGATGAAGCTCGTCGAGGGCGGCATCGAGCAGCAGACCGAGCAGGCGCTCTCTAACCTCTTTGCCGTCGTCAAGGCCGCTGGCTCCGACCCTTCGGTATGTTCACTTCGAGCCGCAACAATGCCGCTGCAGCCTTTCGGCCATACTGACGCTGTCTTTGCTCTGGCGAACAGCACATCCTCAAGTGCACCATCTTCATGAAGGACATGGCCAACTTTGAGAAGATCAACGTGAGTGCGGGATCGGCGTGTTTCGGCAACACAAAACGCCTGTACTGACCCTTCTGACCTTGCACCGCTCCACTGGGAACTGGAACTTCCGAACATGACAGGCCATCTACGAGAAGGTAAGTCCGCACCGCTGTGGGTACGATTGTGGTCAAACGGCATGAGCTGACGCTTGCTTTTTTGGTACTTGTCTTTGTTTGCCGCTCGGTAGCGCTTCGCTCCTTACAAGCCCGCCCGATCCGCCGTCGAGGTGTCGCGCCTGCCCAAGGACGTTGGTGTCGAGATCGAGTGCATTGCCGCTGTCAAGGCCAACCTCTAAGCGCACGACTCGATCCTGCGGCATAAAGACGGCATTCATGCGCTTGTAATACATATGAAAGCCGCATTGTGCTATCTGAAGAGCGGGTCTGGTACGCGGCCAATCACCGCCGAGTGACGCTTAGATGAGACGAGCATAAAATTCAGCTTGTGTCCCGACAGAGCTGAGCTTGATCATGGCGCTGTGGAGTGGACCAATGGGCACGCCCGAATAGACAAAGATACCGGAGATGATCTGCCGCATGCGCCGGCGGCGGCTAGGCGAACAGGCGGGAAGGCTGCACAGCTGCATCGACTCGAGCCGGAAGAGGGCACGCCGACAACTGGGTGTGCGCTTGATGCTCACGCTCCAAGCCTGATCTGGTGAGAGAGGTCTTTCGGTCCAGTCTCCGATGCGCTGTGCGGCTCGACAACCCTCGCTGATGGATATCAAGGCACAGCGCTGCGGCGGTCAGAGATCACGATGACCGGCAGGCTTTGACCGTCGGAAGAGCCGTGGGTCCCACGGTGATGTACAGGCGAGAGAGTTTGTCTGTCAACGCTCTATGGCTCTCGCTTGCGCACTTGCCTTTCCGGCGAGCTCGGCACAGCCAAGCGGCTGATCCGAACCCTGTCCTCATGCCGTGAGCTCGGGAGTCGGACTCCATTCCCCAAGCAGAGCATCGACATCCATCACATGTGATGTACTGCTTTCCCATGGCGAGGGCGCGAATCGACTGGCCGAGATGGCCTTGGTGAAACCTCTTGTGACTCGCGTGTTCAGCCCCTCAGAGACAAGAGCGAGGGCACAACAAGCCTTGTCGCAGGCACAAGCGTCCATTGCTTTGCGAGACAGGCTGTCCAACTACAGTCGAGACAGCTGCGGACCAGGCGGCGTTGATCGAGCGCATCTCCATAAATTGTAGCTCGTCTTCGCTGCGGGCAGTGGGAAACGAGCCTTCGAGAGAAGAGCGTGGCGACACCAACCGAATCTCGGCTACAGCGCGGCTGCATGCTTAGCGCGCTTTTTCTCCACCGCCTCGCTCAGCCGGTGGTTTTGCGCGCAAGCAGAACCGCTCCCTCTCTCCCCCCCACACTCACACCTTCCAAATCAAGCCCAAGCGCTGCCTGCGGCTGCTCGGCTCTCCGCGTCTGTGGGCCCATCGAGACCGCCGGAGATGGTAGGACCGCGGTCTCTATTGCCGCCCCGGCGTTTGCCCGCAGCAGAGAGCTCATTCGAGCAGGGACTGCAGTTGGACGTTCACGCTTTTCTGTCTCTTGTGGCCGCTGCGCTTTTGAGGGGCGGAAAGAGAGCCTGGGAGAAGGCAGCAGTGTACCACTGAGCGATGCAGAATAGGTCTCATATGCACGCAGATCCGGCGTTGGCGGATGCAGCAGGCTCAGAGAATCGGCGGAAGGCGTGCTTTGGTAGGAGCAGGCGTGTGGTCAGCCGCCGAGTTCATGGCAGGAAAACAGCGACCCATCAAGCCGGATGAATCCCGCGCACCTGATTGGAAGATCTGAGACCCAGACGATGTCCACTATCAGTGCAGCGATTGCAGATCTTTTGCACTTCCGGCAGCTCATCGCAAGCAGCGCTTCTTTCGCCATCCCTGCGGTGACAGACCACCATCAGGGCCGTGGGATAGGCTTTGACGGTGCTCGCGGTGTGAGAGGGACACCCAAGCGAGCACAGATTATCGGTGCACCGATCGCGAGCACGGATACGATGAAGCATGGCGAAACGGGTCACGTTGCCGAAGACGGCTTCATTGTGGTTGGGAGTGAGGACCGACTTCCCCGCAAATAGAGCAGATCTCCTCGGGGGTCACGAGTGCTACGAGCAGGCTGGAAGGTGTGACGATCAAAGCATCGCGCCATTGCTTCGTCGAAATTCGCTACGCCTGTCATCATAGTCGCTTTTCCAGGCAGTCTTCCGAACGCAATTCGAGAAGCGAGCACTGCTGCTGCAGACTTCGGAGAGCGTCTCTCCGAGCAAGCTCATTTGTCCAGACACGCCGTAGGGACTTGTTATCTTGAGGCATCGGTCGATAATGTTGCCAGTCCCTAGTCCTGTCGAGGCCACACCGCACGCTCAAACGCGGTAAGAGCCTTGACGAGATTCGGCCGCTCGATGACGATGAAGCGCCTTCATATTTCGGCAGTTGCACCTCCGAGCTGCCGTCGTCGTACGGCGGAGCCTGACAATACATTAGCGCGAATGCCATGCACCTCCGCCAGCCAAACCTGGACCACCATCCAGGACCCGAGCGGCTGGAACTTTGCGGCAAAAGAGAAATCCGCACACCTTCGCTTGTTCAAGCGGCGGCATCGGCCGGCGGACACAGCTTGATCCTGTCAAAGCTTCTGCACGATCTAGTCGACGGAAGGGCGTGCGCCGTATCAAATTGGATATCGCCATCGCCATCCGCTTGTCCACGCTCAATCAGATGGCGGTGGGCGGAGCGGCGACCAATCGCGTCCCAGCAGCGTACGCCGCACAGCGGAGTGTGCATGTCATGGACGCGATGCATGAGCAAGGTTGATCAAAGTCGCCCAGTGTCACCGCCGACGGCAGCCAAGGCGCTACGCAGCGTGACGTGACGTCGGATTCATGGGCTCCGCACGCCAATGCGCGTTGCCTCGGCGGTGGGCAACGCCGCTCGTTGTCCTCCTGCCGATAACGCAGAGCGTTTTAGCTCCAAATCGTTCGAACTCCGACACGTCCAGAAAGCCAAACAAGGGTTTTGCAGCCCTTTGGGCTCTGGTTCGCCTCCACCCCCGGCCGGCATTGCCTCCTCCGAGCACTAGCGGCTTTGCTTCAAGCTCAGCGATCCGCCGCCGGATCAGCATCTGCCACGCAGCGCTCTGTTTGCCTGTTTTGTGGTTCTTCTCGTCCGCTCAACACTGGGGTCGGGCAGCGGCGAGTGAACGGAAGGTGGCCTCTTGATTCAGGGCTCACTCGATGGGGCGTACGGCCTCTGCTAGGGACCCTTATTCCGTCATAATCGCCGCCTCAATCGGCGACAGCACTGCGCCTGCACACATCCCCACCCGAGGTCACTCGCCTCCAACTGTGCATGTCTTCCAAACTGCCTGCTTCTGCTTTCGCCGTCGGCACTGGCGGCGGCGGCCGCGGCGGTGACGGCGGCACACCGAGCCGCCACCTCGCCCTCCCTCGGATATCCACTTTCGCCCAGGTTGTGATTGCCGAGCCTCTCTTCGCTTGCCTCCTCAGACCCTGTTCGTCGCCACGGCTCGCAATCTCGCCACAGTCGCTCGACTTTCTTCCAAGCTCACCTGCGTATCGGTACTGACAGCCGTCCACGCGCGCGGGCGCACCCTCCGCGCTAGCGCCGAGACAAGCTCAACACGCCCACGCTCGCCTCGGTGCACAGGCTTCCGATTCCTGATTGGGCCTAACGTTCTTCTCGCCTTAGCCTAATTCTGCCGGACAGAGCAGGCTCAAGCTTCACATCGCCACCGTAGCTCGCTCGATGCCGCGCTTGTGGCTATCGACGCCTCCGATACTGAGCATGCTCTGCTCGTGCTCGGCGCTCCCCACGGACGCCATCGTATCCACCTCGATGCGTATAAAGACCGGCCAGATCGTAGCCAGTCCATCCCCTCTCATCATCATCCTTCTCCTTCCTCATCTTCTCCACTCCTCTTTCCACTCTCTTCGATAGAAAGCCCATCCCCCTAGCCACCCCTAGAAGACCTTCGCCATGCAGCTCAAGCTCTCCTTCGTCGCTGGTCTCATCGCCAGCGCCTCGCTGGCCACCGCCGCTCCCGTCGAGCAGGAGCGCGGTATCAACATCGACATCTCCAAGCGCGCCACCCTGACCAAGGCCGGCACCGACCAGATCGACTGGACCAAGGTCGACGCTCACATGCAGGGCCTGCGCGCAAAATACTCGAAGAGCCTTGCGAACTACGAGAAGAACACCGGCAAGGTCCACCCTCTCAAGCGCGAGGTGCCTGAGCTCTCCAAGCGCGCCACCGGCACGGTCGGTCTCACCGACCAGCAGAACGGCGAGCTCTGGACCGGCACCATGGCCTACGGCACCCCCGCCCAGAGCTTCTCGATCGACTTTGACACCGGATCCTCGGACACGCTTGTCAACCCCGGCGCCTACAACCCCAGCTCGTCGTCCACCTCGAGCACCAACGGCGACACCTTCTCCACCGCTTACGGTGACGGCACCACTGCCCAGGGCACCATCTACCGCGACACCGTCCATATCGGTGGCCTGAGCGCCACAAAGACCGCCATCGGTGTTTCTAAGACCACCTTCATCGACTCCTCGGAGGGCTCGTCCGGTATCTCGGGCATGGCCTTCCCTCAGCTCGCCGCCTTCGGCTCCAGCTACCTCCCCTACTTCTACCAGCTCAAGCAGGCTGGTGCCGTCTCCTCGGGCAAGTTCCAGTTCGACCTCAGGACGAGTGGCTCGTCGCTCTTCCTCGGCGGAACGAACAGTGCGAAATACAGCTCCACTCCAGTGTACGTCAGCGTTGACTCGAACCAGGGCTTCTGGCAGGTGCCCGCCTCGGTCAACAGCATCGGCATCGAGTCGATCGTTGACACTGGTACGACGATCATTGTCGCCCCCACCTCGCAGGCCCAGGCGCTCTTCAACAAGCTCGGTCTGCCGACGTTCACTCAGGACGGCTCGACCTACGCCTACTACAACTGCAACTCGCCCCCTACCGTGACGTTCAAGTACGGCTCGTACACCAAGAGCCTCTCGGCTGCCACCACCTCGTTCGGTACCACCAACGACGGCCACTGTGTGCTCTCGGTTGCTGGTGGCGACCTCGGCATCAACGCCTGGATCACTGGCGACTCGTTCCTCCAGAACACCGTCGCCATCTTCGACACGGACAACAACCGCGTCGGCTTCGCGAACAAGGCCTAAGAAAGTCGCCCTCGTCGGAACGAAACGAAACGAACCTCTTTGTCACGGCCCCTCTTCCCCTTCACATCAAGCAATCATGTACAAGGGCTCGCGGATCGGATCCGGGAACAGCTTCCCGGCGTCCGCCTCCCCCGCTCGCAGCCCGCTCTGGTAGTCTTTTCGCTTATGCCAATACCAGACAAGATACCTTTTCATCTACGTTATTGCTCGTTCTGTCGTCCCCGCGTTCGTGAGCGGCAGATGAAGTGTGCCCTGCATTGTACTGCACTCTGCATTGTTCTATGTTCTCCATTGTCTCGCTCATTTTTCGATGGGACGCCCACCTTGCTTGATCCGGCCTTTGAAAACCATCCTTTCCTAGCCTTTCCCACCCTCTCTTGTATGTCGTCGGCCATCGTTCTCGCCAATACAGATGTCTAGGAGAGGGATCGCAACCCAGTGGTAGGATGTTGACGACCTGGAGGACCTGATCGCCCGCAGGCGTTGGCCTTACTCCCCGAAGCTGTCGCGGCAGATGACAATGAGCTTCGATGGTCCCTGATCTCGCGGTTCAAAGCACGCTTATACATATGTGCAACCTTGGTGCAGACAAATATACAAGCATTGATAGTGTAGGGGTATCATGAGTCGTTGCCACTCATCGCCTTTCTGAGGCGTGACTACCGATTCGACTCGACCGGGGTTCGAGTCCCCGTCAATGCATTCTTTTTTGCATCTTTCCGCGCGAATCCTTTTTTTGGCCCACATTTCGGCTCGGCACAGCGAGATTCCCCTTCGAGCTTTTAGGGTCTCGCTTCAACTGGGACCCTGCCCCACGATGTCGGCTCGGAGCTCACAGTGACCAGAGATACGATCTGAACGAAAGTCGGCCGACTCTAGCCTGCGGTACGATCGAGTGAAATGCAAAGCCAATCCAATCGCGAGCACGGGTGTTTGTCATGCCGATTGCGGCAGCTCCGGTGGTGGGGTCGAGACCTCGAGCTGGGCTGGGCGTGGCGGGGAAAGGGGCCCTAGTCGCGCGGGCTTTGTATCTCGACTGCTAAGCGATGGCGCACAAGTCAATGCGGTGCTCAGGTCCAACCTGGTCCAATCGGCGATGGAGCAAGATCATGCTACTTTTGACCCTTTTTGACCCTCTTGACGCTTGTGTGGCGAGGTGGCAGGTGGATCGCGATACGATTTCACGTCAAGGCTCCTTTTGGCATGTCTTTCGGAGCTCGAAATCGGCACGACGCCCAGGCTCAAGCGAGGGCGCAGCGCGACCTTTCAGCTCGAATCAAAATCCGCGTGCGGGGCGAGAGTCTCCACAGACTGGATTGAAGGCAGTTGAGCAGCCGCCAAAGATGGCCGTTCAGGAACAGCCAGGGCAAGTCCTAAGGAGAAAATCAATGCACCTGAACGCTTCCCGCGGGTTCCGCTGGTCCCATAGTGCATCCACTGCATCCAAGCGCTTGGCGCCAGTCTCAGCCCCCTTTTCAGACCGGCCAAAGGTGCCATTCCCACCAGGCACTCGAGAGCTGGCGGTACAAGAGCAAGCCAGACACACAGCTCGTAGGCGCCTGTCCATGCCGGGCTCCGGGCTCGCGCAGAAGTGAGACCGGGCAGCTCGTCAAGTGCAGCCAGCCGCGCAAAGATTCATGGTCCGCCCCGGGTCTGTATGCTATGGGAGCACGGGGAGAAGTCGGGATCCTCCACTTGTCGTCTGAATACAGTCGATTAAAAAGGTAGCGCCGATGGCGACCGGCAGATCAACCAAACGGATCTGCACCGCAGGCTTCGATTGGTAGAGCCATGTCGCATACAGGTCAGGCCACGCAGGCCATGTATCCACCTGCAAGCTGCTTCCAGATGCAGCTGCTTTGTTCACAGCAGCGAGGCGAGTCAGCTTCATCCGAAAGCGTATATTGCTGGCCCTCCCTGAGTGGCCGAAACCCCCGGCGCCCCCTCCCCCTCTTTGCTTCCCTTCTTACTCGTGTCACCACACGTACCTGAGTACTCCGCTCGCCTTCTGTGGCTTCCTCCGTCACCACGACGAGGCTCGGGATAGCGACATGGTGAAGACCTCGTGGGGCATGCTCGCGAAAGCGGGCTCCCTGGCAGCGCTACTCGTCAGCACCTTTTCCTCGCAGGCACACGCACTTGGCTTTTCCGTCGACGCTCTCAACTGCACCGAGCTCGAATGGTCCGCCTCGCTCACCCAGACAGAATGGAGCGTAGCATCGTTCGTCAACCTCTTCTTTGTGTCCACCGAGGGCGCGCGTAACTACTCGCTTCTCTACTCGGCGCTCAATGGCGGCGACTTCTCCACGCCAGGCAACTACCGCAAAGTCACTTCTTTCGGCGACACGGCGCTCAGCGGCACATACCGCATCGGCATCGGTCTCGCCGACATCAACGGCAACATCCTCACCACCCTCAGCACCAGCAGTGGCATTGTACAGGTCACAGCCATCGACTCGAGGACATTTACATTCACAGACTGCGGCAGGAACGGCACTGCGCCAGCCTCTGCATCGACCACTTCGGCTTCCACCAGCCCGACAGCCGCCTCAACTTCGGCTTCTTTCGCAACCACAGCCGCCTCGGCCACTTCTCAATCTACCCAGGCTGTCGCTTCATCGACATCGGTCGCAGCAGCACCAGTGAGCTCTCTGGCACCCGCTACGACGACCGCCACGACTCCGGTGCACCACGTCAACAAGGGCGCGATCGCAGGCGCTGTGATCGGCGGAGTGGTGCTGCTGCTCATCGGAGTGGCGCTCATGAGGTGGTGCGCGTCGCGGCGGCGTACGCGGAGGCTGAGCATGGCGGCACACCGCATGTCGGCACTGCGCTCACCGTCGCTCTCCGAAAAGGCTGCCGGCTCGCCCAAGGACGACGGCTCCGTCTCGCCGCACAGCCAACGTCGCATGACCGCCAGGGTGTATCCGTCCGGCGACACGCTCGACGTGGCGGCTCTGGGCCGGCTCAGCTCGAGTTCGCGCCGTCGATCGGCTTCGAATGGCGACGATCTGTCGCTCTCCAACATTCTCGCGCAGGGACCGTCGAATGTTCCGGAGGCCGAGGCCGAGCCCGAGATCCGCGTGGTCAAGGTGCCCTTCAACCTCACGTCGGGCCAGCAGATGGCACCCGCGCACGAGTCGATCGGGCTCGACGCATCTCCGTTTGCAGACTCGGATACGCCGTACCTGCCGCTGAGCAGGACGAAGAGCGTCCCTGTGCATCCGCATGCACTGAACCCCTTCTATTCAGCGGATCCTGCCAAAGCGAGTGTCGAGGCAGCGGCGGGAGAGTCGCTGCACGCGCGCTCCAAGTCAACGCCGGTAGTCGATCCACTAGCCAACAGCACGACCCCTACCACCTCGCCCACTGCATCCTCGTTCCCTAACCGCACGCTGCGCGGTGCGCACTCGCAGAACTTCAAGATCCCGCGCGTCAGCGTCCCCGCCTACCTCGCCGGCATCGATTCGGGGCATGACGATCTGGGCGCAGAGTCGATGTCGAGACAGATCTCGTGCGACTCGGGCATGCGCCGCTTCTCTACGGGCGCCGCCACGTTTGTCTCGGTCGATGAAGACCCCTTTGTCGACGCGGCACAGGAGCCCGCGCCGTCTACGTCGCATGCGGTCTGAACCTCCTACCTCACCCCCGGCCCTCAGACCCTCATCGCATTTGTAACGGGCTCCCACTGCAACTAGTTATTCACAACTCGCGCTGCGTGCATAGACATGAGCATTGAGCACGCCAGAGACGGTAGCGCGGAGAGGACAGATCGTTGTTCGTCCAGACGGCCGCACCAAGGAGCTGAGTTTCAGGCCCACTCGGATTTGAGTCGAGAGAGCCAGCGAGTGAGAAAAACGAAGATCACCAGACCCCGTGCGGAGCACTGCCTCAGCCAAGCGTCCAGAAACTCGGACTGAGCCCAACAAGACACCTCAGGTCCCTCGTGTGCCGACGATCCATCAGCCGGCTCTGCGCAGTAAGTCTCGCCGAGTCTTGTACCTCCTCGTTGCATTCGACCGTTCAGGGCGCTGAGCATTCAGACGACGCGGGCAAGTTGAGATTGGTCATGCCGAGCCTCGATCTGACCGCACGCAAGTCCACGTGCAACCACGAACCAAGCAGAACATCAGCCGGGAAGCACGATCACATTGGTACAATTCTAGACAGAGCATGTGCGTTGTCGAACGAAACAACACCTCAAAATGGAACGGACTTCCGAGTCGTCTCAACCAAGGAGGCTGACTTGCGCGCACAGAACTCCAGATGAGCAACACGATAACATTGGTATAAAGTACAATCAGAGCAAAATGCGGTATCAAGACACGAAAACAGGGCGGGGTTTGCTGATCTACTTGCGCGCGTGGTCTGCATCCGAGTCGCCAGCATCGGCGGTCTTGACAACATCGTCATCGACCTTCTTGGCAGCGTACGACTCCTCCCTGTTGAGCGTTGCAAAAGCGGCCTCATTCGCGCGGACATTTTCGTTGACCATACCATCATCAGCCGTGCCGCCGACTTCGGCCAGGAGCCTTGCGCGGAAAACCTTGCGCTTGGCGGGCGAAAGGTCCTGCACGGACCTGGAGATGATGTTGCCCTCGAAGATGCGGTGCATGAGCTCGAGGGTGACGCCGCTCGACTCTGGCAGGAAGAAGGCAGCCCAGACGACCGCCACGCTCGTCATGACGCCAAACAGGAGGAATGTGCCGTACTTGATGTGCTCGAGCGCACGCGGCGTGATGAGCGCAATGACAAAGTTGAAGAACCACTGGCTCATGGTGGCAGCCGACATGGCAAGCGCACGCAACTGGTTGGGTGCCACCTCGGCACTGACCGCCCAGGTGACCGAAGACCAACCGAGTCCGTAACCGACGACAAAGATGTAGACCATGGCGATGGTGAGGTAGCCCACGCCATCGACAGGCGTGCCTGCAGGACGAACGGCCTGGTAGATGGCGATCCAGAAGAGCGTAAACACCTGCACAAGGCCGCCGATGATGAGGCACCACTTTCGTCCGAGCTGCTCGATGGCCACCGCCATGAAGAGACCGGTGGTGATGATCTTGACCACGCCGTAGACGCCCGTTGCGAGCAGGCCGCTCGACTGTCCCGTGATGCCGAGCGACTTGAAGATCTGGGGCGAGTAGTAGTTGATCGAGTTGGTGCCGGTGAACTGCTGGAAGAACATGAGCAAGGCGCCGATGAAGACTCGGTAGGTGGTGACGCGGTCCGAGAAAGCCATCTTGAGCTGCTGGACGAGCGACAGACCCGACTTGCCCTCGAGATCCTGCTCGATCTCGCGGAGGATTCCGACGACGACAGGGTCGTTGACGTCGGCGCGGTTGATGCGGGCGAGCGACTTCTGCGCCTCTGCGTTCCTCTGCTGCTCCACGAGCCATCGAGGCGACTCGGGCTGGAAGAGGAGAGTGACGACAAAGAGCACGCCGGGGAGGCACTGGAGGGCAAATGGCACTTGCCACATGGCGCTCGAAGTTTGGTCGGGATAGTTCTGCACCATACCGTAGTTAACAAAGTAGGCGATGCAGATACCGGTGACGATGAGCAACTGGTACATGCCAGCAAGGCGACCACGGATTGCGCGCGGTGCGCATTCGGACAAGTACATGGGCACAGTCGAAGATGCAAGACCAACGCCGAATCCCCCGATGACCCTCCCTACATAAAGCTGGTTGAGTGCTGCGTTGGCGCTCTGGCCGTTCAAGCGGCAGACGGTCTGGATGACGGAGCCGATGAGGAAGACGGTGGCCGAGATGAGCATGGCCTGCTTGCGGCCGAAGCGGTGGGGCAGGTAGAAACTGGCGGCGGCACCAAAGAAGCAGCCGGCCTGAAGCACCGAGACGATGTTGCCCTTGAGTGCTGCGAGCTTGGCATCGTTGTTCTCGAGGCCAAAGTCCTTCTTGAATGCAGGCATATTGAGCACGCCTCCAATCAGACCGGTATCCCAACCGAAAAGCAGACCTCCGAAAGAGGCGCAGATGCCGAGGATGTAGACACGCCAGTGGTCGCGGAGGTCCTCGGCGATGGCCGAGGGACCGAACCGACGCTTTGTGGTCTTGTCGGCTACGAGGTGTGCATTGGTGGTGCCGGCGAAGTTGTCCTCCTGCTTGGAAGGGGTCGACGACCCCTCAGACGTGGCACGCGTCATGGCGGGCAAAGGCAGCGAGCAGAGGTGGCGTGTGGGGAAAGAGCTAGGGTCCGGAGGCGGTAATGGAGAAGCGGATGTGGGGCAAGGGATGGAAGAGAAGCTAGGAGGTGGCTACTTGTACCCTTTGGGGATGTGGGGTATGGAAGCGAAGACGAAGCAAGGTACAGCAGGGTGGGGACGGCTGTAGGCGAGGTTGGAGTCAATCGCGTGGTGAATGAGGCGAGTCGAGGTCGAGAGGCTATCGCGGTGGAGCGCTTGCACTTCACGGCGAGCACGGATTGGAGACAGTGTCGCGGGGCGTGTCAACTAATGCAACGAGGCACAAGACGGCGCCGGGAGCCCGAATGAAACGTTGGCGTGCCAGAGGCTAACCTAAAAGTGAGGGGGAAAGCTGGTGGAGCGGGGGGAACTCCGGACGAATGCACGCCAAGGTGGCGCACCCAGCTTAGCCTTCTGGGTACGGAAAGGGGGGGAGCGGGGGTAGAAGCAAGAACCGCTTGGTCCGGGTCAGGAAGCGGTCCGGGATGGTCGTGGTGGGGGAGAAGATGCTGCGATGGCGGCTAGCTCAGTGTCATTGCTGCCGGACCGTGGTTGGGAGAGAGCACAAGGACGAAGCACAAGTCTACGGCCAGCCACCTTTTCGGGCGGGGACTCCAGATCAGCTGCAGTCGAAGCGGCGGCGGACTGCGGCAGAGATGCTGCAGAGCGGGGTGGGGAAGCCAATGGGCGTGCGTGTACGGGCAGTGCGGCAGAGCAATGCAAGGCACGCCTTCCGAGGCCAAGCTAGCATGCGGTGGGCCATTGGCCATTGGCGGTTGGCGGTTGGCGGKTGGAGCGAGCTAGCCGGTCTGGACAGTCTTGGCCAAAGTACCCGAGAGAAAGCGGTGTGCAACGACAGTTCACTTTTCGAAGGTTTAGGCACCCACGCCGCCAAAAAAGGCTTCATTTCGACAGGCAATTTTTTCACACTTGCCAACTACCGCCACTAGCCAGTGTTCTAAGGACTCGCCACCCACCAAGCGAGCTCAGCATGTCTCACAAGGCGAGCGTCGCGCCTCTGTTCATCATCCTTGGAAGAGACTCGCAATGTTTCAAGCCAGGCCCCGGTGCTCGAGTCCTGTATCTCGGCGCCTCGCTGGTGTGAAGAGGCCGATTGATTGGTGGACGTTGATGGCTTTGATTCGAAACTCGTATGAGGTGCAGCTTCCGATTGGACAGCCACACATACGGGCCCGGTGACCATTGGACCCTCGGCTGAGGGCGGGGCAGACAAGCATTCGCTCAGGGTCAGAGGTGAGCAGGCGGCAGAGGCCGAGGCGGCGGCGTCGGAATTCAAGGAGGCTGCGATATTCGCCTAGCTGAGTGTCAACAACACCAAGCCATCCCCGCGGGGAGCCCTGGTTCTTTTTTTTCTCTCCGCCGACAGCTGGTGGTCAACCCCACGTCCATTCGGCTCGACTCGTTGGTCTTGGCATCCGTCATCTCGCCCCGGTCCTTTTGCGGACCGGAACGATCTGCGTCTCGCAACCTCGGTAGATTTGGGCTTCCCCACATCCCAAGCTTGTGCGCGGGGCTGCACGGAGCTCTCCGTCTGCGTCGCTCTCCCCCTGTGCATCGTGCATCAGAGTTGTACTGAATCCTGCCGAGGCCCTGACGGGCATGCCGGACGTCTGTCGAATGTGCATGATTGGTTTTAGCAATGCCCGACCTTGTCCTGCATTGGCTCCTCTGTTCCTACGCACAAGGTGCTGGGCAGGATCACAGTGTCTTCCCCGCGGGGGGACTCGGTCGTGTGCCGCTCGTCCCTCCCCGCGGGGTCGTATCTGTCCCCCACATGCGCCCGACTGCAACCTCAGTGCGTACCTGGCACTTCTACAAACATGCCATCACTACCCAGATCAGTATAATATGATGGTCTTGGCCGTCGACATTCAGCAAGGAAACATGGATGATGTGCGGGGTTGCGAACCGAGCGTGGGCATGAACTGCGCACCCCACTCGTGGCAGCTACCGCATGGCATGCCCCCGCGGGGAAGCACACATATCAGCCAAGCATGGCATACACACCCATCGAGACTGTATGGCCATCGCCTAAGAGCCTCGGCTGCTGCCACAAGATGCAGCACCGATGTGGGCGCATGGCGATGGCCGAGATTGCCGTTGAATCATCAGGGAATCTCATGGCGATCTCGATTTTTTCCCGCGTTTGAAAGTGTATGAACTTTTGCCCTAACATTGAGAGAAAAATGCTCGCACGAAAGAGGCTCAAAACCTCCACACGTCCCGCGGCTGAGCTTAGACCATCTAGAGCGGATTAGAAGAAATGCCGAATCCTTGCTTCAGACCTCCTGTCTTCCAGCATAGTCTCCAGAAGAGCGCACCAAACACAAGTCGGATATTGTCATGCTGGCAGCGCAGACGACACGGCTCACATCGCAGCGACTCTTTTCTCGCCTAGGATTGGCAGGATCTGGCGCACGAGCGATGAGCACCACAGTTCGACCGGCCACGGTGCCGCTGGTGATTGCGCCAAAGGCGCTCGCCTCGCTCATCGAAAAGCAGGACGGAAGCAGCAAGCTGCGCATCCTGGATGCCACTTGGTTCATGCCCAACACGAACCCGCCGCGCAATCCTCTGCGCGAATTCACGACGGGGCCTCGATTGCCGAAAGCCCAATTTTGGGATGTGGACAAGGTGGCCACCACTGGCGAAAGCGTTCGCAACCTTCCGCACATGATGCCTTCTGCTGCCACTTTTGCACGCGCTGCATCGGAGCACGGCATCGAGCCAGAGACGCATGTGGTGGTGTACGACACCCACGGCGTCTTCTCGGCACCCCGGACCGCCTTCACCTTCAAGGCGTTCGGCCACACCAACGTGTCGGTGCTCAACGGCGGGCTGCCGGCGTGGATCAATCATGGCCTAACCACCGAAGAGGGAGAGCCCAGCTCGGTCGGCAAGACAGACTACCCGGAGCATGAACTGCAAGACGGCATCATCCGTTCGTTCGACGAGATGGTGGCCAATGCCAAGATGGGGGCACGCGGTCAGACGGTGTTCGATGCACGATCCAAAGGCCGTTTCGATGGCAGCGACCCGGAGCCCCGAGCCGGACTCTCCTCCGGGCACATTCCGCACAGCCTTTCTCTTCCGTTCCCCACGCTGCTCAAGACCGAAACCGGAAAGGATGGCAAGACGTACACGGTGCTCAAGGACCAGATCGAGCTGTGGAGGACGCTTGGCGACACCGTAGGCGGCACCGAGGCACTCGACAAGCTGCGCCAGGCTTCGAGCGGCGGTGAGCTGGCCGCGACCAATACGTGCGGCTCGGGCATGACGGCAGCCGCGATCTGGCTGGCGCTGCAGGAGATTGGAGTGCAGAGCAGCATCTACGACGAGAGCTGGATGGGCTGGGCTTCGCGCGAGAGCGAGGGCGTGCCCATCGACAAGAACGTATGAAGCACCACACACCTACTCCCACACATGCACATCGATGTCGCCAATTTCGGAGCTCTCGCACGCCAGACTGTGACTGCCGAGGTGAAGTGAAGCATGGCGTGTGATAAGATGAAGCGGGTCGTCGGATGCGCCGCTGATCCGCGTTTCGAGTCAGATGATACGCCGCGTGGCCGGACAAGCTACGCGGAACAGCCGGCAGAGTTGCCGGGCTATCAGCTGAAGCTGCTCAAAGATTAGAGCGCTTATCCCAATTTAGCCGCCACTTTGCTCCTCCCTTTGCCCGCACCTTTCCAACACCTTTCGCATTTATCTGGTGCTCCCTCTCGTATCTAACCTCGGACAGACGACGCTGCAGTACAGATTTGTGCGCTATACTCAGACGATGCTGGACAATCATTTCGAAGGGGAGTGGCACGAGGCACATTATTTACGGACGGCGCCGAACGGGATCTGAGCCGTCCGCACGGGTGCTTTGCCGCCATTTCCTCGCAGCGGGACTGAAGTCAAGCGAGGAACGCAACGGCTCGCGGGATAGCCGGTTGGCAGGTGCCATCCACGCTTGCAAGAGCTGCTTCCCCCACCACAAGCGGCGGCGGGCGGAGGCGGCTTAATTCACCGCGAAATGCACCGTTGCCGCTCGACGGGGGGTGGCAAACACGGCGAATTGCCTGTCAACCTGCGCGCTTGCCGCGGGGAAAAAGAAGACTCGCTTGCCGCGCGACATCATCATGGCTTTGCCGCTCCTCACCGGAGTCGGCCGCATCGATTGGCGTGGCGCTGTGATGGCTGCAGCTGGCAAAAGGCGTCATGTGATGCGTGCGTATCAATCGAAGCGCGCCCTCAATATGCTCTGGGATCGAGGGCCAGTCGGCATGGCAGAGTGAGTCAAAGCCGGCTTATCTGGTGGCGCGGCTGCATCGAGACGCACGTCAAAAGACGGCACAGCGCAGGTCTTCCGATACCGTGCCCTACGATAGCAGGTCATGAGCACTGGGATGCCAGGGGATGCTACAGGTCCGCATGCTCCTATCGGTACCTCGATGCTTGGCCATGCACGCTCGCTTGCCGCCATGCGAGCGCGTATCGACAAGCGCCAGCTCTTCTGCTGGCCTCGGCTAGCTCAAGCTCACCGAGCTCTGACTGCGTCGGCTTTGTACACTTGCGGTGCGCCTGCTCCCACGCCATTGGCTCACCCTCATGTGGGGTAGTGTGGTCCCTGCAGATATGTGCCTGCCTATGCCATATATCTAGATCTCCTCTTGACCCACTGCCCCCGCCACCTCCCCGCGAACGGCCAAGTGTCTCTCGAGCACCTTCAATCCTTCGCCCTCTCTACCATACATCGACGACCATGAGCAGCAGAAAAGATTCCATCTCGTCCATGGCGCCTGAGAGCGCCAAGGCGCCGAGCGAAAAGGGCATCCAGGCTTACGCCGTCACCGATCTCGACTTGGACAACAACCCTTCGAAGCTCACCAAGATCGAGGAGGTGATCGAGGCTGAAGGCCACCTCTCCGATGCCGAGGCGCGCAAGCTGCTGCGCAAGATCGACTGGCACACTGTGCCATGTCTCATGGCCATCTACGGCCTTCAGTATGCTGACAAGGTCTCGCTCGCCAACGGCGTCCTCTTCGGTCTCAAGTCCGACACACACCTCAAGGGCCAAGAGTATTCGTGGCTCACCACCATCTACTACCTTGGCTACTTCCTCTTCCAGCCCCTCATGAATTACGCCATGCAGCGCGTCGACGCCGCCTACGTCCTTTCGGCCATGACCATCGTCTGGGGCATCGTCCTCGTAACGCTCGGACTGTGCAACAACTTTGCACAGCTCATGGCAGTGCGCTTCATCCTTGGCGCCTTGGAAGGAATCGTCACCCCAGGCTTTACGCTCATTGTGGCGAGTTGGTACAGAAAGTCGGAGCAGAACGCCAGGCAGCTGCTCTACTTTGCCATGAACACCGGTTTCTCTATCTGGGTCTCCGTCGTCATCTACTTTATCGCAAAGAAAGCGCACGATGATGGCACCGTGTCTGGCTGGAGAGTCATCAACTTCTTCCTCGGCGGCCTGACCGTATTCACCGGCTGCGTCACCGCCATCTTCCTTAGGCTGCCCAAAAATGCTTGGTGGCTGAGCGAGAAGGAGCGCACGCTTGCCCATGCTCGCATCATCGACAACGGTACCGGCACCGGCGAGACGCAGGCTTGGAAGTGGGATCAGGTCAAGGACGCTTTCACCGACCCGACGACCTACTTTATCTTCTTCATCAACGTCACTTGCTGCATCCCCAACGGCGGCATCACCACCTTCCAGAGCCTGATTTATCAATCTTTCGGCTTCACGCCGCTCGAGACGATCCTGTACCAGCTGCCGTCGTTCGCCATGTCCTTCTGCTGGATCCTGTTCGCGGCGTTCATGATCCACAAGTTCCCCCGGCTCCGCTTCTTCTTCATGTGCTTCACTGTCATCCCGGCGTTTGTCGCCGTACTCACCGCAGGCACGCTACCCAACCAGCCCAAGTACCGCTGGACCCGATACGGCGTCTACCTCATGAGCGTGCTCTACGCCTTGCAGAGCTTCCTCATGTGGGCGCTCATGCCCGCCATCATCGGCGGCAGAACCAAGAAGACGGTCGTAGCCACTCTCTGCTTCATGGGCTACTGCGTCGGTGTAAGTGCACCCATCTCCGATATCCATACTGGCGACGGCATCTCACTGACACGACTCTATTTCCCTGGCGGCAACAGAACATGATCGGCCCGCAGGTGTTCCGCGCATCCGATGCGCCGCGCTACATCCGAGGTCTCATTGTGGTCGCCTCGATGCTTGCGCTTGTCTTCGTGCTGTGCCTCTGCTGGTTGATGTATCTGATCGCCGAGAACAGGCGCCGCAGAAAGCGACTGGCGGAGATGGGGGTCTCGGAAGAAGAGAGGCTGCTCAAGAACAAGATCAATGGCGAACTCGATGTAAGTGTTCCCTCGGCTTTTCGTTTGCTACGCCGGTGCGGCCTCTGACACTTTCTGGGCTTGTCGTTCGAACAGATGACCGACAACAAGAACATTTACTTCCTGTACGCCTGGTAGACATAGGTGTAAAATTACGTTCGCATGGCGCCAGGCGGGAATGTAAATCACCGATGCTACGGTCACAAAGCAGTTGTTGGTTTTGCCGTGTGCACTGGCTGGCGTGGGCGGGTGGCTCGAAGAGTCGGCGGTGGCTGCGTGACAGAAGTGGCGCCGAACTTTCGCCGAGCACGTGAATTTGACCGGCGCCGCAGGCGCAGCACATTTGCAGCTGCTCTGTCAACAAGGTTGTGTTTGTGCGGAGCACATTTGAGTGTGTTACATCGCCGGATGGCCGGACCTTCGGCGCTTGCCGTGGGCGAAGAAAAGGGTTTGGCGGTCGGAAGAACTTCCAACGGGACAAAAGGGCGCCCGGCTTTGCCCCACTCCGAGCGGCAGAAATTGCGGAGTCAGGCATTGCGAACTGCCTTCTCGTCATGCTCTGCTGCCGATTGGGTGGGTTCGAGGTACAGGGTCACCGGGTGCACGGAGCTTCGCCGGTGTGGGACGTTGATAAGCCGTCTCATACGATGGACACTTTGCCGGGCTGGCTTGAGCTTTGGTGGCTTCGGGAATCTCTGCGCCACTCAGGCAATCTCAGCATCTCTTGCAGCTGCAGTCGACAGACGATTCGTTGCACGACAGCTGGTGCGTGGGAAACAAGATGCCACGATGGACGTTGCCGCAAGGCTTGTGCTTCATTACACTTTGCCATCCAACAGGACACGTGAGAAAGCCAAAAATGAAGACGGCCGGGACGGATCGCGGGACGGCTATCGTCTGCTTGGACGTCGCCACGCGCACGCTCACGCACGACCGAGCTAGCAGCGAGCATCGCTTGACACTAGCGCACGTCATGATCGCTGGGAATGTCGCTTGTGCACAATGCGCCCGCCTCGATATGGCGCCAAAATAGCAATCGTCTCGGTTGGCTCGATGCTTCGAAGCGGGTCGTGGCTCGGGCAGGTTGGATAGCCGGGTTGACCGCCTCGCCTTGCGCGCTCAGTTTTGCGGTGTGACTGTGCTCCGCGGTGTAGACCTTTTTTTTCTTCGCGGCTCAGCCGGGGAGCAAAAAGACGTCGGGGTTCTAAGCGGTGCCTGGCTGTACGCCGAAGCTGCTCCGTCTCGGCCCATTCGCCCGTCCTCGCTTCCGCTTGGCATCCCCCACTAACCAGCTCATCCCACGTCGCCGCTGCGCATGGTATTCGCGCTTTCGCCCATCGCCTCGTACACCTCGCTTCCAAGTTGTGCGACCTCTGAGTTGCTGCCTCAATGCGGTGTATAGGCGGAAGGCAGAGTGAGAGGCACATGAACCGCCAAACCCGCCAATGGCTTTGGAGGGAACGGGGTGGGGTCGCCTTGTGAATGTCGGCTTGAATTCGCCGGTATATGGAATCGACCGGACGAGGCTCGGTGCAGCGTTGGTTGTGCCGGCAGGTCGGCCCGTCGAGGCGAGATGTCCGAGCAAGGCCGCGCAGCAACAGCGGCAGCCGCTGCTGCTGTTTCACCTCTTGGCTTCGATTCCGGCTACATCCACCCCGAGCTGTCCAGCTCGCCGACAGCCTGGCGCATACCCCGCTCTTTTCACCCCACCCGCTCCATCGTGCTGTTCCCTTGCATTCGTCGCCAGCCCCAGCTAACCCACCCTCTACCCACTCCAACTCCGCCGTCATCTGGCCCACACGGCACACAAACAGCTTCATCCCGCACAACCTGGTTGTTCTGCCCCTGCTTTGCTCTCGCCCTGTCCTACCCACCGCATTGCGCTTCCCTGTGGATCACGATACGATCGACTCCGCCCGCACCCGCTTGACTCTCCGCCATCACCACCATCTGCACATCACACGCTCGCATCTACACGCATCGCCATCACGGTAGTCATCGTCGACCTGGTCGCAACAGTGCCTCGTTTGGCAACGGCTTCGTAATGTGCTAGCACCCACTCTCGCACCTTCCAACCTGAGCGCATCGTATCGTTGAGCGAGGCATGTCTTCCACCTCTTGCGTGTCGCCGACATCGAGCACGCTTCCGCGCCGACCGTCGCACCACCGCCTCGCATCCGAGCCACGCACGACGCTCTTCGACGCCGCTTCATCGTTCCAGACGCTCATCGAGGCACAGGCGTGCATCTCGTCGACCCACTCGGCGTCCTCTGAACTACTCTCGATCGCAGAGTCGCGCTTTCCGCCCTCGACGCTGCCCATCTCGACGCTCACCAACATCGTCCACGCTTCCAGCGCCAGTGGCAGCGCAACGCCCTCGACCGCTTCGTCGTCCAAGTCGTCCTTCTCGTCCGCCTCGTCGCTCTCCACCTCGACATCGGCCATGGGTGGTGCAGCGGCCGCGACAGCGCCCGGACTTGACCTGCTCGGCATCCTCGCCGAGGAGGTCGACTGGGATCCGCAGCAGCGCGGATCGCCCGGCTCGGCTCAGCTCGCACTCGTCGGCCACACGCTCCAGTCGCACCACGAGGCCAAGCAGAAGAGCTGGGCCACGCACATCCTCGGCAGTCTCGGCCTGGTCGAGCCCGACTCGGCGCGCAAACGCAGCTTCTCGTCGCTCACCGCACCCTTCCGACCCGAGCCGTGCGAGGCTAGTGTCAAGGCTCACATCCCGGCGCTCCTGGCCGAGCCCGATGCCAAGCCTGTCCGCCCCCGCGCTGCATCCAAGCCGACAAGCGCCGACCCACTCAACACCATGGTGCTCACCAAACGCACCGCGCTCTTCTACGAGAACCTGTACGACCGCTTGTGTCCGGGCATCGTGCCGCGTGCCTACATCTACCCGAAGCTGGGCAGGAGGTCGCACGACCAGGACCCCACATTTGCCGGCCTGGCGCTCTCCATCTCGCTTCTCGGCATGCTCGGTCTCACTCTCCCGCGCCCGACCGCGAGCGAAGACGGGCAGAGGCCATTTGCGATGCCTTCAATCCCGCGCGACAAACACTCAAAGTCGAAAGGCAAACGCGAGATCGTGGAGGAGGCAGCACGCATCATCGAGGCCGTGTTGGCGCTCCGACTCTCGGCGCCCGGAGGCGGTGCGGGCTTCGGCCAGGCACCGACGCTCGAGACGGCGCTCACGAGCTTCTTCCTCTCGGTGGCGCTGTACAGCCTCGACGATGCGGCGGACGACGACGAGTGGCCGAGCCTGTGCGCGTGGCGCGATGCAAGCTTCTTCCGCTTCTGCGAGGCCATCACGCTCGTCAAGATCCTCGGATTCGACCAGCTCGCTCGACCCGCGCCGGGAGAACAGACATCCGACGAGGTTAGCGTCGTGCTGCTGCTCGCGCGTGCCGAGAGGTGGTGGGCCGAACAACGGCCCGAGTACTTGTGCCAGCTGGATGTGGGCCCTCGTGCGGCGCCGGCGAGGAAGCGCAGTCGATCCGAGGCGGGCGACGAGGCTGCTCCGGCGAAACGCAACAAGCAAGAGACGCTTGCTGAGCCGTTGTCGCTGTTGATCCCGCTCGGATTTGCAGGCGTACGCAAGGCCTTGCTGCAGAAATTTGTCCTGAGCATGGATTGCTGGACAGGCACCTGTCGGCCAGGACGCGAGTGTCGGCTAGCAGCGCACGTAGCAGTCCGGATCCACGATGCACTTGGTACCCTCGAGAACGTGCGCCGTCAAAAGGACAGCGACGATCCGATCCTCGTGGATCTCGCAAGGCAGGTGCTGCGCGCACAGCTCTGGACCGCTTGTCTCAACCACGGCCTTGTCGATCCGCGTGCAGAGGCGCCGCTGCGCCCCGACCAGCCCCTCCACGTCGCACTCGATACGCTCGACCTGCTGGAAGATCTGCACCACCTCTTGCGCCTCCAGCACTCTACCAGCGCCGTTGCAGATGCGGTGCGAGAGGCGCTGCACACCATCCGCGAATGCGTCGCCCTGCTGCCGACAGGCAAGTTCGCCACGCATCCATTCGCGTTTGAGCAGATCCAGGCAGGTGACGAGGGCGACTCGCCCCAGCCCGACTCGCCATCGAGCGACGACGACCATCACGCCTCAAACTCGACCACCATCACGCGTGCGGCACAGTCGGTCATGGACAACCTCGACCGCTTCCTCCAGCGCCAAGTCACTTAGAGCATTCCTCTTCCTCGAACCCCAGGTCTCTCCATCGCATCCTGTACATTAGATCCCCTTTCGAAAGACACGGGTTGATTGTGCACAGCTTCGCTGGTCCACGTAGAATCGTTTGGGGCCCCACGCAGCCCTGCCGTGCTAGCATTGAGAGAGGTGTGCTGGTATTGAATAGGATAAAGTTGAGCGTTTTGCAAGGCTACACCTGGCGCCTAACATCTTTGCCGATCACGGGTCTTTCCCTTGCTGGTTTCCTGAGGCTATCGAGGTCCTCCTTGCCAAGCAGCGCTTCTTCGAGGCGCTTGTCGTCGTTGAGTTCGCGGTCGAGCGCCTGGTCGACGCGCGTCTCGAAGCCGGTACGGTCCTTGTAGGCCCTTTCCTCGGCCCTGTTCTGCTGCCACTGCGTGGGTGCTCGGCCTGGAAGCGTGGTCACTGTGCCGTGTTGAAGCGGTGCATCGGTCGGAGTGGCCGGGGGCGCCGGTACGGAAGCGGCCGCTTTTTGACCATAGTAGAACGACCCAGCAAGCGCAGCGAGAACCGTGAGGCCCTGGAAGCCCACGCGCCAACGAAGCGCTTTGTTGAACTGGTCTCGGTTGCCCGTACGCAGGTGGTTGGACGCAGCAATCAGCGCACCGCACGTCAGCAATGATCCTAATGATGCAGCAAATCACAACGAGCCCATATACATTAGTTCAGTCCAAGTCATAAAGACGCAACGAGCTCCACGTGGACTTACCGATGGGCACGAGCGGCTGCTCCTTCATCTTGCGGAAAAACTTGTCGCGCGGCGCCTCGGGCATCTCGGAGCCCATGCCGTTCTCGAACGCCGAAACGTATCCACCATACCCGGACGGGTCGCCGGGCTGTTGCTGCTCGACAGCAAGATCCGAATTGGGCTGCCCCGACATGGTTGCACTCTCGTTCGTTCTCAGCCTCGTAGCTTCTGCTTGTTGGTTGGTCTCTCGAGTAGGACGCGCTCTTTCGTCGATGTGTCGAGCTGTCGATGCCGTTGGTGGTGGGTGAAGTACGAGCGACAGGGTGCAGATGTCTCGCTGACCAAGACAAGCAGCTGTCTTGTGGGCCAAGGTTCCGAAAAAAGTGGAGGTGGCCCGATCTCACAAATCGGGTACTGCCGAGCTCCCCTACCCTTCCGGGTCCTGCTGCTGCGACGACTCCGAGGCTGCTGCACCCAAAGCGTCGGAACCTGGCCTTGCTACACTCACAGCCGCCACTTCCACAGACTCGGATCAGCGCACAAGGCTTGAGAGAGATCTATGACGTTGGATTCGTAGGTCCAGGGGACATGTGCGGGTACAAAGTACAAATGCGTGACGAGCATGAAGAGGGTCATGAAACGCACGGGCGGAACAAACTTAGCCGATGGGCTCGCATGTGAACGAGCCTCGGACGGTGCCCTTTGCATACTGGTCGACAATGTCCTTGACCGATGCGTAGGTACCACACCCAAGGATGAGCAGGCCGAGAAGGAAGACGGCGGCGTTGATGACGCTGAGGATGGTGTTCCAACGCGTAGCGTTCCACTTGCCCTCCTTGATGAGCAGGAACCACATGAGCGCAGGGAAGTAGAAGGTGAAGCCCGAGATGAAGAGCGCCGACATGATTCCGAGCAGATCCGAGAAGAAGGGGATGGCCTCGGCCACCACCCAGGCGATGACGGTGATGAGCGCAACCAGACCCAGCCACGTCGCCCAGCCCATGGGCGTGTTGACGTAGCGAATGACCGAGTTCTTGAAGACGCGGCCGTGAATGTAGCGCGCGACGACGGTGGTGTTGATAGAGCCCGAGATGAAGATGACAGGGAGCGCAATGCCGAACGCCACCTTGCTGAGCGTGGTGCCAGCCGAGAGGAGGGCGGGCGACCTGACGTCGGCACCGACAAAGGCGTAGATGAGGGCGCCTGTGAGCGTGTAGATGACAATCTCGATGATGCCGAGAGCCCAGATGCTCTTTACGTAGTCGGTGGGCGTGTGCATCTCGTCCATGAACGAGAATTGGCAGACGGCAAAGGAGTAGGCGAAGACAATGTTGGTGAGAGCGACCCAGGCGTCGGCAAAGGTGGTGCCCTCCTTGGGCCAGGCGGACCACTGTGCGGGCATGAGCGACTGGGGCTCCTGGTGGGACCTGACGCCCGTGCCAATGATGGTGACGCCGATGGCAACGATGATGGAGGCGAAGTCGATGTAGCCGAGCACCGCAACCTCGGAGAAGGTGGGTGGCACAGCGACGATGAAGAGGATGATGGCCGAGATGACACCAAAGACGAGCGAGCAGATGGCGTTGCTGCTGAGGTTGAGGAAGGCGATGGTTCCGGTGAGGCAGTGCGATCCTACGAGGAGCGTGAGCTGGAGGGCAAACATGGCCCCGATGAGCTCGTAGCCGAAGCGGCCCATCATGAGCTGACCGGCGTCAGCGTAGTGCGAAACCTGGGGGAACTTGATCTTGACCTGGCCGACGATGTAGCTGGTGTAGATGGCGATGATGCCGACACCGATACACACGATGACGCCGGCGACCATTCCGAGCGTAGCAAATGCCGAAGGGATGGAGAGCGCACCGAGGGCAATGGCCTCGACGATGAGGCAAACGGTGAGCTTCTTCCAACCGAGACGGTGGAATTTGTGGTCACCCTCGGACATCTTTTGCTGCTCGTACATGTAGTCCTCCTCGCTGCGATACTGGTCTCGCTTCTCGCCAAACATGGTCTGCTCCACGGCGCCGCTCTCGGTCACCTTGGCGGCGTCATCGTGCTGCTTGATCGAGTCCGGGCGTCCAGACTTTTCGACATCGACGGTCTGGGTAGGCGAGACCGATCCGCTCGACCTGTCGGGCATTGGGGTCTGTTGTCCTGTGGAAGCCATGATGGAAGAATGACACGAAGGGGCAGGATTGAAGGTGGGCAGGGACTTGTGACGGTCGTGAAGTTGTGTGGTGTTGCGATGAGGGGGAACGCAGCTCTGCGAGGCACAGCCGAGGAACGGGAGGGGGAGGGCTGGCAAAAGGAGGCCGATACAAATAGGACTTCAGGTGTGGATGCGGAGGCGAGGGAGGGAAAGGGTGGTGGGGGAAGGAAAGGGGAGGCCACGAGATTGGGAAGCGGCAAATGACGCAGAAAGGGAAGGGTTGGGGTCCGTTCCAAGTGTGGAGAGAGAAGGAAAGGAGGGAAGAGGGTGGGAAGAGGGGTTAGTGCGCGCAGCGACAGCTGTTTGGCCAAGACCCGACGAGACCTGCGCAAAGCTGCGCCGACAATCTCAATCTCTTGGGGCTGCAGTAGCTCTCTCTCTTATCGTGAGGCCCCTGTTCAGTCTGGGTCGGACGACCATCTCAAGTGGGCGCATTTGAACAATCGCGCCGCGCCTTTACATGAAGCAGATGGTGGATCTACCCAAAGCCGCGACAACGCCGATGTGGGTGGGCCGCGATAGGGTGTTGGTCTCCGCCGTCCGGCGTCCGCCGATGCTCGTATCAGGCCTAGTGCACACCTAGATATGATAGTGGACTCAGCATTCATAGCAGGCGCCTTCTCCAGTGGCTCTCCGGGGATATGAGCGTGGGAGGTGGGGCAGGACTTGTGGGTCAGAAGCGCCGCTGACGGCCAAAGAGATCATGCGTCGGTCGGGTCGAGCTTTCTTGCGCACCCCGCCGAGTCAGCAACTGCCACCCGCTGCAAGCGCTAGAGTGCACAGGTCGGCCATCGGCTCTGCCGAACACTACGAACGTCGAGAAAATTTCCGGCATGGAGGCGGCATCCCTATTTTTTTCTTTCTCCCTCAAACCCGTGACCGACGGAATGCGAAAATGTCCGAATGCGCTTCGGGCTGCTGCTCCCGTGGCTGCCCCTCAGGAGTTCGGCTCTGACTGGCGAGCGGCCAGGCGAGGCAGGGCGAAACGTCACCCACCCCCCGCTTAGCGCCCACTTTTGAAGCGTTCGAGCAACAACAAATTCGGGTCGACCGACGCAGCAGAGTCTCGAGATCATGCTCAAGGTTGGCAACCTTGTCCACACCGTGCATTCCACCAATCGCAGCTCAGTCACTTATCTCGCAAGGGTGGGGAGAAACGTTTGAGCCGACATGAAAGGGCGACGGCTTGCTTCACTTCATTCATGTGCAGGAAGCGCCGAGGGCATTCGCATGTGCGGTCATCTGAGCGACATGCGCGCAATGCTTTTCGCGAGCGAGCTTTCGCAGGACTTCAAAAGTGGGATGAGGGTGCCTTCGACTGGACAGCAGGTGTGTAGTGCTCGGGTCGCTCTCGGTTGGCGGTCTGAGTCTGGCTGCAGCAGGCACGGTCACGCGTAAGTCGGGCCTCGCCAAACTTGCCACAAAGTCCATCCGAGCGTCGGGAAACCCAGCAAGTGGGCTGAGTAGCCAATCATCAGAGCTGGCTCATCAGAGCGTGCAAGACGATTGGCCAGCCGTCTTGCGCGGAGAGATGAAAGCATTTTGGTTCAAAAGTTTGGCCTGCATGATCTGCATAAGCCATCTCTCCGACAAGCTCAACCTTCTGCGCCTTGGTCGCGTTGTTCTTGGTTGTGCTGTGGTCGTCGTGATGGCCTCCACCGCAGCTGGCGGCCCGAGGCTCGCAGAGGTACGGACCGCGCGATTCGGACTAAGCGGTGTGGAGATGGGCGCAGCGGCAGATGGCCATGGGATTTCCTCTGGACCCGGTGACGTTGCCTGCATGAACACACTCTCCTCCAGAGCCATCATCGAAAAAAGTTTCGGTTTTTTAAGCCCGAAGCCGCTCGCTTAGCGGAGTCGGCGGCAAGTGTCAAAAATCGCAGCCCGCCGAAATCTGTCTCGACGAATCGGCGGCGCGTCCGGTTGGCTCCCCAAATGACACACGTCGCGCTGGGAATCGACTCCAACCTGCCTCGAGACAAGTCGTTGCATTGCCAAGAGGACAGAAAGGCCATGCCAAGCACAGGCAGAAGTTCTTCCATGGCCGTGCAGCAACATGGGACGAGGAGAGTGGTTCTTCCGGTCGTAAGTGCGACCCAACGCGCAAATTCGATTCGACGCAAGGACATGCAAGCCCTGCTGATCACATCTGGCTGCTTTCATGCACTACGGCAGATCGAAAAAAAAAAAATCGCCGAATGCTGCAGACCTTGGAGGCGCGTACGGAGAATTTGCAGACGTCGCGCTTTGCCGCGCTTCATCCCAATTTTGTTTGTTTGTTTTCTTTCGCCCTCGCATGCCCTTCTGAGGGTCATTCCGGACCATTTAACCCATAGATACTGTGATAGGACTATGGCAGCATCGCAAGCAGGGACAGGCTGAGATTATCATATGTCGGTCGGAATCAGGACGGCGTGCAGCACGCCCAGGGAGTGGGAGAAATTCGAGCTTTTGGCCGGCGCCGCAGCGAGGTCACAGGACGCTGCACGTTCGCCCGAAAAATCCCTTTTCCGACCTTCGGAGCAACTCGCATCCCTAAAGCATGCCGATCAACCCCACCAGACTCGACTTTCGGGGTTCCACATGGATGTCTCCGTCTCCGCGCCTCCGCTGCCCAGCACCTTCTCGTCGGCTCGCGTGGCTCTTTCCGTCCCGAGAACGGTGCGAGGGGTGCAAAATTGAGTTTTGGCCGCGTGCGACGCTGCTTCGCTAAAATGCTCCGTTGTGTGGCTGTGGATGAGGGATCCTGCCGCCCAACTCCGGTAATGGACGAGCTCTAGTTTCTGCAAGGTCCGGTCCGTCAGGACATTCAAAAAGCTTGAGCTTATGAAGAGACTGAAGCCGCCGGATTGAAGGCAAGAACTAGGAGGACTGCCGGGCGTTCTTTTCACCTCTTCAAAAAAGTCAAAACCCAAAATATGGGAAAAAAGACGGAACATATTCGGACCCAAAAAGTGCAAAAAGAATCCTCCCAACGTGGGGCTCGAACCCACGACATTCAGATATCCCGAGTGTAACTCGGAAACCCTTGTAATAAGAGTCTGACGCTCTACCGACTGAGCTAGCCGGGATGGAGATATGAAGGTGCCATATAATTGTAACTATAAGCGGCACGCAAGACTTGCCAAAATCACGTCGTGCGGAATCCGGGAAATGAGGTGGAGGGTTGAACAGCAGGAAGGTCTGAGCACAAATAACACACTTGGCCCGCATGTGCCAAGAAGCACACACACTGAGACACACACTTGTCACACTACATCCACCTCTTCCACCTGCAACACATCTGAGGACCCGTCTCATCTTCGTGAACCTTCTTGCCTCGGGCTGGCATCGGTGCAGCGAGCTGGACAACGTAGTGCCACATTGCGGAGCGGGCAGGCGTCAAGCATTGGTACAGCTCCACGCATACGAACGTCCAACCGGCTCATAGTGCCAGTGACGACGCAGCTGCCACCCTTATCACGATGCTTGGAACTCCAGCGAACAGCCGTGGCTCCTCCAACGGCTTCGGTCACCGACCAAACGGCCTGTCGGTCTCGGATGTCGACCTCGACATCGAAGGCGCAGGCGGAGGCAGGATCGACGAGGCGTACGACACTGGACTCCCTTGGCCACTCGGATCCAGCGCTCGTCCGACTTCGTGGTCTGCCAAGGGTCCAGCAGACTATGTACCGCGCCTGCCACTTATCAAGAGCTTGCGTTGCCATCTCACTTGGGCCAAGGCTGGATGGGGAGACGCGAATCGATGGCCTGAAGCCTTCAAGCTCATCGGCAGCTCGAGCGAGATTCGCAACGGCGTCTTGAAGGGCTTGCTCCTCAGCGGCACCATCTCTGCCATCGTCTTCTTCTTCGAACTCGCCTTTTTCCCTACCGTACTCTTCCAGCAAAAGCCGCCGGTCAAGGCGATGCAGGACATCGCTGAATCCGGGTCAATCATCGGCAACTTGGGCAACGTCTTCTGGATGTACCCGCTCATCGGCGGCAGCTATCTGCTGGCCTCGTCGTGGACGTCCGACATCGCTCAAGCGGCCTACAAGCTACGCCACGGACACGTGCGCAGGCTTACGCTCTCCAATCCCTCGCTGCCACCAGGCACGTCACGCAGACTCGTACAAGAGAGCTACCGCATCATCCTCATCGCCAACTACACGCTTCTATACATCCTCCTCGGCCGCATCCCGTACCTTGGACGAACGCTCTCGTTCCTCTTCATGTGCCTCGTGGACGGATACTACTGCTTCGAACAGGCCTGGATCTCGCGAGGCTGGTCGCTTGGCCGCCGCATGCGATACTGCGAGGAAAGGTGGTCCTACTTTGTAGCCTTTGGCTTGCCATCGACTGCAGTTTCGTTCTTCCATCCGAGCGGCCTGCTGAACCTGATGCTCTTTATGCTCGTCTTCCCCTTCTGCACCGTGCTTGCCATGCTTGCCGATCCTCAGCCAAGAATTTCGGCATCGGGCGCGCTCGCCGCTTCATCGACCTACACCGTCGCTTCTGGCGCGTCCGACTATGCCAGTGGGCCACTGCATCGCCTGGTTCCCTCGCGTCTCGCCGTCTTCTGGCCCACAGTCAAGCTGCACAGCCTCATACTGCGCCTCCTGCCCAGGTTTGCCGATGCGCCACTGGCGCCTTCCGCACAGGCGTTCGAGCGTAACGCCAACGTGTACGGCAGGACGGCAGATACAAACGGTGCCGCAGGCTTTACGGTCAACGGTGGGTTTGGTGGGTTCGGTACGGGGGGCAAGCGGGCCGCTGAGCTGGTGGGAGGAATCTTCAATGATTCGAATCGCAGCGCTTTCGGCCCGGGCCGCACATCGCGAGCACCATGGCAGTACGGTGGGGACCAGACTGCACTGCACGAAGCGAGCTCTGGCGCCGTGATGGCAGACGGCGCATACCCGCTGATGAACTCGGCAGCCAATCTGCCTGGTGGCGCCGCAACGGGCACGTACAACAGCATGGGTCAGAACATGCACTCCAGAATGGCTGCTCCGCCAAAAGGACCCATCGCTCCTCCTCCCAAGGGCGCAAATCATCGCAAAGTAGACTAGATCGCCTCTCATCCGCGAGAAATAAATTGAGCGGCCCAAAAACTCAGCGTTCCGGTCCTTCATCTGTCCGCGTCTGTGTGAGTTGAAATGATACGATGTCAACGAGGAGAGGTTGGACCCCTCTGATCTGCCCAAGAAGATAAATTGGGCGGCGGCGCCACATCTGCCAGTTGCAGTCCTTCATTTGTCGGCGTGCAAGTGGGTTGAAATGATACCCACAATGTCAAGGAGGAGAGGCGGGACCGCGCGGCATTCATGGCGCCGCCTTTCGTCTGCACACGACAACCCTAGCTCCACCGTTCCGAAATACACCCACATACACGTTCTTGCTGGACGGAGCCCATTGCCGGAGCCTTGCACTCGCAAAGGTATAAGAGAAGCCTGCTCGAGCTCGTATCATTGTCTCTTCCCCATCTCCTCATCGCCACGTCTCTCACCCCTCTGTACTGTCACCATGGCTTCCTCCGCCATGAAGTCTCTTCTCTCTACCCTGCTTGTTGCGTCTTTCCTTGCGCCCCTCGGCGTACTGGGAAGCGTGCAGCACTCGTCCATCCCCATGGACAAGCGCGCTGCCGTCTCGGACGGTAGCGAGTGCTGGACCGACTTTGCCAAGAACTCGCAGGACTGCCCCGTTCTTCAGGTTGCCTTCTTCAAGGATGCCCAATGCTCCCAGGCGCTCAACCTGGTCCGCACCACCCCTCAAGCCTTGATCAAAGGAAACAAGCAGATGCTCTTTGAAGGAGCTGTGGCCCATTCGCTCAAGGAGCCTGTGGGATCGGTTCGTATCATCGGTGCCGTCCCGGGTATCGGTCTGGGCTTTGCTCGTCAGGAGGAGTCGGACTCGGTGGTGCAGAACATGGCCTGGATGTCGTCGTCCGAGACGATGAAGGCGTACCAGAGCAAGTCGTGCGTCAGCTTCGCCAACCTCGATGCCAAGCGCGTGGGCGTGTGGACGGTCAAGGCTGACGACTCGTTCAACCCGCCCGGCGTCGCTTGGGATGAGGACAATATCCCCATCACCGAGTCAGCCCACGCCTGCGCCGAAGAGAGGCATGCTCACCGCCGAGGCACTCAAACCGTCTGCCTCGAGAGCGCCTCGTGGGGCAAGGGAGGTGTGCTGCAGCTTTACAACTCGGACGACTGCACCGGACGTGCCACCAAGCAGGTCTTTAGCGCCGCCCAGTGCACTCCTCTCAAGACCACTGGGTTCAAGTCGTTCAAGACTTTCCGACCCCAGGGCGACAAGTGCGACGTCATCTTCAGCCCCGAATACTACGACATCGGACAGGATGGCTACCACCGATGCGCCCAGCTCGACATCACCGCCGTCAAGCCCAAGAGTGGCGCCTGCCAGAAGTTCGACAACGGCAACATGTTCGTCGGCGTGTACAGCAACGACCCTCAGTTCCCTCAGCCCGCTCCTGGCCCTGGTGACAAGGTGCTTCTGCAGAGCCACGGCGTCCGTCTCCTTAGCCCTGGCCCCGGCAAGCCCGCCGGCAAGCAACGTGGTGGCGCTGGATTCTACGGCCCTTGATTCATGTCCTGCACGCTTCCACGCCATAAGAATTCTGCCTTGTTTTGCCACGGCCCCTTGTTCTCTCCATCACGACGCTTGTCGCCATGATGATGTCCGAAATGCACGTCTTGTTTTCCCCAGACTTTGTCGCGTGTGAGTGCTGAAGCAGTGGACTGGGTGAAGCCTCCGCGCAAATGGGCACCGGCAATCGGCGGATATTCGCCTGGCGGCTTCGGCTAAAAATTATGTGGGGTGGCGGACGAGCATGAGGCAGCTCCGCTTCTACATTCTTCCGGACAGCCTGGTCCGAGCTCCTCCGTGCAGCTCCCTTCTCCGCAGACAAAAGTTAGCGGGACAACCAGTCTATGCTCTTTGAGCTGCTGGGGCCCCGGCTCCCCACAGTCGAGGATGCAATGCAGAGCGGCTCCAGAAGTTTTGTCGCAGTGAGCCTTTCCTTCCGACTTCGAAGTGCGCGAGAACGAGACCCCGCCATCGCTGCCTCCTCTTACTTGCGACATTCAGCATGACCTCCGAGGCAACAAAGACGAGAGGCCAGAGCATCCTGCTCATTCACGGCCCAAATCTCAACCTGCTAGGCACACGAGAGCCTGAGAAGTGAGTCCTTTCGGCAACACTATTTCGACAACGGGCAACCAGCGTCGAAGAACAGAGGCAGAGCTGACGCTGATGTGCTGCGCCGATCGTCTGCACTTTGCAATAGGTACGGCAAAGAGACCATGTCGGACATCGAGCAGAAGGCGCAGAAGCAGTGCACCGAGCTCGGGCTAGGATTCGATGCGTTCCAGTCGAACCACGAAGGAGCTCTCATCGACCGCATCCACGCTGCACGAGCCGATGGAACGGCGGCCATCGTCATCAACGCAGGTGCGTACACACATACAAGTGTCGCGCTCCGAGATGCACTGTCGAGCGTGCCGGTGCCATTCATCGAGGTCCACGTAAGTCTTGATTCCACCAGCACGATACGATCGCACAGCGGGGCCTAAGACACTGAACACCACATCATCACGACATACACCAGATCTCGAATGTCCACGCTCGCGAGCCGTTCCGACACCACTCCTACCTCTCGGACGTTGCAAAAGGCGTGATAGTCGGACTGGGCTCCTTCGGGTATACGGCGGCGATCTCGTTCATTGCCAGCAAGCTGGCAAGGGGTGGCTTTGCTTGATACGTGACTGTTTATGCTCTGGAATGTTCAGGAATGCCGAACAGTATGGGTGCGAGTGCATACAGCGGTGGAAGGCCGAACGCATCAGGAGAGCGGAAGAGGAAGAGTGCAAACGGGAGAGTTGCAGGATCGGGCGAGGGAGACACCGATGCAGCCCGATGAGATGTATTGTTTCCCGCGGGTTGAGCCGACAGGAAAGGAGGTTTTGCGGCACAGATCGACACTGATGGCGTGATTGTGCATGAGTCGCCCGCAGCCACGAGCCTTTACCGCCTGTCCAGCAGGGCAAGCGCAGATAGAAGCCAAGCGTCTCACACAAGGCAACCATGAACCTCTCGTTCAGCTTCGACCTTAGTGAATCGCAAAACAGACATCTTTAGTGGGCGAAGAGTGAAGGGCAGGGTCGGGCGAGATGAAGAAAGCGATCGGCGCTTGTGTAAGCCTTTGATGGTGGATGCAGCTGACTGCAGCGCTGGACGCGTGTCGCTGTCGCGGCTGCTGGGTGGGCGCGAGCCAGGGAACGTGGGGCTGTGTGCCAAGTTGTACGATCTCGGATTGACGATAAGGGACGCGTCGTCCGGAATGGGCACGAGGCGCCAGCGCCGGTTGAAACCAGGAAGATCTCAACCTGCTTTGCAGGAGAAGCAGCAGATCGATTTCGAGCCTCCACCTCACTTCTTAGCAAACATTCGTTCCGGCAGTCTGCTGTCCGTGAGCCGCTGCTGCCCCTCGATTTTTCTCGGCGTGGATCTTTTGGAAAAATGTTCCGAGCCGAAATTCGCGATGGTCCGGGCTGAAACGCAGTGTGAAGCGCTGGACCCCTTCTGCTTTGTGATCCGCGGCGCCCGCCCACCTGAGCCGGCAGGAGAAGCTGCTCGTTTCGAGTGGGTGCTGTTGCAAAGCCGGATGAAGGCAGATCGCCCTCTCGTAAGCTGCAGCGTCGGCGTACAACCAACCAGACCTCCCAGGCTCGGAGACTCAGTCGCCGCGATTTCAAGCTTGCCAGGGAGGCTCGTTCGCGTTCATGCAGCTCCTGGCATTCCCCCTTCTTCTCTCCCGCGGAGCAACACCTGGCGCTCGTTCCTCTCCAATAAGACCCAGTCCATCCAGTCCCCTTTTGCTGCCACCATCCACTTCCTACGCATACCAAGTCGCCCCACAAACGAGCTGGAAGGATCCTCTGCCTCCATCGGACCCCCCTGAGTGACACTCTCGCTTCAAGAAGAATCGCTGGAACCCACTTGCAAAGACGCACGACTCGGTCACACTGCTAGCTCCGGATCCCAAGATGGCCTCGACGTCCAAGCACACGCTCTCTTCGCCCGAGGCGGCGACGGCAACAGCCGCTCCGGCGCGTCGGGCCTCCGCGCAGATCGACGCTGGCGTCCTTCAGCGATCCACCGCCGAGCTCGAGAAGCTGGTGAAGCCGGTCGTGCTGCCCTCAAGCTCGCCCAAGGCCAAATTCCAGAACTGGGGTCGCTCGTTCGTCAGCACGCCCGCCAAGGTGTTTGCACCGACCACCGTGACGCACTGTGCAGCGATCGTCGAGCTGGCTCGACGCCAGGGTGTCAAACTCCGCGCCATCGGGCGTGCGCATAGCCCCAGCGACCTGCCCTTCACTACTGGCTGGGCGATGCGCATGGAAGGCCTGAATGGTGTCGTTGACATCAGCCACCAAGATTGCACCATCACCGCTCTGGCCGGAACCTACATCTCGGACATCCACGAGGCACTCGACTCGGCACAGCCGCGTCTTGCCATGTGCAACGTCGGCTCCATCTCGGAACAGACCATCGCCGGCCTCATCTCGACTGCCACGCACGGAACCGGCATCCTCTTCCCCGTCGTCTCCTCCTACGTCTCGCAGTTCACCATCCTCTGCCCGCTTCCGCAAGGCACGCAGCACCTGACGTGCAGCCGCCAACAACATCCCGAGCTCTTTAACGCGACGCTCTGCGGTCTTGGGGCGACCGGCCTGATCACATCCGTCACCCTCCGCGTCCAGAACGCCTTCAACCTGAAGCAGTACTCGGAAGAGCTCACCTTTGACTCGCTCTTTGGATCCAAGACCGGCTTCCCTGCTGTGCCCACCGAATCGCACGTCAATGCGGGCGCGTCGATCGGCCGTCTGGTGAGCAAGAACCAACGTCTGCCTCCATGCCCCGAGCAGTACCGTCCTTCTTATCGATCAAAAGACGCTGCCGAAATCCATCCGATCCCTGTCAGCGCCAACCGCGATGCGGACCACATGGCACGCTCCGATGTCGAGGACGACGAGGAGACGAGGCAGGCGCAGCTGGCGCTCGAGCAGGTTGTGGCGTCCGCACAACACGTGCGCCTCATGTGGTTCCCGCAGGTGAAGCGCATCACCATGCTGCGCGCCAATCGCACCACCGAGCCGGTCTCACCGTCGCCAACGCTCTCCGCTCGCGTCAAGGGAGCATTGATCGGCCACCGTCTCACCGAGCTGCTGCTCTATACATCGCGATTCAACAAGCAATGGTCTCCCGTGGCAGTTCGATGGATTCACGCACTCACCCACCCTGCCTTGCCCGCAGTTGACGCCAAGCCGACTATGGCGCCGCAGAGCAAACGCATCAGCGCCACGACCGAGGAAGCAGCGGCCGAGCTGGTCGCACCGAATGCGACCAATTCTGTAGCAGTCGTCAATGACGGCGCACGCGACGAGCACCAGCAGCAGCTGATCCGCGACATCGGACAGAGCTTCGCGCATGGCGGCAGTGTCGGAGCATCGACCGAAGCAGAGCCATCGCCGTCTTGGCTGCAGACCACCGTGGCTGCGGGCGACTTCAGCGCATTTGCGCGCGACTCGCCTGCGCCGCGTCCGCTCTCGCCGAGCAACCCGGTGTGGTCGGAAGTGGGCCGCTCGGACCGCATCTTCAACATGGACTGCCTCTTCCCGCAGTACACCGACGAGTGGGCCATCCCGTTCAACCGTGCAGCTGCAGCTATCCGTGCGATGCGCGAGTGGCTCGACGAGGAGGAAGCCGCGGCCGACGGTGACCGCATCCACTTCCCCGTCGAGATCCGCTTCACGGACGCCGACTCGATCTGGCTCAGCCACTCGCAGGGACGCAGGACGTGCTACATTGGCATCGTGCAGTACCGACCGTACAACCAGCCCGTGCGATACCGACAGCTGTTCGCCAAGTTTGAAGCGCTCATGCGCCACTACTCGGGACGTCCGCACTGGGCCAAGGCACACTCGTGCTCGCCCACCGAGCTTTCGCAGCTCTACCCGCACTGGAACGATTTCCTGGCCACACGCCAGCGATTCGATCCCGACGAGGTGTTTGTCAACCCGTACGTGGCTCGACACCTCCTCGGCCGCATCGGCGATGGCGTCGACACACGCGTCTTCAAGAGCCGACTCTAGGCTCGCCCTCTACAGCCCATCGTCCTTCAATGTTTCCTCATGGAATGAACCAGGAATTGTCGAGCGGCTCGTCTCGTCCTCTACTTTCTCATTATCAGCGCGAAGACGGTTTGAGTGTGATGAAGGGATCGATGAGGTCTATGCGTGCGTACAGATCATCTGCATCTAGTGGCCGCACGTGGGGAAGGTTCGTCCGTAGCAATGCTCAAAAAAGCATGCCGGAGGAAAGGCGCACCAGAACGGTTGACCGTCATGACGTCGGGCCGCCTCGCTTCTATTTTTTCTGGCAGCCTGCCGTTTCACTGCCGCGGCCACGAAGCGCAGCCGGGCTCAGTGTGTGGTCCGGAATTGGCAGACTTGTCTAAGTTGGACGGCGCGTCGGCACGAAACCGAAGAGCGTCTTTACGCCACAGCCAAGCTGCCGAGCACAGCCGCGTCGCTGCTGTGAAATTCCGCTCAGCCTCGAGGTGGCAGCTGGGCTTGGCGTGGGGCACACCGACAGTGCTCAGCTGCACCTCCACTTTTGACAAAGCTGCCCTGCAGCGCCAAGCTCTTTGCCGCGCAGGGCGTGGCGGCTGAGGCTCCAATCATCCAGCCGGCCGCAGTCCTTCCATCGCCGTCCCGGCTGAGCTAGGGTCGAAGGCCATCCAATTGCAGCGCCATCCTTCTCTACTCGCCACCACCAACTCCCCACAATCAAGCTATCCTATCAATAGTACATCAAGCAAGGACGCCGCACATCGTACCCGCCTCACTCATTCGATCACCGAGCAACCGGTATCCCGATTTTAGGATCTCATCTTCTCAACAAACTTCCACCTGCATCCGCGTCCCGCACAGCTTCAGCTCACACGTACAGAGCGCAACTCAAGTCACAGCAAGCCTAAGCTATCCACCATGGTCTACTACTGCAGCGGATACACGAGCGTTTACCCATGCCGCAATAGCGGGCTAGGCTACGGCGCGCGAGCGGGCATCGGCATTGCGATCGCCGCGGTGATCATCCTCATCCTCATCCTGGTTGCTTTCACTGCGCGCCGCCGCAGACGCTTCGCTCAGCAAAACACGCAAACCATCCCCATGTCGTATCCCAACAACAACCAGCAGTACTACCAGGGCCACACCCAGGGCTACAACAACGGCTATCCACAAGCGAGTCCATACGGTCAGACGCAGGCCAGTCCGTATGGCCAGCCGCCCGCGGGACAAGCATACGGACCTCCGTCGGGTGCACCGCCCGCCAACAACGACGACGCTGCGCTTTACGCGCCACCCGTCGGCCCGCCTCCTCCGGCCTACGTGCCCAGGGATGAGCGTAAGGGCGCCGAAGCAAACGTCTAACCACCATCCTTTCGTATCGAAGCGCTTAGGACTCGATAGACAGCTCCTTGTCGACTCAAACTGCTCGTTCTCCTCCACCTGTACATAGTTCGATGATACCGTCGTCAGTCGTTCTTTGCGACAGGCGAGCGTGCAAATAGTGCATTACCTGCTGGAGCCAAAGTCTGGGAGCAAAGTTCCACGGCTCATACGTCTCGGATGACTGATGGATGCCGAGGAGCAGCAAAGAAGCCGGTCAATTGTGAGGTTGGATTGCCAACGGGTGCAGCTTAAAGATGCCTCTGCACCGATGAGATGAATTCTGAGATCGACGCCCCGATGGTGCGATGGGATGGTATTTTCTCGTACGATAATGGGGCCAGAATCGCGGGCGACCCGATCTGCCGTCGGAGCAAGGGGACAAAAGGGGATCTCGGGGACAAGAACAGGAAACTTATTCGGCGATCTGGCAGAAGGGGACCGCACCAATGCACGGTCAAGGCGGTTGACTGCAGCTCGTGTTGCCAACAGGCATCGATGCTCGCAAAGCCAGGCTGCAGCCAGATGTCCGGGTGTGTTGTGGTGTTTTGACCGGAATCCCGAATTGGCTGCGCGTCTGCAGAATTCGCGCTCCGGCTAAGCGTCCATCTTTCTGCACAGATTGTTCCGAGCAAACCTCCTCTCGCTGGCTCCGCAACCTCGCTCGCAACCGCAACCACCAAAATAGCAGGCCTCATGCTGCTCACGGACGACCTTGCATCACGCTTGCAGGGTTGCCGTCTGGCCAAGCAGCAATGTCGACACAACACCGAATCAATCGCTGTCAAGCTGGAACGACTTGTTTGCAGCCGCGACCAGTGCATTGGGTCTGGGCTGCGATTGCGAGCCGAGCCGAGCAGCTGTTGACAGGACGAGTGTTGCGGAGAGTGTGGATGGGTGTCTGGGCTGAGCCGTCGCCGTTGAAAGCGCAAGGGGAAATGCGTAGATGGCTCCCTCAGCCTCGCCTGTCCTGTCGGCCCTTGAAAATTCGAGCCATGCTGGATTTTCCGCTCCTCCTCGGCCTGGAATGGTGGGCATCCCACCGCACTCTCCATGCTGTCGCAAGAACCATGGCAGAGCTGCGCCCATCTCGCTAAGCGATATCGCTCCTGCTGCACAGGCTGCAGACGAGGCACATGCCCTCTCGAGCGAGCAGTGTCGGTAAAGGCTTTCTGGAGAGCCGCCTGGCGCCCTCGTCCGTAGCCCACCAGACGTGACGCGGGGGATCGACGCTCCCTCCAAGCGGTAGACGCAAGGGAAAAGCACAACCCGGCAGGCAGATCGTGCCTGGTGCAGTTTCCCACAGCCGCTGTTCCTCCTGCCATTGTCTCGTCATCCGCCCCAATCGCGGAGCTCCAATGGCACACGAAATCGTCCTCTCCGCATGCCTGCCCATCCGCCGCCTCGTCCACGCACCACGCTCCAACAATCCGCAGGCCTGTCTCACTTTATGCCACTTTGCTGCTTCGGTCTCGTGCGACCGCGACGGGCGTTTTGCTTGGCTTCCCCATCCGCTCACGCCGGCTGTCTCTGCCGCCGCTGCCGACGAGAGAAGCGGTTTCAGGCGTCATATCACCTTGTCCTGCCGTGCCAAACAGCAAGAGCTTACTCCTCCTGCTCCTCTCGTGCTGCGCCCTCTTCCCGCTGTCTCTCATCGTCCTTCCCCTTGGTTTCCCCCTCCTGAGACTGAGTTGCGTCTACATCCGCACTGTTCGTCGACTCTGCCTGGAACGCCGCGCTGGTCTCAAATCGTGACGGCCTCAGATTGTGTTGGCCTGCTTTCTCGTTTGCTCTTGGTCCTCCTCCTCACCTTGGCCCTTTGAACTTCTCCCTCTCCTCTACTCCCCAGCCCTCCTCCCCCCGCTTCGTTCCTCGCCGCATTGCTTGTTCGGGTCCTTCGTCGAATCCACCAGGACCACCACCACCACCATCGTCCCTACGAGTGCTTGCTCTCTCCTGACATCCTTCCGACATTATCCTCTAGAGGCCACGGCCTCGTCTGTCATCATCTCGGCTGGTGCTCCCTGCACACTATCGGCTGCATCGTCCCTTCTCCACCTTTCGCCACCACACCCACCCAGCCTAGCGTGACCGGACTCGGACGGCACGACGCATTGTTGCAGCCATGCGCATCCCACCGGTGCTCTTCATCTTTGTCGGCTTCCTAGCCATCGGCGCTTCGTTCATCCTCCAGCTGCTCGTGGCGCTCGGCCTGCCCTACATCAAGGGCATCTACTTCCTCTACATCAACTTCACCGACGCCTCGCAGGGCAACGCCGTCCTGCGCGTCACCTTCGGCATCTGGTCGCAGTGCTTCAAGCAGGGCGATCTGTCGCAGTGCTCGCCCACGGGCCTCGGCTACCAGCAGTCGTTCAACGGCGTCGAGAACGCCATCAGCCGCTTCTTTGTCAACAAGCTTCCGTACGCGCTCGTGGTACAGCCCATCTCGGCAGGCTTCACCGGTCTCGCCGCCGGTGCGGCTTTCCTGCACCTGTGCACCAACACGTTCCTGTGGCCGCTGTCGGCGCTCTGGGCTTCGTTCCTCACCATGGCGGCGCTGGTCATCGAGTTGGTGCTCTTCATCCTCGCCCGCAACAAGGCGCGCAGCTTCCAGAGCACGGGTACGCTCGACCCTAGCGGAGCCGAGCTCGGCCCTGCCATCTGGATGCAGGTGGCTTCGCTGCCGCCAGTGTTCTTTGGCTTCATGATGCTCGCGCTCGGCTGGTGGCTCAAGCGCTCGCGCAGCCAAGACAACTACTACGACGACTACGAGCCGGCGCGCCCCGTGTACCCGGCCAACGACTATGCGGAGAAGGACTACTACTATGGCGCTCAGCAGCGTCCCGCCAGCCGCGTGAGCCGCAGGTCGCGCTACGACGACTACTACGAGCCCGACGATGCGCGCGTCTACGGCAACGTCGGCCGCCGCGACTCGCGCCGCACCAGCCAAAGGTCGTACGCCGACGACTACGATCGCTACGACAACCGCAGGAGCTACGACGACCGCGCGCCCAGGAGGAGCTACGGCGGCGATCAGTACGGTAGCAGGACATCGCTCGCTCCCCCTCCCGCTGGTGCGCCGTACCGTGGAGGCCGATCGCGTCGCTACAGCGAGCGTGGCGCCTACTAAAGCGGCACAGCGCCGCGGCTAGAGGCCATAGAGGCCAAAAAATTCATTCGGGCGCCGCCGTTCAAGGGGCGCCGTAGAGCTAGCTCGAACTGTTCTCCAACTTGCTATGGCGCACTTTTGGTGCTTGCCATGAGCTATCCACACTCTTTTTACCCCTGCTGCTCTCATCCTCGTTTCCCCCATTGCCTCTCCGCCTCGTCTCGGTCCCGCTCTTGCCAGGGGATCTTGACGCGGCGTTGCTCGGTGCGAAGACATCTTCCGCATCCCACTCCCGATCACGGACATACACACTCTTTACCATCTCCTTTTCTCCACCCGGATACACCCACATTCTTTTTGGACTTGCCCTGCTTCTCGGCACCTTATTTTTGTTCTTCTTTCACCGCGAGCGCCTGCGATGCAGCCTGTGCTCGCGGGCCGTGTACATTTAGTGTAGCCCAAATCTTTGATGTTTTCCTAGCAAGTGGCTCGGGACTGTGGCGTGTGCGCTTGGCAATGCGATCGGCGAGGGGTTGCTAGACAACTGCGGCGGTGCAGATTGAAGCTGTGGTCCATGTTGAAAGGCGGGGGGAAGGCGGAAAGCGGAAGTCGGGCGATTACACAAGACGTGCACTGGCGCTCCACACGGCGCGACCCCAGCCAGAGGCTCGGCTCAAAAATTGCAGCTTCCACCGTCATCCGCATTAGCTCCTCACAACTTCTCTCTCACGCTCACACATTCACGCAAGATGTCGAGATTGCACGAAGCCAACCAGGCGTCCATAGGTGGCAATGATGGAAGCGAAGGCGTTGGTGCCTCGGGGACCAAGGTAAGTTGTCCTGCCTTTCACTTTGGGATACGATGATGTTGACTTTTTGCTGCGTTGTTGGTACAGGCGGAGGCAGCCAAGATTCGGGCGGCGATAACGTCGATTGATCCTGTCAAGGACTTTTCACGGATCGGCAGCATGCCGTGCGCACGAGGCAGTTTGCTCATGGGTATGGCCACAGCCGCTGGTGTGGCTGGAATCAGCCTTGTGGCGGGGCGTGGCTTGCGGAGAGGGTTGAATTGGGGCGTGGGATCGTTCTGCTTTGTCTCGATCGCAAGCTGGGAGACGTGCCGACGCAACATCAAGGCGGAACAACATCGCATGCGCACCGTCATCGAAAGCTACAAACGTTCCTCGAGAGCCAACCAGCCAAGCCTCACCTCAATAGCGACAAACGACCCCAACTCACCACACCAACCGCAACCGACACCCTCCCCATAGCGTCGCTCAGCTCGGCGCGCATTCATGCCGGATCCATCGCCAACCCATGCACCACGGGATGTACTTATGCCTCCATCGATGAAAAACTTCTTAAACGTACTTTGCTGCCCTACACAGCCAAAACAGCCTGCGAAGTTTCGTCCTCGACACACACATCTCAGTCACGGCATCGGCAAAACAGAGAGGCAGGAAAGCTATGATCTAGAGGGTCGTCGAATTGCATGGTTGCTCCGAGACAGCTTGGCTCTACTGCTTGGAGTCACCCTGCTGCTGCTGCTGCTGCTGCTGCTCTTCCTCCTTCTGCTGCTGCTGCACGGCGAACTTGGCGCCGAGCAGCTTGGCCGAGCAGTTGCGGATGTTCTGTTCTGCTCGCTGAATGCCGCCCTCGAGCGCGCGCTTGTAGGCGGTGAGGGCGTCCTCGAGCTGCTCGCACGCCTCGAGCACGGCTGCGAGGTTGTACTGGATCTCGGGGTCGTCCGGCGTGATGCTTGCTGCCGTCTTGAGATGCGACACGGCCAGATCCGGGCGCGACGGCTTGCTCAGCACGTACGCCGAGGCGAGGTTGGTGTGGGCATCGGCGCTCTCCGGCGCAAGCTCCAGCGACTCCTTCCATGCCGCAATCGCGCCGTCGAGATTGCGGTCGTGGTAGTAGCATACGCCGAGGTTGAAGAGCGCCGACGAGTTGCGCTTGATCTCCAGACTACGCTCGTACGCAAGCTTGGCCTTTTCCAGGTCGCCTGCTTCGAGGTGCGTCGTGCCTTCTTCGAGGAAGCGCTGCGACTCTTCATCTGCCGGGTCGAGCGCAGAAGATGCCGGAGTTGTGGATGTGGCGTAGGTGCGTGCCGACACCAATTTAGAGGCGCGCAGCTGCTTCGGCCCCAAGAGGCTGCGGCTCGATGTGCTGGAAGCGAGCGAACGAGCAGCAACCCAACGCGATGCGCTGCGGCTCAGCTGGGATCCCGTGAGCGAGCCCGAAGCGTGGACAAGCGCACGGCTAGCAATCCTAGATGTAGATGCAATCATTGTGATAAGAAGATGTCCCAGTGCGGAAGCTTGCTTGTGAAGAGGCAGCGAAGTGATGGTGAAGGTTCGAGATTGGAAGCTGTAGCTGGCGGCATCCGAGCTCCACCAAAAAGCGCCCATTTTGCAGCGGCGCGTTTCTTCCAGCTCGGATGTCGGAACCAAAATCCTCAACTCGGCCGGAAGTGCGCAAGGTGTCATCAGCCTGTTCCTTCTTCACCACCCTCTTTAACCACTTGGCGTCTCGACTCTTCTGACAACCAAGCTCGCCGGAGCTGCAGCAATCGCATTCTGCTGACCGAAGAGGGGGTAAGCAGCGGCTTGGCTCCGCCATGCTTCGGCTTAGCGTCGTCAGAGGTCCATCCAGACTCAGTTCGGCCACCATAGTCAGGGGCTTTGGGATCGCACTTTCTCCAGCAAGGCCTTGCGCAGAGAGGCCATCTAGCACCTCGAGAGCAGGCACGGTACGCAACTATGCAGAAGCGTCATCTGCCAAGCGTACTCGCCGTAGCAAGCCGCAGCTTGAGCTGAACGCCGAGGCCGACGAAGCAGAGAGCTCCACAGCGCGCGGCACACGCTATGAGCTGCTTTGCCGGGACGTGCTGCACCAACTGTTCGGAATGGAGCTCACCCGTACAGGTGGAGCCGGTGACCGTGGTGTAGATCTGCGCGGTTGGTGGGAACCCAAGACAGTGCCTGACCAACCCGCGTCGAAACGAATCCGCGTGTTGGCGCAGTGCAAGTGCCAGGACGAGGGCGGCAAAAAGATGGGCCCGGTACTCGTCAGGGAGGTGGAGGGCGTCGTGTTTCGAGCTGCTTCGCCATCGCCGCCAGCATCACCAACGGCGACAGGCAATGCAGACTCCACCGACGAAGTCGACCTTGCCAGTGACCACGACGCGCCCGTCGCAGGCATCATCCTATCCTCGTCGGGCTTCACCAAGCAGGCGCTTCTGCAGGTCCGCTCGAGCAGCGTTCCTCTTGCGGCTATGCATGTGCTTGCACAACCGCAGTCGACTTCCGACGCGGGCGGCAAAGATTTGGTCGAGAGATGCGTTTCGATCGTGTGGAATGACCGCTTCGGGTCGAGCCACGGCCTGTTGCCCGGAGGTATGGAGGCTCGCTGGATCAGATCGCTGTCGCCGCGGCAAGGCGCTGCAGATGGCACGCTGGGCAGGCCTGTTATCTACAGAGCGGGAAAACCATTGCACTAGATACCGAAGGCTGCCATGTGCGCCCAGCCACAACGTGGTGACCCAGAGATGCGGGTTCCTCTCAATCGATAGCCGGACAACAGGGCACAATTTCCGAGCCCGAGTTGACTCCCGCATCGCCGCACTTGCATTCCGAAAACCGAATACCCGTTCATAGCATGACGCCGAGTGTGTCCGAAGCAGTGTCTTTTTGGCACAAGAATGAACAGCGGAGATTTGGGGAACAGCGGCCAAGTGAATAAAGCCGCACAAGACTGCCAGAAATATACATAGCCGCCCCTGCGTCCGGCTTTTGAGCGGGTCTAAGGCCAAAGGTTCCAAACTTTTGGTCCGCTCCGCCTCCACCTGCCAACACGGCCCAACGAACAAACTCGGGCACGTCATTCGGCGACCTCGGTGCCCGACCTCGGTGCCATGCACGGTGCACCTCGTCAGTCTCAGCAGCCAGCGAGAGGGCGTCGGTGGAGGTAATCCATAGCCGTGGCGACATCGACCACGTTCAAACTCGTCGCCCCACCCTTTCTCGACCAACTGTCATCCGCTCGCCTTGATGCAGATAAATAGATCGCTGCTTCGACTGCGTCGTCCCGTCCAATCCATCCTCAGCCCACGCTCAACCGCCGTCTTCGCTCGCAACATCATGGCTTCCAACGGATCTGCCAACCCTTACGCCGGCATGGAGGCATTCAACTTTGTCTCGGGTCTCACCGAGCCGCTGGTCGACTCCATCGACGCGCTAAAGATTGGCCACTTTGTGCCTACGCGCGAGAACCATCCGCCGCCGGGCACCATGCCCGACTCGATCCTCGGCGAGGGCGTCAAGAAGCCCGCGCTGTTCCAGACCATCACGCTGCCCTTTGCCAAGCCCGAGTCGTCGGGCAAGATGACGTTCAAGAACCGCGTCATCGTCTCGCCCATGTGCCAGTACTCGGCCAAGGACGGCTTCCCCACGCCGTACCACATCGCCCACCTCGGCGCGTTTGCGCTGCACGGCGTGGGCAACATCATGGTCGAGGCGTCCGGTGTGACGCCCGAAGGTAGGATCACGCCCCAGGACCTGGGCATCTGGTCCGAGGCGCACCGCGATGCTCACAAGGCGCTCGTGTCCGCGCTCAAGTCGTTCACCGACGGTCTTGCCATGGGTCTCCAGCTCGCACATGCCGGTCGTAAGGCGTCCGACTGGTCGCCCTTCCACCGCGGCGCTCGCAAGGAGCAAAAGTACGTCACGCGCCAAGAGGGCGGCTGGCCCGAGGACGTTGTCGCCCCGTCGGCCATCGCATACAACGATGGCTTCATCACTCCGCGCGCACTCACCACCGAAGACGTAAAAAAGCTCGAGGACAACTTTGTCCAGTCGGCACGCTGGGCGTTCGAGGCCGGCTACGACTACGTCGAGCTGCACGGTGCACACGGCTACCTGATGCACTCGTTCCTTAGCCCCTTGACCAACCACCGCACCGACGAGTACGGCGGGAGTCTCGAGAACCGCGCGCGCTTCATGCTCAATGTTGCGCGTCGCATCCGTGCCGAGTTCCCCAACAAGGGCCTGTGGGTGCGCGTTAGCTCCACCGACTGGGCCGACCAGGCGGGCAAGGGCGACTCGTGGACCGTCGACCAGACCGTCGAGCTTGCCAAGATGCTCCACGACGCCAAGGTCGACCTCATCGACGTCAGCTCCGGCGGTCTTGTGCCTTTCCAGAAGATCACCGTGGGCGCGGGATACCAGCTCTTCGGTGCACGCGCCGTGCGTGATGCGCTCGTCAAGGCCCAACCCGACCAGGACAAGCGCATGCTCGTCGGCGCCGTAGGAATGATGGAGGGCTCCAACGACTCGCCCAACGCCTACGAGCGCTCCGAGGCCGGAAAGCTCGCAGAAGCCTCGATCCAGCAGGGCGACTGCGACGCCGTGCTCCTCGCCCGCGGCCTCCTCTCGTACCCCAACTGGACCGAGGACGCGGCTGCAGCCCTCACACAAGGCACCAAGTCGGCCGGCAACCCGCAGTACCACCGTGCTCACCCCGCCAAGCGGTCGTAGCACTCTCACTTTCCCCATGCCAATGAATAGAACGATCAGATCCCATTGAATCAAAGTGAAATGCTGGCGTGCAACGAATTCAAAGCTTGTGCTTGCCCTTGGGAGGGAATTGTGGGTCGGCGCGGATGCGCACGACGGCCTTGCCCCATGTCTTGCGCTCGGCAAGGTCCTTGAGGCCTTCGGGCACACTGTCGAGGCCCTCGTAGATGTGCTCGAACACGGTGGGCACAATCTTCTTGGTGGCAAACATGTTGAGCAGCGCCTCCCAGGTCTCGCCGATCTTGTCCGGCTCGTTGCGCACGTATGCGCCCCAGTGAACACCCGTCACCGCGACGTTCTTGAGCAGGATCAGGTTGGCGGGCACCTTCTCGATCGTGCCGGCCACAAAGCCGACGACGATGATGCGGCCGTTCCACGCAATCACCTTGAGCGAAGGGATGATCATGCCCACCGGGTCGTAGACGACATCGACACCGTGACCTTCGGTGATTTCTGCAAATATCAACATGAGGAGAAAATGTCAGTGTATGCGCTCGACCATGCCTCAAAGTATGCATGTGATCAAAACTTACTCTTGACCTGGTCCTGCCAGTCCTTGTCGCGGTAGTTAACGGCGTAGTCGGCGCCTCCGACCTCCTTGCACACGCGAAGCTTGTCAGCGGAGCCGGCAGTGGCGATCACGCGTGCTCCCATTGCCTTGGCGATCTGGATGGCACAGATGCCGACACCGCCGGCACCGGCGTGGACGAGCACCCACTCGTCCTCCTGCACATTGGCGCGGAACTTGAGCGCAGCGTAGCTGGTGGGCCACGTGATGAAGAGACCCGCAGCCTGCTCGAGCGAGATGCCCTCGGGCACCTCCATGAGCTGCCAGTAGTCGGCCTTGGTCTTCTCGCCGTATGCGCCCTGCGCCGCGCCGAACACGCGCGTCTTGCCGGGGATGAAACTGCAGCCCTCGGGGATGGGCGAGTCCTTGGAGATGATGCCGGCCATCTCGACACCGGGAACATACGGGTGCGGGGTCTTGACCTGGTACTTGCCCTGGACGGCGAGGATGTCGAAAAAGTTGAAGGCGGCCGAGTGGATGTCGACAAGCACCTCGTTGGAACCCGGAGCACACTTGGGCTCGGGCACGTCGTTGGCGAGCGTCGACGGCAGCTCTTCAGGAGCGATGTCCTTGTGCAGGTAGAAGGCCCTCATGTTAGCTGTGTGGATGAGGTGGGTGTATGCGGGTGGTGGTGGTAGTGGTGATAGTCACGCACATCCCATCCTTCTAGGAAGGATGGCCAGAGGTGCATGCGCGGTGTGCTTCCCCCGCAAACCCGGCTCACCGGCAACGCGCTTCCACTCCGGCTCTCGAAGCTGCCTTACCGGGTCGAGCTCTTCGTCTCGGCCGTGACAACGACATCCACTCGGGCGCTGTGTGGAGGCGAAAATCAGCTTTTCGGGTGTGGACCCTGAAGGTGGTTGGGATCGTAATCTGATTTGATTCGGGGCGAGCAAACAAGCAGTCACATGCATCGATGCGTGCGACGAACCTAGCTCGAACGACGTCTCCGCTGGCTCGCAGAGAAGGGCTTCTTCTGGTCACCATCATCAAAGATTTGCGGAAGGAACAGCTGCTATAATGTCGGCTCTGGTTCATATTGCCTCCCCGCAGACCAAGAAGGCGCCTGTGGTCGTGCCGCCAGGCACCTATCCGCTCAGCCACCCGGATGGCGCCAAATTTAGCATCGTCGTCTCCCACGAAAAGGGATCTGCGCAGGCGGGTGCAAACGCCGCCGACGCTGAACAAGCGTCAAGGGTTCGCCATTCGATCAAGCTCTCCTCGCACAAGTCGCACGACTGGATCGACACGGCCAGCACGCTCGTGGTCAAGGCGCCTTGCCCACCGTACCCGAACCCCGCTTCGGAGCCCGACACCAACAGTCTCGCCTTCCGTACGCAGCGCTTCGGCGAGTGCGAGCTGCAAGCATCGGATGCAGAGCAAAAGGGCGAGATCACTCAGCAGAAGCTCTGGAACTGGATTAACGTGGTCTTTGCTCTGTGGCCGCAACAGGAGCATGTCTTGCTCAAGACCCAAGGACTCCCGCCTGCTGTCGTGGCCCATCTGACCACTTCTCGGCTCGCCATTCTGGACCCTTCCGCCCCGCCAACGCTTTCGGCGCCGGGCAACAAGACGCAAGTGAGCCTCGAGCGTCTGCTCGTCTCGCGCGCGGCATTCTGGCAAGGTCAAGGCTCGCCGACGTCGGGCTTTGCACCTTGGGTGCTCCCACTGGCGGATGCGGCTACACGGAATGCGCTGATCTCTTCCAATGCCGAGACGACCGTATCGCCGCTTGCGGAGCCCTTCAAGCCACCGCCTTCGGCCGGTCCGATCTACTCGCGATTCATTCCGGGTCTCAACTCGCACCTGACGTTCCGCGTGGCGTCGTCGACCAACGCCAAGGATGTGGACCTGCTGACGGCGTGGCATGCGACGGATCGCGTCAACGAAGGGTGGCGTCAGCGACTGAGTCGCGAAGACCAGCTGGCGACGATGCAGAGCGGCGAAAAGAGCGCGTACAACATTGGACTGATCGGTGAGTGGGACGGCGAGCCGTGGGGCTACGTCGAGATCTACTACTCGAAGCAGTCGAACCTCAAGGACTTTTACACGGCGGGACAGCACGACCGTGGCTTTCATGCGTTGGTCGGTGATGAGCGCTTCCGTGGCCCGCAGCGGGTGCGCTCGTGGATGGGCAGCGTAGTGCACCTCATGTTCCTGCTGGACGCTTCCACGGCCCAGTGCGTGTCCGAGCCGCGCCTTTCCAACACCAAGATGGTGCAATACGAGATGATGGTGGGCGGCAACGTGGAAAAGTGGATCGACTTTCCGCACAAGCGAGCTGCGCTCGTCATGTTTGGCAAGGAGCGCTTCTTCCAGCTGTGCCCGATGGGTCCTTTGCCCGAACACCTCGCCTAGATCAATCGATGCCGTCGCGATACCGCGTCTCAACGAAGACGTCAACGCCATTTAGATGCTCAATCCTATGACAACTCTCGGATCCGGACATGGTCGGCCAACTCATGTATCGTCAATGTAGCAAAAGCCGAGGTGTGCAGTCTCGGTGCCGACGTCGGTGCCAGAAGAGCGGGGCGGGAAATGATCTGCGTGGTTTGGCCCGTTAGATCAGCGCGGTGCGTTCTAGGCGAGTGGGCGGATGTTTGTGGCATAACTTACACCCAATGGCCCGGCGAAAACGGCGGGTCATGACGGTCAGGAACGAGCGGCTGAGCTAGATCCGCTTTGAATGATTCATGACGCTGCGCGAAGAGGAGAAGCGGTGCTGCGGAGTCGGAGATCCATGGAGCGGTGCGGCTGTGTGGAGAAAGGGTGGACTAGTTTGGATCCTGTACGGAGCCGAGGTTGGGCCCGCGTTGATCTGGTCTCCCGAGCATGCGTGGGATCAGATTGCTAAATTAGCCAAGCGAGACGGAAGCGTGTCTCGGTGCTAGAACGCGCTGCGCTTCGAGCAGGTCCTGGCATAAGTCTCCGACCACTCAATGCGCGCCCGCCACCTTGGATGCCTTGTTCCGCAGCTCGGCCATCACACACTCTGCGGGCGAGCGTGAAAGCAAGAGAGCGATGCTGAGTCTCGCGTGCTTCGGCTTTCGATTCGCTTCGGTCGGCAATGCGGAAGCATCGCAGTCACTAGAGAATGCCGATGCCCCGAGACACTCCAATCCGACTCCGGTTCCCAGCGCGTTCTGACTGGACGAAATGAACCAACAGCGGTGCCAGTATCTCAGCTGAGATGGAGCGGTCGGAGACCTCCCGAAAATCGACTGGGTCGAGAAGTCGGATGCGGAAGCTCGGAGGGAGGCCTCGCCTAGCTGACTCGAGCCCGAGCTGCCCTGACGTCGGAAGCGCGCGCGCGCACGTTCAGCCCTGATAGCGCGTGTGAAGCGAACCGGAGCCAAACTCTTGGTCGGCACCACAGCCCGCACCTGTCACTTTGCAGACGCGTGCAGCCCGCGTTCGCGGCCGTGCATCGCCGTTCCGATCTCACGCCGCAGACCCACGCTCGCAACGACAAGTCGCAGAAAATCCAGAGGGTCTGAGACTACCCACGAATCAGATGCAATCATTCTGAGATGGACTAGATGCGAGCAAGGCTTGATCTGCACGTCGACGAGGCCAATTGACGGAGCATCCGACGATGCTCTCATCACGTCGCTTCGGGTGGCCTGGCATCACAACCAGTGGGGTCATGACGCCCTGGCCCGCGACCCACGGTGCCTGCTGCCGAGGCTTTGTCTCGCTTACCGCGCACCGCTCTGCTGCTTTTCCCATGGTGCTTGCCATCGCCTTGCCTGCTCTGGCCCACGTTCGACAGTACTTTGCCGACCAGCTGATTCTGGAACAATGAGCCTCGGCGCACAGACTGCGGCGGCAGCGCCACAGGCTCATGCCACCCGACCTTGGCGCCTCCCCCACGCATTCCCCACTCAAACGGCTCCAGATCCTCCTCGCATGAACTTCATTTGTCTTGCTTGCCGCCATCTGGTCGAAGGTGAGCGCCGTCACACGCCCTTCGTCGTCGCGATCGAAAGGTGCTGTTCCTCGTCTACGTTGTGCCGATGCACGAAAGGGACATGCAGGCGGGAGCTGAAGCGTCCGAACGTGGTGGCTCCTCTTGACGGAAGCCGTCATGCGGCTTCGGGAAGCCAGCGACGGAGCCGACTGGTTTAAGCAGTGGCCAAGCTGCACAACCAATCGAACCGTCTCGCGTGCGTGACTCGCTCGCAACCACCCACATTCACCGACTCAGCGCACCTTCCATTCTTTTTTATCTTTTTATTTTTATTTTTGATATTTGTTTTGTCGGTGGATGCGCCTAAACCGACTGGCCTGCACAGGTCTGCAGCCGCCTCCTCGACCAAGTCCGAGTAACGGCAGGCAGCCGACGTGACCAAGTGTGAGGACGCGGACGCTCCGCTTGCGGCTAAGCCAAAGGGTGTTCGGACAAGCCGGTCTCCGTGGAAGCAGCTTTGTCGTGCTCGACATCCCTGTCATCTGCACAGTCTCATTGGCTCGTGGCTCAGTTTCCGTACCGACATCCATCACACCGCATCGCCTCTACCCTTCAGCACCTCAGCTCGCTGACATGAGCCCTCCGAGATGAGCTAGCTCCGACAACGAGCGATCGCATCGCATTGCATTGCATCGCTGTGGCTCCATTTCCGTCCCTCACTCGCCCGCAAGGCACAACTACACCACCATCCTTGTCGAGGACAGGCGCCGGTACACCTTGGACCTCATTCCCGCTCATTCCACCATCCAGTACATATACCGGGCTGGCTGCACTCAACGCTGCAGCTTGTTCTGTCGTGAAAGCTGCGCTCGCCGCCTCTTCGACTTTGACTGTTGCTGCCCAGCCCTGTTCTGCCAAAGTTCCAGGACGTGTCGGATGAGCCGACTCGAGACGCTCGGACCCGCTTCACTAGGATTCTATGCTCCCTACGTCGCCATCTCAGCAATACTGCTCTCTGGGCAGCTGCCTTGTCTAACGCCCGAATCACACCCGAACCGTTTCGCCGGCCATGGATCGACCCTATCCCTATGGCGGCTCTTATGCTGCCAATGACACGAGTCTCCCCCGCTTTTCAGCTCAAGGCGATGCGGCTCCTGCCTCCACCTCGTATGACGATGCGTCCGAGATGCCACGCATTCAGAAGCGTCCGCGTCGCACCCACGCCAGACGCTCGTGCCAGATGTGCCAGCAGCGAAAGGCACGTTGCGAGCTGCCCGACCTCGAAGTGCCCTCCAGCCCTTTGCCCTTGCCTGATCACCAGGCTTGCCATCGCTGCAAGACGCTCCAGATATCGTGCATCGTCGACGATGCCAACAAGAAGAAACCTAGGAAGAATACTGCCGACACTGATCCCGCCCAGCCCGGCTCCTCCAAACGCAGAGCCTCTGCCAGCGTCGCTGGTGACCGCCCACGCACCATGCAGAACTCGTCCACATCGGCATCGCTTTCCTCTCTCGGCGACAGACGTAGTATCGGAAGCAATCGCAGTAACAGCAGCGCCGGCATGCTCCCCTCCGGCCTGCCCGATGCAGATGCCGACAGTCTCAAGTTCGCCGGCGGCCGCGAGCTCGGCAACCAGATCGTATACCCCGCCGAGGCAAAACTCGTCTCAAAAACGCCAGATACCTCCGACGAGGACGAACAGCCTGATCCCGCCACCGATTTCTCGGCACGCTCAGATCGCCAGCCGGATCGGACTAACTCATCGGAAACCTACATCAAGACTCAGGACCGCGGCCCAAGCAACGCCGCCAACATTGACACCTGGGAGCGCTATTCCACGCGCAGTCGCCCACTCACGCTGCTCACCGAGTTGGTGCCTCGACAAGCGGGCTTCGCATCCAAGATCTTCCGCCTCGTCTCGGCACGCGCAACCATCGAGACCGACGTCTCCGAGATCATCCCCGACGCAAAATCCAAGATTCTCAGTGACTGGTGCGAGGAGAATCTCACCCTGTGGATGCCCCACATCTCCAATGCCTACCAGCTCCGCCAAGATGCTCTGCAGGGAAAACAGACGCTGTCCACCCAGCTGCTCGAACAAGTGCTCTATCTCATCGCCCTGCAACACATCCGCGACCCCAAAGACGACGTCGCCCGTTTCTCCGTCGTGCGCTTCGTCATTCGCGACACGGCACGTCTCGTGCTCACCTCGCCGCGCTCGAGCAAGGGCGTCGAAGCATTAGAGCTGCTGTCTCTCTTCCCCGTCGACGTCTCGGCCATCCCCGGCCCCTCTCGCAGCCGCATCCGGACCGACTCGCTCATCAGCGCCTCCGAGCGAGTCGCTCGCTCGGTCCGCTTGGATCGTGTCGCAATATCCGCAGCTGCACCCTACTCATTCTTCTCGTCCACCAGCCCTTTGGACGAGTTCGAGACAAAGCGCACCGCCATGACTTGGGCCAGCGTCAAAACGTGGCTCACTTCATTCACGCTAGGCGATGACGAGCTCTTCGAGAGCGTCGACCAACGCTTCTTCTCAGACGACTGGAGCCGCTCCTTGATACTGCCGCTGGAGCTCAGCCAGACCGACGCTGCAGCACGCCTCGTCGAGGCAGGGCAGAGCGAAAATGATCTTTTCGCTCGCAAAGCCTGGTCGCGCAGCCGTCGTTTGGGCAGCATCGGACTCGCCATGCGCTGCCTCGGAATGCGGCGGCTGGTCGAGGCATTCCACGCCATCCGCACCACCCCTGTCGACCTCGACGAGTCGGATCGTCTCTACAGGCTCGCCACGATTCTGGACGACTACAAACGTAGCGTTGATTCCATCGACGACGAGTTTCGAGACCGTCTCGCCGATCTCAACCAAGACTCGCACCTGCTTCGCTCGTGGCTCTCGATCGAGACCACGGCCGGCTTTCTGCTCGTCCTGTGCATCGGCATCTTGCGCGGGCTGGGCATCGACAAGAAGGAAGACGTGCAGACACAGGAGTTGGCTCTGATGATTCGTGGCGAGAACGCTTCGTCAGAGATGAGGGAGTTCCTGACGCGCTATGGCGAGCACCGCATTCTGGCTGCTGAAAAGGTGCTGGTCAACACCACGATCCTTTGCCGAGATGCACGTGCCAGTGCTGCCACCATGCTATCCGGCAAGGGTTGGATGAGGGACGGTCAGTCACGCACCGTCGTTCCCATCATGAACTTGTGCGGCTACGCGCTCGAGGCAGCCTTCAACGCTATGGAGTGGCACGCTACGATGTTCCAATTGTGGAAGACGCCGCCGAAGCGCGCCGAGTCGTGGCGACTGGTCTTTTCCGACTTGATCGCCGCCATGCTCTCGCTGGATCCTATGGGCTCAATCGAGAACGGCAGCATTCCTGCCACGTGCGCTTTTATTTTGCAGGGCATGCTCAAGGTCATTGTGCTGTGGACGCAGTGCAGTCGTAACAAGGACATCCAGCGCACCACGTCCACGTCGTCTGCCAACCTCAATGGTCGTGATGGGTCCAGCAACGGTCGTGACTCAGACCGGTACTCTGGACAATCCTTGGCAAGCGCTGCGCCCGCGGCTGATCTGGCGCGGTACGAGGCGTTGATACAACACGACATGGCGACGAGCCGGACCTTTGATGCGGTGCAATCGTTCGACTCGAGCGCAAACGCTGCTTTGATGGGAAACTCGAACACGATGCGCAGTGATCAACACGGGCCGCGGTCGAATCCGTACAGTATGACTGCGTCGATGTTTGCAGCCGATGTTTCCTCGTCGCAGGGGAATGATTCTAGCCTGAACGGTGCAGGTCCTGCGTTCGCGTCAAACGCGAGCGAGTCGCTGGCAGCCGCGCTGCCTCGCAGCGTCGAGTCCCAGGCGAAAGCGCCCGGGGTGTCGACGGAGCAAGGGGCATTTTCAGCGTACAGAGCGCCGCCGATGTCCTCCATGGACGGATCCAGCGCTTCGGGCACGGTTTCGCCGATGCCCCTGGCTGCACAGTACACAGCTGTGGGCAACGGCAACGGTACGGCGCTCGACGGCGGCGCCGCAGTGCCAGGCGCCAATTTCAGCATGCGAAACGAAGAGGGCCGTCCATCGGTGGCATACGACTCGCTCGACTTTATCCGTGGCATACGACTCGCTCGACTTTATCCTCAATGACGTGCTTGGCTCGTCGCAGTGGTCGGGCATTCTGCAGGACATCTGGAGGACGGACATCTAGCCTCGTCTCCACCCGGCACGATTCGAACGCAGAAAAAGTCGCACAACGCAGCGATCCGGACGATGCAAGTGCAGTCTGGATGTAGCAACAAGTCTAGGTTAAGGAATGGGAATCGTAATCTGGGCGTAAAGCATTGTCCTGAAGTGGAGGAGGGCGTTGATTCTAGCAGTCGGGAATGGCGACTGGGACCTTGACGGCCGTAGCGAGGCCGGCGAGGGAGGTCTCCTTGTAGCTCGTGTGCATGTCGCGGGCCGTTTCGCGCATGGCGGTTATGGCGTCGTCTAGCGATACCGAGTGTTTGCCGTCGCCGGCCAATGCGAGTTGAGCGGCAGTGACGGCCTTGACGGCTCCTAGGGCGTTGCGTTCGATGCACGGGATCTGGACCTGGCCATTGAGCGGGTCGCACGTGAGGCCGAGATTGTGTTCAATGCCAATCACGCTTGCCTGGAGCACCTTTTCGGGGCTTCCACCAAGCACGGCGACGAAGCCTGCAGCCGCCATGGCGGTAGCCACGCCCACTTCGGCCATACATCCGCCCTCGGCAGCCGAGAGCGTGGCACCGCGCTTGAAGAGCATGCCGATCGCAGCGGCGGTGAGCAGGAAGTTCTCCAGATCGCGCACGGGGTCGTCGTCAAAGATAAACTCAAAGCAGTACTTGAGCACGCTCGGCAGCACGCCGGCGGCGCCGTTGGTGGGCGCTGTGACGATGCGACCGCCCGCAGCATTTTGCTCGTTGGTCGCAATCGCGTAGCAGGTCAGGTAGTCGATCGCGGGAAAGTTGGTGCGGCGCGGCGGGCACGGCATGACGGGGTGGTTGAACGAGCCGATCATGCGCGTGCGCGCCAGCCCCGTCGCGCCAATCTGCGAAACCATGTCCGTCGACGCACGCGGAGGTGGACTGTCGATCCCGGGCCCTTCACCCGAAACACTTCTGGCAGCGCCGCTCAGCGGACTACCTCCGGCAGGCAGCGATGCTCCGCGATACAACCCGCGCAGCAGGCGGGCATACAGCGATGGCGCGCGACGACGCACGGCAAGCGGGCCGGGCAGCGCGTGCTCGGTGCTCTCGACGCCGGCGCGGATGCATTCGTCCATGGTGGTCCAAATCTGGACGAGCTTCTCGTGCACCACCTCGGGCGGGTTCCAGGTGAGCTCGTTCTCGTACACCACCTGTGCAATGGTGAGGTTGCGCGTCTTGCACTGGCGCAGCAGACTCGCTGCATTGTGGTACGGAAACGGCGGGCCGGACGACGCGCGAGCCGTGAGCTTCTCGGGCTCGTGGGCTGGCGCCTCGCGGGATGTGGTGGCAAGTGCGCTCGACGTCGAGTCGGCAGCTGGCGTCGGCGCTTCGACTTGCGGAAGCAGGCCTTCGACGACGGGAGCCGAACCGGCGCGTCGGCCGTCTTCGGCGTCCTTGCGACGAATCTGCTTGTAAAACACGTTTTCGCCCCAGTCGATCGGATGCGCCGAAAGCTCGATGGTCTCGTCGTGCAGCGGCGCAGCAGCCGTCGGGTCTTGTGCAGGTGCCTGCGGGGACGAGGATCGCGCTGACGACGCGGAAGATGATGGCGTGGCCAGCGCACCATTGACGACGAAGCCGCCCCCGACCGAGTAGTAGTCGTTGGTGGCGAGCATCTCGCCCTGCTCGTCGAATACGCTCATGCGGATGCCGTTGGAGTGATGCGGCAGCACCTGTCCGAACATCCACTTGAGGTCGCGGTCGTAATCAAAGTGGATGAGCTTGCCCTTGGTGACGGGCTTGCCGTTGGCATTGGCGCCGAGGGTCTTGAACAGGTTCTTGCCGAGGTGGATGTGCTTGGCCTTCTTGATCTCTTCGAAGCGCACGGGTACCGAAGGAGGATCGACGGTCTCGCAGTCGTCGCCTTCGAGGCCGCCGAGAAGCGCCTGGGGCGTCATGTGGCCGGCGCCAGTGAGTGCCAGCGAGCCGTAGAGGTTGATCTTGATGGTGTGCACGCGCTCCAGCAGACCCATGTCGGCCAGGTCCGAGACAAAGATCACGCCGGCACGCATGGGGCCGACCGTGTGCGACGACGAGGGGCCGATACCAACCGAGAAGAGATCGAATGTAGAGATGACCGCGTGCTCGGTCTCACTGGCCTCCGAGGTGGCTACATTGTCGGCTGACGCTGAGGCTGAGGAAGCTCTGCACTGCGAGGTGTGCATGCTTCGCCTCGGGGCTTGCACCAGCCGCACCGCCGGAAGTGCGGTCATGCCGTGTTGCAGCGCCGTCGAGGACCGACTGTTTGCCGCGTATGCGGTGCTCTTGCTTCGTGCCGCATGTGAGGCGGTGCGCGCTGTGCTGCGCAGAAGCGCCGTGGACTGTCGGGCCGACACCATGGTAGTAGTGGTGCGTGCCAAGACGGGTTCGCGTCGCGCTGGAACGTACGCTCTCGATGACGGTCGAGCTTATCTCGGCGTCGCTTCAGATGGTGGTGGTCGTCTGCTTCAATGTGGGTTTGCGACGTGGCGCAATGGCATATGAAGCGCCTATCGCTGCTGTCTCACAGTGGGGCCAGATAAGCAAGCCGTGCAGCAATGTCGCCGATTCTTCCAGCTGCAGTCACCCAACCGAAAAAAGTGCTCCAGAGCTGCGAGCCCACTTTTTCGGATATCGTGGCTTGGATTTCAAAGCACATCGGCTGAGGTCGCGCGCGTCCAAGTGTTGGTCTCCCTCTGAGCTGCACCGTCACATGTCTCCTGCCTCTTATGGCAATTCCGCATTTTGGCCGAGTTTCCAACTTCCGCACTCGAGTCCGCTCAAGATGCCGTGCGTGATCCTATACGCTCGCTCGTTATGGATGAATGAGAGGGTGACCTGGCTTGCGATGCGATGCCTAGTGCTTTCACGTCTGGCTCGTCGAGCGACGACTAGAAGCACGCGGGCTGAAACTGAGAACTACATGGCACGTCGGGCAAAACGCCTGCGCTGTGAGCCAGGAGACGAGGCAGACGTCGTGAAGCTCGTGGCCGCAATCGAGCCGGCAGAATTCGAACCTGTTTGGCTGTTGCGATGCGTTGCCATCGTCGCTATAGCCTGTCGGCTCTGGCATGATTTCCGCAGCTGCTTTTGGGCGCGTCATCTCAAAGCAGATGGCGCAGTAGACGTCGTCGTACGACTTCCACTTGTAGTCGCCCGCAGCGGCGCTTGCACGAGAGCGCACGACCGAGGTGTAGGGGTCCTGCGCTCGTTCGAGCTGCACGCCCCAGCGGCGGCGTACAAACTCGAGACACTCGACGGAGCTGCGAGCGCGCGTCCACACCTGCGTGAGCGAGGCGAGCTCGGAGCGCAGGCTGAGCAGCGACAGCACAGGCGGTAGCGAGGTCGGCGAGAGCGTCGGCAGCCGCAGCGTGATGACCGAGTAGATGAGCGCACCCATGGCTTTGTCGAATAGCGCCGTGGCTGTGTCCGAGAACCACTTGGTCGAGACGAGCACCGACTGGCCGCGCAGGCGAGGTGCGCGTCGACGCCGAGATGCCGAGGGCGAGCTGCCCGGCTGTGCAGCATCATTCTCGGGCAAAGTGAGAGGCGCGATGGGCCGCGTGACGCTCGGGGAGCTGATGACCTCGTCTTCAGGTGCTCCGACGCGGCGGTAGGTCTGGCGCGCGGTGGGCTCGCCGGCGGGGTTGGGTACTGCGTCGACAGACGTTGCGCTCATGGGCTGCTGCTGTGGTGCCTGATGTTGTGCTGTGGCAGTGTCTGCGGTTGTCGGCATCGCCGAACGCAGTGGCGGCATCATGGGCCTGCGACGGCCAGCGTACCTGGATGGATGAGGCATTGTGGCTGATTCGGTGAGCGCCGCCTTGATAAACTGCGGGAGAGGAAGCAGCTCCACGAGCGGCGGCATGTGCGAAGGTGATGGCAGCCTGAGCTGCGCGGGCAGCATGTGTGAGAAGGGCGAGGCGTCGATCTTGGGCAGGACGCTGAGCAGATGCACAAGAGTACTGGCCATCTCGAGCATCACGAAGAGCGATGCGGGCAGCAGTCCGTCCGCACGGAAGCTGGGCTTGCGATCGACGGTGAGAGTGCGAAGAGGGGCAAATCCGAGCGCCTCTCGCCAGACGCGGCACCTTGCACCTATCGCCGCCATGGTCACGGGCAGACCGGCAAGCAGGGCCAGACACGAGAGCACGCCGAGGTAGAGCACGGGAAGGGTGACCGCGAAGAAGCGCGACTTTGCACCCAACAGCGAATTCTTGACCGCTCCGTCCTCCACGGCCATACCGGCCAGACGGATCGCCCAGAGGAGATGCAGGGTGACGAGCGCAGGCAGCACGTGCTCGTCTACGAGCAGACCCCAGCTCAGCTTGGGAAAGCGGAAGAGCGAGCCCGGCGGAGGCTGTCCCTGCTGCATAGACGGCGCTGCGCCATCTTGCTCCGTCGGAGATCGCGACGGGGCGGGAGAGGGATGCGATGCACCATTCGGAAGGGCCGACTCGCTGTGCGGGGCGGTCAGGGAGAGAGCCGAAAGCAGCTGGGATGCGGGTGGTGGCGCGGCTACGATTAGGCCATCGATAACACTGAGACCCCAGCTCGGCTGTGCTGGCTGTGCTGGCTGGCTGATGCTAGTGGCTGGAGCGGAGTGATCGAAAGAAGCGAGCTGGCTGGTGTTGTGAGGACTGAGGAGGACGAGCAGCAGGAGGAGACAGAGCCTGGGCCGGTAGACGTTCTTGCGGAACTGGTCCAAGCTGGACGAGCTAAGAGCCAGTGAAGGAAGCATGGCCGCTGGTTCTGATCCGCATCGCCAAAGTGCGATGATGATGGGATGATGGAGGTGAACGAAGCAAGGGTGCGGGTGTGACTGGTGGGAGGGTTGACGCTCGCCTCTCGGAAACGTCGAATGGCCGAGTGGAGGCGGCGGGTTGATTTGCTTTGCATATTTCACTGATTTCACGCCCTTTCAGCTGAGCCAGAGTCCCCGCAGCAGCAACGGGTCAAGCTTAAGCTCAACCTCGCCCGTATTCCGACTCGAGCCGCTCTCCACACCGCTCGAGAGTCGACTTTCTTCGCGCTCACCTGCATCGTCTGCCCATCACCACCTGCACACTTTCCTGGGCAGCATGACCGGGCGACCGCCACCACCGCCACCGCCGCCCGGTCCACCACCCGGTCCACCTCCAGGTCCACCGCCTGCCCCTCCGCGGTCTGTGCCCAAGCCTGATGCTGCGGACGTGAACGGAGTCCAAGGCAGCGCCCAGCCCAGCACGGTATCGGACACGCAAGTCAACGACAAAAGGGCATTTGCATTGGAGAGAACCTCCCTGCTGCAGCAGCTCGAGATCGACCGCATCCTAAGCGCATTCCGCTTGAATCCCTACGACGTGCTCGAGGTGCCAATCGAAGCGGACGACAAGGAGATCAACCGCATCTACCGCAGAAAGTCGCTCCTCATCCATCCAGACAAGGTCAAGCATGGTGAGCATCTCTGTCGGCTCATCACGCTTCCAGATATCGTTCACTGACTCTCAACTTGCACTCCCAATCCTGATTTATTGCGCCTCATATAGACAGGGCAGTCGAAGCGTTTGACCTACTCAAAAAGGCCTCCAGCCATCTTCTCGACGAGGACAAGCGCAAGCTGCTCGATGAGACGGTCATGGACGCACGTCTGATGGTGCTCAAGCAGCTCGACCTGCCCTTTGCTACCGCCTACGACGACCCACGCCTCGCCAACCTCAGCCCGAGCTGGGACGAACGAGTCCGCCAGGCCACCAAGGAACTCATGGTGGACGACGAGCTGCGCAGAAGAAAGGCGATCCGCATCCAGCATCAGGCCGAGGGCGAGGCGCAGCGCAAAAAGGAGCAGGCCGTTGCCGAGCGCAAGCGCAAGGCAGAGCACGACGCCGCCTGGGAATCGACACGCGACCATCGCGTCGCCGACTGGAGAGCCTTCCAAAAGAACAGCAAGAAGAAGAAGAAGGCCGACGCAAACGTCCTCGGCTGACTCTGTACCGTCCTATGCATCCATCTCTGTACACTATCAAGCATCGTTGTCGCTGTTAGCATCACCTGCCATCGAGCGCATCAACGTCGAGAGGGCCGCCAGAATGGTCTCGATTGAAAGGTGTTAGACTGGTGCATGGCGAGGAGGCCTGAGATATATCCGGAACCTCCACACGAATTCTACGGCTCACAGCCTCATTGTGCAGCTGGGCTCGCATCCTGCATGCCCAACCGAGCCAACTGGCGTCCCACACCCTGCGTCGTTGCCACCATCTCAACCATCCAGTCCATGCAGCCATGCCCAACGTGACGATCATCAACGACACGCAGGTGCCGCTCAACATCTGCCTCAAGCAGGTGTCGCCGCTGCACTATGCCAACTCGGTGCAGCCCAACGGTGGCCGTGCCACCATGCATACCGGTCGTGTCTGGTTCACCATCCAGGCGCGCATCGACCGTGGCGACAATGGCTACGACAAATTCCAGACCTATGCGCCCATCGCTGCTGTAACGATCGGTGCGCTCTCGCTCGGTGCGGGTGCGATCTACTTTGCAGGCGCCAGCGCGGCAGCAGGCGGCACGGCGGCAGCCATCTCGGCGGTGGCAGCGCGCGTCTCGGCGACCGTGGCAACGCACACACCCACGGTGAAGCGGCTGCTCAAGTACGCGTCCAAGGGACAGACGGTGGCAAAGGTCGGACAGATCGTGGGCATTGGAGGCGGTGCACTCGCAGGTGCCAAGGGCGCGAATGGAAAGACCAAGCCTGTCGAGCAGCAGCTCAAGGACAAGGCGGCAACGGCTTCCAAGTCGGCGCTGCAGAAGCTGCTGCAGGGCAGTGTGCTCAGCTCATCAGGATGGTACATCGACCGCGACCGCACCATCCGCATCACGGGCGGGCCCAAGGCCTCAATGGCAGACGGACTGCTCGTCATCGAAACCGACACCACCGTCCCCTTTGCCCTCGTCGACGAGACCGGCAAGACCATCGCCATAGGCAACCAGGACGGCGCAGACCCCGTTCCCGCCTCCAGCACCGCGGACGATGCACTCGACGACACCGAGGACGCAGCCAGGCTCAACCCTACCCCGGGAAACTCGGTCGCCATGGGCATCGGGTCTGCAACCGCAGCAGCCGCCGGGCCAGGAGGCGCACCGGTCCTGCAGGCCGAAGGCAGACAGCAGGAGAAGAAGAAAGATGGCTTCTGGATGCGCACACTCAAAGGCGACGATGGCTTCTGGTAGATGTGACTTTTCATTCGCACGAATCCTTTACATGATACCCCTAAACACAACGATCCCGACGCTGCCTAGAAGAGGTTGCGCAACTCGATCTCGGAGGTGGTGAAGCGTGCGAGGGCGTCGGCGAGCATGAAGCGGCACCTGTCGTCCTCGGTGAGCGCGGCATTGAGACGCGCGAGTGAGCGCGAGTCCGGGTGCAGCCAGCCACCGCATCCGAGCTGGCCCGCCTCTTGGGCGGCGAGCACCGCTCCGTACTGCTCGAGCTCGGCGTCGGGCGCAGCGACGAACATGCTGCGCGCCTGCTGCGTTGCAGCTGCGTATGCGGCAGTCACCTCGGTCTTGGCCAGGCCCTCGAGGATGCCGGCACCGAGCGTCATGTGGTCGAGCCCGCACAGCGCGACTGCCTCATCGATGCTGAGGAACGACGCGGCCATCACCTGAGTCTTGATGTCGGCATGGTCAGCTCGCAGCCGCAGCAGACATCGCTGGAGCGGAACGATGGTTTCGTCCACCGAACGGCTGCCCGTATCGATCGCCTCGGCACGCTTCTCTGCAGACGGATTCTCGGCGCCAAAGAAGTGTGCCGCCAGCGCGTTGATGTACGGCGCGGTGTACAGTGCTCCCGCCGCCTGGGCTGCCGCCAGACCCTGCTCCACAGCAAAGATCGTGGTGGCCAGCACCTGGATGCGTCCCTCCGGCAGCGGTCCGCCGACGCCAAACTCGTCCAGCTTGCCGCCCGAGGACAGGTAGCGCATGGCCTGCAGCCCCGGCACCGTGGTGGGGATCTTGATGCACACGCGTTCGCTGTCCACCTTGCCACCCGACATGAGCTCGTACAGCGCTACGAATCGTCGCGCATGTCGCACCGTAGCTTGCAGGTCGTACGCCTTGGACGTCATGGTCTGCGCATGCAGATTGCCCGTGGCCACCAAGTTTGGCAGCATGAGCAGGCCAAAGTGCACAGTGAGCACATCCGAAGCCAGTTGCTGCAGTCGCTCTTCTTCGCTCTCGGAGGCGGTCAAGCCACCAGCGCCGACCGAGAGACGGTCGAGCATGGCGCTGTCGAGCTGCTGACCATCGTACGTGCCCGCGATGATCTGCTTGGTGGTGGAAACGCACGTCTGCAGCAGCTTCTGAGCCTGACCGGGTTCGCTCGCGGCGAGCTCCTTGAATGTACCAGCGACGATGATCTGGTTCGACGTCATGTCGGTGAAGAGCGACTCGAGCTCGCTGAGCACCTGCTGCTGCGCCTCAACTCCCTGCTTGCCCTCCTCTTTTACGAGCTCGTGCATGCGACGGCGTGCAAGGTTGTGTTGCAGCCCCACCGAGGCTTGATTATTGTCGATGTCTACCGTCGAGTGCCTCCCGACCTCGGCGAGGAGCGACGAGGCAAGGTGCACAATCTCGGCGGGATGCTGGATCGTCATGTTGCGTGCGAAGTAGGAACGACGTGACGTGGCAGTGTAGAAGGCAGAGTGATGGTGACAGTACGTGATGGGGGAGAACAGTGTCCACGTACTTATATTATTTATAAGCTTGGGGAGGAGATGCCAAGGATGCGGAGAAGAAGCGCAGCCTTTGTTCTCCGACAAAGCAACAGTGTGGGGGACAAAGCGTTCATGCTTCAGGGTCCGAGAGGCACAAGGTTGCGCCAGTTCCGCTTCGGCCAAATCCCAACCCGAGCGCCGTGGGACGCAAAAAATCGATTTATGCTTGTTAGGCCTTGTCACTCTTAGTCGTTGTGTTAGATCGATTCGACATGGAATGGAAATCTGCGCCCGACGATTGGTCAGAGGCTTGTGACGCAGGCGCGGCAGACTGTGCATGACAGATGGATCAGCATGGCGAGGCGATGCTTGCTGCAAAGCCGGCACGTTGGCAGTGTGTGCATCGGAGCGAAGCAAAACGGCAGCTGCAGCACAGAGCTGCCATGTGGAGGAACGCAAGTCTTTCTGAATGCTCACAACAGCTGGAAACGGGTGTGATGGGGGGATGAGTGAGCCTGTCCGCTCGCACGGCCTGTGTAGAACGCGCGCCGCAGAAGGCTGCTCCAAACCTGTGTTCGAGGCGTGGTGAATCGAGCGCTCGAGAGCATAGTCGAGTCGGTGTCGATGCGAGGCTTGGTTGCTGGCGATCCCCACCGCAGCGCCGGATTACACGAGCAGCCCACGCAGGGTTCAGCAGCGGGTCAGCGTCTCCGGAGGGTTATGTATGTCTGCCTGCCCGCTCTGTCCGTGCCCTCCTTCATCTCCAACATATACACTCGACGATAACGCGCCATCGTCCCGACCTAGCTTCGCCTTTTGATGCTTCTGCTTCGCCAGCCTGCTCTGTTGGTATCCGCAGCTCGACCTTTGCTCTCCGCTCTTCCTCGCACGTTTACGCCCAAGGCTACCTTCACGTCATCCATCTTCAAAATGTCGGAGCAACGCGTCCGTGTCGGCAGCGCCAAGGAGGTGGCGCAGGGCAAGATGAAGGAGTTCACGTTTGCCGGTGAGGGCGACGACGCCGTCAAAGTGCTCGTGTCCAACGTCAAGGGCCAGCTGCACGCGACGTCGTCCAAGTGCACCCACTACGGTGCTCCGCTGGCCAACGGTGTGCTGACAGGCGACGGCCGCATCATCTGCCCCTGGCACGGCGCTTGCTTCCACGCCAAGAATGGCGAGATCGAGGACGCACCTGCGCTCGACAGCCTGCTCAGCCTCAAGCTCGAGGTCGAGGGCGACGATCTCTTTGTCACGGCCGACCCGGAGAAGCTCAAGGGCAAGCCCGGCGTAGCCCCCAGCTGCAAGGGTGGTGTGAAGAGCATCGCCAAGGGCAAGGGTGTCGTCGTGGTCGGTGGCGGTGCCGGAGCCATCAACTGCGTCGAGGAGCTGCGAAAGAGCGGCTTCCAAGGCGCCATCACCATTGTGTCGAACGAGCAGGCCATCATCGACCGTACCAAGCTTAGCAAGGCGCTCATTGCCGATGCCGACAAGGTGACTTGGCGCAGCAAGGCGCACCTCGACAACGTGCTCGGCGTCCAGCTCGAGAACGCCACCGTCACCGCCGTCGATGCCAAAGCCAAGTCGGTGACGCTCGACAACGGCCGCAAGCTCGAGTACGAGAAGCTGGTGCTGGCTACCGGTGGCACGCCCAAGCGCATTCCTATCCCTGGCGCTGACCTGCCCAACGTGCTGGTGCTCAGGCAGATCAGCGACACCAAGGCGATCAACGAGGCGGTTGGCAACGAGGACGGCGAGGCGTCCAACAAGAAGAACGTCGTCGTGATCGGATCGAGCTTCATCGGCATGGAGGCGGCGATCGCACTGACCAAGCGCGCCAACGTCTCGGTGGTCGGCATGGAAAAGGTGCCGTTCGAGCGAGTGCTTGGCGAGCAGGTGGGTGGCGGTCTCATGAAGGCTCAGATCAAGAACGGCCTCAAGTTCTACATGGAGGCTGGCGTCTCGCGCATCGACGGCGAGAGCGGCTCGGGCCCCAAGGCGGTGGTGATCAAGAACAGCGAGGGCAAGGAGGAGTCGCTGCCCGCCGACGTGGTCATTCTCGGCGTTGGTGTTGCGCCTGTCACCGACTTCCTCAAGGAGTCGGGCTTCCAGCTCGAGAAGGACGGCGGCATCGCAGTCGACTCGAAGCTGCGTGTTGAGGGTCACCGCGACATCTTTGCGATTGGCGATATCGCGGCAGCACCTACGCGCGCCTCGCCGCACAGCCGCATTGAGCACTGGAACGTCGCCTCCAACCAGGGCCGCGCAGTCGCGAAGACGCTCGCCGGCACTGAGACCGATTACGACAAGGTGGCCATCTTCTGGTCGGCGCTCGGCTCACAGCTGCGCTACTGCGGCAGTGGCGGTCCGCAATTCGACACGGTCCACGTCAACGGCAAGCCCGAGGAGCTCAAGTTTTCCGCTTACTACGCCAAGGGCGACGAGGTGGTGGCTGTGGCCACCATGGGCGTCGACCCGCTCATGGTGCAGTGCAGCGAGCTGCTGCGCATCGGCGCCATGCCTTCGCTCTCGGACATCAAGAACGGCAAGGACCCGCTCTCGCTTGACCTCTCGGCTAAGATGTAGACTCATCACACCGGCTAGTTGTTCATACTCCGCATTGGCTTAATTCAATGCAAGGCGATACACATGACCTCCACTGCCTCGTACTGATCTAGAAGTGCTGCGCATCTCAAGGTGTGCTGATGACAGCTGCGAAGCTGGACGGATCCCAGAGTCACGGCGAGGACACCGCCGCGGAGATGACAGTGAGAGTGTGGAGGTCGGTTCGGCGATATTTCTTTCAGCCCACGGACCGAGGTGACGATTGTGCCCGGCTCTAACACGTTTCGACTCGACCTCGGCCGTCGGGAATGTGACAGGCGGGAAGCAGGCGCGTGGGAAATGTCGTGATTCTTGGGGCGATGGTGTGGGTGTGGAGACGGCGGACCGAGCCGATGACCTTATCTTCGGGGCAGCCGTGAGCCAATCACAAAAAATAGCGCGCCTCGGCAGGGCGATGAGTAGCCGTGCCCCACAATGGTGGCAGCTGTGCGTCGACAGGCACGGCCCGAGCGCGTGTGTGGCGACCTGCAGCGGTGGAGCCGCATTGCAACCCCGCTCAGTCAGCTGGGTGCGCCAATCAGTAGCCATCTTTCCACTCGCCAACAGCTGCTCCGTGGCCAACTTTTTTTTTCTTTTCTCTCTCGACGTTGAGCCAATCTTCCGGGCCTCCGCACACTCGGATTTTGCCTCCATCGACGTGATCTCGTTAAGTGGTCGGCTTTCTTTTCACAGTTGGCCACGGCGCTGGTCGGAGCCTTGGACATTACCGCGCTTGGCGCTTGTGGCCACACGAGCTAGTGTATATATCCCGCATCGTTCTCATGCTCAAAAACGCCCCCAAAACTCTCCCACCTATCATCCGCACCATTGCCAAAAATGACGCTCGCAGTAGCCTCTTCCTCTGCATCCGCGGTGCTGCGACAGCGCGTCGCTGTTGCCGGTCGACGATTCTCCACAGCTCCTGTCGCGCGCCTTGCTGCGGCAGCCGGGCCATCCGAAGTCGCAGGTCCGTGGGCCGACCGCCTGACTGAGCCGCGCCTCAACCGGTACCTCGTCGTGGCCGAGGACCACGCCGATGCCGGTGCCAATGCTCGTCGATTCGAGGTCCGAGAGCGTCACCTCGAGCAGGCGCGCAACGGCAAGCGCGTCGGACGCATCGAGCTCGGCGGCGCCCTCCTCCGCAGGGACTTTAACCAGATCGACCAGGAGGTCGGGCCCGGTCCCCACATGGGCGGCAGCGTGCTCGTCGTGCTGGGCGAGAGCATCGAGGATGTCCGCGCCCGCGTCATGCAGGACGAGTATGTCCAGGGCAACGTCTGGAACGTCGACGCACTCAAGATCTACCCCTTCCTCCAGGCTCCCCTGGTCAACGCCAATGCAGCTGAGACCGGTGCGGACCAGACCGCAGACAACGAGGCGCGCGCAGGATCCGACAGGTCGAACGCAACGCTTGGCCAGCTTCGACAGGACGTTGCGGCGGGCAAGGGTCACAAGATGATCACGCTCGGTGCGCTGCGCAGGATGCACCAAAACAGCGCTCCCGTCACCAAGTGATTGCGATGCGATATCGACCTGACAACGTTTCGACTTTGCACGACCCTGCTCCATGCTGCCACGCACGTGTTGGCATCTTGAGCAGCAAGATACCCCACCCCCAAAAACAACCGCGAGCCCAGCTCTTGTGCGCGCTCCGGTTCCGACCTCAGCAGTCAATCGACCCGTCCCCAATCGACCAAATCGCTCGCCTGTCGCGACCTCGAGCGCGACCCTTTTCCAACCGCAGAGACCAGGCCATGACGCCGAGACTTTGTCCGAGCGCCAATGTCGAAAAACACATGCTCTTCTCGTCCACTGTCTGTTGCGCACTCGACCTTTGTCGGCTTTGAACGCTCTGTCTGTGACGTGATGAATTCCAATGCATTCGGCAGAAGAGGCGAGTGTATGTGTGACATGCTTAGAGTTCGGGCATCCAGCGTACGGCCTTTTCCTCGTTCTTTGTGTGTTGGATGAGTCGGTGGCCGAGCTTGCCCTCGGTGTGGAAGGAGTCGTGCCAGCGCTCGGGGATGGGCTTGCGCAGCGTGCACCAATAGAAGATGTCCCAGTCTGGCTCGTCGAGTAGCTGTGATGCGATGCAACCCCAGGCATGACGAATGTGGTCAGCACTCGGTCGGGCTCTAGTAGCGAAGCGGTATGGGGTGAAGTGGATTTGAATGCAACTTACGCGGTCGAATTCGTCGAGTTCCTCATTGGGCAAGTTCTTGAGCTCCTTCTTGGCAAACGTCGAAAGCAACAGATCGGTCTCGAGCGTACCACGTTTGCGACACTGGTACACAAGCCGAGCGATCTTTGTGGTCCTGTCCTCGGCCTCTCTACCGGGAACGCGCATGGGGGCATCGACATCGTCGAGAGTCTGACGGTCGGAAGCCAGGTTGACGCCCGCCCACTTGGACTGGGGTCCGGACTCGGGACCCGAATCGGCGTTGTTGAGGTCCACAATGTCCGGCGAAAACGGCAGCGGGTACGGATCGGAGAGTGTGCGGTCCGGAACCGTGCCCGAGGGTCCCGAAGCAGGCTGCGACTGTCCTGGGCCGGTACTGCCTTGATCCGTCTGCGAAGGGTTAGGCACATCAGGTCGCGATGACGACAGCAGCGGGTACGACGTCGACAGTGCTCGCACCGCGCCCACCCGCGGCATGCGAACGGGCTGCGCCAAGGGCGCGGCAACACTGCGTCGTAGAGCACCAGCAACGCTTCGAATCATCATCGTGTGAGCTTATGTCGAGAAAGCTAAGGTGTGGGTTTGGAAGGAGATATGCATGTCACCGAACCGTTCTCTAAATTTATGGCCTATCCGCTTTGGCCGGCTCTCGGAAGTCAGCTTCTCCACTTTTGCCTCCCGAACCGCCCCGCTGACCAAATCATTTAATCACCCCACCCACCGCTGCAAGTCACCTATCAAAAAGCTGAATTGCGCCGACTGCCGACCGCTGTCCAGTCACTGTCTGTGATGGCGTACAGCACCAGAAGCAGCTCCACTATGCGCTGCTTGAGACGGGGTGCGCGCTGCATTACGCCAAAGCCACCTCGATATCGATGCTGTGCCGTCACAGCAGACGTGGACTGCGTTGGACCCGACCTTACTCGCGGTTGCCGCTCGCCCCTCATTAGGCTATACTTCAGCCTGTGCAACACGCCGCCTTCGATTTTTGTTAGATGCGTGCAAAATTGATGGTACGATGCTTAGAGTACAGGTATGAGCTTCTACGTGCGTGAAATGGGCATGAGGGGATGCTGTGTTTTGTGGTGAATGCGTGATGGAGTGGCAGCTCAGCGCGTGCCGTGATGCGAACTTTCGGAGCCCGAGTGCGACTCGTTGTCCGGGGTATGCGCCTGGGTGCTGGGGTCCACCTCGAGGCTGGGGCGGGTGGTGGTGGCCGCCTTGGCGCTGTCCGAGTTGCTGTCGGTGCGCGCCGTCTTCTCGCCGCCCTCGAGGTCGACGTCGTCGTGCTTGACAGCCTGGGCGGGCTGCTTGGCCTTGGACGAAGACTGCATCTGCTCGAGCATCTGCTTGGCCTCCGAGGCGTACTTGCAGCGCTCGCGGATGTGCGCGCCGTACTTGTAGAAGATGAAGGGGAAGGGCAGGCAGATCAGCGCGAGCAGGCCCGCGATAGCCGGACCCCAGTGGATGCCGTTCTTTCCGCCGATCTGGTACATGTCCGAGGTGAAGAGCGGGAAGGCGAAGCCGAACAGCGAACGGATCACGCTGTTGGATGCGAGTACCGAGGCGGCGTAGATCAGATAGGCGTCGGTGAGATAGGACATGGTCGACAAGAAGATGAGAACCATGCCGAGACCGAACGGACCGCCGCCGATGATGGGCGCGATCCACGGGAGGTCTGGGCTGTCAGTGGCGGCAAAGATGGCGAGACCAATTACAATGGCCACGGCGCCAATCATGGCGGGGACGAGTCGGGTTTCGGGTGGGGCAATTCCACCGAATTTGTTCGCGATCCGGATGTACCTCGGGTTCTCGAAAAAGATGATATAGGCGAGCGCGATGAGCATACCGACCAAGACACCAAGGAAAGCGAGTCCGCCGATGCCTGGGCTCCATCCTCGGCCTTTTTGGAAGACAATGGGGAAAGCGGCGAAGAGTCCGTAGAGCACACCGTATATGACCGCAATGTACAAACTTAACAGGCTAACGATGGGCTCGTAGAAGAGCAAGAGCCAGGGACGGCTAAGGGCCACCTTGAACTGGGTCTTGAGGCGAAGGTCGCGACCCTTGTCGAGCTTGCAGATGTAGTGGCGACCGGTGACCTCGCTGAGCTTCCGGGCGCGCCATCGTAGGAGAACGGGAGCGTAGGTCTCGGGCATGGAGATGGCACCCAGGACGGTGATGATCGCAGCGAAGATGGCGAGGAAGCCGATGACCCACTTCCAGCCGGCCGACTCGCCGAGGAAGCCGCCGGTGATGGGGCCGAGCGCGGGGCCGAGGAAGGGCGCGCTGGCAAAGATGGCCATGGCGAGGCCACGCTGGTTCGCGTTGAACATGTCGGCGAGCGTACCGCCGGTGTTGACGAGCGGGCTAGAACCAAAGAAGCCCGAAAGGAAGCGGAAGACGATGAGCGATTCGATGTTGGGCGAGGCGATCGAGACGGCCTGCCACATGGTGAAGACGGCATAGGTGAAGATCAAGAGGTTTCGACGACCGACGACCTCGGAGAAGGGTGCCCAAAAGAGGGGGCCGAAGGCGAAGCCGAGCACAAAGAGCGAAACGCCGAGGGTGAGGATGATCTGTTTGGACGGATGGAACTGCGCCTGCAAGGATTCGACAGCCCCCGAGTAGGCACTCGAGGCTAACGCGACCGAGAGGGTGGCGATGGCGACCTGGATGGTGAGCAGCCATTTGTAGTAGGCGGGCCAGTTTTGCGGATTCTCGGCGTCGCTAGGCAGCCACTCTACCAGATAGGGGTCATCCTTGGTGCCGGCACCGTCGTACTTTTTGTTGAGGATCTCGCCGAACGGCGTAACGTGAAGTCGGAAGGGAGTCTTGCGGAGCGTGTACTGGTCCGGGTCCGCCACGGAGTCTACGGGAGAGGACATTGTCTGTTGCTTTATGCTGGTCGACCTGATGTCGATCTTCGAATGAAGGACGGTCACAGAGAAGCTTGGGACAGACGTCGAATGGATGGAGAGGGGACGATAGAAAGGCCGGGACGGAGGGCGTGGGACTTTTATTGCGATCGTCGAGCTGGCGCAGTGCGGCAACGTGTGATGGCGCAAGGAGGCCTGTGACTGCTGGCCACAGGTATACGGAGCAGAGATTGGTTCGCGAGGCTACAAGAGCCCACTCGAAAGGTCATGGGCAATGACAAGGGAGGCAGTCGGCACGTCCGCGGACATGAGCGAAGGGGCCTTGCGCGATGAGCAGAAGCTGGCCAGGAGGCTGAGGGGAAGGGCCTTGCGCAAACGTCAGGAAAAGCGGCGACGAGAACAGTGCGAAGCAGACCAAAGCCGGCATGCGTCGGTTAAGTTAGCTTTGCTTGCCGACAGCTCGGTGACGCGCTAAAGGGCTCGACATGAAATTTCACAGCCCACCTGCACTCCGGAAATTGCAAAGCCGCGCCGGCGCGCATCAAAAGCCAATCCGTCTTGGTCATGAGTTCTGACTTGCCAGGTTGGGCGACAGGGCGACAGGGCGTCAGGGCGGCAGATCTGGCCGGCTGCTGCCTTCCCTGCATCTCTCCCGCCCTGGCAATGCAGATCCCTCCGGCGGTGCTTCCCGCCCTGGGTTTCGCCGTCGTTCGGTTTGCGTTCTGCTCGCAAGACTCTCCCATTGGCCGACCACCGCCACGCGCCAAAGTCGATGCGTCATTCGTCATCTACGCTCAGCCACGAGCCAGCTAGCATGTTCTGTTCTGTTCCTGCGTGGATGAGATGATCGGCGCAGAGCATTGCCAAGGCCAAGGTGCGCCGGCGCAAAAAAGTGTCGTCCCGTCGGAGCTCGAACCTGCGCGACGCTTTTTCGCTTTGGACGCCGCACCAGTCCACGCGAGATGGTCATGTCAGGATTGCTGACAGTCAACCATCCTCACGCGTTGCGCGAACCTAACTTACCTGCCAATTTCCCATTCACCGCGTTGGTGCAGACGCAGCTCACGCTGGCCGCTACCATCGTCTCCGCGGAATGCCCATTAGCAAGCCCCTCCCTTCACCTTTGTCTCTGGTCGACTCGGCGATAACGTACTTGCTGCCGTTTTGCCGAGCTCGCATCTTCCGAACCCCTCACGCATAGATTGTTGCCACGTCGCCATCGCGAGCGTCTCCAATCCCACTTTGCAAGCCCGGCTGATCCAAACACGGAAGGAGTTCGCGTCCGCCGCTCCGCCGACGGTTCAGGCGTGCCTGCAATGTACCAGACCCTGGCTCGTCACACGTGCCTATCACCCGCCGTCTTTCTACACTCACATGCAGTCGATTAGTCTCCGAGTGAGACTGATTCTTCCTAATAATGTCACAATTTGCATTCCTGACTTTCCGAAAGTTGCATCTACAGGAAGGGCATGTCGAGCCCCGCTGCCGCCAAGTCCGTCAGTGCGTCGTCGAGCCACATTTTCGTCAAGAGATCCTCGGTGTCGCCCTTGGCAGGGCTGGTGGGCGCTCGCATGACTCCCATGGGTCGTGCCATCAGGCCTGCACCGGCGGCGTGCGAAGATCCCATCGGCATGCCTGCCGGACTTGCCACCGACGAGGGCGACGGGTTCATGGTGCGTGCAGCCGCGTCCACTGCCGACGCTCCGCTGATCGAGCCCGCATATCCGCGCTGGGCGCCATGCGCCCCCGACGGCGATGGCTGCGTCTGGTTCTGCTCGCCCTCACTCGCCCATGACGACAGCGGGTAGTGCGACGTGGGCGGCGCCAGCGTCGACGTCTGGTCGTCGAGCCACTTGAGGAACAGCTGCGGATCCACCTCGCCCGCCAGAATGTCGGCCGTGCTCCACCAGCCCGATCCACTTCCCCCCGTCGTCGCCTGGGTAGACGGTTGCAGCGCAACACCCCATCCAGTCTCGGCCGTACTGCCCCACGAACCAGTGTGGCTCGCCTGCGCTTGAGCGTGCTGGGCCCCCGACGGGCGCGCAAATGGATACGCGTCCGCAGCAGCAGCCGGCGCTGCGGCTCCGCTATTAGTAGCCACCGCAGCGCTCGATTCGGCCCCGACTCCATGCGAACGCATGCTGTGCTCCGGCACGCGCGTCCCAGCCGAGCCCATCTGAGATGCAGCGCCGCCATGATCGGAATACAAGCTCGCTGCACTTGGACGCGTCTGCATAGTCGCATCGCTGCCCGAGGCCGGACTTGCAGCATTGCCCGTCTGAACGTACTGCGACGTGCTCCTGGTGCGCGACTTGTTGCGCGCCTGGCTCGACGAGTGCGACCGCGTCTTGGCATCCGTCAGCACGAGCTGCTTGGCCAATTGGCGCAGGTACATCGAGTAGCGGTTCGCCAGATGCACTCCGTCCGGTGCAGCGCGCTCGAGCGCCGTGATGACCTGTTGCAGCGACTGCGCGCATCGCTTGAGCGGCAGGATCACGTCCGAAACCGCCGTCGCCTTGACACAAAACACTGCCGCCATCACCAGCAGCAGGAACCATCGCGCCGGTGCGCACATCATCGTCTCGAGCTCCACCGTGAGGATACGGATGAGACTCTGCGCTGCGGCCAGCGCTTCTCGCACAAAAGGATAGGCGGGATGCGTCGAGAAGCTCACCGTGTACGACGCTGCCGCCGACGCCGAAGCAGCTGCACTGGCTCCCGCTTTGCCCAGACGGCCCTTGGAGCCAATCTCGGCAGCCTCCGAGGCTCGATATTGTCGATGCTTGGCGAGCGTGCGCAGGCTGCGCTTGACCGAGTCGAGCGCGATGCCGTTGGCGTACAGCCGCGCATAGTGGTACTCGACCCGGATGCGCAGCGAAGTCATGTCGCGCGTCGGCTCGATGCGCGGCTGCGTCCAGTTGGCCCAGTTGTCCAGATCGTCGCGGATCGACTTGAGCGCAGGAACAAAGTCTTCGTCCTCCAGCAGCCGCTCCGTCACTGCCTTCGAGCGATACAGATTCTCGCACGTGCGGAAGACGATCTGCAGCAGCTCGGCGTGCGCCCGGAACGCGATCCACGCGCGATTCGAGCCAGACGGGAAGCCCACCTCGCCGCTGTTGCTGATGTCGGCATTGAGCAGGAAGGGATGCGTGCGGTCGCGCACCAGATTCATGAATGGCGCTGCGAGTCCCGGGCTCGATATCCTCCGCCCCAGTCGCACCGACAGGTGGCAGTCGGCATGAACACTCGACATCCATACGCGCATGCGCCGCTCAGCGTTCCTGCGCGAGGCGCCGTTGCGACTCGATACACCGCTGTACGTCGTGTCATTGTGCAGATCCAGGCGCTCGGCCAGTCGCAGCGCCGTGCCCGTGAGCATCCACGCGGTATCGTCAAACTTTTCCGACTCGCGCATGTCGGCCTGCCGCGGCTTGTGGGCTCCCCTTGCTTTGGCGCGTTTGCGTCGACCGGGCCGGGGGATCTGTCCCTCGTGCTCGGATCGAAGATCATCGCCCGTCGCCGCGATCGTCGCCGGGCTGGCAGCCGACGCGTCGTCAGCCGCCGTAGCCGCACCGTCCACGTCCGAGTCGGACTGGCTCTCGTTCGCGCCATCGCTGTCGGACGTGTCGGAGTCGGAGCTGGCTTCGGGTGACGTGCGTCGGTCGTGCAGGTCGAGCGTGGCCCACTCGCTCAGGATGAGAAGCGCCTCGATGGTGCCGATGGTGTGCGAGGCGGGCAGGAAGAAGGAGCGGCTGATCTTCTCCTGCGTCCACTTGGAGATCTTGCGGTGGAACGTGTCGACGGCGGTGACGTGCGCGTTGTGGTTGGCCACATCGTACCGCGAAGCCACCGAGAGCATGGCGCCCAGCAGAATGGGCTCGCGGTAGACAAGCTCTGACAGCGCTTCGGGCGACTTGTCGAGCAGGTGCGGAGCGCAGTGCGGAGCAAACGAATGCATCTGGCGGATGAAAAAGTTGAGGAAGTACTTGGCTTCGCTCCGCTTGATGAGTTTGAGCCGCACCGGCTCGAACTTGCTCCATCCATACGTATGCTTGAGTGGCGGCGGCGTCACCGGGCGAGACTGGAGAGCTGCGGCCGACTTTTGTGCCGAGCTCAACTGCGCGCGGTGACCAGATGGCGGATGCGTCGAGTTGCCGTCCATATGCGAGGACGCGGGGCGGTCGGACGATTGCCGGTTGGCGCTGTCTTCTGCGGTAGCAGCGTCGACGGCTTCGGCCTGCACTTGGCCGTCTCTATCATCTCTGCGTGCGTCGGGATCGTCGTTGGCTTCCCTCGAATCGACGGCCACACCAGCGAGCACCCTGAGCGCGTCCTTGCTGTGTTGCAGACCCACTTCGGCGTACTGCTGCAGCGAGTCGAGCCTGGAGATGAGGCCGGTCGACTCTGCGTCGGATCCGCCTGCTGGCGTTGGGCTCGCTAGCCGGCTTGATGGGTCGGGCTGCTCATCCGAGCCGGCATCGTCACCGCTGGGCGCAGTTGCGGCATCGCCCTCGCCGGGCGTGAGATTGCTGGACATCTTGCGGCGTTTGGCGCCGACGCGCGCATCGTCGTGGCGGTTGAGTCCGTAGATCATGCCGATGCTTGGCGCGTCCAGAGGATCGAGCGCCGAGACGGGCACGTCGTGACGGGCCGAATGGATGCGCGGATTCGTGGCGGGCAGGGCAGCGAGAGCGGCGCCCGCAAGTGCGTCGATCGCGGAGGCTGCCGATTCGTGCTCGTCGTCGTCGTCCATCATGCTTGCCGACGACGTGCGCGGGTTCTTGGCCAGGTGATGGGCGCCAAAGGCGTGGGAGCGCGAAGAGCGAGCCTTGGGACCGCGGCCGCGCGTCGACATGGTGAAGACACACGGGCGCATCTCGCGCTTGCATCGCGCACATGGCGGCTCGGACGGCGCCGCAAGGTCGCCGAGCTCGCACTTGACCTTCTTGGTGCGACATCCATCGCACGCCTTGAACGAGCGCTGGAAGTCCTTTTTGGCAGCGGCAGCAGCAGCCTCGGCGTCCTGTGCGGATTTGGACGCTGGCGAGTCGGCGCCAGACGGCAGGGGCGCAGCAGGATAGGCGTCGCTCATGGTTGGGCTAGTTCGCAGCGGCGCAACGGCGCCATCGCTCCGCGGTCGTGTGGCTAGCTCGCGATGCGGGGATGTTGTTGGTGAGGATGGATCGAGACGATGGGACGTCTACAAATCGGCTGCTATCCGGGGAAACGATTCCGATCAGCCAGATGTGGGTTGCGTCGGGACCGATCGGCGCAAGATCGGCGCTGGCCGGTAGGCGGATGCTCTGGCGATGGAAGTCGGCAAGGGCAAGTCTTGCTCGCGGGAAAGGGTTGATCCAGCGGCGAGTGGAGTGGGAAGCCCGAGGATGAAGTCGGGAGGGACGTTCGATGCGGATGGGCTCTGACGTGAAGTTGCTGACTTTGTGCGGAGATGCGGAGATAGTGGAATCATGCTCGGCGCCATGGCCCTCTTGTCTCGTCTCTCTGTCAAAAGAAGGGGTCCAACTTTTACCCGCGACGGCTCCCTCAACATCCCGGCTTTTGACGGCTATTTACCAGCGACAGCAAGCATCGAGGGTCTGGACCGCTACATGGCCGCCGTCATTCCTCTCGCAACTTGCTTCACATATGCATTCGATTCGCTCTGGACACAAGAAAAAGAGTGTGCGATTGTCTTGCATGCGATGCGGCTAGAACTAAGTTATGGACCCAGCGGCGACCTGCGCCAGAATGCTCGCTCACTACGGCGTGTGCATGTGGTTCAGTAATCATTCGCCGGATGAGTATAGGCTGCTGGGATGCCGAGTGGTTTGACCGACTTTGAGCTGCAGTCGAAGCTGACGGGACGCATTTGATCGCCCTTGGGGATGAAGTTGTCGGGGTGAAGCTCGTCCCAGGTTGCCTGCATCGTGGCCTCCTGTCGAGCTACGGCCTTGCACGCCGCGTGCTCGGTCAGATGCAGACCGAGCAGACCAAGACCGACGACGCCGACAATGGAGCCCAGCACCACACGCGCGATGTTGTTCCGGTTCTCGAACGGCGTCACTGCCTGATAAGCCCCGCGTCGAGTGAGGGATGCATCTGTTTGGAGAGATCAAGCGCGGGTCAGTCAATGCACATGGACGGAGTCTCATGCTGGATACTCACGCTCTTCGTTGGGCTTGGCGTGATCATGTGTGACGGGGTATGCTTCGACCATGTGGCAGGAAACAAGAGCTGCACAGAGCCAGGTGACCAAACACCTTGTCGCCGTCACTTTGACCATTTTGGCGGCTGACGAGACGAAAAGGACGTCGGAAGTGACAAGCGGGAGTGTCGAGCAGAGCTTGTGATGGAGGGCGTAAAGAACTCCGTGATCGTCAGCTCTTTCCATGCCGTGGTTCGGCGTCGGCGCCCTGCTCCTACTTCGAGTCTGAGCCCACGGCACGGACGAAATGAAGTCGGACCGACAATGGGCTTCATCAAGCGCAGCCATGGCGGGGTGCTGAATGAAGGCGCACGCCAGGTCACGGGACGGATGCCGATTCGAACCCACTCTTTGCAAATGCGCAAACGCTTCAGTCGGTGCAGTAATGTACAAACAGTCCTTTGCCCTCCCTGTGGATGCGTGCGCCACGGCCTCAGAGCGAGACGGGGGCGAGGGGCCGACCGTAGTCGTCGATGCCCGCGCGTCGTTGGCGGAAGCGCCATGCGATGCAGAGCACGAGCAGTACGAGCTGCAGCACGCCCGTGAGCACGTAGGCAGCGAGAGACGACCAGTCGGTGCCGGGCTGGAGCGCGAGCGAGTAGACAAAGATGGCACTGCCAGGCACCTGGAGGCACATCATTGGGATGCTCAGGCTGCCCACCAGCTTGGACCGCGCCGTGTGCATGATCTGGGGCACGTACTGACCCGCGGCCAAGAGCGTGGCCGAGCCGCCGAGGAAGGCGGCCCAGCGCGAGACGAGCAGGCGCGAAGATGGCCGGCTAAGCGCGGTGGTGGCGAGACCAGTGACGGCGGTGCTCCAGCTTCCGAGCACGGACGATTCCTCGGGAGGCGGGAACGACTTTGCCGGGAGCGAGCTGACGAGGAGCAGGGTGATGGCACTGATGAAGATAAAGTGGAGCAGCACCACCCAGGCGAGTGCGAGCGCGAGGCTCCATTCTTCGGTGCGTCGCTTGCGCGTGCGAAGCTTTCGCTGGCCGACTTTGGCTCGCCTCTCGCGCGCGATCCTCTGCATGTCGCGGGGAAGGTTGGAGGCGCGGGTGCCGGACTGGGACGAGCGCGTCGATGGTCGAGCGGCGTCGTTGGTGCTGCTGCTGCCGTTGGGTGCCTTCCACATGGGCCAGAACGTAGGTACAAGACGCGAAAAGGCGCTGCTGCTCACGTCTCGATGGTGCGCATCGGCGTCGTGGTCGGGAAGCAGCAGCTGCGACTCTGTGTCCAGGTCTTCATCGTCCTGAGCTTCGTCGGAGGAGGTGTCGTCGGGGTTGACCTGGGCGGAAGTTGCGCCGTAGTTCTGGGCGATGTGACTGTCGACCGAGTCGAGATCCGAGTTGCCCGAGCCGACGGACGAGGTGTCGTCGGTAGAAGCGCCCACGAGGGAGCGCGACGACTTTGCGGGAGCTGCCAACAGACGCGTGCTATCGGTGGCACGGGCTTGGCTGCCACGGCCGTTGGCGGCAGTGCGGGCAGCTTTGCGGGCGCGGGCACGTACGCGGTGGTCGTTCTGGTCGCGCTGGGGCAGTGCGATGGCACGCTCGTAGCGCTGGTCGGCAGGGTAGTAGATGAGGAAGAGGACGAAGACGGTGGCGAACATGAGCCACTGGAGACCGACCTGGAAGATGCCGAGGAGCGACTCGGTGCACTCGAGACCGGGCACGGACGGGCAGCAACGGATGATGCCCCACTGGAGCGCGACGACGTTGAGGAAGCTGGATGCGCTGGAAGTTGCGCCGAGGAGGAGGAACCATGGCGAGAAACCTTGTGAGGACTTGTTGAGGACGATGCGAAGGATCTGTGGCAGGTACGACACGATGAGGCCCACACAGAGGAAAGTGGAGAGGTAGACGGCGACTGGATCGTGCTGTACGTGGCAGCTGGGATCGTCGTGGAGGTGGCCCTCGACAGCGGCGCCTGTCCAGAGGGACGACAGCGTGGTCAGCATGCTGTGCAATGTGGCAGCTGACCAAGACGACGCGGTCGTCGTAGAAGGATGGATGTGATTAGGAGGCGGTCCAATGGATGCGTGATTGTGGTCGTGAAGGTGGAGATGTCCGGGGCGGTCGTCAAGGCATGTACATTGACTTGTCTGGGGCGATGGCGAGGTTCTAGTGGCTCTCCAACCAGAGCGGAGAGGGTGAGGAGGAGGAGGGGGGAAGGAGGCATGCACGACGCCCTTTTTCGGGGGCTGCTTTGGTCGCGATTGTCAGAGGCGAGGCGAGGCGAGGCGAGCGTGACAGGGGGGCGTAGCGCTGCGCTCGCAGGGCGGAGCTCCGGGTTGGAAAAGTGCAATTCGGCGCTGCGCAGTCGCCTTTTTGACTCGGACCCTAATTTTGAACGCGCAGCGGCCACGCCTTTCTTTGCAGTTCGCGCTCCAGAGGCCGAGGCTTTGCGAGTGTGTCGAATGTCCCTCTAGGCTACATCCGTGAGTAGCTGTCAGCCGGCTCAACTTGTCGGTAGATTTCTTATGTCGGGGTGGTGCATCAGCAGCCGATGCAGACACAGTTGGGGGACAGGCATACATTAGCTTTGACCTCCTATTGGGCTGGCAAAACTATCGCTAGCGACGCGGCTAACGGCACGTGCCACAACACTTTGCAGGTACCACAGCTCAGGCTAAACCCCATATGATGACAGTTCTTTTTCACTTCTCCATCGGGGGTTTAGCTCAGTTGGTAGAGCGTTCGCTTAGCATCGTCTAAATTGCGAAAGGTCGCGTGTTCGACTCATGCAGTCTCCAGACTTCTCATTTTTTTTCGCTGCTGCTTCTGTTTCCTGCCACGGCTCAACTTCGGCGCGATCTCGGGAAGCGCGAGAAAAACCCTATCGGAAGAGCCAAACGACTCGTGACCCCACTTCATTGTTCGCAAGGAAATGATGAGAAAGCACAGCAGCAGATGGCCGAGTCAGTCAATCACAGAAGCGCTCCTCGCCGATAAGCAACGGGCAGCTCTTTGTCCGTCCGTCTCGAACGATACGCTCACGCTCCCACCTCGCTGCATCGTCGACGGCCAGCTTGTGTTGACTCCATCATCACCATCACCCCTTCTCTCCTGCTTCGTTCCCTCGCTTCCGTCCCGGCTTCTCTTTCTATTCTCGTCGTGTGTTCATCAAAGCTTGCCAAGATCCATCACGAGGGATGGCACATCTGCATCGCCTCGCGTCTCTGGCTCGATCTCCGCTACCATGGCGCTCAACCCCAATCTTCGCAAGCACCTCGACTAGGCTGGCTGCTCCGGCTCGCTCGAGCGCGGGCGCCTTCACGAACAGGCGATGCATCTCTCAAGCCACAAGATCGGCTCGCTCCGACTCCGCACATAGCCAGTCCGGTCGTCGCGTCTTGCGCCTGGTCCTGGCGGGCACGGTCGTAGCCGTCGCTACCGTGTCGTTCTCCGAGCCTCTCCGACTCGACGCTCAAACTCCGGCCGCTGTCAGATCCATTGCCGATGCGCACCGCGAGGATGTCCAGCGCGAGGACGAATCCTATCGCCCGCACCGCCCGCTCCGCTTCCAACCGGTCTCGATGCTCCTCACCAATTACGCCGTCTTCACCCTCTGCTCCTTCTCCTCTCTCGCCAAGGTCGGCCCGAGCCTCATCGAGTGGAGCTCAAACACCAGCCTCCCCTTCGTCTGGACCGCAACAGAGTACATCATCCGTCGCACCTTCTTCCGCCAGTTCATCAGCGACGACACCGCCGAAGGTTCACTGCCTTTGCTGTCGTCCCTCTCGCGCAACAACCTCGGAGCCATGCTCAACTTCTCCGTCGAGGTCACCCACAACGGCAAACCGGCATCCTCCTCGTCCGACACTGACGCCAAAGCCACCGCCAAGCCCGCCGTACACCGTCCCTTTGTCGACGAACTCCTGCACAGCATCGACGTCTCCGCTCGCCTTGCCACGCTTCCCGCCGACCATGGAGCTGCCGACACGGCCGAACTCGCCGAGCTCGCCTCGCGTCCCGATCGCTCCGGCAGCACCTTTGTCGCCATCAAGCTCTCCGGCCTTCTCTACGACTCTTCCGTGCTCGAACGCGCATCGGCTGCCATCGTGCCCCGCGAATGGTTCAGCGCGCCTCCCGAGCCCCTCCCGCCGCTCTCCATCAACGGCATGGGCCCTTGTGGTGGCCTCGCCATCCCCGTCGCCGCGCTCCCGCCCAAGGACGTCGAGGCGCTTCGCGAACTCTGGCAGGCGCTCCGCGAGATCACCGAGCGCGCCAAGCAGCACGGCAACGTCCGCCTCGCCATCGACGCCGAATACAGCTGGTACCAGCCCGCCATCGACGCCATGTACGAGGCCATCGCTGCCGAGTACAACCGTCCCGGACCGGCTGCCTCCACCAACGCCAAGCGTGGCGAAGCAGAGCCCCAGGGCAGCGTCTCCGGCCCGCTCGTCTACAACACCTTCCAGGCCTATCTCCGCCGAACACCCTCTCATCTTGCCGCCTCGTTTGAGCGTGCCAAACTTAACGGATACACGCTCGGCGTCAAGCTCGTGCGCGGCGCCTACGTCGACATCGAGAATCGCATCTGGTCCGACAAGATCGTCGACGCGCCTCCCGTCCCCGGCAAGGGCGCCGACGCTCCTGCCTACGAGGGCTGGGGTAGCCCCGTGTGGCCCAACAAGGACCTCACTGATCGTTGCTACGATGGTTGTGCCATCCGTCTTGTGCAGGAGATCCATGACGACCTCGTACGCAGCGCAAAGAAGGGCACCCAGCCTAGCCTCGCAGTCGTCTTTGCCAGTCACAACACCCAGTCGTCGCTCAAGGTGATTCGTGAGATGGTTCGCCTCGGCATGGCCAAGCCCGCCCCTGCGCTCTGGAAGGCCACAAGCGATGCCTCCCCGATTGCAGACGAGGCGCAGCTGTTGCGCCAGGTTCCGCTCGTGGACCTCCAGCTGCAAGAGTCGATTCGCGGGCGCATCTTCTTTGCCCAGCTGTACGGCATGGCCTCGGTGCTCACCGCACGCATCCAGGCCGCCTTCGACCCTGCCTCTGGCGGCGTCGGCCCACACATGGTGCTCAAGTACATCCCATACGGCCCGCTCGAGCTCACCCTCCCGTACCTCATCCGCCGTGCTCTCGAAAACGGTGATATCATGACCGGCGGCGCGGCGGCCGAGAAGGCGCTCGTGTGGGATGAGCTCATGCACCGTCTCGGCCTCCGTCGATCGTAGAGGCCCATCCTCACTCGTTTCTTTTCCCCGAAGCAGACGCCCAAGGCATGGTGCCTTGCCCTTAACACCAGGCACACCTCTCGCATCCGTCCGTCTCCCCTTCTCTTCCGTTCCGTTTTCAGTTTTGCTCATACCCCGGCACGGTGCCTTGCCCTTAACACCAGGCACATTGATCCATCACATACCCACTCGGCACGGTGCCTTGCTCTTAACACCAGGCACGACTCTTTCAAGTCTACCGCACTTGCATACCCAGGCACGACGCCTTGCCCTTAACACCAGGCGTACCTCATTCTCTCTCATAGACTCTGTCTTTCTGCATGCATTCCTCTTTCTTTTACGGGCAGTCTCTCGCATACGTCGCATCTCTTGTACAATTAGGTCGGTCGAGCCACTTAACACATCGACATCCTCATCGTCATCGTCATGGTACTGTAAATTTACATCTCACCTTTGCTGTTGGAAAGCGAGCATCTTCCACTGCAGTGATTTTGCGCGTGATTCGAGTACAGCAGATTTGAGCTGGTGGGATTTTAGCGGGTCTTGGCCACAAAGGCGGCGGAGAAGCCGAGTCAAAGTGGAGGAGCTGCACGTGCGGCTGCATTGCGACATTCTGCAGAGCCGCTTGCAGCTGTCACTTTGCTTTCGCACTTCTCACCACCATCGCAATTTGCCGACATTCCTTGCTGTTGGCTTCGACCCCACTACCTACAAAAACTACCTCGAAACTTTCAGCTTAATCGATATCTTCAAGATGGAGGATCCGGTCCAAGAGATTCGCGGCGTGGTCAAGGGTCTCGTCGCCGCGAGGAACGCCTCGGAGCAAAAGTACTGCATGCAAAAGTACTTTGCGCCCGATGCGTCCTTTGATCACGTCCTCTGCACCGTCGCTTCGGGTCCCAACTCGAGGGACAACGGCGTGCTGCCCATCTACCAGTGGCTCCGCGTCATTTCGCGCTCCGACATTGAGGTCTTTCACGTCGGTGAGTGTGGCTCCGCCAAGCCGTATGACAGCTACGAAACGGCGCAATAAGCTGGTGAGGAGATTGCAATCAGTAACGATACTGAACATGCTCATATTTGCTCCCGCTGTCGTACAGGATTCGACCAGCATGCCAACAAGCTGTAGGTAGTTCGACAGCGGAGCATGGCAGCCGCGTTAGCAGCCTTGGGTGCGCAGATACTGACGACTTGATCCCAATCGCAGCTTCCTAGAGGCAGTGCAGACGCTGCGTCCCAACTTCCCCGTCGTGCGCGACGTCGTTGCCAAGGACGCACGTATCGTGGTGGCGCTCCAGCTGCAGCGTGGTGCCGACGGCAAGTTCTACATCAAGAGCCAACAGGACCTGTATGCGCCGCAGGTGTAAGTGGCGCTTCTCCATACTCTCTTCACTCTTGACACGTTCGATGCTGACCTTCCTCTCTCTTGCTTTTGCACCGACAGCCTGCCGTTTGGCATCGTGCCAGGCGGCGAGACTGTGACGATGCTGATCAAGAAGATCGCTGCGCTCAACTGCGTCGTGTTTGTCGCGATTGCGCAGATCCTGTTTGGCCTGTGGAAGCCGGGCAAGGACCCGCTGGGCTCGCACCTCAAGAGCAAGTAGTTGACACGCCATCGGACGACGCAACTGGGACATGCGACTTGGTCGATTGGGGCAGACAGAAAAGCAATCCTACGGTGCGGGTGCGAGTTCAAGGTATATTACAACACTCGTGGGGAGTGTGCGACTGTGCGACTGTGCGAGGTCTATGCAAAGCGATGATTGGAAGAAGATTATGCAAAAGGGAGAGAGACTACCACTGGATCTTGCGGTCCTTGCCGCCGAAGTACTTTTCGATGAGGCTCTCGTAGTACGGGCGCAGGGCGACGGCGTCGGGTGGCGAGTCGGACTTGGAGTAGAGGTCGTACGGGTTGAAGGCGAGGACGTTGGAAAGCGCCTCCTCGTCCTCGGGTGTGCAGAGGTGGCGGTAGGCGCCCTCGCGGTGCCATGGATAGAAGCTGTGGTATCGGATCATGTCGAGTGCCGCCTGTGGGAGCGTAGACTCGCGCTTGGCGATCTCGTAGAGGTACTCGTCGTGGCCAAAGCTGAGCATGACGTTTTGCAGGCCGCAGTTGGGCTCGTACATGCCGTACTTTGTGTTGTAGCGCTCGTCGTGGAAGTCGGGGTTGTTCTCGAACGTGTGCGGGTACACGGTGCCCTCGGGTGCGCAACCGACGACGAAGGTGTCGCCGACAACGTCCCACTGACCATCGGCGCCAAAGAAGCAGAGCAGCTTGCCGAGGTCGTGGATGAGACCCGTGAGCTGCATCCAGTCGGGCTTGCCATCGCGACGCATCGCCTCGGCGGTCTGCAGCAGGTGCTGGATCTGCGAGAGCGACGTGTCGGGGTCCGACTCGTCAACGAGCGTGTCGAGCTTCTCGATGGCCTCCCAGACGGTCATGCTGGCGTGGTGGTTCTTGAGGAAGCGTTCGCGCGCAGCAATGTTGAACGCCACCGTCTGCTTCTCGTGCTGCGTCTTGTAGAAGGCCTTGACGTGGTCAAGCGCGTCTTCGTATCGGCGGAAGTCGGCCTTGTCCTTGTCCGAGTCGAACTGGGAGCCTTCGGTGCGCCATGCCTCGTCCTCGGACGACTGCGGCTGCGGTGCCTCGGGATGCTGGCCGCGGTAGACGTTGACCTCGTCGACCATGTCCGAGATGGCATCCATGGCGGTGCCCTTGGCGACGATGGTGCTGGCGGTCTTGACCGGTGCCGCAACGGGCAGGACGGGCTCAACTGCGATGGGAGCCATGGTGATCAAGTTGACTTGTGCTGTGAGGGTATGCAGGTGATGTCGAAAGCTAGTCGAGATGGAATGTGGGGAATCTGGTGAGCATGTCTGGCCGTCATATATGTTTCCACACCGCAAGCCTTGGCCCCACGGGGAGGCCGAGCCTTGGCCGCTGTACGCGACGGCACAGACGGGACGGTGACAACATGGCGGGTGTCGGCACCCTTTCGGTGCTTAGACGGAGACCAACAAAGTTTTGCGGAGTGGGCCCAAGGATACGGTTGGCCGGTCAATTTGGTTGTGCGTGGTCGTGTGGTGCGTTGGGTCGCCCCGCAGCCCCTGTCAAGACCATGCTGAAGGCCGTGCAAGGACCGACGCGGCCGAGGCGTCCAAGGCGCATCACCAGGCGTCGGTCCGACCTCGTGCCAATTCACCGACGTCCAGAACGCCGCGTCGAGACCGAGCCGGGTTCGGAGCGGTCTCCCAGGTAGCGGTGCCGAAAATCACAGAATCCGAAGAATCGTACGTTAGTTCGCGAAGGTCGAACATCTAAAATTTGGAAAATTGCCCAGCTGAGCCATCTCCGTGTTCCGTTCCTGCAGCCGAAAAATCCAAGGCCTTCTCCTCCACTTTCCAAAAGTTTGGAGAGACGTTTCTTCGTTCTCACCATCATCGTCTCCTCCTCGCCATACGCTCTGACCATGTCGCTTCGCACACCGATCACACAACTGGCACGCTGCGTCGCCTCGTCCAGCCGTCAGACGTTGCCGCGTCAGGTGGCGATCGCCTCGCCTCTGCGTTCTCAGCTGCTTCCATCTACACGCCTATCTGCGCTGCCGCACCGATCCTTTGGCTGTTCGGCATCGCTACGCAACGACCGCTCGCGCATCGAGGCCTATATCCCGGAGACGACCCTTTCCGACTCTGCCGCATCATCAAAGAGCGGCGACATTGACGCGGCGGACGAAGCCAACTCGATCCCCGTGACGGGAGAGCGTACACCCATCGGACAGATCGAGCAGCGTCTCGCCATCACGTTCACCTGCACAGTAGACGAGTGCGGCCATCGCAGCTCGCACGAATTCTCAAAACGTTCCTACACCAAAGGCATCGTCATTGTACAGTGTCCAGGCTGCAAGAACCGACATCTGATCGCCGACAACCTCTCGTGGTTCACCGAAACCGAAGACGAACCGCGCACCATCGAACAGATGATCGAGGCCAAGGGTGGCAAGGTACGCAGAGGTACTGTCGGCGTAGACGGAGAAACGGGAGAGACTATCGAGATCCTTTCCTAGAACAGCTTTGCAATGCACAACATAGACTGCGTTCACTCAATCGAACAGTCCGACTCGCACAGCACCTGCATCACGCGACCACACAAAGTCGGCACATTGTTCTAGATTCTAACGTGGCGGGGACGGTCTAAGCGGTGTCGGCGTGGATCTTGCGCGCGACTGCGATCGTCTTTTCCTCACGCAGTCGCTGTCCCACCACCTGGAGGCACACGGGCAGGCCGTGCAGCTCGTCGGCGCTGTACTGCGCCCACACCTTGCGCTCGTTTTCCGACTTGGGCGCAAACTGCGCATCGGCGCGGTCGAGCTGCCTGTCCACGGCCAGGTTGGCCATGGGGAATACCACGCCGGGCATGTCCATGAGGTTCCAGCAGCCCGTGTAGAAGATGTGGTGGTAGGCATCGTGCGTCGTGGAGCACTCGGCTGCGACGGGCGAGATGAGCGCGTCAAAGTGGCCGCCGCCGACGAGCGCACGCATGCGCTCCTGCAGCTCGGCCGCCCACGCCGTGCGCTTGGCCTGAATCTGCCACAGCTCTTTGACGGTCTTGCCCCAGTCCGCGTCGGTTGCGGCGAGGCCCTCGACCCACTCCTCGTGCTCGCCCGATGCCTCCATGAGCGAATGCACCGTGGCGCCTCCCTCGGCGCGGAAGAAGGACTCGATGAAATGCAGGCCGCGCTCGAACAGCTCGGTGTCCGAGGCGAGGAGCGAAGCGTCCCACTCGACCACCGTGTGGCCGGCAGCGCGCAGCTTGGCCACGGCATGCGTGAGCGCACGCTGCAGCGGCGGCGTGGGGGTGACGATGCCGTTGTTGGTGAGCACGAGCAGCGTGAGCGAGGCGGGCAGCGACGATGCCGACACGGGCGTCCACGGGATGGGCACGCACTTGGGGTCCACATGCCACGGCTCCGTGTCCACCACGGTCTTGGCGTAGATCTCGAGGCCGTCGGCATCGTTGCACATGGGGCCATTGATCGACAGCACCGCCTCCTGGCCCGCCAGCCCACTGCGGCACTTTCCGGTAGGGAAGCGGCCGAACGACGGCTTGAGTCCCCAGAGACCCGCAAACGAGCACGGGATGCGGATGCTGCCTCCGATGTCGGTTCCCACACCGAGCGGAGAACCACGCAGCGCCAGCAGTGCCGACTCGCCGCCCGAGCTGCCGCCGGGGGTGATGCGTGTGTTGAAGGGGTTGAGCGTGCGGCCGTTGGCGTTGCTCACGGTCTCGGCGATCATCATGGCGGTGGGCGTGGCGGTCTTGCAGAACAGCACCGCGCCCTGTTCGCGCAGCAGCGTCACCAGCGTCGAGTCGTGGTCCGCCGGGTCGTTGATCCACGTGACGAATCCGAGGTTCGAGTCCTTACCCTTGAGGTTGAAGTTGTCCTTGAGACTGACGGGAAGGCCGGCGAGCGGACCGGGCGGCTTGCCCGTCGCAGCGAACTGGCGATCGATTTCCTTGGCGGCAGCGATGGCCTCGTCGAAGAAGAGCTCGGTGAGGCAGTTGACGAGCTGGTGCGCGATGGCGGCACGCTTGCAGAACGCCGTGGTGACGGCCTCGGAGGTCCAGGTGCGCGCCTGCAGCTTGGCCAAGATCTCGGCGACCGGCGTCGCGGTGATGGCGACCTCGTCGGCGGACAAGATGCCGCACGAGGTGGGGATGGAGCGCAGATCGGCGCCGCTCGTGTGGTTGGCGGTGGCCAGCAGCTCGGATGGGAGACGCCAGTCAGCGGGGATCTGGTCGAGCCGAGCCTGTTGCTTGGCTGCGGCGATCTGCTTCCACGCAGTCGATGAGGACGAGGTCGACGACGACATCTTGGATGTGCCGTTCGAGACGGCGGTGCTTGCGGGGGCGACGGCAGCAGGCATGGTGGTCGGTTGTTTGCTGGGGGGCCAGGGGTCTCGGTGGGTCCACCGCGCGGAGCGTTTTATATTGCGCGTGTGGGGCAACTCGCATAGCGGCGGCCGGTCGGACGAGCGTGGACAGCCAGCATGTCAGCGTGGACGACAGTGCAGTGTGCCACCGACCAGATTAGGCTCGCAGCGGGCCACCGGCTATCTCGGCGAATTCCACGCAAGATTGCGCAGGCTCAGTTGGTCGATCTTATCGTTTGCTTTGTGCGGCTCAACCAAAAGGCTCAAAGCTCAAAGCTCAGAGCTCAGAGCCCGAGGCTCAAGGGTCTGGTTGTACAGGACTTCGGTGGGACCATGTGACTTGCGCGCTGGCTGCTGCTCGGGGCCCGTGTAAGGTTGCCAACGCCGACGGATTGGCTCTCAGAGGTCGTGCGCAATCGAGCCTCGTTTTTCCCCGACACGCGCTTGAACGGGAGGTGGTCCCAAATCCGATGCACAGGCGCCGTGCATAAGTCCGACGACCCTTCGTCCAATCTCGCACCAATCCCGCGACGGTCTCCATGGAGGCGCATCCAGCAAGCTCGACGCCACCTGTCAACCTCACACGTCACACGAACCTAAATCGATGTAGCACAAGGTGATTTTCCAACGTTGCATTGCCAGCGAGAGTGTAGCGCACATCTAGGTTAAGCATCATCGTCGCCACCTTCTCCATCGACGTCACGACCGAGCCTCTCGTCGCCGCCGAGCAGAGTCCAGGTCTCAAACTCGCGACCCTTGTGGTCCTTCTTGATGAGGAACTTGCCGCCGTCGCCCTGCTCCTTCCACACGAGCTCGCGCGTACGGCCGAGACTCTCGATGGCCGAGACGCGGTCCATGACCGACTCGAGACGGTCGCTGTAGCCCTCGGACTCGGCCACGCGTCGCATGGCGCGTAGCAGCGGCATCGAGTCGGCACGGATGTGGTGGTGGCGGTCAATGTGGATGACGTTGAGGTGGTCCAGCTCCATGATGAAATCGGGACGCGTCATGACCTGGCGCGCTTCGCCCCATGTGAGGTGCGGATTGGGAACGTCGGCACCGCGCACGTCCGACTCCTGGTCGTTGCTCGGATCGGTGATGGGCGACTCGGTCAATCGTCGATGCGATGTTGCCGCCTCGTCATCGTCGTCGTCGTCATCATCGTCATTGTCGTCGTCATCAGCCCCGACCGCAATGTTCGCGCGTGCACCTGTGCCAGCCTGGTTGGATCCCGGCCGCTTCTCGTCGTCGCTCTGCGCCGCCGCCACGGTGGTGAAGCGTGTGAGGCCGGGCACGGGCGATGCGCGCGCCTTGAACCATCCGGCGTCGCTGTGCAGCTGCGCGGCCAGGCTGCTGTACTGCGGATCCTCGACGTCGTCCTGGTTGACAAAGGCGGGCAGCCGGCCGCCGTAGTCGTTGAGCAGATCCTCGAGCTCCTTCTGCTTGTGGGCCAGCTCGCAGAAGAGGAGCCAGCTGCACGTCGACCACTTTTGCTCGTCCATGACGTCGTCGTCGTGGTCCTCGATGATGCCGGTCTTGCTGAGCACCCACTGCATGTCGTCCTCGACGAGCTGGCGTGCGGCGCGCAGCATATCCTTGCGCCTTGCCACCTTGTTGAGCAGACCCAGCCGTCCGCCGCAGATCTCGTAGACCTCCTGGAGCACGCGCGGATCTTGCGACGACGGCTTCTCGCCCCAGTACTGCTTGCGGCATCCGCGCAGCACGTTGATCGACTGGCGTCGCGAGAGGTCGCGGAAAGAGAGCGTGTCCATGCGGTTGGATGCCTTGCGCAGCACGTCGTACACCCAGTAGTCGGCCGTGGTAAAGACAAACGTGGCTGTGCCGGCCGAAGCCCACTTTTCGGCGCGCTGCTGGAAGATGTGGAGCAGCTTGGTGCCCTCTTCGTCGCGCGGCAGCAGATGTGCGCTGTTCATCACGATGATCGCCGGCTTGCCCGTCTTTTGCTTGCGCGTGATGAGCGCCTTTTCGAGCTTGTGCAGCGCGCGCTCGAGCTGCTGGTAGTACGACATGCCCGAGAGATCGGAAAGCCCCAGCAGGTTGCCGAGGTAGTCGCGGTTGTTGCTAAAATTGATCGATTCCGAGAAGCGGTCCACGACGATGGTGGGATCGAGGTGCGCATCGAAGAAGGCACAGCCGTCCGCATCGATCTCGGCCATGGCCTCGATGATGGACGTCGCCTTGCCCGAGCCTTTGCTGCCCATCACGAGGAAGTAGCGACCCGCCTCCTTGCCCGAGATGATGCTGCGAATCATCTCGTCTTCGGGCCGCGGCGGCTCGATGCGCACATGGGCGAGCTGGTCGCCGCTCTTTGCGAGCGCCAGCACGGGATCGTAGCCTGGATCGAAGGCAGCCTCCATCTTCTTGAGCACGTGTCGCTTGTACCAGGAATGATAGACCATCGCAGCGCCGCCGAGTAGCAGCACACCCACCGAGGCACCCATGGCGGTCTCCCATCCGGTCGAGTTGAAGAAGCTCCGGAATCCCTCGCTCGAGTCCTTTTCGGAGCGGCCGCCGGAGGAGGATGACGTCGAAGAGCGTTGAGGCTCCTCGGAAGTACGGCGATGTGACATTGAAAACGGCCGCGCTATCGATGCGGCTGCCATCGGCTTGGCGACCGCCATGGCAGCAGCGCGTGTGTTGAGCGGGGCAGCGGCCATCCACGGCTTCGCCGCTGCAGACACGGCGCTCCTCGGGATGAGCATTGTGATGCGAATCGGAGATGCCGAACTAGGTTGATGTGATGGTTCAGAGGAGCAAACCTTGGCTCGGCCGGCTTCGCCGGGCATCTGCCAGCCTTGCTCGACCGTCTTGGCGTTCGGTGTTCTAAAAGTGTCATCGGCGTGCATCTCCTCGACACTTCGACACTGCAGGCTGTGCACGGCCATGCGAGCCAGAGCCGAACGTGAACGGGACGGAATTTTTGGCCTCATTTCCACATGTTAAGTCCAGATCAGTCGTGCCTCCGACTTCCGAACTGAGGACCGCAAAGCGAGCGGAGCTGCAGACGCTGCTCAACGCCGTGCTGCAAGCTCTGCATTGTCTTGCTACTACCACACGTCGGGCTAGCATCATGTCTCTCTTCAAGAAGTTCGAGCCCAAGCCGGACCTGGGACCTGCGACGGCGCTCAAGTCGTCCGTGCGCAGGGTCATCCGCCAAAAGCTGTGCGAGCAGTACCCCGTGCTTGCCGAGGACGAGGGTGCGCTTCTCGAGGCCGCCTGGCCAAACAAGGCTTCCGTCACGACGGTCAAGTTCGCGCGAGAGCATGTGCAGATGCTCATCTCGGACAAGCAGGTGCTCTTCTTCCAGCACTACGACGACTGGTACCTCCCCAGCCTTCGTCTGCTCCACAAGTGTAAGTTTTGCCGCTACGGTCCTTTCCCTTTCGAAGCATGTGCGGCCAGCTGATCCCAAGTGCATCTCCCTCTTTTCTCCACTGCAATCGCACAGTCCCTGAAATGCTTCCATCGGTCCAGGTGGACCGCGGAGCCATCAAGTTCGTGCTCTCCGGCGCCAACGTCATGTCCCCTGGCTTGGTGAGCGCAGGAGGCAAGCTGCCGGACCCGTCCAAGGGCGAGCAGCCCATCAAGGAGGGCGAATGCGTCGCCATCCGCGCGCAGGGCAAGAACGAGATCCTCGCGGTGGGCGTCATGAAGATGGATTCCGAACAGGTGCGCAAGACCGGCAAGGGCATCGCGATAGAAAACATCCACTACCTCGGAGGTAAGTTGCGACCGTACGACGTGGCAGCGAACTTCTCTAATATTCAGCCTTCTGACCGTCCCCTCTTTCTCTCTCCGCTTTGCAACACTCGCTTCACTGCCTTCAGACGACCTGTGGCTCACTCTGTCCAAGGGCGGCATCTAGTTGCACACACTTTCCATTCCGAATCTTCATTCAATGCATTCATTCATCTCTGTCTATACAAACGACCGTTCAGTAGGCCCTGGGGTCCGGATCGTCGCATGATTGCAGGGGACTGGCAGGGGACTGGCAGAATCGTTCGTCGAACGCTAGAACGTAGTCTTTAGGTAGACAAGCCTGCTGAAGGACGCTCGAGGGTGTAGGTCGGAGCCTCGTCGCCTCCACTCGATTTTGGCAGCCGCATTTTCTCGCCGTGATTTTTGGCTTTTCTTCTCCACCGCGCGAAGAAAGTCGGTTAGTCATCGGGTGTGCTTTGGGTGGAAGCTCAGGCCACCACCTCTTGCTTTCTGCCGTCCACCTCACGCACCGCATCACGACCACACGAGATGGCAGCCACATCAGCACCCCAAGCGTCTGTGCTGCTGCGCACAACAGCATCGAGCAGCACGAGTCGCTTGGCAGCTTCGCTCGCCGCTGCCACTGGTTCGAGCTCCAGCCGAATCCAACCACCGCAGAGCAGGCCTCGGTGCGTTTCGACCAGTGCGGTTGCCAGGGCAGCAGAGCGCACAGCGCCACCAGCATCCACACAGCTATCGCCCTTGCAGTCGCCGCGCGAGTACCTCGTCGAAGAGCTGGCCAAGAGAGACCATGCCTCGTATCTCGCGCATCAATTCTACCCCAAACACCTCCAGACCCACTTTGCCGCCATCCGCACCTTCAACGTCGAGACCGCCGCGCTCAAGGACACCGTCTCCAACGAGCTGCTCGGACGCATGCGTATGGGATGGTGGAGAGATGCCGTCCAAGGCGCCTATCAGAATCGACCGGCCAAGCACCCCGTGGTGCTCGCACTGCGAGATGCGTTCCAAGACCCGGCGGTGCGCGACAACGCTGCGGGCGGATTGATGCTCGATCACTTTCTGCGAATCATCGAGGTGCGCGAGGCCGATCTGGCGGACGACTTCCAGGTGCCCTCATTGGACTCGCTCGAGGCGTATGCCGAAAGCACCTCGTCGCGCCTGCACTACCTCTCGCTCAACCTGCTCGGCGTTCGCAGCGATGCCGCAGACGAACTCTTCTCGCACCTCGGCAAGGTCGCCGGGCTGAGTCTGGCCATCTCGAGCATTCCCTTCCACTCGCATCCTCCGCCGCACATGCGCAACTCGATCACCAAGGGGTCGCGCAAGCTCGTCCTGCCGCGCGAGTTTGTGCTGCAGCACAACGTCGTAGAGGAAGACGTCTTCCGCAACGGCCCCAACGCACACGGCTTCCGCGATGCCGTGTTCGCCGTAGCCACGCGTGCAAACGACTACCTCATCACCGCACGCAAGATCATCAAGGACGAATTCGGCGGTCGCGTCCCCACCGCCGTCGTGCCTCCGCTCGTCGGTCTCGTCCCCGCCCGCTCCTACCTTGAACGTCTCGAAAAGGCCGACTTCAACCCATACGATGCCTCGCTTCAGTCGGGCAAGCACTGGCGTCTCCCGTGGGACATGTGGAGGACGAGCAGGAAACGCAACATCTGATTGCAAAACCCGGCACGGCTTGTACTTTTTACTCTTTTACTTTTGGTGGACAGTGACTTCCCCGCTTGCTTGGTGTGTGCGCTCGTCCGACGTAGGATGCAACGGCTGTTGCAAATGTGCCGAGGGAGCGCGAGCAAGAGAGGACACTGAAGCTGCGCTTACTGCTGCTTCTTGTCGGCAATCTGCTGGACCAGCTTGTCACCCCAGAAGCCCTTACCGATGGTCTTACGGCGCTGCTTGATCATGTACGTGTACATGACGTAGAGACCAGGCCACCAGATGACAAAGAGGCCGGCATACACGTAGGCGCGCAGGTCCCACGCGCCCGGCTTGGTTGTGGGCAGGCTGTTGGGAAGCGTGGCGAGGATGCACATGGCCTCGGACGCAGCTCCGATCGGGTAGAGCACGAAGAAGGTGGTGTATCTGCAGCAACAAACGCAACGAGGCGTCAGTACGAGTGAGCGAGGTTGGCAGAGAATCGAGCGCGAAAGAGAGCAAGAACTTACCGGGCCCAGAGAAGGCCGGATCCTTCGGAGCCGAGCAGCTGGTTGGCGTAGAATGGGTAGCGGATGCACTCGGTGATGGCCCAGGCGAGCACCATGGAGGCGTAGAAGGGGCTCGACCACGCCTGCGAGTAACGCTCCGAGACGGCCCACACCATGAAGAGGCGCGAGGCGACCTGGATGGCGGTGGTGGCGACGGGGCTCCTCACCCAGCCGATGGCGGCATGCACCACCTCGAGGATGGCGAGCGACTGGACCAGCGCCACGACCGAGCCGACAAAGGTGTGCGAGTTGGACGCGCGCTCGAGCAGCGCGGCGATGGGCTCGGGGAAGAGGTGCGAGTACGACTTGACGATGCCGATCTTGACGAGGCGGAAGCGCGCGAGCAGGTCGGCAGCGAACTTGACGGGCGGCGAGAACGGCTGCGGGCCCATCGCAAGGTGCTTGACGAGCGTCGAGAGCACAATGACCCAGCCGAAGAACGAGACAAAGTTGAAGAGGACCAGATAGTAGCGGATGGCAGCGGGCGGGCCGCGCTTGGCGGGCTTGCCCGGCTTGGCTGCGGCGGGCGCCTTCTTGGACTTGGGCGGCATTTCGTCGACGAAAGCTCGAAGCGATAGACAATGGGATCGATCGGATGGAGGAGAGAAGGCAAGACGCTCGCCGACTGCTCTTTTGCGGAAATACGGATGCGGGATTCTGGATGCATCTGCTTCCTTGTTTTTTCCGCTGCGGAAAGCGGATCGCCGAGAGTGCGGATCCACCGGCACGCACGGATGTGTTGCCGTCCCGAGTCGTGTCCATCGCCGATTCAATCACAAGAAGGGTCAAGCATCGGCCGATGGGGTACCGCACAGGTTGGTGACCGCCCTCGCATTTTTCGAATTTCGTCGATTTTGGAACTTTTCGGCTGCAGCTGCTGAATCAACGGCGCTCTGTTTTCAGCCACTCTGCAGCGAGAGGGGAGGAGGAGGGATTCCGGTGTTGTTGACACTGACGTAGGGCGCTGGGCCAAGCGGAGTTGTGGCTTCGAAACGCCGACTCGACCGGTTCGCAAAAAAGGCTGCAGCGCCAAGATAGCATGGCACTAGACTTGGACAGGCTGTGCGCCGAGATAGCATCGCCCCAACGTGGACTGATTGATACGGCGGGCAGATCCTGGCCGCTGCCGAGCCGCTCTAGGCCGTTGCGCCGCCCTTTCAGCCAGGGTATCGCCTTCCCCACCTTTTTTCGGCCCGCCGAAAGCACATTGGCACCACTCAGCCGCCGATCTCGCCGCATGTCTTTCGCCCCCTCGACACCATCACTTCACCTTGCCTTCGCTCCGCCTCGCCTGCGCAGCCCTACTCACACAGTCCCTCTGTCTCGATCAAGCTGACTGTCTGCGCTCAGTATCGCCTGCAGCTTTACCAGTCGCCACCGACGAGTCAGAATTCAGGCGGCATCTTTCTACGGACATGCTTCTCTAATCGCATACGACTCCAAGTTCAAGGCGTCTCATCATCATCTTGCACCTCGCCAAACCCGCTGCTATCACGTCACAAAATCGCTCCGTTTCGGCTCTAGCACACCAATCATGCCCGCACGACGCCCTTCGCTGAGCGCCTCGCGCTCGACCCCGCTCCTGGAGAGCTCAGCTTCGAAGCGCGCCATGTTGGCCAGCTCTGCAGTGTCGGACGAACCGACCCGACCATTCAACGTGCGTCGCCGCTTGAGGCGAGCCTCGCAGCCCGCTGGCCCGTCGCAGTCGACTCTTCGCTTCCGACTGGATGCGCTCGCACCTGAAGAGGCGCTGGCTGAAGGCTTTAGCAGCGCAACCGCCACTGCCACTGCCACCGCCACTGACTCGGGCTCTTCCGACGATGAGTGGGATGCCACCTACACCGACATGTTCAGCAGGCCACGTCACCAGTCGCTCGGGTCGCTCGAATACCTCGATCTGCCCGCCTCGCTGCCTTATTCGATCGTATCGCTCCGTGCTCAACTGCTCTCCTATCTCACCGAACTCGAAATGAGGGCCAAAGCGTTCTACTCGATGCGAATCTCTCGGGCCGCTTCCGATCCTGCAGCCGTGCCATGCGACTCGACAACCGCTGCTTCTGCATCCAGCAACTCCGAAGTGTCTGGACAAGATTTGCCAAGTTCGGATGCAGCCGCACTCAACGACGGCCACTCTGCCGCCTTCTTCCAGCAACTCGAGGCTTTACGCGAGGATCTGCGCAGGCTCGTCGCGTTGCTTCCTACGTATCCCGCATCCGCCTCATCCGCCCTTGCCTCTCGCTCGCAGACTCTGGCGCAAGACTGGGAGCGGCTCTCGTCGAGCTTCTCGTTCCCGATCAGCCTGGGTAATGGCCTTCGAGAACGCCTGCCGCGTCTGCCATCTTCGTCCGATGCGGCGCGTCTCCGAGCCGAACTCCCCTCGCTGCCGTCGATGCCATCGTTCCCGCAGCTCGACCTCGACTTCGCCTCTGTGCTCGAACCGCTGTCAAGCCACTTGCCCAGCCAAGCGTACGCACTCGCTGCCAAAATGCAGGCACGTCTCGAGACGTTGCAAGAGTCGGTGCGCAACATGGCGTGGCGCGATTGCCTCCAGAGCGCCGCAGCCAACGACGGCGAGGACCACACGTCGCTGGCGCAGCGCTTCGAGACCAAGCTGATGGATCTGTCGGTTCGCTCGCGTGCGCGTGCCAACAGCTTTGCCGAGCGAGCCGGGCATGCGGTACACGAGGCCGAGGAGAAGCTGTACCAGCTCGCCATCGAGCTTGCACGAAACGGCCAAGAGCTCATCAGCTACGAGCACCTGCCTGCGTTTTTCCGCAACAACGAGCACATCCTATCGGGCTACCGCTTCATCCCGGTCGAGAACTGGCGCGCGCTAGTGCGTAGCACGTTCCAGATTCACAACGAGACGGGCAACATCCACACGCATCTGTGGGGTCTGGCGGCGATCGTGCCGCTGTTCTGGCCGAGCAAGGGGCTGGACGAGCAGACGACGCCGATGGATCGTCTGGTGCAGACCGTGTATCTGCTTGCGGCGGCCAAGTGTCTGACGCTGTCGGTGTCGTGGCACGTGATGGCTGGCTGTTCGGACCGCAAATGGTTCGAGCGCTTTGCCTGCGTCGACTACACCGGCATCGCCTGGCTCGTGGCGGCGTCGATCTGGACGACCGTATACAATTGCTTCTACTGCCAGCCCAACCTGGCGCTCTTCTACTCGTTTACCACGCTCGTCGTGGGCCTGGCAGGCGCAATCCTGCCGTGGGCCGAGTGGTTCAACCGCCGCGAGAACAAGGGATGGCGCATCGCCGTCTTCCTCACCATGTGCTTTACGGCGCTGGCGCCGTTCTCGCACGCCGCCTTCGAACATGGCCTAGCCAAGACGATGTCGTTCTTCAGCCCCATCTTCCCGTCGCTGGCTTTCTACGTGGGCGGACTGGTCTTCTACGCGACGCAATTCCCCGAGAGCTGGAAGCCCGGTCGCTTCGACACGTGGGGCCACTCGCATCAGCTGTGGCATATTGGCATCGTGCTTGCCATCGTGTTTCACTACCGTGCTGCGCTGCTGTTCCATGCGAACCGGTTCGAGTTTAGCTGCGCCGTGCCTGGTGCCTCGATGGCGGCGGGTGGTGGTGCGGGGGCATCGGTCTCGCCGAGCGTGGTGCAACGGCTGCTGGGACTGATCGCCTGGACGCAGCCGCTGAGTGCGACTGGCAAGGCGGCAGCGACGGTGTCGCGTCCAATTGACTCGATGTTTGCTAAGGTGGGCGGTATGGAGGGCATCATTGGACTGGCGCGCGCCGACGACCAGGTGCTGCAGTGGAGGCGGTTGCTGGGCAAGATTGGCAACGGCGCTGTCGGGCGTGGCTGGGACGCGCTGGTGGACTGGGCGCAGAACTTTTGGTAACTTTGCACCCACCTCCCGTGTCGGCATGTTGCTGTTTCATTTGCACCATACACTCTTTCAACCGCGTTTCTTCCGTCTGCCTGCCTGATGTGATGGTTACGTGCGAGTTCTGAGCTGGACTCGAGGCCGTAGGCTGCACCGAGCTGAGCTGGCTTCAGCGTCCGATCGAGGCCCGATGCAGCGTCGCGCGGGAAAGGCGGTCCGGAGGCTCTGTGTGCAGGCGACCAGTTACGAGATTGCACTTCGTCAGCGGGGTTGCAGTGTGCCTGGGCTGCCAATTTGGATTGAAAATTGGAAGCGGGCGGTTGGTCCCGATTGCGCGCTCTGCTGCTGGTGCGGCGGCGGCCAAGTCGGCACTTCATTACGAAGTGGGTTTCGCGTCACCGCTCCCACCCTACTCAAAGCGATGGCCAGAGCTTGGATTGGCTCCTTCGCCTTGGTCGGTGAAATTAGATCGCGGCGGTCTCAACCAATCCTTCATCCTACAGAACCGAACCAGTGTGCGGTACGGTCGGGTTAGATGAGCTTGCTTTTTTGGCTCTCAGATAAGTAAGTCGGGAGAAGAGGGCCGAGCTTGAGCAGAGGCGGATTTTGACAGGCTCGATGGCGGGGCAGCGTGACGCAACGGGCGCGCGCACAGTGACCTTCGGATACGACGGTCGAAAATATGACCCAGGGCCCAATTGGACTGCTCGGCTGCCCCCGCAGCTCCACACCTCGGTCGGCCCAACCGTACAGACTTTGGCTTCCGCTCGACTGCACGGCTCGCCTGACCATTGCCGTGACATCCTGACTGGCAGCGTGCCTTGGCGCCCCCGTCAGTGAGCATCGCCGTTGTCTCGCTAGGCCATCGCTGCTGCTTCTTCGTCCTCAGAGTCTCCGCATTTTGTATCCAAGTCCGCCAGGCGCCAAGGTAGCAGACGAGCGAACCAACATACAAATAGACCGTCATCCGTCTAGGCCTCGTCTGCCCTCCCCACCACCAGCAATAACACCATCACCACCACCTCCCCACCACCTCCAGTCATGGTCGAGACCGATATCGTTCCCCGCATTGGGGACGCGATCATGTGGGCCCTGGAAAAGCCCAGCCACCTCCTCGTTACCGTTTTTGGCGCCGTGTTCCTGTTCCACCTCATTCCCTTCATCACCAATGCCGCCGTGAGGAAGTATCCCGGCCCTCTGCTCGCCAAATTCACCGACTTTTGGCTTCTCCGCAAGGCCATGGCCGGTCATCGCTTCCAGACCGTCCACGAGCAGCACAAGAAGTACGGTGAGTAGCGCCGGCAGTCCTGACAGTGTCGTAGTCTTCGTATCGTTGCTGACCTGCGTCTCTTGTGATTCGTTTCAACAGGCAAATTCGTGCGCATCGCACCCAACCACATCTCCATCGCTGACCCCGACGCGCTCAACCCGGTCTACGGCCACGGCACCGGCACGCTGAAGCCCGCCTACTACGACGCCTTTGTGCCGCCGCGACCCTTCCCGCGCGGTCTGTTCAACACGCGCGACCGTGCTGAGCACACGCGCAAGCGAAAGATCGTATCGCACACGTTTGCACCCAAGACCATTGTAGCATTCGAGCCGTTCATCCGACGCGAGGTGCAGCTGCTCCTCGAGCGCTGGGACGAGTTCTGCGAAAAGGCCGCCAAGTCCAACGCCGAGGGTCCGCGCGGCATCAAGGGCCGTGCGTGGCTCGACTCGCTCCTCTGGCTCAACTACTTTGCCTTTGACACGATCGGCGCGCTCGCGTTCGGAAGCACGTTCGGCATGCTCGAAAAGGGCGTGGACGAGGCCAAGGTGGAGTACGAGGACGCCAACGGCAACAAGCAGGTCGACTACTGCTCGGCGGTCAAGATCATCAACGAGCGCGGCGAGTTCTCGGCCACGATGGGTCTGGCGCCCGTGTGGATGCGTCCGTACCTGCTCAAGCTGCCCTGGTTTGCCAACCGCCTCAAGTCGGTCAAGAAGCTCACCGGTATCGCGCTGGCCCGTGTCAACGACCGCCTGCAGAACGGATCGGAGCGCGAGGATCTGCTGGCCAAGCTGCAGTCGGCCAAGGACGACCGTGGCGAGCCGATGGGCAAGATGGAGCTCACCGCCGAGGCGCTTACGCAGCTGATTGCCGGATCCGACACGACGTCCAACACGGCGTGCGCGATCGTGTACCACCTGTGCACGCACCCGGACAAGATGCGCAAGCTGCAGGCTGAGCTGGATCGCGAGTTGCAGCACGCCGAGGAGGTGCCGCTGCATAGCGATGTGCAGGAGCTGCCGTACCTGCAGGCGGTGCTGAGCGAGTCGCTGCGCTTCCACTCGACGTCGGCGATCGGGCTGCCACGTGTGATTCCTGAGGGTGGCGCGACGGTATGCGGCGAGCACTTCCCGGCGGGCACGGTGCTGTCGGTGCCTGCCTACACGCTGCACCGCACGCAGTCGGTGTTTGGCGACGATGCCGAAGAGTACAACCCGGACCGATGGCTGGCACCCAACGCCAAGCGCGACTTTGACAAGGCGTTCATCCCGTTCTCGGTGGGCCCTCGTGCGTGCGTCGGACGCAACGTGGCCATGATGGAGCTGTCGGTGCTCATCGCTGCCGTGTTCCGCCGCTACGACATTGTGCTCGCCGAGCCCAACAAGCCGCTCGAGACGTTTGAGGGATTCCTGCGCAAGCCCGTCGAGCTCGAGATCGGCCTCAAGCGTCGCAGCTGATCCATTTTTCTGCCGTCAAAAAGTGTCTTGCTCACACGCCTAGCTCCGCTCGATATCGCACCGTACCGCACATCATAATCGAAACGTTCGGCATCCCGCAAAGCCTTGGTTCCGTAGCATGGGCAGAGGGAGTGTGAGTGTGAGGAGCAGGCCGAGCACCGAGATTGCTGTCCGGGAGCAGGAGCTGGGGTCTAACAGTGCTGAGCGTGGCAAATTGGAATGAGAAAGGCGGGCACGTTGTGGCTGGCGCAGCGGGCTGAGCTCGGTGAGCGAGAGCCACAGGAACGTGGACCGAGAGCGACGTCACCTCGGGGCGGTGTCTCTAAGGGTCCCAGCCAAGCTGGAGCTACGGGAGGAAATTCGTGCTAGGTCGGCTGGAGGACGCTCAAGCAGGCCGGAAGCTGCACGTAGGGTTCGCTGCGGGCACATGCGCAGCCTTTCCATGCAAAATTCACGCCAGCCAGTCGGCCCGACTGGTAAGATTTTGGAAACGGTCGATGTGCCTGGAAATTTTTTTAAAGCTTCGGCGGGACAGCGGAGAGTGACGACGGGATCTGCACGGTGGCAAAGGCAGACAGCCAAAAGGGGTCCACTGGAAGTTTGCAGTCGGCGTCACACAGCTGCAGCTGACAGTCATACGCAGACCTCGCATCGGGTGCGGGCGGCTACCTCCACCACCCATTCAGCCTTGCCTCACCCCCTAGAAGTCATGGCCAAACGCGCTCTCGCTCGTGGCAGCCGTAGCAAGCGCATGTTGTCGTGCAGCATGGCGTTTTTTGCGTTTGCAAATCATGGATGCTGAACCCGATCGGCGTCGTACAAAACTTTCGCAGTCAGGCGCCTACAGTACTGCGGGGCTGCAGCCGCTCGACAAATGCGGGGGCGGGCGCCGGCTGCCGGCGACACGCAGCCATCTGCAGTCCAAGCCGGTCGGACCGCCAAGTGGTGCAGCGCATCAACACTCGCACAAGGAGACAGGGTCACAGGATCACGGGCGGGACACCCCGGCCGCAGGCTGTGCCGACCCAAGGTGGCACGCTGAGCCTCGACGAGCACAAGAATCCTCGTTAGCCTCGCCTTGGCGCTGGATGATCTTTTGGTTCATTTGTCTCTGGCTGGTGCCCAGGTGGGCATCAACGCGTGCACAACAGTGGGTCTCGGCTTTGGGCGCGTGTGTCAAGACCAAAAAAAAAGTGTCGCTTTGGATGAGCACGTTCCAAGTCGAGGCCTGTCACGTTCCCTTTGGTTGGCATTTCGCGATATGAGCCCAAGGCCTCCCCCTTGCCACTGCCCACCCCTCCGTCTCTCTCGTCCACGAACCCCTGTCGACCCCTTCGTGCTTGTTGGCTTGGCTTGGATAGTCACCGGCACACGTCCAAACATCGATCTTTCCCCCATACATCCTGCGCTACTTGGTAAGCATCCTTGCTTCGCCTCGTTTCCCATCTACCGCTCCACGTTCCCATCTACCCCACACGCCATTCCCTCTAGCTGGCATCACGCGACCGTCTTGCATCCCACGCCGGCTTGAACCAGCGTGTAGCTCCAATCGCCATCCTGGTACTGATCGTTGCTTCCGTCTATCTGGTCTACCGTCATCTTCGCCCCTTGGCATCCTCCTCTGGCTCCTCCCCTTGGCTTCGTATCACCACGGACAACATGCGTCCCATCACCAGATCCGCAAGAATGAACGTCAGCCCTGACATGCCCGAGTGCTGGGGCCACCGTGGTGCCTCTGCCACCTTCCCAGAGAACACCATCGCCAGCTTCGAGAAGGCCATACTCGACGGCTCCGAGGGTCTCGAGACCGACGTGCACATCACCACCGACAATGTCATCGTCATGTTCCATGACCCTACGCTCGAAAGGACCACCAACGGCAAGGGCCTCATCTACGAGCGTCCATACTATGGCGAGGACGGTATCGAGCAGCTCCGCACGCTCAAGCAGCCCGCACAGCAGATCCCCACCTTCCAGCAGGTGTGCGATCTGCTCATGCGCCCCGACTGCAAGCACGTCAAGCTCAACCTCGACATCAAGCCCGACAACAACCCGGACCGCCTCTTCCCCCTCATGCGCTCCGTCATCGAGTCCTACCCCAACTTTGACACCGACCTCGCGCCACGCCTCATCCTTGGCCTCTGGCATCCCAAGTTCCTCGAGTCGGCACTCCAGAACGTGCCCTCGATGAAGCGCATCCACATTGGCGCATCGCCCCGCGCTGCTCGCCGCTACTTTTGGAACGACTGCACCGGCTTCTCCATGTACTTTGCCTGCCTCGTTGGCGCTGAAGGCCAGGCCTTTATTGCCGACGCACAAAAGGCGGGCAAGGATATCTACGTCTGGACCGTCAACCGCAAGGATGAGATGATCGAGGCCACGCGCTGGGGCGTCAAGGCTGTCTTAACAGACAAGACCGCCCTCTTCCAGGACGTGCGCAAGGACATGACCCAAGACTTTGCCTCGACTCGCCAGCTCGAGGTGGGCATGTTCTTCCGCTGGGCTACGTGGAGATACTACACTCTTCCTCAGATCGTCATGCAAAACATCTGGCTCGCCAACATCGAGAAGCGCGCCGGCTCGCCCTTCCGCAAAGTGGTCAAGGGCGGCGCCGCCGCCGCCGCCACCTCCACTCTCCCGGTCACAGCCGAGAAGACTCCCACCCCGGCCGTTGCCGCCGCACCGCAGCCCTCGATCGCCGTCAACGCCGCTGCATGATGCTCGTCCCTAGATTCCAGCCACTCTACACCGCCAAGGGTTTCCTGTCGATCTTCACATCGGTCTCGTTTGCATTAGACGCCGACGCCGCCAGTGCGTCACCTGCATCTCGCCTACACGCATGGACTTTTTTTCTTCGTTCTCCTCATCCGCCCTTACCCTTAGACTGCATGCTCCCTCCATTTCGCTTCCATCTCTGGCTCTTCCTGCATTTTCGGTTCTGCTCTAATCGCAAAAGTTTCGTGTTCGTTCTGTCATCAACTGCAGTCGCTTGGCGTGGGCGTTTGTGAGACAACGGCAGGCGCGTGCACGTGACGCGTGGGGTGTCAAGGTGAAAGAGCTTCCAAAGGGTGAATCTGATTGAGCGCAGGGTATACAGCGGGGAGGTGGAGGATTAGAGAGTGGGGTTCAATCGAGCGAGATGCGTGTTGCCGAGGGACGTGGGGCGTGGGCGTCGAGGAATTGCTGCGATGTGGGCGCAGGTTGGGCGTGCATCGCTGGAGCTGGAGCAAAGCCAGGGTCATAAACTGCAGCTTGTACAGGTTGGGGTGCTAGGACGGGTGCATTGCCGAGCGTAGCTGCGGTGGGCGGAGCAGTGTACGCATTCATAGCCGGAGAGAAGAATGGTGTTTCGTGGGCGCCGTTGCTGTAGACAGGGCTGTGCACCATCCCGCTAGCCCGGCGCGGATCCACAACGCCGCCCGAGACCACACTGGCGCGGTGCATAGGAGCAGGCGTAGAGCCGTTCGAGTGCTCCTTGGGCTCGACATCGCGCTCAATGTCCAGCACGTCGCCGCCCTCGTTCTCGTTGCGCGCGCGCGGGCGGTGGACGCCGCCAAAGGTACCGATCGCATCGTGCGCCGGCTTGAGCCCCTTGTGGAAATTGAGCAGGCAGATGAATCCGTTGATCAGCGTGAGACCGAGCGTAAGGATGGCGAATCCAGAGATGAAGGTGATGGTGGTATGAACGTAGGTATACTCGTCGCGCGTAGCAGGCACCCAGACCTGCGTGAGCTTGTAGACAAAGTAGACGAGTCCGACGATCATGAGCAGCAGCGAGACCACCATGAGACTCGACCACTCTCGTCGCACCGAGAATCCGGCGACGAAGAGCGCAACCATGGCAATGGGCACCGCAGCGATCGTCACGCCGTACTCCCAGTCCGTCGTATCGGCCACCAGGATGAGATAGATGACGGTGAAGCCGACGCCAAAGAAGAAGGTGAACTTGATAAAGACGATGAAGAGCTGGTACCAGAAGAACATGTTGCGCACCTTGAGGTCCGCGCCGATCTTCTGGTATATGATCCAGCCGAACTCGCGCCAAAGCTTGTAGCTGAGGTAGATCATGAAGAATTCGGCGACGAAGCACGTGGCCGTCACGACAATCAGGTAGGTCTCCACCTGCGGGAAGAGCGAGCGTGCACGGCAGAGACGATTGGGGTCGTCCGGGCATGGATAGCCGCCGGCGATCTGGTCCTGGGCGTTGAGCGCGTCGCGCACCTGACGAATCTCGATGGCGGCGGTGATGGTGAGCGCAATGTTGAAGATGAGCACGCCGATGAGCTGGAGCGTGTTCTTGAGACGCACCGCATCCCAGGCGATGAGCACCTGGAACACGCAGCCAAACACGAAGACGGCCAGGTACACCGAGACCGTCTTGAGGTTCTGCGTAAAGTTGTCCACCTCGGCCACGATCTTGCCAAAGATGTAGCCGACGAGCGTGATGACGATGATGGCCTCGATGGTGGTGACGAGGATGTAAAGTGCAGCCATGCGCGAAGGCACGCGGATGAACGAATCCGGGCCGCCGTACAGCCACGAGGTTGCACTGCTACGCGCCGACTTGGAGATGGAGGCCGTGCCATCGCGCTTGCTCGAGGTCGCAGCCGAGTACTTGGCCGAACGACCGTCGCCGCCTGCTCGCTGGAAAGCAGGTGATACTGCGGCAGAACCGTTGGGCGCTGGCGAGGGCGTAGCGGATGCATGTGGATCATGGATCACCAAGTTGGACGCCGGCGGAGGGCTGTGGATAGCCGAGGCTCGCTCGTAGGTGACCTGCGGGGGCGGCGAAGCCACGGGCGACATGGGATTCCTGTATGCAGCTGCGGAGGAGAAGGGCTCGTCTCCGCTTTGTGTGGGCGTGTGGTGTGCGGATGGCTGCCTCGCGCGCGGAGGAGGTGATTGCGGATCGATGGCCGACTGGCTCGGCGGGAAGGGCGAGACGCTCATCGTTGCGCAAGTTCGTAGCGACGGATCACGCCTGGCCAGCGTCTACTGTGGCATGCGCCGGTGTCTAGATCTATCGAAGAGGGGAGGTGATGGTGGTGGTGGTGGTGGTCGTGAAGATGATGACGGTGACGTTGGATGAACGTGGTCGGGCGAAAGAGTTGCACAGCAGCAGCTGCCGAGTGTCGATCAGGAGAGCGTCGCTGCTGCCGAAAATAAGTCGGAAACGACGCGCCGTTGCAGCCAAAATTCGCACTCCGTTCGGTGGTCGCCGCATCAGTTGGCGGGTGATAGCCGAAGCCCGATTCTTGTCATCGGGGACAACACATCGGGTGTCTCCGCTATCGGGTCTGCCTTAGGAGCTCGCTTGCAAGTCTGCTGAATCACGCATGAACCAAGTCCGCCCATTCCGAGTCGGGCTCATGGCAAAGCCGTTCTTGAGGCTTTCGAGGATGCTGTCGGCGCCTAGATCCAATGTACAAGAAGCCGGACCAGCGAGAGAGGCGGTGCGGGGTACAGGAGCAGTACTGCACGGAAGAAGCCGGAAAATGCGGACGGGCGGGACTGCAACTGCGGAAGAAAAGCCCGGCCGGCGAGTTCTAAATGGCCCGCACAGGCCTGATGAAACACAAGCAACGCCCCAAGCGTGTGTTGGTCTTTCTTCGTCCAGCATCCCACCATCTTGTCTCGTGTCGTCCAAGTCGTCCAATCGTCATCATGAGTGCGCCTCGCCTCGCCTCCGCTTCGATAGCTCGCCTGGCACCGCGTGCTCGCCAAGTCGGCGGCCGACGCCTCGCCACCCCCAGCATTGCCCGCCACTGGTCATCCAACGCTCGCAAAGCCTCCACGGCTGTCGACACAACTTCAGCTCCACCCACCCAGGCCTCGTCTTCTCGCTCCATCTCGAGCTCTGCATCTTCTAGCTCGGCCGCCAAAAGCGGCAAGACCAAGGCCGCAACCCCCACTGAACGCTACGAAGAGCTCGTTCAGTCCGGCGTGCTCCGAAGTGACGACCACCAGCGAGGCATCATCAAGGTGCTTCAATCTCTGCATGATCAGCTCCGCACCTACAAACAGCCCGACGTGCCGGATCCCGAAGCGCACTTGCAAGCTTCCAAAGGTTTCCTCTCCTGGCTTCCTTTCGGCGCCAAGTCCAACACCCACGAGATCCCTCCCATCTCGTCCGACATTCCCAAGGGCCTCTATCTGTATGGAGACGTCGGCACCGGCAAGAGCATGCTCATGGATCTCTTCTACGACACGCTCCCGTCCAACATCACCTCCAAGCGTCGCATCCACTTTCACCAATTCATGATCGAGGCACACAAGCGCGCGCACTTTTACAAGTCCAAAACGCACAAGCCATCAGGCATCGTCATGATGATGTCCTCCGCCGCCTCGTCCGCCGCTTCTGCCTCATCCTCGTCTGCTTCATCTGCCGGCTCAGCAAGCGCGGGCGAGGAGAGCGACGCGATCGAGGCCGTGGCGCGCGAGATGGCGCGTAACCACTCGGTGCTGTGCTTTGACGAGTTCCAGGTGACCGACATTGCAGACGCCATGATCCTGCGCGGCTTGCTCGAGCGCATGCTCGCCTACGGTGTCGTCATGGTCATGACGAGCAACCGCCAACCGGACGAGCTCTACAAGAACGGCATCCAGCGTCAGAGCTTCCTCCCCTGCATCGATCTGCTCAAGTCGCAGTTCCGCGTGACCGACCTCAACTCGGGCACCGACTATCGAAAGGTGCCCCGCGCGCTCTCCAAGGTCTACTTTGACCCGCTCGACGACGCCAACACGCGCGAGTTTGACAAGCTCTTCGACGCCGCCACCTCGGACCCGCACGACCCTGTCGTCGAGAACCGTGCGCTCAAGATCTGGGGACGAACGCTCCACGTGCCGCAATCGTCGCAAAAGGTGGCGCGTTTCACGTTCGACGAGCTGTGCGGCCGCCCGAGGTCGGCGGCGGACTACATTGAGATCTGCAACAACTTTGGCACCATCTTTGTCGATGCTGTGCCCAAGATGGGCCTCAACCAGCGCGATCTCGCGCGCCGCTTCATCACCTTTATCGACGCCGCCTACGAGAGCAAGACCAAGCTGCTCGCGTCGAGCGAGGTGCCCATCCTGCAGATCTTTTCGGGCGATGCAGGCAAGGCCAAACCCACCGCCGACCAGATGCGTGCCCTCATGGATGATCTGGGTCTTACCATGGACGACATTGGTGGCTCTCCCATCTTCACCGGCGACGAGGAATTGTTTGCCTTTGCACGTGTCGTCTCGCGTCTCACCGAGATGGGCACCCGCCAGTACGCCGAGACCGCCAGCATCACCGCCGAAGCACCTCCCGAATACTAGACTGTCATCCTCCGGCACAGTTCCCTCGCCAGACCACTGCAATCATCCGCTCTACGGGCTTCACCTGATTCTCGCTGCCGCACACAGAACGATGTGGAGATGTGGAGATAGAGTGGGGAGGTTGTGCTATTCCTTTCAATGCGCTGAAGCTGTTGTTACAAGGTTACAGGGCGGACCAATGCGAAGACGGGAGCAGAAAAGGCGAGAGGTGGTGTTACAATCGACGGATCACGTCGAGGCACTGCGACACGCGGTCGGTGCGGGTATCTGAAAGAAAACTGGAAAGGGGGCCACCACGAAGACTCAGTTGAGCTCGTGGTAGAAGATGATCTTGTTGCCATCGGGGTCGAGGACGTGGAGCTCGCGCGTTCCCCACGGCTTGTTCTGCGGCTTGCCGATCAGCTTGGCCTTGCCCAGGAACACTTCGGGGAAGTACTCGCGGCCGTTGGGCTTGAACTGCTGCTGCTTGGTCACGATCTCTTGGAAGAGCTCGTCGACGTTGCTGACGACGATGAGCAGCTGCGGCGGCCCCGAGCCGTCGCCCTTGAGCTCGCCCCACTCGGCAGGCAGGTAACGCAGTACGATGCGCACGCCGGGCTCTTCGGCGGCCGAGGGGATGGCCGAGTATGGCTGACTGGACGAGCGCGGCGGACGTGCCGCAGGCCCACGGCGCAGGACGGCCTGGTGGCTGGCTGGTTTGCCGATGGGCGAGAAGCCGAGCAGCTTCTGGTAGAACGAGATCGAGTTGGTGAGGTTCGAGACAAAGATGCAAGGGAAGGCGTTCATAAAGACGGTCTTGCCCGGCTTGGCTGCCGCGCGCGTTCGACCGTGGTCGACGTCGACATCGTCGTCCTCCCAGCTCTGGGCGTTGGGGCGCGCAAAGTTGAATGGATTCACCGAGAGCAGAGCGGCGGCGTCGACGTCGCTGAGGCCCATGTTGGTCGACTTGGGAAGGTATGCAGTATCGGAGGCGAATTTCTTCTTGCTCTCTTGGATGTGCTCGGTGAAGCGCTCCTGGTCCGTAGGGGAAAGTACGAGCTTGGGTCGATTGGCTCGAGTGATTGAGAGGAAGAGCTCGGGCTTCTTGACGGGCTGGGCGGTGGCGTTGATGGAGCTGGTGGCTGCAGAGGCGGCAGAATCGAGGATGTGAACATGGCCCATGTGCGAGGCGTCGGGTGGCGTTGCCGGCATGGAGACAGATTCCTCGTCCATGGCGGAGAGGTTGTCATCGTTGCTCGCGAGGTCCGAAGCGACGACGGAAGTGGCCATGCCAGGCGAAGATGAGGCGCTGAAATGTGCTGATGATGTCGAGGAGATGGAGCGGTCCATATAGGAGGCGCCGCTCATTGTGGTGGAAGATAGATGCGCCATGGCACTCGGGGCGTTGGACGTCCGCCTATGCTGTATGCGTGAGCTGGCAGGGTCGTGTTGGGCGTCGAAGCGTCGAAAAGTGCAACTGAACCCGAAGCGAATGTGGATGGCCTCGGTCGAGGTTCGCGCTGGTGTTGGAGGTGGGCTGCAGATGATGATGATGGTGGGCGTGGTGGGAGGATGGGATGGCTGATCGATGGATCATCACAGTTGATGAGGCGCCGCTCTCGACGGGGAAGAAGGCAACGTGCACAGACTGGCATGCGGGGAGGCCAGATTGGATGGCCGTTGCTGAGTTGACTCCACTCGCCACTTTATCGGCCACATCAGCGGGCATGACATTCCGGCCCACATGCGACTGAGCTTTAGGCACACTGCGCCGACTTCTGTGGGGGGCGAGCGAGCGCTGGCTCAGTTAAGCGAGTGTGGCACGGCGGTGGCAAGCCGCTCGGCCGGCCGCCGATAAGCAGATCTTGCCGACCAAAGGCAAAAAGGCAAAACAAAAAGCCTAAAAGGAGAACACACGCTGCACACCCACACGCGCTGCTGAGCGTAAACTGTAACGTGGGCTTTTTTGGAGGTCGGGTTAGCCACACAGGCGAGACGCTGCGACGGTCTTGGTCGGTGCAATCCATCGCTCCTGCAGGCGGGAAGGCGAGGGAGACCCTGCTTTTTTTCGTTTTCGAGCTTTTTTCTCGTTGGCCCGTTCGGATCTGCCGCACCGAGGCAGGAATGCACTGTCGTTGCGAGCATCGGACAAAACACGCCCAACGTCCGAAAGCAATTGCGAGGCAAGGAAGCGCTTTGTTGGGCCGTGTGCTGCCCGCGGAGCATTCTAGTGCGGAAGCGCGCCGCCACATCTAGAGCCGCGCCCTTTTCTCTCTCTCGAAGTTTGTTGACTCGACGCCTGGCCCTTTCCTGCTCAGGACTCGCCGCTCTGCATGCAGGTGTGCTCAGGGTCCATTGCAACGTGCGGTCACTCCATCGATAACCCTTCTCCTAAGCCGTCCTCCCTCATATCACCTCGGCCAACCAAAAGTCAAGGCGCTCACAGCAAAGGAATCGGAGTGCTCTGGTCTGCTTGTCGACCAACCGAGACTGACGCCGGTCCGGAGCGCCTGCTCGACGGGTGCGACAAGCACACGGCTTGGCGCTCAAGCGAGGCTCGTGGCGTCATCGTCTCGGAGATCTCGATGCGGGCTTTTCGCTAGGAAAAATGTGGCTTAACATCGTCTTAATATGAATTAATTGTCAGACCGGAACAATCCACAAACTCATTTATGACCGGCTTCCAGAATACTCGCTTAGAGAGATGGCGTGCTGTGGCCCACGAATGATGGTGAAAGCGCACCACCTGTCCAGCATTGCGCTTCGTATCTTTCCTCCAGCCGAGCACGCAACATCTGCTAGTCATGGTGATCTGGGTCTCCACATCGGCCTCGGCTGTCCCTGCCCCGCAACTCACGGAATGACTGACGTGCTTGCGCCTCTCCGCTCCGACTGTCGACTCTCGTGGTATCGCTGTGCCAAGACCTCGTCCAAGATGCACCTCACGGCTTGGACGGATTGCATCAGCACCCGCCGGCTGCGACGCTGTCTGAGGCCCGACATCGGGAGGTCGGAGCATGCTCCGTTCCGGCTACTATCCCTGACCGACCGGCGTCGCCGGCGATGCAAAACACCACACGACCTTCTCGTTCCTGACTAGCATTGCGCCATAGCCACGAGGCTTTCGTCGACGTAGACTTCCTGCTTCGACGAGCACCTACCTGGGCCCTTATCAAGGAACGAGTCCCATCCGGAGCGTAATCCTCCTTTTCTGTCAACCACCACATCTGCATCTGCCTGCATTCTATCTAGAATGAGCGAGGTGTCGCCAACGGTCACTCCGCCCTCGGGCAAGGAGGCCTCGCTCTCGGAGGCGCACGAAGCGCAGACGGACGTCTTCGTCGTCACGACAGCATCCCACGGCGAGGTGAGATACACGCGCCAGGAAGAACGCAAGCTCGTGCGCAAGATCGACTTTGTCGTCGTGCCCATCCTCCTCGTTCTCTACCTGCTCTCCTTCCTCGACAGGAGCAACATCGGCAATGCCAAGCTCGATGGCCTCGTCAAGGACATCAACCTGCGCGACTACTCGACCGCCCTCACGCTCTTCTTCGTCGGCTACGTCATCGGCGAAGTTCCGGCCAACCTGGTGCTCAAGAAGACCTCGCCGCCCGTCTGGCTGCCCACGCTCACCCTCGTGTGGGGCATCATTTCGGTGGTGCAGGGCTTGGTGCACAACCAGGCCGGCCTGTTCGCCGTGCGCTTCTTCCTCGGCTTGAGCGAGTCCGGTCTCTTCCCAGGATCGGTCTTTGTCTTTAGCATGTTCTACCCGAGACGCGAGCGCCACTACCGCGTAGCGCTGCTGCTATCGGGCGCCGCTTTCTCAGGTGCCTTTGGCGGCATCCTTGCCTACGGCATCGGCTTCATGCGCGGCGTCGGCGGCAAAGCTGGCTGGAGCTGGATCCTCATCCTTGAGGGCCTGCTGACCATTGTAGTGGCGCTATTCGCCTACTGGCTGGTGCCGCATTACCCGATGAAGTCGCGCTCGTTTACCGATCGCGAGAAGTCCATCATCGCAGCGAGAATGCAGGCGGATCGCGACTCGCTGGATGAGGAGACCTTCTCTTGGGATGGCGTCAAGCAGGCATTCACCGACCCGTATGTCTATCTCTACGGCCTCCTCTTCCACGGCTTTGCCTTTGCACTGTACACGATCTCTCTCTTCATGCCCACCATCATCGCGGACCTCGGATACAAGGCCGCCGATGCGCAGCTCCTCACGGTGCCGCCCTACTTTCTCGCGTTCATCTTTACCATGACGATCGCGCACATCTCGTTTGTCGTGAACCGACGACTCGTCTTCATCATCGGCTGCGCGTTGCTCGCCATCCTCGGGTACATTGTTCAGATCACATCGCCGACAGTGGCTGGACGCTACGTGGCCATCTTTATCACAACGCCGGGCGTGTACGCAGGAAACGCGCTGCTGCTTTCGCTTCCATCGGAAAACGTCTCGGGCCAGACCAAACGTGCGACGGCGCTGGCCATGCAGATCATGTTTGGCAACATGGGAAGCATCATCGGTGTCCAGCTCTACCGCAAGCCTCTCGGTGGTCTTAGAAACGTCAACTATCACATCAGCCACGGCCTCAGCATCGTGTGGCTCGGCTTCGGCATCGCCGCCGCTTCAACGCTCTGGTTCCTCCTCAGCAGGGAGAACCGTCGCAGAGATGCTCTCCAGGCGCAAAACAACGGCAAGGATGCCGAGCAGAGCCAGGAAGAGCTCAAGCGGCTTGGCGACCGCAGGCTGGACTGGAGGTACCATGTATAGATTGGCGGTTCGTGGTCGTGCAATGTCAAACGTGTCTATGGTGATGTCGACTGTGAAAAGTCTGATGCTGAGTTCACAAAGCGACGTAACATGGGGTGCGAATTTTTCGAGTGCGACGCCTCCACCCGCTCGGACCCTCCTCCGACTTTGACTTCGTCCTTCGAACTCGTTGCCTCGCTGCCGGCCAGTAAGGACTTTGTGGTCTGCACCCTCCGACATCGAATCCACACGGACGCACTACCATGTCTGACCTTCAGCGCTCGTTCCTCAAGGGCAAGCTGAGTCGACTTCCGCCCGTGCCGCCTTTCCCGAGCGGCGCAGACGACGAGGAACGAGCCGAGGCTGAGTCGGGCGATTCGTTCGGTGATGCGGGTCCCAGCATCGCGTCTGCCTCGAGCTCAGATCTACAAAACAGGCGAAGAACACAACAACGTACAGACGACTTCGCCCCCAGGACAGCCGAGGGATACTTTGAGCAGGCACTCGAGGTCGACGTTCCGCTTCGGAAAGGATCCGGCTCGTTTCGAGTCTACTTTACTCCTCCCCGACCCAAGGCGGCGCATGCACCGAGGCCGCACGCCAGACCTTTCGCAGCTGCGTCAATCGACAGCATCGACATCGACGTACAGTCCTCTGCGCTGCCGAAACTTAACCGCAAGTTCGGGCTATCTGGTGACGAGGACGACGAGGACACGGTCGATGCAACCTCGCCGTCGGCTGCAAGGAACCCCGGTACGCTATTTGTTTTCCACCACGGCGCGGGCTTCAGCGCACTTTCGTTCGCACTGACGGCAGCCGAGCTGACACGGCAGAGCGGAGGGGAAGTGGGAGTGCTGACGTACGACTGTCGCGGTCACGGCCGGACCAAGCTGCACAATGTTGAAGAGTCTCCGCTCGACATGTCGATCGATACTCTCTCGTCGGATCTGACGTTGCTGCTCTCGACACTGTACCCGCGCACGGACGAGATGCCGTCGCTTGTTCTCGTCGGACATTCCATGGGCGGCTCGGTGGTAGTCTCTGCGGCGCATGCGCTGGCTGCCAGTGGATTCACACGCATCTCGGGCGTAGCTGTGCTCGACGTCGTCGAGGGCACTGCCATGGACGCGCTCGAGGTGATGCGCAGCGTCGTGCTCAGCCACCCCTCTGGTTTCGCTTCGGTGCAGGATGCGATCCGCTGGCACGTCGACAGCAAGACGATCGCCAATGCCGAGAGCGCACGCGTCAGCGTTCCGCCCCTCGTCGAGCCCAACCCTCTCTATACCGCTTCGGCTCCCTCGACAGATTCGGACAACACGGACGAGCCGCAGGAAGTCCTTGACGAGGCAGACGAAATTGACAAGGCGAGCAGCATACACGCATACAAGTGGAGAGCGGATCTGCTTGCCACCGAGCCGTACTGGCGCGGCTGGTTCCAAGGGCTCTCGTCGCGCTTCCTCAGTGTCCGGTCCGCACGCCTCCTGTTGCTCGCTGGAACCGATCGACTGGACCGCGAGCTGATGATCGGTCAGATGCAGGGAAAGTACCAGCTCGAAGTGATTGCCGACGTGGGCCACTCGCTGCACGAAGACGCACCGGATCGCACGGCTCGCATCCTCTTTGACTTTTGGCGCCGCAACGAGCGCATCCAACTTCCGCTCAAGCACATCAAAAAGGTCGGAGAGTTGTGAGTCGCTCCAGCTCCGAGTCACAGCGGATGTGGTCCCAACTTGGACTCAGCGAGCAATCAACGCGCAATGTGCGGAACAACATTTGACCGAGCGAGGGTATATTTCTGTGATGAGTTTGTAAAAGACAGTGGGGCAGAGTTTAGAGCTTTGGGCTCTTGAGAGTGGCAGGGCGGGAGAGCGAGTCGCGGCCGGCGACGGTCGTTGAAGTGTTGAGGCTGGATCGCGAGTGTGACGGTGGACGTGAGTCGGCCGCATCGGAGCGGCGTCCGAGTTGTGAGGGGCTACGTGCACCTGGAGGGACGTCTTGACTCTCGTCCTGTGCGTCATCTGCATCATCCTCGTCCTCGTCCTCCTCTTGTTCGCGGACATCGTCGTAGCCGATGGCAACGGAAGCAAAGGCATCGCGGATGCGACGGACCGCCAGCGCATAAGCTTCGTCTTTAAGTTGAGCGGCTGCAGAACCTTGTTGGGTCATCTTGTCCCAGTTGTGACCCTGGCCTTCCGCCTGCCAGTGGACGACGGAGCCCTTGTAGGCAGCGCTCGCTTCCAGGCGGTCTGCGAGGCGCGTTCCCTCGCGCGCAAGCGAGTCTTGCTCGGCGGTCAGGATGGTGACTGATGGCGGAAACGAAGCTGGATCAGCAAAGAGTGGCGAGATGAGCGGTTGCTTTCGATCCTTGACTGTTTCAATCGGTACGTAGCAAGTGTAGAGCATCTTCCGCAACCACGGCGGCATTGTCCCGCCCGCTGCGCCCTTGATCGGCGAGAGCTGCGGCTTGTCGTACGGATCCTCGTCAAGGTTGGTCGAGGGATAGAAAGCTACCGAGGCCTGGACACCACCGTGAGCCTCGGCGCGCGTGGAACCAATGAGCGCCAAGTTGCCGCCTGAGCTGAAGCCAACGAGGGCGATGCGGTCCGAGTCCCACAGCCACTCCTTGCGTCCGGTCGCGCCGATAGCACCGTGTCGCCGGCGCTGCTTGCGGTTCTCGCGCGCAAAGTGCTTGACAAAGAGGACGGCCGAGTCGACGTCTTCGATCGCGGCCGGCCACGGATGCTCGGGCGCATGCGAGTAGTCGACATCGATGACGACGGCGGGAAGCGTGCTAGCGGCATGGGCACAGAAGCGCGAATCGTCGCCATGGGTATGGAAGCAGAAGCCGGAGCCGTGCAGATTGATGACGACCGGCAGCGCCACGTCGTCGGGCGCACCGGGCGGCTCGTAGATATCCGCCTTGAGCCGACGTCGGTGCTGCTTGGTCGGAATCTTGCCCGGCACAAACGGCGAGGGGATGTAGGTGGTGACATCCGGTTTAGGCGCAGGCGGTTGCGTGGGTGTGATCACGGCGGTGGCCAGCGGCAAAATCGCACGCAGCGCCTTGATGACCAGAGCATCCAGCATGTCGAGTCTGTGTGCCGTGAGCCGTGAGCCGTGAGAGGACGGTGTGAGAGGACGGGAGAAGCAACGTTGACGACGACGGTGCAGCCTAGTGCCAAAAGCTAGGCTGCCGTCTCAGTCTCGAGTCGAGTGTGAAATGAGTCGAGTGTGAAATGTAAACTTTCGTCTGGGACCCGGTGGAGGCACCGAACGATCCACTGTGCGCACTTGCTGCATGTCGCAGCTCGCATGCGGTGCTGACTCTGCCCATAAGTTGACTTTCCCGGTGGAGGCACGCAGGGAAATGCGGCTTAGCGGTCCAGACCCGCGAACCGTGCTCTCTCTCTCTCTCTCTCTCTGTGTCCGCTTCGCCGGCAAATTGACACAGCGGAGGTGCCGTTGGTCTGAATTTCGTCTCCCTTTTTTGTCTCAATTTTTGAAAGTGAATTTCAGTGCTCACCCGCCTGTTTCGTCTCCGCGGTCGCAGCGCCACATTGTGAGATTTTCGGACAGGTCGCACGGCACATTTTGACAGCGGTGTTTGCAGACGCGCTCCTCCTCATCGCCGACTCCTCCTCATCCTGCTACCTCTTGCGCTCGGCCTGCACGCTCTGCACCGTCACCGAAGTGGGTGAGATTGACAGAGATCAGCACTCACACCGCAACTCAGAGATGAGAGACTGCTCAGCGGCTCGTTCACACATTGACACCGCGAAAACCCAGTTAGAAAGTGACATTTACACTAAAAACCCAATTAAAGTACGGAAGGTGAAACAAAATGCACATCAGCCCGCCCGTGGATATACGTGGACCGTGAGAACCGAAAGCATGTCAGGGTTCCTTTTGAGGGGTAGGACGGGCTCAGAAGGCGGCAGAGGCAACGTTGCGCGCGCTTACTGGACACCAGCGCGCGCAGCGAGCTCGCGGCGGTCCTCCTCGTCGGCATCGTAGCCGTTGGTCTCGGGAACCAGGAAGAAGGTGACAAGGGCGCCCAGGACCGACACACCAAAGAAGATCCAAAAGACTCCCTGGTTGCCGAGCGACGTCGCGCTAGCAAGGTGCGAAAACAGCAGCGAAGACAGGATAGCACCGCACTTTCCGCATGCTGCGCAGAAGCCGTGAGCCGTAGCACGCACCCGCGTGGGGAATGCCTCCGCAGGGACGATAAAGGTAGTTGCGTTCGCCCCAAAATTGAAGAATAGCTGGAGGAAAACGAAGACGACGAAGAAGGGGCCTGTCTGGTTCTTGAGGGTGTTGAAGCGGCCGGCGAGGATGCCGAGGAAAAGGGCGTTCATGGTGAAACCGAGCAGCTGGATGGGCTTGCGGCCGACGATGTCGACGGTGAACATGGTGAAGAAGTAACCGGGAAGGAAGCCGGCGGCGGTGATGATGAGGTTGCCGGTGGCGGTCTTCATGAGCTTGCCCCAGGTGGAGCCCTTGGTGAAGCCGATGGCGGAGAGGATGGAGGACTGGTTGAGGTTGATGCCGTAGAAGGTGATGTCGACGAGGAACCAGCAGGCAGCGCATCCGATGAGCTTCTTTGCGTTCTTCCACTGGGAGAAGTACTCGATGAACTCGTTCTTGGGCTTGCCGATCGACTTGAACGACATGCCGACGGCGGTGTTCTCGATGGGGGTGGCGTCGCCGCCGAGGGCCTTCTCCTTGAGGTCGTCGTCGTCCGAGTTGGAGCGGTTGAGGTTGTTGTGGCCCTTGGCGATGAGCTCGGGGTCGTCCTGGAGCTTACGAGCCTGGGTGAATCGGGTGGACTCGACGAGGGTGAGACGGAAGTAGAGGACGATGAAGGCGGGGATGAGGGTAAGACCCTGGAGGATACGCCAGGCGCCCGAGAGCTTGTGAACCTGGCCGGCGTCGACGTAGTGGCGGTAGCCGGCGATGACGATGACGGCAAAGAGGGCGCCGACGAGGTTACCCCAACCCTGGTTGGAGAAGATCCAGGAGAGGAGGAAGCCACGGTTCTTGAGCGAGGATCGGTCAGCGACGATGGTAGCGCTCATGGGGTAGTCACCGCCGATGCCGATGCCCATGACGAAGCGGAGAACGGCGAGCCAGATGGTGATGCCGTGGCCGCCGATCGAGTCGGGAGCCGAGATCTGGAGGATGACGGCGACGATGACGATGACGAGCTCCTTGCCGTAGACGGCGGAACGACCGAACATGTCACCGCAGAAGCCGAAGAAGAGCTGACCGACGATGTTGCCGATGTTGGCGGCGGCCTTGAGCACACCACCCTGGAGACCCCAGTCGATGTTCTTGGTGCCCTTGGGGTAGTAGGCGAGGAGGATGATGGAGTAGATGATGTTGATGATGAAGAGGTCCCAAGCGTCCATGAGGAAACCGACACCGGCGATTGTGAGGAGCTTTGCCTCGGCCCACGAGACGGCGAAGCGCGACTTCTTCTCGTTCCTCTCGACGAGCGACAGGCCGGTGTCGCCGGCCCAGGCGTCCATGTCCTTACCGAAAGCCATTTTGGTGGATGTGACTATTCTTCGTGAATGGGAAGAAAGCGACGGGAGGGGGGTGGGTGAGGTGTGAGGCGAGAAGGCTTGAGGAGGTTGGTGGGAACGATGAGAGGGAAGGGACGAGGAGGTCCCGACTTGATATAGGTCTGGGCGGACGGGGTGGCCAAGGCACAGAAGGGTGGGCGTAGAGTCAGGCAGAGGCTGGCCGGATCGCAGCGTGGTAGCGCCGTGTGATGCCGTGGGGGGGGGGAGGGGCGGGCAAGACGCAGTCACATCGAGACCGGGCGAATCTCATCTGCAAGGCACCCGGGGCGAGGATGGACGGGCGTGGCGACCTCATTCGAGACGCTGCATGGCTCGGGTGGAATTGAAGCGGCGATGTGCGAAGAGTCCAACCAGCGGTGGAAGAAACGAACTCTGAACGACACGTTCCGAGTGATAGGCCGACGGTGAAAGCTGGGTCTCGCCGGCGCCATGGCTTAGCGGATGCGGCTCCAACTTCTTTTTTGGATTTTGATTTCCCGCTTGCGTTTTGAAAATTTCAGGCTGCAGCACCACGCAAATCTAGACTCGAGCCGTTCTGCTTGCCGCTCGGGCAGAGGCTGGGCTGCAGCCTTGCATCGGATTCGGTGCGAATCACAGTGATTTGCGCCCTCTCTTTGCTCGCACGCGGGATGAGAGTTATCGTTGCTGCAGACGGCTGATGGTTGATTGGCCCGGCTACGTCTGAGCGTGCTCTCATTGTGCAATTTGCCATTGGCTCGCCCCGGCGTGCGATGTGGGCTTGACAGGCACGCGAGCCGACTGCGCTACTGACTCGGCCTGCCTGTTTGTGTTGCCACTCGTGCGTCCGACTCGGCCCCGACGGTCGAGTGCCACTTGCCAAGTCGGCGGCATCCAAGCCAGCCGCGGTACGGCGGCAGATGCGGCCAAGCGCGGGCGGCAATCGAGTCGAGCGGCGGCCACGACGGCGACGACGGCGATGGACACGGAACGTGACCACCTCGAAGCGAGCGCAGACAAGGCAAGGCTTGGCTTTGGCGCAGCGCACGTTCGTCGAGGTTGCCTCCTGCTGTGCGGAGACATCTCGTCCGTGGTTGGTTGCGAGCACGCTTCAGGCTGACCGAGGCGGACTCCTCGGCTCGAGCTGTAGCAAGGGTCCATACCGAGACAGGCGAGCCTGGGTGTCTGCGAATTGCGCCCTGTCGAGGAGCGGAGAATTCATGCAAAGTGTCCACGTTCGCTGCCATGCAGCTCTGCTTCATGCACTCCGCATCGACACGTTCGACTTTCACGCTCGCTGATTGGCTCCTCGAAATTAATGTCAAAACAGCCTCGCGTGGCCTTTCCTTTTCTGCTGTAGAGCTTCGCTCGCCGCCAGGCCTCTTGTGCACCAATCCTTGTTGCGATCGCCGCCTCACACCGTGTCACTAGGCCAACCTTCCGGACTAGTGGCCGTTGACTCGAATGATTGCCCTCGAGGCTCGTCCAAATAAGGCTGCTCACGGCCGCAACGCCGGTTTCCAACGCGGAGCGGCCCACAGCAGGTGCGGGTCTGCAAGCGATTAGGGCTTGGCATGCACGCGCACAACCGAAGCTGTCCGCTCGAGCCAATTCCAACTTCCCCCGTTTGGTCCGCAATAGGATCGATCCGATCGAGCGTCCTCCGACCCCCTCCTCGTTCCAGGACCGCTACACGGCGGGCCGAGCAATCGAAGCGCCCTACTCTCTCTACACGGCGTCAGTCGAATTTCAAGTGCTCCACTCCCCCAAGAACCTGTAATTCAGTCCTCTGGCCAGCATCGTCTGAGTTCTCTTGTGACTCTCGATCCACAGGTCGCATCGCAGCCTTCACATCAAACGGCAGCCGGTGGCGACCTTTGGTCGCCGCAGCGTGGACCGCTGCCCTAGCGCTCGCTACAGCGCCTCGACAGGTCTTGCCCAGGCCGCAGCAGCGACATCAAGACTGGCGCGCGGCTTGCACATGGCCCCACCCGACCTGTTTCGCAGAGCTCTGCGCACTCAGCGTTCCAACGCTCAGCGGTCGCCGTTGCAATTCTGCACAGGCCGGGGCCCGCTCCCGTACCTGCATTGTCGGTCGCGCTTGATTTCTCTGCTGGACCACATGCAACCAACTTACCGTCCACATCCGCCGTGCATGTCCCAGCCGCCGCCGGTTTGAGCCGAAGCAAAGCAGCCTCTGGTTCAACTTCGAATCCGCCTTGTTCCTGCGTGAACGTGCTCTTGCTCGTGGGTCTTCGGATGGCCAACAGCATCCTGCGAGTCCTGGCACGTGATTCAGCCAGGTGCTTTGAGAACAAGCCCACACGGATCCATATGAATCTCCGGGGACCGGCTTTTCGTCGCATCAACCTGGGTCCAAACATGCCGCGGCGAGTCACCTGCACTGGAGTCGAGAGAGCGCAGACTTGCTTCTCAACGATTATCTTGAGCTCGCTTGTACGAGCCAAGCGGCATCGGTCAAACGTTGAAGCGAAGCTCAGATCACCGACAAATTAAGCTCACGGCATTCCCAGTTTGGCTCCACCAGTCTCGGCAGCTCTACTGGTTGAGCACGTTCCCTGACTTCCCCGGCGAGAAAACACACGCTAGGCTTTCCATTCTCGGTCTGGACCTTGACGAATGCTCGTCATCCCTCATGTAGTTGGTGCCCCAGGGTCTAAAATACATCAGCGTCAAACAGGCCCAGATCTGGATCGCTGCATCGAGAGACTAGCGAATTCGGGACGCCACCTGGCCGGTGGCGTTGGCGTGAAAGGAAGTCGCCGACCAACATGCTCACCGATGTCTCGGAAAGCGACCAGATGTTGGCGTGTCTTGCTCGGCCGGCTGCCACCCTCATCACACGCAAACGCTGCCGACGACGGTGGCGACGTTCGAAAGAAGTGGGCAATGTGAGATCGTATCATTACAAATCAAAAACAGCGATTTATTCATCGGGAGCCCGATGCCCGAACAACGACGAGGTCTTGGAAAGAGAAACGGCGGCGAGAGGAAGCATGCTGCCAAGCAGCAGGGTTTCATCGCTGGGTCGCAGTTGCGTGTCGAGGGAAGGCTCGACGTGGGCGTCTTCTGGCATCACGGCGCGCTCTCATCAGCGACCTCAGCCTCGTCCGCCGCCTCGGTATCGACCGCGCCTTCGGTGGCCGCCTCGAGAACGCGTCCGGCTGCACGGGCTGCACCTTTGGCGCCGTCTCTTGCGGGCTTGTACAGGATGTCGAGCATGCGCTGGATCGTAGCTAGGTCGAGGTTGCCATCTTCATCAAACTGCGCATCCAGCTCGCCCTCCCGCCCGATCCTTTCCCGCAGCTCATCCAGCGAGTCGGTCGTCTCCTGTCCTGGCACGAGCGCTGGTGCACTTGCCACTCCGCCCTCGGGAGCAAGCTTGTTGAACTTGATCCTCGCGTTGGCCACGTTAGCAGGTCCGACCGACCCGACTCGGCCGTGCGCGCCGTACTTGGTCTTCGTCCATGCGGAAAGCGGCGAAAGCGCTGCGTGACCTCGATAGTAGAAGCGGGCGATCTGATATCCAGCCAGCAGCACCGTGGTAGCAAGGAGAATGTAGAGCAGCGACTGAAGCTTCGAACCTTCTCCGGATCGGCGTCCCTTGCCCTTGGACGCCGGTGAACGCGAAACACCGCCCGTCGACTCCAACGCTCTCTTGTTGCGCTGCCTTGCACTTGAGGATGGCATGGCTAGTCTGCTCCAGTCGTCGGCGGCCGCGATGGATGGTGTGCGGACAGTGAGCGGGGCTGAGTGAAGCTATCCGCGTGGAAGGGGAAAATTGACTGTGGAGCATCCTTCCTCCACGTCATAATCTGCCGCGACGGTCATCAAAGCCTGATGCCGAGTCCCGAATGCCGAATTCCGCTTCTGCTCTCCTGCGACCGCTTTCCCCGCAAAGGGTCCGCAATCGACAGATCTCGACCTTTCCATTCGATGATTGTACGCTTAGCTCGCACTCTGCAACTCCATCGCCGAAGCCCTTCTCGCCGAAGCCTTGCAACTATGACCACTGCCATCTCGAAGGATGACCAGGTCCAGAAGTTGAGGAAGCTCTTCGCCTCCTCAGACGTCCCTAATGATGCCAAGGCATGGGATCAGGCGTGGATCGATTCCACGACGCCCTGGGACTCGAATCGACCGCAGCCGGCGCTCGTGGAGCTGCTCAATGGTGGGCATGATGCTGATGCCAAGGTGGCAGACCTCAACGGCGACCTTGTTCCTGTCTCAAGTGTCATTCCCAAGGGGACTGGCACAGCAGTAGTGCCTGGATGTGGCAGAGGCTACGACGCCAAAGTGTTCGCCGAACGCGGACTGACGAGCCACGGCGTCGACATCAGTAGCAATGCTGTGGCAGCAGCCAACCAAGTAGGTAATTCCAGTGCGACATGTTCCTTGGCGGCGAAACATAGCAGACTTACATTCTGCATTCTTGAAACGATCGTGCCGACTGTCGCAGTGGCTACAAGATCAAAACCTTGACTCCGACGTCGGTTCCAAGATCAACTTTGTCGAAGCCGACTTTTTCACCCTTGGTACCGACAAAAGCGCAGCAAAGGCGCTTACAAAGCCTGCACAGGCGGTCCTAGCGTACGACTACACCTTTTTGTGCGCCATCCCCCCCTCCCTCCGTACCGCTTGGGCCGAGACGTACACACGGCTGCTGGCAAAGGACGCCATCCTGATCTCGCTTGTCTACCCCATCCAAGGCGATCGTCCCGGCGGCCCTCCCTTCTCCCTCTCTCCAGACCTCGTACGCGAGCTGCTGGGATCTCAAACCAATGCCCAAGGCAGTCCTGCGTGGCAGGAACTCGCCGAGCTAAAGCCCAAGGGTCCGGAGACGCGCCCAGATGTGGAACGCATCATGATCTGGCGTCGCGTGTAGGCTAGTCCAGCTTGGCATCGTCTTGGAATGGCCATTCATCATCTTGCTTGCAACTCGACTTCCGGAAATTTCGCCCGGTGGCGCCTCGCAGCACCCACAATGAATCCGTCACAAGCGGTGCATGCATGATCCCACCAAATTAAGTGGGCTTCTCGGAGGTACCGCCGCGCTTAGCGTGTGCACAAGCCTCGCACTACTAGCCCTGGCGGGGCCCAAGATCTTGGCGGAGCTTTCATTGTGGTCTTCATCGAGATTCGCCCAGAGGCAGCGGTGGCGACCTCGTCGAGTCGCTGTGACCACAAGACTGTGGACGTGTATAAGATGACGGCTTTCCATGGATCTCCCCTCGACTCCTAGGTCTCCAGCAAGTTCTAGAAGACGCTCTTGACAAATGAAGGTGACAACCCGCTTCCTTCTCGCTGCTGCCGTCGTGTGGATCGACGCAGCCACATCGCGAAGCGCGCCTCTTGCATCCGATGCTGTGCACGAGCAGTCGTTCCAGCTTCCCGCCGATGCTGGCCCGGATCTGCACGTCCTTGGTCTACCTTCCTCGTCGTCGGCCGTCGCTCCGCCTACCGATGCCGAACTCAAGCCGCACACAGATGCGACGAATCTGACCCAGTACGTCAATGTCTTTGTGGGAACCGAAGCCAATGATGATCCGGGTGACGTCTTTGCGGGTGCTTCTGTGCCATACGGAATGGCCAAAGCCACGATCAACGTCGAAGGGTATGCCCCTGCCGGCTACGTCTGGCCCTCGGACCAGCCAACGCGCGGTGTGAGCCCGCTCCACGACTCGGGCACCGGCTCGAGCTCGGGTAGCTACGGCAACTTCTGCATCATGCCCATCTTGTGTGCCGACAACGAGCTCGATGCTTGCACCACGCTGCTCGAGCCTCGCGAACGCATGCGTCGCAACGGCACCGATCACGGCCGTCCCGGCTATTTCACCACCACGCTCGACAACGGCATCCGCATCGAGCTCACCAGCACGCGCAGGAGCACGCTCGAAAAGTACACCTTCCCCGCTGCCGAGATGCGCCGGGCCAAGTCGAGCCCGCACCTTGTGCTCGACTGGACCAACGACTCGCCGGGTACGCTCCGCGGTGGTGAGATGAAGGCCGATTGGCAGCAGGGCCGGCTCACGATGAACGGCACCTGGCGCAGCTCGTTCGGCCCGGGTGACTTCCGCTACCAGGCCTTCCAATGCGTCGACCTCCTCTTCCAGGGCAAGCAACGCCTTTCGGCACACGCTTTCTTTGGCGGAAATTGACGCGGATACGACACGAAGCGCCAGGATCTCGACCACTGGGTCAGAGTAGCCCAGCAAATCGGCCAATACCAGGCGGGTGCCCTGGTCCGGTTCGATGTGGATCGCGAAGCCAAGGAGGACGTCACCATCCTGGTGCGCCGTGGCGTCTCCTTCGCATCGGCCGAGAATGCCTGCCGCAACATGGAAGCCGAAGTGGGCGACTGGGACTTTGATGCCGCCGTGGCTTCCAGCGAGGCGGCGTGGGAAGACAAGCTTCGACGCATCGAATTGAGTGCCGCAACGCCCGACTACATCCGAAGGCTCTTCTACACCAGCATGTACCGCACCTTTCTTTCGCCCAACAACGCCACGGGTGACAGTCCCTTTGCCACCGATTCGCCCTACTTTGACGGCATGTATTGCACCTGGGACACGTTCCGCACACTCTTCCCCTTCCTCTCGCTCACCAGTCCGCACGAGTTTGGCGAGATCGTCGAGACCTACATCGACGGCTGGCGCAAGGAAGGCTGGCTCCCCGAATGCCGAGCCAACCAGGTCAAGGGCTTCGTGCAGGGTGCCAACCATGGTGTGCCCGTGCTGGCCGACTTTGCGGTCAAGTATGCCAAGGCGGCAAGCTCGCTTGGTGTCGACACGGACGAGCTTTACCGCGCCATGCAGCACGACATTGACGTGCCTTCGCCGCAGTGGGAATACGAAGGGCGACAGGCTGCGCCATACCAGATGTATGGCTACATTCCCTTTGGCTATTTGGACCCAGCTTCGGTGGGTGAGCAGACGCGCGAGGCGAGCCGCTCGCTCGAGTATGCCTTTGGCGACTTCACCGCTGCCATGACGGCGCAAGCCTTGGGCAAACCGGCTGAAGATGTACAGCGGTATGCCATGGCGTCGCTCAACTACTCGCTCAACTTCGGCCACGGGATGGCGAGCGACGGCTTCAAGACCTTTGTGCAGCGACGCCGTGCCAACGGCACGTTTGTTCCGAGCGATCCGACCTTCTGCTCGCCGCTTGACAGCAACTCGAGTCATGCATGCAGCTTGCAGGCGGAGAATGACTTTGGCGTGTACGAGTCGTCCTCGTGGGAGTACAGCTTCTACGCTCCTCACGACCGGGCCGGCCTCGTCGAGCTGATGGGCGGCAATGCCACCTTTGAGAAGCGGCTCGACCACTTTTTCAGCAAGGGATACTTTGCGCCGGGAAACGAGCCCAGCTTCGACACGCCGACTCTGTACCACGTGATTGGCAAGCCGTACCGCAGCGTGCGACGGGTGCGCGAGGTGGTCGACACCTACTTTTCGCTGAAGCCGGGCGGCATCCCGGGCAATGACGACAACGCAGCCATGGCATCGCTGCTTGGATTCTACCTGCTCGGCTTCTACCCGACGCCAGGCACCAAGGAGCTGCTGATCCTGTCGCCCTTCATGCCCGGCTATACGCTCCACAATCCGGTTCTGGGCAAGGCGACGGTGAATGTGGTCGGCTACGACGCGCGCTCGATCGGCAAGACCATCCCGAAGGGAGTCAGGGCATTCGTCAACGAGGTGCGCATTGATGGCAAGCGTCACACGTCGCGGTGCCGATTGAGCTTCGACGATCTCTTTCCCGGCACGCCCGAAGGTGAGCGCAAGGTGGAGATCATGCTGACCGAGCAAGAGGTCGAAGGATGCGGTGATACGGATAGCGACTGGCCTATGTCTCTCTCGACCGGCGGCTTCCTGGACGTCAAAGGCACGCGCAGACCTTCTTAACAGCTGCTGTTTCATTGCGTGCTTCGTCTCTATTCCTCGTCGCTGTCGTCGTCCTCCACTGGGTCGTCGTTGTCGAGCGAGAGCAGACTGAAGCCCGAACGTGCGGTGGTCTGCTTGGCGGCGGCGGCAGCCTTCTTCTTCTCGGCCTCTGCAACCGCTACCTGTTGCTTCTTTTCTTCTTTCTTGCGTTCTCGTTTCGCCTTGCGCAGTGCCTCGACATCGATGGCGAGAAGCTGTTCGGTGTCGTGCAAGATCCAATCGAGCATTGCACTTTCGATTGGGGTGGAGGCCGCGGTGATGCCTTCTCGCGTAGCAGGATCTGGTGTCTGTGCGATTGTGTGAAAAAGCGAGCCAAGGACGAGAGCACTTGGTGGCGCGCTGAAAGGGATGGGGCAGAGAAGCAGCGATTGAGCGAGCTGCCAAGCGGCCAGCAGCGTGAGTTGGACGCTGGACTGGAGGTGGATGTCGCGCGTTGTGGGCTCTACGCTGAGGGCGTCGGGGTAGGCGAGATGAGATGGTAGCGTTGTCATCTTTGGGTCGGCTGCAAGAGCGCTGTGGATGCTGTGGGCGTGATAAGCAGATGCAACGGCGGCGTGGATCTGCTTGAGCGACCAATTGAAGCGACGGCTGGACTCGCCGAGACGGGTATGCTCCTTGAGGACGAGATACCTCAGCACGAGGCAGATTGGGTAGAGTGCCTCAGGGATCTGCGTGGTGGAGGCAAGGAGAGCATCGGTGCGCTCCTCGTCGCTGCCAAGGAAGTATGCGTAGATTTGGAGCCTGGCATTGACGGGTTCGTCAAGCAGACCCACGAGCGCTTCCGCATGCGCATCTGTGAGCAGCTCATGAATGGCTGCCGTGCTGTCGGGCTGATCGAGCTGGAACGGGGGCTCAGCAGCTCTGGTAGCGGAGAGCATGTCTGAGGCGTACGGCTGGATGAATGTGCAGTTGGGCATGTTGTTGGTGCTAGGAGGAAGAGGCGATTCGCAGTTTCCCTCGAGGCACACAAAATCACACGAACAGGTGGAGGCCAGACAGCCCCCCGATGCAGCCGATTCACAGTCCTCTTCTCAGGAGGGCCACCAATCGGGAGATGACAAAATGCGAAATCACAGAAATGAAATTAAAATGCCTGAAAACGAGAAAAAAGGGTAGGCTCGCTACCGTTGTCCCTCCTCGCTCTTGTCATCGAGTTCGAGCAGGGACAAGGAGATGTTGCGTCGATGCATTCGGCACTTTGAGCTTCTCACTCTTGACGGATGGCGAGCATGCCGGCTGCGGCAGCAGAGCACGGTCGAGCAGCCTCTTGATGGCATCTACCTTGTCGAGACTGATGCAGCGCGACTGCTCCCACATTTTGAGGTTGACCTTGGCGGGCAGGAGTTTGGTGATCTGCGTTGCGACGAGGATGTGTTTGAGCAAATCACGCAGTCTGCGGATCGTGCTTCTTTCGTGAGCTGGAATCTGATGCTCTGCGTCGCGGATCGGTTGCGAGCGCTGCAGCAGGTCGTGTGCCAGGGCACGCAGCCCGCTGAGCAGCTGGAGGGGCGGAAAGTGTAGCATGTGTCTGCTGCTGCCCAGCATCGCCGACGCACAAATCAGAAAATCGCGAACGTTGGTCGCGCTGTAGCTCAAAGACAGCTGCCGTACAGGAAGTGCCTCAGGCGGTGGTTTCGCCGGGTCGGAACTCAGCGCCTCCGTCGCGGGTGCGACTACAATGGAAGGTACGCTGGTGGGAGGGCATGCACGCTTAGCCTCTCGCAGAGTACGCGTGGCCTTACGACGAAGCTTGGACTCTCGCACCGCACGAATCACGGGCCTCCTGCGCTGAGCAGCAGATTCTCCCGCGGCGCTCAATGGCATCTCGAGCAGCTTGGCAAACAAGCCCCTGGACATGCCTGGGCCTATGCAGCACCCACATTGTGTGGGAGCTCTCCCACGACGCTTCTCAAGCACTTCAGCTGTGCCACTGACCGCAACGCGCATGTGATGAGCACGCCTCACAAGTGGGCACAGAGAGACAGCTGCTCAGCGGCTGCCTCTACAAGCTCGGGCACGATTGCCTTGAGCTGAAAACCGGAGGAAGGAGCGCCAGCGCTGACGCCACACTCCGACCTTGCGGCGACGGCCCTTTGTCCTTCTTCCCAGGCTCGTCGCAGCCTCTTCGTGTTGCCACGCAGGCTCGTCTTGAGCAAAAAACAGAGAATTTGCCTCTGTCCTGCTCCCGTGACCCAGGGAGTCTACTCCGCCTGCTTCGTTGCGACCCGCAGGCGCGCCGAGGCAAGTGCCCAATCCATCTTCGTCCTCGAGCTTGACTCTCACCGGTTCCGGCGAGGCACTGACGAGAGATGGATGCCGCGGTGTCGACGGCGCATTGGTGAATCGGTCCCTGGCGCCGAGGTCGGTTTGAAAATGGACACGCCTCCGGGCAGTCGAGGTGTTGCCGTGGCGCTTGATGGCCGAACGCAAGATGCCGCGTCGCGCGGAACTCGACGTGGACGAATTTCCCGCACTTGGCTGCGGCGTAGAACCTGATTCAGAGCGCGATTCGACGCTGCCCTCGGCCAGGTCATTGTTCAGGTCCCTTTGTCCTGGCAACCGTGGGAACGGTGCTTGGCGCCGAAATACGGGCTTGGGTATTAACATGGCCGTGGGACGTGCTGTCCTGAAAGTGAGGGGCTCTTGCTCGCCTTCCGAGAACGTCGGCACATCGTCAACGTATGCGCTCTTGATTTGAAGGCGGAGCTGTGGCATAGGAAAGGTAGGCGATGTTTGCTTGATGGATGAGGGTCTTGCGATCGAGGCGGTGCTCCGGCTGGATCGCCAGACTTCTTGTGCAGCTTAAGACGATGCTTGGTCGAGAGGAAGAAAGATGGACGAGCTGAAAGCAGTGGTCCCTCTTATACCTTCGCGTACTGCAACTGCGAGTGCGAGAGGGCCAAAGCAACTGCCTCCACCCACCTCGCACGGGTCGATAATGAGATGAAGCTGCATTCCGCATGCAAGAGTGCTCCGCTCTTCCATTTAGGCGAATGAGGCCCGGGCGGCTGCGTGCGCGTGTGCGTGTAGGCCGTCCGTTCTTCTCTCACGCACACCGTCACACAAAGGGACTCTCGTGTTGGACCCAGTTGCACAAAGGGGCGCTGCTCTCACGCTCAAGGGAGGCTGTGCAAGTCTTTGGTGGGTAATAAGATACGTGGATGTGCTCTACTTCTCGTTCTCGTGCATCGAGATGAGGCTCAAGCACCGGTTAAGCTCTTCGTCGCTTCCTGAAAGGGGACGAAATGTGCCATTCGGTCGCCGTTTCCTCGCCTTGGGCTGTGCGTCGTTGGCATCTGAATCCTCTTCCGATGCTGTTCGGGCTGTGGGTGACAAGGCGTGTCTCCTGGTGCGACCTCTTATTTCGCGTTTCAACCGCTTCGATGAACGAGTCGTGGGTGGTTCTGGAGACGCACGAAGGGCGGCACGCGAGGAGGAAGCATCCGGCTTCTTTTCCGCAAGACGAGTAGAGGTACGCTTCTTCTGCATTTGCTTTGACAGACGTTTTGTGGTGCCGCCTTGTTTCGGTGTCTTGTAGGACGTATCTGCGTCTGCAGAGCGGCCTTTGTAGGTGCGCATGCCCTCGATCGCGCAAATTTTGTGGCCTTCTTTGCAGAGAAAGCACGATTTCGCCAAAGTCGTTGAGTTTTGCGCAGTGTAACAGCGAAAGCCTTCGTCCCGACAGCGATCGCACTTCTTGTCCCAGTCCACATCGCGTTGATACCTGTGATCTATGATCAGTGGCCCAGAATCGGGGCTTTGAGGTGACTTGGCTGTGATCGGGAGTGGATCTCCGGGCTCAGGTGTGGAAGCTGGGCGCTCTGCCTGCAGGCTCGACTCTTGTCGCTCAGGAGCATGTCTAAGCTCGCTCGAAGTATCCAGGGGCATGACACCGCAAGGAGCTTTTCCAGACCCATCGGCTTGAGGGGCGCGGCCCTGGTGAAGAGGCCTGTCGCTGCTGCTGTCGTTGTCGCTGTCGCCGTCGGAAGAGCTCAACAGCTCGTCTTCTGACTCACTCGATATCGATATGACTGTTCTTTCATATGACTCGGTAATGTCGGGCGGTGGCGTTTGAGCCCGCGCAGCGCCAATCGATCCAGGTTCGTGCTCATCCAACGTCAGGCGCTGGGAAGCTCTTGAAGCACTGTCTTTCGAGATCTCAGAAGGCTGAGAGTCTGGAGTGACATGGCGCGTCGGCTCTGCTGCAAGTTGAGCGACTTTGGCGCCATGATCCCGCGGACCACGAGCGGGCTGCGAAGGGACGATCTGCTGAGGGGACACGCGTTGCTCGGACGAATAATTTGCTTCAGGAGCTCGAACATGCTCGAGCACGCGAGCTTCTGCTGGTCGAGCGGAGACGTGCCGCCCCGGAGTCATGGCAACAGTAGCTGGGTTGCGAGAAGAGTCGCTTGCTGCTCGACGACCGTAAAACGGCTGATCCTGCGTTGGCGGTGAAAAGCCGCTGCCCGGATCGTAGGATACGCCGACGCGAGCGCCAAGGCTAAAGTGTGTCGGTCTGGAATTTGGGCTCGCAGCATTGTCATCTCGTGACCTTGGAGCAGACATTGTGGAGGCGATCTAGTGTCGGAGACTGGTGTGTTCGGCCTCAAGGTGACTTGAACATCAGCTGATCGAAATGAGGGATAAGAGATCAGAGTTCCGGATGGGAGCAGCGTTGTGTGTCAATTGCCTGATCACGAAAGCCTGCGTTTGATTCGTTGGGCGGCACATGCAGCGAACAAAGGGTGTGTTAAGATGATGTCCCACGCTCCGGTCCCACAAGGACAAAGGGCCATGCATGCGGATGCAGCGCTCTGTTCGCTGGCCACAACAACAATGGACCAAGCCACCTAGGCATTGCCCTCCAGATGGAAGGGCTCGGATCGTCGGTGCCAGTGAGCTTCGCACTTCAGGAGCACTCATAACTTCCTCACGCAGCAACGGCAGCCATTTGACCACCCGAGTATTTCCAAGAGTCATTGCATTCTGTTTTGCTAGTCAGTGTATGTATCTCTATCGGACAACGGGAGACAGGCTTTACAGCTTCTGATCCTTTTCGGCGCCGTGCTGGGGCTCCCTGAGCTTCATGACGGCGTTGGTGGCAAACTTGGCACCTTCCGAGGTCGAGGTGTCGCATGGCGTGGCGCCGTTGCCGACCTGGTGGATTTGGACAACGCAGGCAGCAATCTCGATCTCCTTGGGAAGGTCCGGGTGCGTCACCCTCGCTTTTTCCTTCTGACCGCTGAGGAGCTCCTTGCTCAGGTACGGTTCACCACAGAGGGGTCGCGCGAGACCGACAATGTCGCACGACTTCTCCTCCACTGCCTTGGCCATCGCCTTGGAAGAGCGGAAGCCGCCCGTGACTGCAAGTCTGGTCGTGGTCAGGTGCGGTCGAATGCGCTCGGCAAACTCGATGAAGAACGACTCGCGTGCGATGGTCGACTCCTTCTTGTGCTCGAAGCCAGAGCTCTCGTAGGTGCCGCCCGAAAGCTCGATCAGGTCGACGCCGGCAGCCTCGAGCTTCTTGGAAATGACGAACGACTCCTCGGCCTCGAATCCACCCTCGGCAAAGTCGGCCGAGTTGATCTTGATCGAGATGATGAACTTGGGGTCCGGCACCGCCTTGCGAATGCTCTCGATGATCTCGAAAACGATGCGCGAGCGCCCCTCGAGGTCACCGCCGTACTGGTCGGTTCGCTTGTTGACGCGGGGCGAAAGGAACTGCGAGAGGAGGTAGCCGTGTGCAGCGTGCAGCTCAATGCCGTTGCACTGCGCTTCGTAGAGGACCTTGGCAGCGAAACCGAAGCGGCGCGCAATGTCGTGGATCTCATCGACGGTGAGCGGACGCGGCTTGCCGAACGACATTCCCATGCCTGGCGGGCACTGCACGTCGGACGACGAGACCGGCGTGGGGGCAACATCTTCCGAGGTTTGTCGACCGGCGTGCGTCACCTGCGCGATGACCAGCGAGCCGTGAGCCTTGGCGGCATCGATGACGGGCTTGTAAGCCTTGACGTATTCGTCGTGCGAAGCGATCTCGGGGTCGATGCAGGCGTTCTTCTTAGCCTCGGGGAAGCGCGCGTCGCAAGGAATGTTGCCGAGGATGATGGTGCCGATCTCGCCCTCGCCCCACGTCTTGTAGAGCTGGATGTACTCGGGCGTGGGCCAGCCACGCTTCTTGAAGTCGGTGTCGGACCACGTGCAGAGACGCTCGGTCATGGCGCTCTTGAGCGTCGCATTGGGCGCAGAGAGGCCGTTGGAGAAGACGACAGGCTTTTTGAGAATTTCGAGGTGCGACATGTTGGCGGAGGTGGTTGAGACTCCAGGGTAACAACTCGACCCGGGATCGCGATATATATGCAGACTTATGGAGACTACGACCGGCCGGACTTAAGAAGTCGAGCACACGCAACCAGGCAGCTTATTTTACTCTCGGACACGGCGTGGACTGTTTGCCGGATGTGCGGCTGTGCTTACTTCGATTTCTTCCTACGCCAAAGCATACCCCGCCGCTCACAAGTGTGTCAAATCTTGTCCGTGTCGAACGGTACCGAACATTTTTTGTATTGCCGAGTGAGACTGACCCGCGTTGCCGGAGCAGACGACGCCCTTGTCTCCTGTCGCCCCTCCTTTCTACGGCTGGAGAAGCTCAGCCGCAGCTTCCAATGAATGCTTGAACGAATGTCGGAGGGCGCAACCTCGAGAGACAAGAAAGGAGGTCTGTGTGGAGTTTGGCGAGTGTGTCACAGGAAGTGGAAGCTTGTCACCGCACCTTTTGTGACTTCAGAGGCCGTGCAAGCGATGACGTGACCTCGCGCGTGTCTGTGCTTGGCCCGTCGATCTTTGCGTGTCGGGTTGTAGCAAGCCGGAGTAGTTCGCCGCTGGATCGGGAGATAGTATCGCCGATGTCTGTACGATGCTCGCCGACCTAGACACCGACCTCGGCGAACGCTCATCTCCGCGCTTTCCTTGGCGAGGGCTTGCGGATCTTGACTGGGGTGCAAATGTGGTTGGTCTGTCTTTCCAACTCAAGATCCCGTCCATCTCCCCCGAAGACCATCTTCTCATCGCGTCTCTTTGACAGCGCTGCCCTTTGGAAGACACGATGGCGTACGGACATGTGCCACGACCAGCCGGCTCGGACCCCAGCACGCTCCGACCTCGCGTCTATTCGCTTCCGGAGCGGGCACAGAGCGATGAGCGTCGAGCCATCGTGACGCTCGCCTTGAACGCGCAGGGCGTGGATCAGCAAAGCTACTTGCACGCGCAGCGAGGCGACAAGCATACGCTCCGTCCGCCGAAGGCACTGGTCGAATATCTGGCCGGCGTATTCAACGACGAGCTCGAGCGCGGCGTGAGCTATCCGCAGCGCGGACCGATGCCGCTTGCCGAGTTTGAAGGCTACTTTCTCGGATACGACCTCATTGTCGGATTCTTCGTGTCGGCCCAGCAACTGACTGCCCTCAGTCCCGACGTTTCCATTCCCGAGGATGGCCTGGAGGTGCGCAACCTTTCTGAGCTCCCGGATCTCGCCAAGTTGGACTACACAGCTCAAGTGGCAGGCTTCTACTATATCAAGCCAAACTATCCAGGTCGATCGTCGCACCTGTGCAACGGAGGCTTCGTTGTTCCGCCAACCGGGCGAGGCCTGGGTCTGGGCGGTGTGCTGGGTCGCTCGTTCCTGCACTATGCGCCGCTGGCAGGCTACAAGGGCTCCGTCTTCAACCTGGTCTATGTCAACAACATGGCTAGCGTGCGCATCTGGCAACGTCTCGGCTTCACCATTGTTGGCCGACTGCCCATGGCAGGCGCGCTTCGCACCGAGGACGGGCGCGAGGAGCTGACCGATGCCTACATCATCTTCAAGGACTTTACAGGCACGGTGCAGGCGCGCGGAGATGCCGAGCCCAAGCCTCTTCCCATCCAGGCTCAGGATGGAACCAAAGGCGCCATCTAGACAGCCCTTGCTAGAGATGATGTAGCGATGGCCATCTGACGGGATAGAGCTGCGTCACTTCAATGCAATCGGTGTGTCCCCATGCAACGGTCGCGAACGGCCGCCGGGATGAAAAACTGAGCATCATGGTATCAAATTGTCGAGAGGCAGTGCGTGGAGCATCGAGTGAGGCTACAGAGCCGCATGATGGGGGAATAGCTTGCGTCGTCCATGGCGAAAAAGGTGCGGAATGCGACATCGAGAGCAAGCAGGAGCCCGTGTTATCGCATCCGTCCTGCTTCGCTTCGTGTATCGTGTAGCGAGATGGGTGCTCAATACTTGAAGATGATGTACAGCGCGTGGATGATACCGGGGAGGTAACCAAGGATGGTCAGGAGGACGTTGATCCAGAAGTCACTGTTTGCGAGCAAGACGAAGGAACAAGCCAGAAGAGACGTCAGCATGTCGTGAGGAGAGAGTGTGACGGTGTACGGATCGCCGCAGGAAAGGGCTGAATACTTACGCGCCGCAACCACGCTCGAGGAAGACACCAAGAGGCGGGAGGAAGATGGCCAAGATGATCTTGACGATGTCGCTGCAAGTGAAAGGCATGATGGGCGGGTGCGGGTGTGCGGACGGATTCGTGAAGGGTGGTCGTGAGTCGAAGAAAAGGTGGTGAACTCGGGATGCAGATGATGGCCTTGTCGGGACGGATCTTATATAGACTTGACGGTCAAATTTAGCGGTGTGGGCTCGGCAGAATCTGAGGCACAGGTGGGCGGAATGGTGGGCGTCTCACTTGGGGGACGGGACTGAGCTCGGGGGCCGCAGCGTGCAATCAGTGGCTGGTGCTCAGCGCGCATGCATGACTATGGTCGTGACGTTGGGGCTGAGAGAGTGCAGCGCCAGCCCCGAGTCGACCGAGGCCCCAAAGGAGACAGACGCTGAACGTGTGTTGCCATAGCGGAGCGTCCATTCCGCTTCGACGTCATTCCAGTGCAGAGTCGGCACCTCTCTGGAAACGGCACTGCAGCTGCAATTGTAATTTTAGTTTTGCTGGGACTCCCGCAACAGGGTCTGGCTCTGCGACTCGGTCTGGGTTTTCGGCGCGTGCCGCTCGAGCCGTCTGCAACGCGCTAGCCGTGATTCGGACGGATGCCGATTGCGGTGCTGAGTGTCCACACAGCCTTGTGTGCAAACAAAGCACTTGTGTGCAGATGGCGGTGGGAGCCACACGCGCGAAACGCGATTCGCCAGCTCCGACCCGCGCCCATTGCAGTGCCCCGCCCAGCACAGCCGGTTTTCGGTTCGCAGTTCAGGCTTTGTCCCGATCCCACTCAGGGGTACGAGAAGCCGATTCCGCTAGCAGGACCTCGACTGCTTCAGCCTTGATGGATTGTCCGATGGTTTGCTTGGGTCTCCGAAATCTTCGCACCCACTTAGGTTGATTACGGTGACACAATAAGATGTGCGTGGCATCAGGGAGCCAAGCCTTGGCCAAGACCGGACCTTAGCCTGGATGATGCTCTCCGTGTGTTGGTTTAAGGCTCGAGCCAATCCGCCGCGGCCAGTCTTGGCTTTACGCGCCGAAGCCTCCACACATGAACTCGACTCGCAGCAGTTCGGAGCCTTTTTTTCGGAAAACGGCCGAGCTTTCACAGTGCCACGGGCCCAAGGCGTTCCCGAGAAGGACAACATCTTACGCCAAGAACATCCGAGAGCGCGGCCTAAGCAACACCTCTCGCCATCGTCGCAGCCTGAGCCGGCAACATGTCGGTCTGCAGCTTAGACACCGTCGTCGGTGGCCTCAAGTGGACTGTGCTCAGTAAGTGCAGCTCGCCCGACCCGTCACCCGCTCTCGGACCCGTGCTCACAACCCTCTGCCTGCCTCCTCGTTCTTGGCCCAAATACGGTTCATCCTCAACACAGACCCACTACTCAGCATCGCCTACTTGATAACGATCAGTTGCGACCCTGCGAGCTGCGAGGTCCAGTACAAGCCATTGGAAGACGCGCTCCGCCACACTCGAGCCTATCTCCCCATCGAATCACCGCCAAGGTGGCTCCTCGCCGGTGCAGCGGTGGTGGTGCTACTGGGCTGGCTGCTCACGTTCAGCTCCAACGTCTGGTACAATCGTACACGCCTCTCTTCGATACGCAAGAGACAGTGGCAGGATCAACTCGTCGTAATCACGGGAGGCGCCTCGGGCATCGGCTACCGCACCGCAGTGCGTCTCGCAGCCAAAGGCGCCAAGGTGGTAGTCATCGACATTCAAAAGCTACCCAGCGCAGAGTCAGGCACTGCTTCTTGGAAAGCGCTGGAATCCTCGGCGCGGTCCAACATCGCGGCCTACATCTGCGACGTCGCCTCCGAGGATGCGCTCGCCAAAGTGCTCAAGTCCATCCTCGCCATCCACGGCGTGCCGACCGTGGTCATCAACAATGCAGGCTTGACGCACTCGCAGCCCATCACGTCGCTCTCGCCCGCACAGCTCTCGCGCCTGATCAACGTCAACCTCACCTCGCATCTGTGGATGCTCCAGCATCTGCTCCCGGGCATGGTGCAACGTGCCAAGCTCGACGGTACGCCTGCACACATTGTCTCGGTCGCTTCGGTCATGGGCCACACCGGCGTATCGCAAATGGTCGATTACTGCGCATCCAAGCATGGCGTCGTCGGGCTGCACAAAGCGCTTCGATACGAACTCGACTACTGCCATGGCTGCCCGCAGATCCGCACGACGCTCGTGGTGCTCGGCCACGTCAACACGCCGCTCTTTCGAGGCTTCCGGCCCGGCTGGCTGGCGCGCTTTCTGGGACCTTCGGTAGAGCCCGACGCCGTGGCTCGCAGCATAGTGACCGCAGTTGGCAAGCGACGCGGAGGCACCATTGCGCTTCCCTGGTACGCGAACTGGTCCGAGGCGTTCGCGCTGCTTCCCAGCTGGGCGACCGACTTTGCACACTGGTCGCTTGGCTCCAATCGCAGCATGGACGAGATGAACAAAGCGCGTCAATAGTCGGCGTGACCGTCGACCCGTTGGGATCATTGCTGTAACAGAGGTATCGGATAGAGATCAAGCCTTGCGAAGCCCGTGCTGGTACTGCTGCGTTGCGATGAGGGTGACGTTCTTCAAATGCCGGCTGATCAAGTGGAGCGCCCGACGAGCTCGTACCACGCTTTGCCCGAGTGCGCCTTGCGGACGAAGACGAGGCTTTGCAGCTGGTCGAGCAGTCTGTGTGCGGTGACAAAGACCGGCTCACTCGAGGCTCTGTCAACGGCTACGCACTCCTTGCGAATGATGGTCGGCGCGGAAGCGGCAGAACGGTTGGAGGCTGCATCGACGGAGAAGGGCAGTGTGATGGACGCGCGAGTGAACTGGAATCGCACGAGAAGGTCGCAAAACTGGACGCCGTTGGCGATTGCCGTACCGGCCTCGAGCGCCTTGCCAATCTCGTCCTCGATGTAGGTCTGCGGCTGGAGCCACTTGAAGAGATCTTGGGACACCTGCCGATGATCCAGCTCGGCGTCATCGTCGTTGAGCAGCAGCGAAGACTGTGATGCTAGGAAGCGGCGATTGATGCGATACGAGATGTAGTGGTCCAGAACGCGCGTCTCACGGCAGGGGTGATCGAGGGATTGCCGACCGAGGTTGGTCGAGTAGACCGTGGCGCGAATAGCATCGAGGTATTCGGGAAAGATTCTCGTGCGCAAGAGTGCCATCGAGACGGAGTACAGAAGCCGAGAGACGAGCCTGACATTGCACAGCACCTCTCGCAACGCCGTGGCCCTGCGCTCCTCCTCGTCCAGGTCGTCGGGGGCTGCACGATACGCAGTGCCGATGAATGCATCGAGGACGAGCTTCCAGGCAGTATAGCGAGGCGCAATGTTGGTGCGGGGATGCAGCAAGCCCTTCTCTGCCACTTGATCGTCGGTGGCTGTGCTGTCTAGATACGATGGTGGGGCAAGCAGCGCGGGTATCTCTTCGAAGTTGGATTTGAGAGTCATCTTTGCTGAATTCCATAGGGAGGAGCCGTCATCGATATGTGTCTTTCTTTGGTGGTAGGACGGTAAGGAGGATGGCGAGATTTCGCGCAGAAAGATGGGTGCTCGAAAGAGAGGGACAGAGAGAGAGCTAGAGGTTGAGTCGAAGAAGGCTGCTCGGCATGGCACTCGAAATGCGTTGGTTGGCATCGACCAGAAGCTGTGCCCAACCAAGAAGCGCCACCGGCATCCTCGGCTTTGCCGAAGTGGAGGCATCGGCACAATGCGACGCGCCAAGACCCGCCTCATCGCAACGAGCAGTCGGTCACTTTCAGATGCTCAAATGCGACGCTGCCGCCGCCACACCGGCACGGTTGTGACTGGACTACAGTGGTCAGGTATGACATCGTGGACTACAGTGGTCAGGTATGACATCGTAGAATGCTAAGAATGGTCGGGTATCGAGCATGAAATGGAAACAGCGCATGCTTTGGGTTGGAAAAGAACGGCAGCTCGTCTGACGACAGCTGTGCCAAAAGTTGTCTGGCGTTGGACGGGGCGCGCAGGGTCAACATCCGCCAGAGGATCCAGCGCCTCCGCCAAGGAATCCAGCGCTGGCGCCGCCACGTCTGGATTTGCCGTCGTGATACGCCTCGTCGAGACAGACGCAAAGGGCGGTGATGAGCGCCGCATCGACGCCGGGCGCCACCACGGCACCGTACGTCTGACGATCGACTGCAGAAACGGCAAGAGGTCGGATGACTGCTGGGTTAGCATCGTCTGCGTTTAGCCTGGCTCTCGCCCGAGCAGACGGCACTTACAGAAGCTGTACTCTCGAGAAATTTTGGCCACCACGACGCCGGCCTGTGTGGTGATCTCGGCGTCACGGCTGAGCCACCTGCCGCGGAGGACGAGCTTCTCTCTGCGACCGCCGGCGACGTGATTGACGAAGGTGATCTCGAGCTTGGGATTGAGCAAGCCGATCTTTTCGACGGTGAAGAGATTGACGCGCTTGTTGCCACACTGGTAGCCGGCGTACGACTTGCTGAAGGCTCCACCCGTGCTGCAGAACTCGAAGAGCGGCTTGCCCGTATGGTCGTGGAGCGTCTTGCGCTGGCTCAGCGACAAGACCTTGCCGCGCACTTCAAAGATGCGCTGGCGTGTCACGGCGTCTTTGACCGTGAAGTCGTCCGAGGCAAAGGGCATGCTATGTTCGCGGATGCGCAGCGCGATGGGCGTGGCGTGGCGCACGTAGTCGGGCAGCAGGCCCATCTGATAAGGCGGCGGCGGCAGCTGCGGGATGGGGGGCGCGCCCGAAGTTCGAGGAGTCGTCCTGGACATGGTGCGAGGCTGCTTCTAAGCGGGGCTGCAGGTGAGTGTCGGTCGCGAATACGTCCTCTTTGAGTCTGGGGCGACTGGCAGAGATGCGGGGGAGGATGGCGACATCAGTTCGCTCTGCAGCCTCGTTTATGTAGCATCGTCTCGAGATGAGGAGGTCGGTTGGTGGCATTGCGCTGCCCCCGGGCCGGTGCTAGGCTCTGAGCCGGCCGTTTGCATGCGAACAGATGTATGCACCGAATGGGCTCAACGAAGCGTCGCTTGGATGGAACGAGGACCTGCAGTCGGGGCGGAGCTGGAGCGGGGGTGAATCAGGATCACCCGCCTCGCCCAATATCTTATCCTCTAGATAACTTTGCAAAATAAAGAAAGAAAAAAAAACACAAGTAGAAATGGAGGATGGCATAGCAGCTCGTATTCTGCACCGCCATCTGCAAGCTGGGATTCATGGAGCTGCGTCATTTCGCGCTCAGCACGCTTAGACCCGTTTCATGCGATGCATTGACCATATGTGATGCAGAACCGGTTGCGGATCTTAGCCTTCCGCAGGAATGGTTCGATATTATCAAGCATCGACAATGGGACGACGCTTTGCAGGATGGGTGGAGGCGCGAACAATGCGAATCCATTGCGACTGGGCGCCTGGAGTAATGCGAGTGACGGCTGGCGAGCAGCTCACAGAGCTAGTTCTTACTGCCGATGAAGGGCACGAAGCACGGCACCTCGTTCTTGTACTTTTTCCACTGCGGGTTGTCCTTGTGCTTCTTTTCTGCGCTCTGTTCGAGCAGCGGCACGCCCGAGATGAAGCGGATCAGACCGTATTCGAGCAGCGGACTGAGGGCGGCGAGGCCTACGGCCCAGGTCGGGTAGAAGGTACCGGCGTTGGCGAGAGCGGTGGTGGCGAGCACAAACTGGCCGGTCCAGAGGCTGACCTCGCCAAAGTAATTGGGGTGCCTGGACCAGCTCCACACGCCTGAAGAGATGAAGGGCTCGTTGTGCTTGCCTGCATCCCTGTCTTGCCTCCACTGCGACTTCTGGCGGTCTGCGGCCACTTCAAGGCCCATGCCGGCGATCCAGATGGCGAGGCCGAGCGCGTCGCGCGTGCCGAGCGGCGGCTGGGAGGCCTTTGGGATGGAGTTGACGAGGTAGACGGGCAGCGCAGTGATGGCGATCCAGGTGGCCTGCATCATCCACGCGCCAAAGAACTTGGGCGGGCTCTGCTTGATCTCGTCGAAGCGCGTGTCGGTGCCCGACTTGCGGATGCGCTGGAAGAGGAAGCTGCCGAGCCTGGCGGCCCAGACGAGCGTCAATGCGGTCATGATCGTCTGTCGCGGATGGAAGGCCGAGAGCGAGGTGGGCAGCGCGACGTTCTTGAAGCCGTCGACGTAGCGTGCGCGGATCCAGGGCATGTAGAGCGAGAGGCCTGCCGCCGAGATGAAGCCGAGCGAGCCGCAGAGGTCGTAGTACTTTTCCGTCTTGAGCGGCACGGCGATGGCAGCACATGCGGCCTGGAAGCCGTAGATGACGCCCAAGGTGGGCAGGAGCGCCTTGAGGCCCACAGTGTACATGCTCATGGTGGAAAGGACGCGATGAGAGTCGGGGGTTGAGAGCGGGCGAGGGAGAACCCGAAAGCTTGGCTAGCTATTTCAACAGATGACCGGATGGACGGGCGCTTATCATCGAGCCCAAGCTGCTGAGCGTAGGTGAACGCCCGCGACTGCGTTAGGCAAGCGAAGCACGATATCTCTGCTGCTGCGCTTCCGCGGGAAGGCCGGCCGTCGCTGATTCACCCTTCGGAGTCGGGTGGAGGGATTTAGGTGGCTCGATCGCAGAGAAAGGCGAGGACTGGGAGTCAGCACTGCGGATTTGTTGATCTGGACCCTTGGAGCTCGGATGTGGAGGGCGGAGAGGGAAAATTTGCGTGTGCAGATCGAGCAGCTCTCACACCGTGAAATATTTTTTTCGACCCCCGCTCGTGTTTTGGATTTCGATTTCCCGCAACCGACGGTCTGGACGCGGGTCGATAGCCAAAGCGACGTTTGGCGTTTCGGGCTGCTTTTGTGACTGGGCAGAGGCAGCCAGCCGAGACATGCAAGCATAGCAGCACGACATGCCGCCCGTCGATCTTGGCAGCCGTGGCAGCGGCGCTGTGACGCTCGAGTGCCCTTCAGCCGCATCCGACCCGACCCGTTCTCAGGGAAGCGGTTCTCGAACCACATCGGCTGCATTCATTCCCCTCTACGGAATCGTCCTGCAGCGTGCTTGGTCACACACCTCATTTTTCACCGCCTGCCTCCCACACTGGCTGGATAGGCCCCACCGCTTTTTCTCTTGGCGCCGTCGTCGCCTCTGTCTGCACATCTACCACCATCCTCTTCCATACAATCCGACCGCACCTTCCGACCGATCTCACCACCTCCGCCCGTTCCGTCCCTCCCCTCGCAGCGCAGCTCGCCATGGCACAGCAATACTACGGCGGCGGAGGCGGTTATCCGCCCCAGCAGCCCCCTCAGATGCAGCAGCCCGGCTCGTACGGTCCCGGCTCCTACCAGGGTCAGCCCAACGGCGCACAGAACCAGTACTACAACGGCCAGCAACCACCTCCGCAGCAGTACTACGGCGGCGACTACAAGCAGCCCCTCAAACCCGAGGGCTTCCAGGGCGAGCGTCTGCAGCCCAAGCCAAAGTGGAACGATCCCATCTTCCTCGTGCTCTTCCTGCTCGTCTTTTGCGGCTTCATCGCCCTCTCCGTCATCTGCCTGCGCGGATACTCCGCCTCCGACATCTCGGCCAACATCGGCCAGGCCAACGTCGCAGGCCGCACGCTCAACGGCCACACCGCCATCCTCTTCATGATCTGCTGCGCCATCGGCCTCGTCCTCTCGGCCATCTACATCTTCCTCGTGCGCACCTTCCCCAAGTTCATCCTCGAGGCCACGCTCCTCCTCACCACCCTCAGCAACGTCGCCTTCTGCGTCTACCTCTGGGTGCGTGGAAACACCGCCGCTGCCATCATCTTCACCATCTTTGCTGTATTCAGCGTCATCGCCTACTTCTTCATGCGCAAGCGCATCCCACTCGCAAAGGTGCTCCTCGTCACCATCATCCGCACAGCAGACGAGTACAAGAGCGTATACGTCGTCGCTCTCGCCGGTCTCGTCGTAGAGACCGCCTTCAGCGCATGGACGAGCTGGGTCGTCGTCGCCACCTACCAGCGCTTCGAGCCCACCGGTCAGGCTTCGGGCTCCAGCTCCAGCAACGCCTCCGTCATCGGTCTCATGGTCTTTGTCGTCTTTGCCTACTATTGGATCTCTGAAGTCATCAAGAACGTCGCCTTCACCACCGTCGCTGGCATCTTTGGCACCGCCTACTACAACGCCACCAAGGTCTCCCACGCTGCCTGGGGCGCCTTCCGCCGCTCCATGACCTACAGTCTCGGCTCGATCTGCTTTGGCTCGCTCATCGTCGCGCTGCTCGACCTCCTCCGAGCCTTGTTCAACCTGCTTCAGAGCCAGGCCGCATCGGATGGCGATCTGGTGGGCACCATCCTCGCCTGCGTTGCCTCGTGCTGCGTCGCATGCATCCAGTACCTCGTCGAATTCTTCAACCGCTACGCCTACATCAACATTGCGCTCTACGGCAACAGCTACATCCGCGCCGCCAAGGAGACCTGGTCGCTCCTCGCCGATCGCGGCATCGACGCCATCATCAACGACAGCCTCGTCAACATCGTTTTCAACTGCGGCGCCTTCATCATTGGCCTCCTCACCGCGCTTTTCGCCTTCATCTACGAGCAGAAGACCAATCCGCAGTACCTCCAGAACGATTCGGGCTACTACTCGATCATCCTCCTCGTCGCCTTTGGCCTCGGCTTCAACATCGCCCTCAGCGTCGGCGCCGGCAGCATCGCCTCGGGCGTCAGCACCTACTTTGTCGCGCTCGCCGAGGATCCTTACGTCCTGCAGGGCAAGAACCCGGAGCTCTTTGAGATGATCCGCCAGCAGTACCCACGCGTCATTCAGGGCGTCCACAACTGAGTTCAGTTCCGTTGCGAAGCGCTCAAATATCCTTTTCATGAACCATTAATGCCATTCTTTCAAGTTTGCAGTCGGATGTTTCCGTCCAGCAATCGTGTTTGCATTCAAGGGCCGGATGTGCCGGTAACGCTGGGCAAGACGAGCCAGGAGGGAGGTCGGCTCAGAGCTTGGCCTGCAGGTTTGGCGAGGCCGCCTTTCTAGACTGTTTCGCAATGTCCACTGTGTGCCCCTTTGTCGCGGCGATGTCCTTGCGCAGCAGTTTGCCCGTCGGGTTCCTCGGGGCCGACTCGGCAAAGAGGTAGGTGCTGGGCCACTTGTAGTAGGCCGTCTTGTCTCCAACCCAGGTGTGCAGGCGCGAGGCCAGCTCGTGCATCTCGCGTTCCTTGGTGAGCATCGACTTGTCCTTGGGCACCACGAGCAGCAGAACATGCTCCTCGCCCGTCGACTTGTCCTTGACATAGCCCGTTGCCGCAGCATCGATGAGCTCGGGATGAGTAGCAAAGAGATCGTCGAGCTCGGCGGGTGACACTTGGAATCCCTTGACCTTGATGAGCTCCTTGGTGCGGCCCGTGATCCACAGGCGGCCGTTGGCGTCGAGGCAGCCTTCGTCGCCCGAGCGGTACCAGCCGTCTTCGGTGAAAGCACCCTGGGTGAGTTCGGGATCGAGCGCCGAGTGCGTCTCGGAGGAAAGACCCGAAAAGTAGCCCGACATGACGGCAGGCGCACGGATGAGCACCTCGCCCACCAGCTCCGGGTCCAGCGGCGCGCGCTCGCCGCGGGCACGTGCTTGACGAGACATGCTGCGAATCTCTTCGCGCCTCTGCTCCACCTGCTCCTGACTGGTGCCAGGCAGGGGCCGAATCTGGATCTCGGTGTTGGGGACAGGCATGCCCACACTGCCCAGCTCATCGCGCGGGCCACACGCATCGGCATCGAGCCCCAGGCCGGCGGTCTGGGCGGTGGAGCAGGTCTCGGTGGTGCCGAAGCCCAGGTGGATGTACTTGCCCGTTCGCTCGTACACCTTGCGAACCACCTCGACAGGCACGGGAGCGCCGCCGGTGAGGAAGGCGGCGATGCTCGAGAGATCGATGCCCTTGCTCTGCGGCGAGGTCGGGTCGAGGTGCGGACACGAACGGAGCGCAACCGCTACGGCGGGAGCAATGTGGCTGAACGTGGCGCGATAGCGAGTCACCAATCGGAGGTAGTAGCCCAGGTCGAACTTGGGCGAGGCGGGAATGATGAGCGTCGTGCCGAACGCCACGGTGGGGAGAAGAACGGTGGCAAGACTGCGAGTAGCGTCGAAAACGAGAGCTCGGTCAGGACGGAAAAGCGGCAAGAGGGGTGGAATCGGAGGGGGAGCTCTACTTACCCGTACACATGGTACCAAGGCGCGAGTGTGATCCATCGCTCGCCGCCGCCGTTGGAGCCGCGAGAGGAGCCGCTGAAATGAGGATTGGAGTCCCAAATACCGAGGGTGTTGCTGACGAGGGCGCGATGGCTGATGAGGACCCCCTTGCTCTGGCCAGTGGTGCCGCTGGACCAGAGGACAAAGGCAATGCGCCTCTGCTGTTCCTCGGGCGTCATAGGTGCGGGGGTGAAGGCAGGCCTGTCGAGGCTGGCGATGCTGCCTTCTGCCTTGCTTCCCGGGGGCGGCAGCAAGAGGTGGGTCCAGTCGCGAGGGTCGTGTGCCGATGCCACGCCGTTGCGGTCAAAGTTGGTGCCGTAGTAGTCCATGCCCGACGAGATGTCGACGGTCCAGACGCGGCGACGGCGGAAGGGGATCTGGTTGCTCTTCTCGAGACGGGCGGCCTTGGCCTGGTCCCAGTCACGAGCGAGCTCGGTGGCCCAAGCTCGGATTTCGGCCGCCTTGACCTGACCCAGGTCCGACGGAGGAGAGTCGAGCAGGAGCTGCAGAGCTTTGCGCAGGGGCACCTCGCCCTCTGCACCGACGGTGGTGAAGAGGAGCTGTGGGCGCGCCTTGGCGAGGATGTAGGCGAGCTCGCGAGGGCTGAGGTAGGTGGAGATGGGGCAGACGGTGAGATTGGCGGCGACGGTGCCGAGGGCGACGAGGGGCCACACCATGCCATTGGGGATGTGCATGAGCACCGTAGTACGAGGCGCATGGATGGGCTCGAGTGGGCGTCTGGAACTGGGAGCAAAGGCGGGCGGTGGGCCCGTGAGTGCCTGGAGCGACCGTGCGAGGCGCAGGCTATCCGCCTTCAACCTCGCCCAGCTGAGCTGTGCTCCGGTGCCGTCGTGAACGAGAATGGGACGTTGTTGCGGGATGGGAGCGCCATCATAGGTGTGGTTGGGATACTCGTCGGCAAAGCGGTTGGGCAGGTTCTGGAGTGGATTGCTAAAGAGGAACGTGTGAAGGTTCTGGTCCTGCGGAAAGGCGACGTCGAGGCCGCTGATCTTGGCAGGCATGGTGGCGCAGCAAGAGGGCAAGATCGTATGGATCGCCTGTATGTGCTCGAGGAGGGACACGGTGGAGACTCTGGAAGCGGCGACGATGCGAAGCGTGCTGAGGTGCTTTTATGGGAGAACGCAGGCAAGCTCCATGTGTGCGTGCCCAGCAGAGGGAGGACGAGCTTGTCGTCCGGGGCACCGCATTTCACTAGGCCGAGCCAGCGGGATTGGCATCGCGAAAGCGGACGGCAGGCAGTCGCGCACATTTGCCGTGATTCCCGAAGTGTTGAGGCCAGCCCAGCCCGGGCGGCTAGACGGCAAACAGCCGTCCAGAGAGCAGCTCGCTTGGCGGACTGACCACTTCTCGGTGCACATCTCGACACGCCTTCGGCTTCCTGACGGAGGCGGCGCCACCTCAGGAATCCTCGTTGCTTCATCAGACCGGAGAAGCCTGCAGCAGGCAAACGTGCGCATTTCCAACCCCACACAACCCTTCGCCGCGGCTTCCGCACGAAAGCTCTTCAGGGTCCCGACAAACGTCGAGGCTTTATCGGCCGTCGGTCCAAGCTCGACGCGCTGCCTCCCGTGCGAGAATCGAGGCCCGCCTTGCAGACTCGGCCGGATCCATCACACGGTGGAACTGGCATCGTCCTGTCGTGACGCTCCGTCGGCGTATCTGTCTGTGTGCCTCTTTGCACGTCCAGCTGATCAGGCATACGAGCGGCTCGCCCGACACAACCTGCGGTGTTGGCTGCGAGAGTGCAGGCTGCGTCTGCCTACAGCGGAAGTGCCAGCATCTCACTCTAACAGATTATGTTTTCGACACGACTTCTTACCACGACCTCTTGACGGGACGCTGGAGGGTTGAGGATCATTGACAGCTCTCGCCTTGACCATGTCCTGGTCTCGGCATCGATTATCAATCGCTCTGCTGGCCCGCACTCTCTGTCAAAGTCACAGAACATGGAGACAGAGGATTTGCGCGCAAATCTGTATTGTCCGGTCCCCACGATGTCTCAAGTAGGGAGATGCATGCGGTTCCAAAGTTACTCCTCGGAAGCAAAGGAGCGACTCTGCGCTAGAGAACGAGCGAAAGGCCTGATGCCACGCTAACAGCGAGCAAGATTGCGACTGCCGAGGTGCGAAGATCGAGCGTCAGGGTAGACACCGCGGAACTCTGCTGGGGTGTGCTGGTGGAGCCGCCGCTAGAGGCCGAGGAGCGACCCGTTCCGATGCTGCCGTTCTTGGTGATACGGACGGTGAGCACATCGACGACGCCGTCGATGCCGATATCGTGGTTGATCTGGCTCGCAGACACACCGCTGAGCAGCTGCGAGGACGACTGCCGGCTGACGGTGTACTGGAAGCCACCGGGGCTGGTGAGCGTGCCTGCGGTGGCGTTGCCTACGAGCTGGTCGCGGCCGTCGTCGTACCCGTTGGGCGCGATGGCGTGGTTGAGCGTCGCGTTGAGCTCGACGCTGGCGGCGATGAAGATGGCGCCCGAGTTGGCGGCGGTGCCGTTCTGGATCCAGTAGCGGAAGTGGTTGCCGCCCTTGAGCGACTCGAGGCAGGTGCCGCCGTCGCCCTGCTTGAAGTTGTAGCGCATGATGTTGGTCTGCGGCTTGGCTCCGTTGCCATCGCCCAGGTTGGCGGTCTGGTAGCCGCCCTGGCTGATGTTGAGGCAGCTGCCGGGCGAAAAGTAGAGCGCGCGCGAAAACTCTTCGAAGCCGTCCTGGCTCAGCACGCCGCTATCCGACTGGCCCGAGACGATGACGTTGAGCGGCTCGCCGAGGCCAGAAGCCGTGTTGCCCGTCAGCATCGAGCCGCCGTTGGTGGCGGGGCTGTAGTAGCCTTGCGTCTCGCTTTGGCGTCGATCCAATCCAGACGGCAACGCATGTGTCCACGAGGAGGCAAGCACGCTGGCGAGCGCCAAGCCAGAAAGTGTCGAATTAAGCTTCATGTTGGATGAAGATGAGGATGGACGTGCGCACCAGGCGTCACCGAAGGTAGCAGTCTTATACGAGTCTCTCGGGAAAAGAACGCGGTAGAGTCGGTCGGTCAAGGATGCGTCCAGCGCAGAGAAGGAAGAAGGTGGCAACCGGGGTCGGAGCGAGCAAGATGGTCAAAGTGAGGATGGGAAAGCGGTCGCAGCTTCGAGCGCCATCTACCGGTGGTCAGGCTGGCGGGGACCGACTGAACAAGACGGCCTGCCAAGATCGCTGTCGGCTTTCGCAGGAGAGGCGAGGGATGCCATGCGGTCTGGCGGCTCGCTTGATCGCCGCGAGCTGCTGCGCGCCTGGAAACCCTCTCGGCAGGAGCATTTTTCTCGATCGACCCGCCGTCTTTGGACTGTAGTGCATCAGGAGAAATTGGGGGCTGTCCGCACGGCTGGGTGCACCGCCTGGCCTTGTCGGATGACTTCACCCGGCGCCATGAAGAGCCAGCGTACATACTGTACTGTACAGTACAGCACGCCGACGTGTGCCAGCAGGGGCATTGGAAACTCAAGTTTGGCGATGCGGTAAGTTAATGCATCATCGGCAGCGCAACAATGAATGCGCAGTGCACTTTTTTGACCTGTCACACGTCTCTGACCGCCACAGCTGCGCCCTCAGCCCGCCTCGGAAATGAAACTGTTGCCTCTTCGCCACTCGCGTCGAATCTTGGGGGAGGGGGGATCATCGATTCAACGCAAGCGCCGGCCTGGTGGGCCATTGCCGATTTGCCGTCTCATCGGGCTTGCATTGGATTCTTGGCTGTCTTCGCGAGTGCAGCTCGGCGAATTCGACGGCCAACCTTGCCGGGCTTTGCGGTTGGATTTTGGGGGCGTAGGCCAAGCACAGCCTTCGAGTTGCAGCGTGCCGCGCGACGAACTCTCTGCCGAGCCTACAACCAGTGCTGGTCAGCGCCGATGTCGTCGTTGCATTCACACGTCTCGCACGACCCTCGCAGAGCGCCAAAGCGAGCCGATGCCATGCCAAGGGTGCATGCAAGTATGCGCTGAACAACGCTGCGGTCGAGCGTGAGCAAGCTCAATCTCTTCTGAGCCCTTCGTTCGCGCGGAAAGATAAGGAGGCCCACAACAACTTAACAGCATTTATGCGAGCGCCTGCCGCAATCTCCGGATCTCGCGGAGAGCTGCGCGATTTTGCAGCGCTGAGCTGCCACCCAGTGCCACTAGCAGCTGGTGTACCCGAATCTGCCATGGCGCGTGGAGCGGGCTGGCGACGAGGTTGTCATGCCGCAGTCATCGCAGCCGTTTGTGTCGTCTTGATGAGCGCGTATGCTTGCGCCAATAAGTCAGCGGGAAAGCTCTGGCTAAGAAGAAGGCCAGGGTCCAGCTCGTCAAGCTTCGTCAAGCAGGCAGGCGCTTTGACCCGTCCATTCGGCTCTATGCAGCCGCGGGGCGAGCCACGAGAAAATTGCGGCTTTTTCGCCTGTCTCCGGCCTCCTCCACGACCATGCTTGTGGGGGAAGAGGCAGCGGCAGCCGGCCACGAGAGCAAGCGCTGCGGGCCGACTTATCTGTGTCCGCCATGCATCTCGCTCCGTCCGGTGGCCGAGTCCCTTTCCATCCGTCGCCCTCCAATCTCGCCCTCACGATTGTCCCGCCCCGCACCTGAACGCTCTGGCTCAGCAGCACGTTGGCACACCCGCTCCCAGCGACGGCAGCAGGAAATGTCTGCAGCTCGCACATGACGAGCCGCAACTCGATGTCGACTTCGCCAACCGGCCGTCCTGCGGCCGAGGCGACTCCATCGACAGATCTCGACAATCAAGCTCGCTCTCCGAGCTCACCGTCGTCGCGCGATGTTGTCGACGAAAGCTTCTCCACCCTGCCAGACGCTACTTCGCCCAAACGCCCGCGTGCTGATACGCTCGAGTCGTCCGCGGATCCAGTCCCGTCGCGGCCCGGTCCCTCCAAAGGAACCAAAGGCAAAGCAAAGTACATACCGAATCGTGTCAAACGCTACCACGAGAGGTCCTTGGCCGGCTGTCTCACATGTCGCAAAAGGCGCGTCAAATGCGACGAGGCCAAACCAATCTGCCGCAGATGTGCTTGCGGTGATCGCGACTGCGCCTACGCGGAGCCTTCCGCTCCTTCCGCATCGACCGACTATCCAGAGTCAGTACGATCCGCTCCGACAGCACCTACGCCGAGCACCAGCTCGCAGCCCCTACCAGGAATCCAGGTCTCCTCGCTCATTCACCCTGACCAGCCGGCTCTACTTCCGCCACTTCACTCGGCATTCACCCTCGGGACGGCAGATGCATCCCACTCGTCCCCACCCGACGGGGCCAGTCGCGTCTTCTGGTCACATCAAACAAAGGTATCCTCACTGTCTACCTCTCCCCAGTCAGCCCCCGACGAAAGAGACACGAATGCTCATCATCACCAAGCAAACGGGCTGGACCGCGCATCTGCCACCGCCCATCACGACCGATACCGCACAAAGTGGAACAGCGCGTATTCTCAGCCGGAGGCTTCTTCGCGGCCAGATACACTACGTCAGCCCAGCGCCGAGTACGACCATCATCGTCCGCTGCCCCACTCGCATGTCTACTCGACACCCTATGCTTCCTCGCCCATCGACATCGCCAAGGTCAAACTGCCAGAGCTGCCGGCCGGGCTCGGCTTCGACAACCTCGATGCCTACTTTCCTACTTATGAGCAGCAGTGCCTCTTCCGCCACTACATCCTCGAGGTGGCGCCGCAGCTCTGTGTCATCCGCATCCCGCTCTCGGACAACCGCTGGATTCTGTACCATGCCACATTTGCAGTCAGACATCCGGCCGGCGAGAATGGTTACGAGGATGCCCTTCGCTCAGCACTCTTGAGCATGGCAAGTCTCGATATCGGTCACAAGCTGTCGCAAACGCCCATACCCGACTCCTTCCCGGCCGAGGCTGCGCGGCCAGACGACCCGTCGCCCCGCTCGGATCATCCTGCAAGCATCAGCACTCGAAGCGTATCCGGGCTGTCACCGCATGGCTCCACCCCGCACTTCGGTGCGCCAAATATGCGTTCCAACCTGACTCCAGGACTGGGTGGTGCGGCAGACTCGTTTGGAACCGCAAACATCGTATCCAATGTCTTGCTCGAGCTCAGCAATCTGAGGCGAGAGGAATGTCTTCGTTTGCTGCGAACCACTCTCAAGGAGAGGCGCGCCCCCCTCGACCGCGGCAACGCTGCCATCATGCTCGCCACTGTGCTCGGTCTTGCCACGCGCGATCGGCTCGCTGCGCAACAGGACTGGCAGGACGCGCTGCACATTGCCTCGCGCGCCATCGCCGAGCTCGGCGGACCCGCCGCCTTCGTGGACCAATCCGATCCGTCGAGCCTTTTCCTCATCGAGCAGATTGCCTGCTTTGACGCACTCAGCTCGCTCACCTCGGACGACTATACCCTCTTCCTGCAACCGTGGGATGACTGGTGGTACGCGCTCATGGACTCTCCGCGCAGCATCAAGGAGGACAGCGTGCTCCAAACTTTTGGTCTCCATCGTGGCATGATCGACATGCTCGCTAGGATGACGCGCGTCGAGGCCACCCGAAGAGAACTGCAGGAACGCACCAGCGTCACCATCATTCTGTCAGAGGCGGTCGGCGCCGGCTCACCTCCCACGCTGCCACCAGAGTACGAGGAGACGCGCCTTTGGCTTGAGTCGACGGCACGCGCCCTGGTGGCGGAGATCCCCATCTGGGCAAAGATGCCCTTCCCAGCGGAAGCGTCACGGACGCTGCAGGCGCTTTTACCGGTGATCATGAACCACCTCTACGTCGCCACAGCCGAGCTCTACATCCACTCGGTCATCTTTTCGAAGCCTGCCGACCATCCATGCTTTGCCGAACCTACAGCCGTGGTACTCAACCGCACCGAAGAGGCCATCCAGGCTGGCATAACCAAGGGGTAAGGGTCGTCGATCCCTGTGGTAAGAAAACGAGTATGCTGACATCATTGATTGCCTTTCCATCGATCCCTTTGGCCGCCTGCCAAGTCTGGTTCTTCCGCTCTCGTTTGCCGCATTCTCGGCGCGCGGCCACGACCGCGATCGCATCCGAGCCATGCTCAACGAGCTTCGGCCCTACTACAAGTTCGACCTCGAGCGCATGGAGAAGCTCAACGAGCATCTTTGGAGTCTGGTTGACAGCGGTCTCACACCCACGGACTGGGGCCTCTTCCTCAAAAGTGTCGGGTGCTTCAACTGGGCCTTTTGACGCGGTGCGAGAGCCGACCGGGCCCGCTCTTCCACAATTCTCGTCTTGGTGGCATGGTACGGATCCTTGCCGATGTACGATACTGTATCATTCCCATATGCTGACGATCTGAGCTTCAGAGCTAGGGCAGCCAAGCTAGCATCATGAGGATGCGTGACACAGCAGCAGGTTGATTGCAAGGGCTTGTGAACGAGTGTCCGACTTTTCGACGCTCTGCTGTTACCGAGCAACCGAGCAGAGACCTTGGCTTTTTGGCGATGTAACACGTCGAACCGAAAATCGCGCTGGCCCGGCGAGAGAAGAAAAGTGACACGCAGCCTTCCAGCTCATGCAGTCCGAAAGCCGAGGAGGTGGCACACCCGGCCACATCCTCTACCTGCATTCGCCGCTAGGACCTCGTGTTGCTCCTTCGTGACTTTTCTCCTCTCGCACTTTGATCATTCCGATTGGCGGACTCGCTTCGCACACAGCGCGCACATCCGCCAACCGCAGTCGATTCGTCTTTTGGTCGATTCGGAGAGGCGCCGCTGATCAGCCTGCGTCCAACATCTGCAGGGCTGCGCATCGGGAGCGCACGTCGGCAAGGCTACAAGTGTAGGCACAAGATGAAGCCCTTGATACGGTCGCGTGCCGGCTTGCGGCGCGGGAGCATGACTTGGGTTTTGCTGCTCTCCGTGTTGGTGGCTCTGTGGACGGCAGCGCTGGTAGCTGCGGCGAAGGACTACTACAAGGTGCTCGGTGTGGACAAGACGGCGTCGGACCGGGACATCAAGCGTGCCTATCGTAAGCGCGCACAAAAGATCCACCCAGACAAACATCCCGACAAGCATGCCGAGTTTCTCGAGCTGAGCGACGCGTACCAGACGCTCAGCGACGCCGAGATGCGCAAGATCTACGACCGATACGGCGTGGACGGGGTCAAGAAGCACCAAGCGCGCAAGGACAACCCCCACGCGCACGCACAGGACCCTTTCGACATCTTCTCGCGCTTCTTCGGCGGCGGTGGCGGCGGCGGTGGAGGAGTCCGCAAGGGTCCGAACAAGGCTTTCAACGTGGACGTCGACATCGAAGACTTCTACCGAGGCAAGACGTTTTCGCTAGAGTACCAGAGGAACGTCGTATGCTCGCACTGCGACGGCAGCGGAGCCGAGTCGCCGGGCGACATCCACACGTGCGATGCGTGCGACGGGCGCGGCGTGCGCATCGTTCGGCAGCAGATCATGCCCGGCTTCATCACCAACGCCCAGATGACGTGCGACCGGTGCGGAGGTGCGGGATCGGTGATCGCGCACAAGTGCTCCAAGTGCGATGGTCAGAAAATCGTGCAGGAGGTTGCATCGATCGAAGTAGAGCTGGAGCGCGGAGCCGAAAACGGCGTGGAAGTGGTGATCGAGGGAGAGGCAGACGAGGCGCCCGACTATGAAGCCGGCGATGTGATCGTCAAGATCAGGTAAGTCCAGAGCGGTGATGGTAGATTCGATGGCCAAAGATGGATCTTTGACTGATCCGACCTGTTGCGCTTTGTTGCGGCCTTTCGTGATGACAGTTCCAGACGCTCGAAAGGACAATTCCGACGAGGAGGCACCTCGCTCTACAAGACGCTACCCATTTCGCTGTCGGATGCTTTGCTAGGCTTCGAACGCAACCTCACGCACATGGACGGCCGCACGGTGACGGTGAAGCGAGACGGCGTTACACAAACCGGCTTTGTGTCGGTGGTGGACAACGAGGGCATGCCCGTGCAAGGCACTACTCTGTCCGAGGCATCAGATGACGAGATGCGCGCGGGTCGCGACATGCTGTTTGGCAAGCTCTACATCGAGTGGCAGCTGGTTCTGCCCGAGACCGTGGACCCGGCTCTTCGAAAGGGTGAGCATAATGATACTATTTCGACGATGACCATCTCCCAACTTGCTGACGCTCCTTTCCGATCGTCTTTTTTTTCGCCAGCCCTCGAAGCGGCGTCTGGTCGCACTGGCGCAGCGTCCGAATCTGCATCAGACACTCCTGCGCATTCGGAGCTCTGAGATCAGGAGCTGGTGCATCCGACGATCTAGAGTGGTTGCACTTTGCAGGCTTCGGCCATGAGTTTTCTTGCAATAGATGTCGCGACATCATATCCGACGACTTCCAAGATGGCCTGAGGCGGCTTGTGTGGCGTGCAATCGGGCGTGACACCAGCGTCGTCAAACTGGGATCCCTGTCCAGTCGGGTGCCCTGCTGATGAGCCGAAGCGGTGCAAGCGGCAGCGGCAGCAGTTGAGGCGGCAGTCGAGGCAGCACAGCGCGGCTCACCGAGCTTCCGAACTTCCACCCACGCGACTGGTGCGGCTCGGCGAATTTGTCGACTCTGCTGATCTCCGAAAAATAAGTTATGGAAGTGCGGGCCACCGCACCGAAGAGCCGGCGCAGAAGATGCGGAAGAAGCGGAGGCAGCTCGGAATCGACTTGCCATCTTCCCGGTTTTCCACATGCTCTCCCGAGCGCCACTTTCTCTTCGCATCCGTATCGTATAAAGTGCTCGAGGTCGGCGGACGTGCTTCGCTTCCTCTTGCTCACACGCTCGGCAAACTCCATCATGGTCCGATCCACAGCAATCTTGCGGCAAGCCGTGCACGCCCTCAGCCGAACGCCCCACCCAACACTAGCTCTCTCCCCGGCTGTCCGCTCCGCCTTGAATCCAAAGACAAGGGCGCCCGTCGTCGCGCTGGAATCGACCATCATCACACATGGCCTGCCCTACCCTTACAACCTCGAGGTGGCACAGGAGCTCGAGCAAACAGTGATCGACCACGGCGCCGTTCCCGCAACTATTGCGCTGCTCGATGGAAAGCCTCTGGTCGGCTTGGACGAGCCTCAGCTCGAGCGTTTGGCACGATGCGCTATCGATCCGAGCAAGAACACGGCGATCAAGGCGAGCCGCAGAGATATTGCACACGTCTTGTCAAAGGGCCACGGATCCGTAGGCGGCACCACCGTCAGCGGCACCATGGTGCTCGCTCATATGGCCGGTGTTCCCATCTTTGCGACCGGCGGTATCGGAGGTGTCCACCGTGGCGCCGAGTCCAGTAAGTCCATAACCGCACTTGAATCTGTCCGCCCGGCTCGTATGCGCAGTGCAGGCTGACAAGATCCCTCATCACCTGCTTCTACGCCAGCCATGGACATCTCTGCCGACTTGACCGAGCTCGGTCGTACCCCTGTCGCCGTCTTTTGCTCGGGCCCCAAGTCGATCCTCGACATTCCCCGCACGCTCGAGGTCCTCGAGACCTTCGGAGTATCTGTCACCACGTTCAACCCCACAGGCGAATTCCCGGCCTTCTATACATCCAACTCCGGTCTCTCTGTCCCCTATGCTGGAACGGACGCCCAGGCAGCAGCCGCCATCTTCGCCAATGCTCAGCTGGGCTTGCAGAGCGGCCACGTCTTTGCCAACCCCATCCCATCGGAATGGAACGAGGTCGGACAGCGCATCCAGCAAAGCGTCGAGCAAGCGGTTCGCGAATCGGTCCAGCAAGGCATCGACAAGAAGGGCAAAGAGGTGACGCCGTGGCTGCTCAAGCGCCTCGCTGAACTCATCCCCGAGAGCAAGAAGAGCAACCGTGCCCTCGTCGTCAACAACGCAAAGAAGGCCGCACAAGTTGCCGTTGAGCTCAACCGCATCGAGAACGAGGTGCAGCAGGCAGCAGGCACTTATGCGCTCGGTGGCATCCCGCAGACGGTGAGTTGACGAGCCTCTCCTGCCAATGCTCCTGGCTTTCGATCTGCTTGCAAGCCGTTCCATGTACATAGGCAGTCACCGCAGACGTACCTCTTCCAATCCCAGCTTGCGAGCAAGACTCTCCAGCCAGCCACTGTGTGAATCTCTGTGCTGAAGCTCCATTTGCCTCCTCCTGTGCTTCGACTTCCAGCAGCCATCAACAGGCAAGGCGGGCATCTTGATCTTCGGAGCCGCAGCGGTGGACATTACTTCGCAAACGCAATCGGCGGGAACAGCGTCCAAGCTTGCCGCAACCACCTACCCTGGCCGCGTGTCGATCACGCTTGGCGGTGTAGCGCGAAACATGGCCGAGACGGCTACCCGCATTCTTTCGCCTCTACACACTCGAAGCACACCTTCGCCCGTCAAGCTTGTAACCCCTCACGGCGACGACGACTTTGGTCTCCTGCTGCGGACGGGCTTGGAGCACGCAGGCATGCGTACCGATGGGCTCTTCGTGCCCTCTGGCAACCACAGAACGGCGGTTTGTTCCCTCATGATCGATGATTCCGGCGACCTCATCTCTGGTGTTGCCGATATGGACATCGGAAAGGCGGCTCTGACTTCGACTTCGACTTCTGTCGACGTGAAGTCGCTACTGGAGTTCGAAGCACCTCGATTCGTCGTCTTCGACGGCAACATTGGCCAAGCCCACGCAGACGAGCTTTTGAAGGCTTGTCGAGCCTACAATGCAAGCAGTGAGACAGTGCGAGGAAGCCGGCCGGCCGTCCTGACGGTGTTTGAGCCGACAAGTGTCGCCAAGTCCGTCACTGTGCTCTCGCACTTTGCTGCCGCAGCGGCGGACGGCACCAAGAAGCAGCCCATCAGCTTCACGACCCCCAACGCAGTGGAGCTCGATCGGATTCACGCTGCCGCCCTGGACTATGGCCTTGTCGATCCCACGAAGATCCAACCCACAAGGCTAGCCAGCTCGGTCCCCTCCTCTGTTCTCCCTCAAACCGTGCTCGACAAAGCTCATGATTTGGTGCAGGCGGGAATCTTTAAAACCGTCTTGTTGAAGGTGGGCCGCCACGGAGTTGTCACGATCGATGCCTCGCGCGCTCAACATCATCCCGTACCTGCAGGCAAGGTAGAAGTCGTCAACACGACTGGCTGCGGCGACAGTTTTGCCGGTGCTTTCGCAGCCAGCCTCTTCCACTTGCTGGCGCAGAGTCAAGGGACACGAGCGGTGGCTGGGAGGTCATCTCCTGGTGACCAGCTCGACCTTGCCGTCAGGGTTGGCCAGCTGGCAGCGAGGAGGACACTCATTTCGACAAACGCGGTAGGCGAAGGGATGGAGGATCTCCTGCTCAAACAGATCAGAAACACATGATCACCTCGCATTCATACACTCAGTCTGACGATACGGGCAATGTGAAAAGCATTCGACAATTCCATTCGCGAAGACGATATCGTTACGGGAGGAACATTGGACCGCGACGACAAGGAAGCTCGGAGTGACGGTAAGGGCAAGACAGATTGAAAGAATACAAGTGCAAAAGAAGGATGAGGTCCAGGGGTATGTTGTTCGACGGGCAATTCGGACCTTCGAGGGAATGCGATGCAAAGCAGGAGAACCAATGGGAATCGGAACAGTGTCCATAGTAAGGATAGGGAGACGTCAGAGTGTCATAGACAGAGCATCGGATAAGATCATCAAGCGTCCACTTCCTCGACCAGACGATCAAGGCCAGCTCGAGCACGGCGGGCGTGCAACGCCGGCACTGTCTCGCCCTCATCCGACAAGCTACTGTTGAAGACTTCGATGCTCCATGGGCCTTGATAGCCCGCCTCCTTGACGGCTGCGTGGACGAACTCTCTGACGGGCAGGAAGGCTCCCTCCTTGTATTCGCACGGGAAGAGCCGGTTGCTCCTAGACCAGATCATGCGTGCCGGCCTGGGCTCGTCAGCGTTGGGAGACGGTGCAAGGGGCTGCTTCATCCTGCGAGCGTCGCCAATCTGGAGGAAGAAGATCTTGTCTGCTGGGACCGTTCTGAGGGCACGGATCGACTGCATGACCCCGCTGTAAGGGTCGTCGCATCGGTCGGTGATGCCTGTGGAAGTGCATGGATCGGCATACTCGCGGGCGAGTGTGTTGAAAGAGTCCAAGATGAGGCCGACGTTATATCTGTCGGCTAGGCGGACGGCTTGCCAGGCGCGGGACCAAACGTCTACGTGCGCTCCCCAAGAAAGCGCCTCGTATCCGATGCGAATAGGCACAGCTCGGCGCTCGATGGTGCCGGCGTTGCTGGCGCTGCTGTGCAGAGGCACAAGCACGGAGCCAAAACGGTCCGCAAAGTCGGCGAGCTGGGCAAGGTCGATCGCGATGCGCTCGACGTCGCCTACGGTGGCAGGAGCATGCTGATTGTTGGAGCAGATGAGCAGCAAGTCGGCGCCAAGGGCGCGCATGACTTCGAAGCGCGAGCGGGCGCGGCGAAGGGCAAGCAACTGGTCTTGCTGCTTTGCCCAGCCCTCGAAATCGCGGAGCGGCTGAAGGCTGTAGATACGGATGCCGAGAGTGTCGCAAAAGGCAGCGATATAGGAAGCGGCCGCAAGCTCCTGACGATAGGCGGTGGCCGTGCAGGTGCCAAAGGCGTTGTACGTCATGGGCAAGCCATCGAGTCCGATCACGAGCTCGTTGCTAGCATCGCGCACGAGCAGATCATCATCCAGGCCTGCGACAGCAAAGTGCTTCTTGTCTTGGGGCAGCGGTCTGTTGAATGGGAGGGATGAGGTGCTGGCATCGTCCGACGAGTGACTCGCCGACGAAGAGCCCGAGTAGCGGCGGTCGATGTTCATGGGCGAGTCGGGAGGGGTGAGGTTTAGCGGGGCGAAGGAAGATGCTGCGGTGCTGGCCTCTCCCGTTTCTTGAATGCGACGGAATTCGTCGGAGGAAGCGAATGCATCGAGGTCATCCTGAAAGAGCTCGATGCCATCGAAGCCGGCGTCTGCGATGGCGCGGAGCTTGGACAAGAGCGAGTGACCTGCCACGTTGGCGCCGACCGAATGGGTGAAGATGGCGTACGGATACGGACGAGTGAATGTCGACATGATGGCTGAAAGACGACGGTCGGGATGAAGGCGCTATGGGTCGGTTTCGCTTTGAGGCTAGTCGATCTGTGCTGTGCAGGCTTGAGCAACGAACAGGGTTGTAGGAGGGCCCACCACTTGCGCAACCGGCGCAAAGGGATGAGCGAGAATGGTGTTGGTGAGGTGAAGCGGGCGAAAGGTCGGGTCTGTGATCCAGAAATGGGATTGGTAATGGAGGTTGAAGGGAAGGATAGGTATCCCTGCACGGAGTACGAGGTGGAGCAGGAGGGGGCGGCGGCGGCGGCGGCGGCAAGTAGACAAACTCAGAAAGACGGAACAGGCTCAGAGCCAGAAAGCAGAGGCGACGCCGGCAGCGACAGTCTGTGCAGGGCAGGGAAGCAGGGACGAGAGAGCCCAGATCCGGCGGAGGCAGACAAGCGATGATGATGAGGGCACCGACCTTCAATGGGGCACGAGGCTGGCGCAGAGTACATGGGCCGTGTCGAGGTTATTTGCGGCAAGCACATGCTGCCAAGGCGATCCAGCGTGGCCAGACAGGTGGATGGCTATCGATACGGATCCACGTCGCCGCATCCACCCGGACGGGCGGACGAAGGCGAATTTCCTTGTGGCAACCGATAAAGGCAGAGAAGTCGCAGCCGACCTCGGCAGAGGAGGAGGATATGTGGCTGACTGTCAAGGCGACCGACTCGCTTCGGATATCCGACGAAACCGTGGGCCATGTGAAATGTGTGGGTCTGTACGTAGCAAAAAGCAGAGAACCTCACGCTCGCCGACCCCACAGGACCTGTCCACCGTGAGTTGCCGCACTTGCACTTCGAAGAGAGAGAGCATCGGGGAATTGCATCGGAATGAGGTGCGGGCGGGTGCGCCGCAGCTGCTGTTCATCTCAGGCGCCGCCTGCGAAGCGCCGCCGCCAAAGAGTGCGTGGATCTGTTTGCGTCGTGCATAGGCGAGCTCGACGCACCGCTGCAGCCCTGCACAGCCTGCGTACATTTCCAACCAAATTTTGAAAAAAAGGGATCGTCGTGGCGCGAGAGCGCAGATCAAACTTGTCGCATCCATCGGCTCGTCAGCCCTGTGCACACATCCCGTCTCGTCACATGGCTGCGGCGACGCGCCCTCACGCTCTCATGATGCACGCGGTAAGCCCTGCCCTTGCTTAGCGATGCCTGCATTCAACAACCGTCGCTTCATTCCCACACAAGCGGGTCTTGACACGGTTGCACAGCTGGGCTCTAGCCCGCAGCGCATTCGCCTGCAACCTTTGGCGTCTAGAATCGCGTGAGTTCGCAACTGCAAGAACAAGACTCGACATGGATTCACAAGCAGCGCAGGCAGCAATCGTGAGACTAAGTTGCCGTTGCGCAACAGTTGGGTCGGAGCTGGCTGTGGACCAGTTCAGCGGAACGGCTTATTTCTCGCAATCGGTTCTGAGTTTCAACCGCGACTCTTTTGTCTTCTGCTCCAGAGCGAGGGACAGGCGCATGGCCAGTGTCGCGCGCAGCCCGCGATGATGCCATGAGTCTACCGTGAAATTGATGCGCTGCGCCTCTTTTTTTCGGACGCCCGCATCGTCGATCCGCGCTCTGCTTCTGCCACGCACGGGCGCGTCTGGCTACAGCATGCTCGTGCGTCTTCTCTGACTCGATCATCTCCACTCGACTGAGAGCAGCGAAGCTGAGCCATCTATAATGATGCTTGGTGGGCCGTGAGAAGATCCGTTGAGCCGGGGCCGTCGCATACAAGCAGACAAAAAAGCATGCATACGGCGCCAAGCCAGTCGAGACCCGAAAGTTTGTTATCGACCGACATCCGAGACCTGCAGACGCTGCTTCGGTTCAAGCTAGATCGCCGCACGCCCACGCTGCGCGCCCACGTCGGCGCCCTTGCGCCTTGCCGCCTTTGTCGTTTCCCAACATGCAGCCGGAGGCGAACTCGCGGTCGGCAGCAGCTTCAAATTGCCCAGGATAGAACAAGCGGCTCCTGCATCGCCCCTGCAGCTCGCTCGGAATCTCGTCGGTCGTCTCGCCTAAGCTCCATCACATCACCGCTTCCGCGCGCCCTGTTCCGGAAAAGCGACGGCCGCAGTTCGCTTGGCCCTGCGTCCGACGCCCGAGGCACCGGTCGGTCCTCCTTCGCTCGCACCAAATTTCCGACGGTTTTGCTTGATTCGAAGTTTCTGTAAGGCGGCAAGACACAACGCTCGACTTTAGGTCGCCGATGCCACTTCATTCACGGTGTGACCAGACACTCGAATCAGTCGAAGTCGATGCCACGTTATGAAGTGCCGTTGACTCGCCCCGGGCTCAATCATGTACCAACGACAGCTTTCCTATTGAGCCGCAACTTGACCTGCGCGGCGCCAGCACCTTGCGGCAACCTCTCAGAGAGGCCGACTCTGCTGGAATTGAGCTTCGCATCGAAAGCTCGTGAGGTCTCTGCATCGATTCACGGTCAAGTCCGACAAGCCGAAGGCGGATCACCGATGTTGATGCGCTTTCCCAATTGAACTTTCCGCGATCCGAGATTTCCTACAACTTCCACCACAGAATTTAGCATGGAGTTCTTCCAAGACGATGCCTGAAATTTAAGCGCCCCACCAGCAAATTTCTCGCCCTGACCTGCGCAGAGTCTTTTTTTTTCGCAGCCAGCCTGTGGAGGACATCCCGTGCACGACCTGCTTCTTCTTCCCCTTCCTCTGCATCCATCGGCATCGTCAACTCTTACACACTTTGTCACAATGGCGGCCACACCTATCGCTTTCTTCGGCCTCAAGCTCGTCCCGGGCAAGGTCCACAGGATGGACGTCTCGCGTGACTTCAAGATCACCAACGTCTCCTACGCCGACCAGCCCAAGTCCGGCACAAAGACCCTCGTCAAGGTCCACTACACCCACGTTCCCGGCTTCGAGGACGAGTACGACGAGGACGAAGACGAATCCAAGCCCGTCGAAGACGAGGACGAGATCGAGGAGAAGATCTACACCCTCTGCAGCCTCAACGCCGCCAACAAGGACCACGCCACCGTCGACCTTCAATTCTGCCAGGAGGAGCTCATCGGCTTCTCCATCACCGGCGATGCCACCGTCGATCTCGTCGGCAACTACGTCGCCTCGCCCGACTTTTACGACCAGGAGCCCTCGGACGACGAAATCTACTCGGACGACGACGACGACGACATCATGTACGGTCTCGACTCGGACGAGCTCGACGAGGAGGACAGCGATGACGACGAAGACATGCAAGATGATCCCGAGCGATTCGAGGAGCTTGTCGAGTCGCCCGCAACCAAGCCCAAGAAGGCCGCTGTCGCACCCGCCTCGGATTCCAAGAAGCGTGCTGCCGAAAAGCCTGTCAAGGAAATCGCCGCAAAGAAGCTCAAGGCCGACGCCGCTGCCGCTGCATCCGCCTCGGCTGCCTCGACACCCACCAAGGCCACCGAGACCAAGACCGACAAGCAGGCCAAGAGCCCCAAGGATGTCAAGCCCAAGGCCGAGGCCGCGGACAAGAAGGCCGCTCAGAAGCCCGCCTCCAAGATGACCACCACCAAGCTTCCCTCGGGCCTCGTCATCGAAGAGAAGAGCCCAGGCAACGGCCCGGCCTGCAAGTCCGGCCAGAAGGTCGGCATGCGCTACGTCGGAAAGCTCACCAACGGAAAGATCTTCGACCAGAACACCAGCGGCAAGCCCTTCAGCTTCAAGCTCGGCACCGGCGAGGTCATCAAAGGCTGGGACGAGGGCGTAAAGGGCATGCGCGTCGGTGCCGAGCGCCGTCTCACCTGCCCTGCCAAGCTCGCCTACGGCAACCAGAAGCTTCCCGGCATTCCTGCCAACTCCACCCTCGTCTTCGACGTCAAGCTGGTTGAGATCAAGTAACTGCAACCGGTATCTTCGTTTCAGTCCCTCTTTTCCAACAAATTTACAACAGGTCCGCCCTCTTCCGCCTCGCCTCGCCCCACACTCACACGCACGGCTCTCCTCCTCTTCATTTGTCGCTCGGGCGAGTCGCTCCGTTACCCACATGCTGTACTCTACCATCGCCAGGCACAAGCCCACGTTCTCACTCACTCTTTCTATGATACATATGGTACCACCTCGGTGTGGGTCGATTGCATCTTTTTTGTGTGTGTGACACGTGTCCAGAGACCCGCAGCATCTGAGCTCACCTTGACACTGTCCGCCCTTTTGCTCTCGGACTTCATGTGTCGCTGTGTCTGCTGAGACTGATACCGCCATGTGGGTTCGTGTGGGTTCAGAGGCACCGCACAGAGACCCACTCGCCGAGTGGCACCGGCCGCGCTCTCAATCCCCTTAGTCCCACCGAGAGGCGCAAATGTCTGAGCTCGGATCTCCTTGCCGCCTCGCCGATGGCCATGAACTCGCTGCCTTGCCCGAACCCGCACGGAAAGACAGTCCCGGCACTTCATTCGACAAACATACAAATACAGCCGTCTCTCTCCTCGTCAATCCTAACTGCACATCATCCCAACCGTCTATCTAGCTTTCGAAACCTCTCTTGTTCTTTCTTGCTCCCACTCCCAGTCATGTTGATCAAGATCACTCCGGCTTTGCTCGCTGCAGCTGTTCTGCTGCCTGGTGCATGCACCGCTTTCCAGTGCAGCTTTCAGTCTTTGAAGGCCAACATTGTGGAAGTCAACGCGTTCTCCGCCCAGGATCTGGCTACCTCCCTGAACCGCAACATGCAGTCGGGTGGGTAGGCTGCCGTCACTCTGACTCGTAAGTGCAGAGAGCTCCGCACGTCGGTACAACAAGACCGTAGTGACCGTATCTTACTTTCCTCCATTCTTGATACATAGAGAACTACTTTGAGTCGGTGGACACGGCCGAGACTGCGATCACCCTGCGTCACACCGGCGCTGATTGCCGTCGGGTCGTTGGAGAGGCCAGCAGCCCGGCTTGCAACCGAGACAACATCCAGCAGCTGCTTGACAACACCTGCGCCGATGTCACGCACTCGGACCCGGAATATGGGCAGAGGGGCACCTCGGTTGCCTTCGCCGCCGCCGAGTCCAAGGAAGACGTTCACTTCCGAGCTCACTTCCACGACCTGCTCCAGATGTGGAAGATCCGCGTTCCCGGAACCTGCGCTCACGTAAGTACATACGCACGCATTCATGACAAGCTGCCAAGACGTCACTGACCGGTAAAGATTGGTGAAATACAGAGAGCGTTCAAGGCACCTCGCGAGGGGATGAAGGTGCTCACTTTCTCTGCGAACAAGACGCACAAGTGGAGCAAGGTTGTCGTCGAGCTCGACAAGGAAGACCACAACTTCGGACAGTCGTGGCTATGCGATTTCGACGACAACCTTGACTCGCAACGCCCCCAGATTAGCACTGAGGACGGCAAGACCTTCACGGTCGTCAACGTTTCTTTCGACGATAAGGTCGAGGCTTCGTCTGAGTCGGCCTAGGAAAGCGCCAGCTCTGTGTTGTAGCTTGCACTTCCGTAAAGCAGAACTGCAGCAAAAGCGGCATGTCATTGTGCTTGATCCTTCGTCCCTTTTCATTTCTTCGTCCCATTCCAGTCTATGATTATCCACGCGTCAGAATATAGAGATGTCTGCGTTTGTCCGAGAGCGGCTCTATTGGGTGGTACTGTGCTCGTGAGCACAGCTTTAGAGCCTGGTCCGTTAAAAGCCGGGACAGCCTTTCTTCGCCGGAAACCATTGCGTGAGCCAATCCGCAGGTCGCGATCGGACGGGTTAGGGTTAGGGTTAGGGTTAGGGTTAGGGTTAGGGTTAGGGTTAGGGTTAGGGTTAGGGTTAGGGTTAGGGTTAGGGTTAGGGTTAGGGTT